GGGGGGGGGTTAACCGTCACCACACCTTAACAATCAACAGATGTACTCGTGCCAGAGGCCTGCATTGAAACTGTGGATTCGTAGCTGCCGTTACTCACTCGAAATTGGAAGACACAGAGAATATGCGTCTCGCGTGCAAGGGAGAAAGCCATGAGAGCTATTTTTTTTATTAATTTCACCTCGTCTTGTAAAGAATACCTTTGGATTTCCACCAACAAACCTCTGCCCATCTATGAAATTTGAGATTCGTCTGCATATCGTGCTGAAGTCTTTACTCTACAAGTCTTATAGAGGCCGAGAATATGCTTTTGTTCTGGTCTATAACTGCACCATTAAGAGGTCGCTAAGGAGATCAAGAGGCTTGTGGGAGAGTGCAAGAAGGGCAATGCATTTCCAGACTATCTGATTAGCGCTAGTTCAGTGTTAGGTGCACCTTGCGATTGCATACGTGCTCCGTGACCAGAATGGTCGACTCCAAAACTGCCAAGACAAAGTCTACACAGAATTCAAGGGATCCCGTCTGGCTTATTTCACCGACCCTGGTAAACCCGAAAACTCGCCATGTAGTCTTTGAAACGTCCCTTCTTTAACCAAGGTTGCAGTTTCCGTGGCGATTCCGTGCATCATATCAGGCCGTGGCAGTGTGATAGTTTTATTGCCTGAGCATTCCACCACCCGCCCGCTGATTTCTGGGTGCTCAAGGAAATGCTGATAAGAAGACACTATCTGGGAGACTGGAGTGATACTTTGCCAAATGTTAAAAATAAACTCTTGTAAAGGGTTCGATGTAAGGATCTACCTTTGCGGATTGACGGAAGCAAGAGTTGAAGCTCCAGTCAGCTTTGTAGCTACGATTCCTGGAAGAACGACGTTGACGGATATGTTTTCCTTCTGTTATCAAGTTAGTGACTCAGCAGGTTTCATAGGTATTCACTCTGCTCATGCCGGGTGAGTTTTACCAATTTCAGAACTGGCTCTACGGCCAACAAGGTCTGAATAACCTGTTTTGAGGTTCAAGAGAAGCCCGTCAGCCAACAAGCTGCGTCAATCATCCAATTGACTCACCGCTGCTTTTGCACCGCTGTATTCCGGGAAGCAGGGATGTGCATGTCGCCCTGCTAGGCTTGAGGTTGCGATAAGGTGGCCTCCGGGAACAGCATTCTTTCTCATAAAGTGGACTGCCAGCTGGATGCTATAAAGGACAGCCTTGAAGTCGACATCGGTACACTTTGTATCCGGTCGTGGAGGAATCCTGTACGGTCAGAAATCAAAATTGTTAATTAACGATTTTTAGTGAGGCGACACTCTTTCATTGGAAGATGGACCGCAGACTTACTCATCCATGCCCCTGCTTTCGAAAAGGTACAGAGAGCTTCTGTCAAATATGCCTGCATTTGCCAACACAGCATCCATCCTGCCGTATTTCTGCCACACAGTTTTGAATGCCTGGGCTTGCTGGTCGTAATCTGCCACGTCACAGTGAACGAAGTGTGCTTGTGGCCCCAACTCGGCGACCAAGGCCTCGCCAACATCCTTCTGCCAATCGAGGCAGGCTACGTTCCATCCTGTTCTGATGAGATCCCGAGCGATGGCTTCGCCGATGCCTGACTAGCACACCCCAATCGTCAGTAGTAGCCAGAGTCTGACAGCAACAAAGTACATACTGCGGCCCCCGTCAGGATAGCTGTTCGACTACCTTCCATCCTACACAATAAGAGATGAGAATAGGGGAAGGGAAGAAAAAGGTCAGGTGCTTTTTCTGTTTGTTCAACTTAAGCAGATTAACTACTTCCTTTCCTGCATGCGGAATCAATAATTCATATGTATCGATTTAACAGTGCACCTTGAAGATGAACTAGCGTATTGGCAGATGATTGTGGGGGTGTTCCAAAGGTAGCCTCGGCCAAGGCCCGGGATTGAAAACAATGTTGAACATTCATTCAGTGGACAGCATGCGGCTCGTTCATGTTGACTTGACGTGTCAGATGACCCAGAACTGAGATGTCGTATGACGCATTTGCAGCATAGCTTTAGCATGCCCTCTTTCCTCCTCGGAAGGCCGAAGCTCCAGGCAGGACGTAGATCGAGTTGAACCAGTCCGCCGAGGCGCCTGTTTAGGCAAATGTCCTCGGACCCTACTCGGTTTGTGTGTGTGGAGAGGCCACCAATCATGGCAGGATGATAGATCTCATTAAATTATCTAGAGACATGGTACCAACGAACCTCCTATATGTCTCCGAGCTTGTTGATCTGGGCAACGCCGCTTGGAGGTGTGTTGTCCAGCGGCTACCGCTTAGGTACCTCTACATGCATAGTGTGCTGGTACCGGCACATGTGGTGTAGCGGGAGCGACCACAAGGTGAACCTAATACCTCTAAGAAGTTCCAGTGCTTCCATTATTAACAATTAATCCCATGTTACCACTCCACCAGTAAGTGGTCCTTCTCACAACTTGGCAGAAGGGTTCGACGAACCTAAAGACATTCCCATGGTTATTAGCGTCATAATCAATAACGGGGAAGGGCAAAAAAGAACCCTTGGTTCATACGTACTTTGGAGCCTTGCATGTTTCTCTTCGAACCGCTTCTTTTGAGCATCCTCAACAATGCGCTCAGATAGTGCCTCAGCGGCATCATACACAGCCAATATCCTGCCTCTGCGAAGTGGCAAATTCTGTAATCTTTTAGCTTCCATCATGCTCTGTCCATCGTTCTTAGCAAGCTCTTGCTCCAAAAAGTCCAGCACACTTTGATGAAAGCTCGCTTGTGGGAAGATGCGATTGACAAGACCATGGTGTTTGAGTTCCTGGACAGTGATCTTCTCCCCAAACATCAAAATGTCATTAGCCCGATGGACGCCCATCGATTGAGCGAAGGTTGTGACTGATCCAAACTCTGGGACAAGGCCAAGGGCACTGAAAGGCGCTTGAAGCCAGACATTGTCAGCAGCAACGACGATATCTGCAACTCCTTTGGAACCAAACCGCCCCACCACCAACGGCTGGCCCGTTGAGAGCTAATATCAGGACCTTCCTATGGTCGATCATAGATCGAAGGAGCTCCATGGCTATATTTGGAGAGCAAGATTGTATTAGTCAATGATGATCTTGAGAGGCTGAATGGTATTATGTGTCTGAGGCTTCTTTGAAATTTTGGCTTACCCAACGCAACTCTTTGCATCTGTGCAACCTTCTTCTCTGCGGGATATGCGTACTTGACCTCTGGAGCACTCATCGCGGCTAGGCGCCGGAAAATAAGTCGTCAGTCTTGATGTTCTAGGCTTCCCCTTCTATCCTGTAGTGTAGTCTCGAGCACCCACGCCTGTCTTTCAAGAGTGGAAGCTTAAAGATGGTCCGCACTCTTACGCTCACCTTTAACGTCTGCCCCAGAAGAGAAGAATCTGCCCTCCCCGGTTATGACGGTGAACACTGTGTCCGGATTGGCATTGAGTTCTCGTAATGCCTGGATTACGTCTAGGATCAACCGGCCACCAAATGCATTTAGAGACTTGGGACGATTGAACTAATTTCCTCATTTAGCATGGAGGATCTTGAATAGAATAGATAACATACTTTGATGATACCAATCTGGCCTCGTAACTCAAAGATAATGTCGGTAAACGGTGTTTTCCTTGCAATTGCCATGTTGACCATTCTTGTACCCCTGTCTCTAAGTTGTGGATGAGATAAACAAGGTAAAGGGACTTGGCTTAGGGCTTGCTTAGGAGGTTTGGTAGGTAATGTAGGTAAATGGCGGAATTTAAAGCTTCAGGCGGGAACTTTTAGGTTGTGTCCCCGTGTCTTGGGCTCCGAGGCAATTTCCTATGGCGCTGCCAATTAAGGCCGACAGGACTAACCCTAACCCTCGGTGTCTTGGGCTCCGAGGCAAGTCGAAACCTTAGCCCTCCAGGTCTGCGGGGGCCTCTGGCAGACCGCCAATGGCGTGCACGATCACACCGTGTGTCATTCCAACATCAGCTTATATCATTATTGGCAAATTCCATAATTATGTGTGTAGTCGAAATGAAGTAGCTAGTTGATCGACAAAGTCAATCAAGACATAACAAACAGACACATCATATCCTATTGACAACCCCCATAGTAGGTAAAGAAGTTCATGTCAAGCATCTCTTGTTTCAGCTTGTAGAAGTGATAGATTGAGTAAGAGAAACGAGAACCTTAACATATGACGGAACAGAGGTCTCTTGCCAAGCTATGGCATGAGGCGCGTGTCCTCTTGGGGAACCTCTCTCTCCGCCCGCGATGCCAGGAAGGAGGCCCGGCGTGACGACACGATAGAGTCCCTCTCCAGCCAATGGATATCAGCTTCCACTCTTGAGTACTTACCCAACATGGAAGTGCTCGGATCACACGAGAAGGACAAAGTTGGCACAAGATCTGTGTAGTTTGAACAAAGCCAAACCAGAACCACCCAGTATCTAGGTTTTTTATTGCCTTCTCCGCCTGCTGATGAACTCCAACATCCATCAGCTCCTCGGAGATGACCCCATCTCCAAGAACCGCTTCTTGTCTGAGCTCACTTCTAAAGACGAGAATGGATTTTTATGTCCTTGAGTTTCGTCGCTGAGTAAATTGGTATGTTGAATTCAGGGCACCGTCACTTGTCCATTTATTCAATACTGTGGGTCTGTTTCTTTGCTCCTCACTCTGTCCTCATTTTCTTAACCTGTTTCCTTTTTTAAAAAAAAGAAAAATAGAAAAACAAATAGAAAAGAAAAAAGAAAATTCAATGACATCACATGTGCCTGGAAAAACACACAATGTTCAACCAACTTGGAGAGGGTTCAGTCGACATCAGACACTGGCGGACTCCGGTCCAGAATCATTGATTACTTTTTCGCCTCTGCCCTATAAATATCCGAGAGATGTCCATGCTCTTTCAGACCTATATCCACGAGTTCCGCGGCCTTGTGTTACAGCTTGGCCAACTCCAAACAGCCAACATGGCAGAAAAGCAGGATCAAATTCAAGAACAGATACGGGGGAATCTCAGAACGCTCTACTGCGTCCTCACTTGGCCAAAGGTAGTGTCAGCATCCCCACACTGACCCCGCACATGCTCCCAATCTCGTCCCCAAGACATAAACCGGTGAGCAATTGCATATGTTCAAACTCATGAGCAGCACGCGCAAGGTTACACTACTGACTTTGGAGTTCGGGATAGCTTGAATGGACCGGCATTCCATGTACTGACACACTGGTGGCTGTCTTTCCCATACGCTTACGTCGCTCTTTTTTTGCAGCGATATGGACCCTAAACACTGCAGAGACCACATGCTGGCAGCATGGCGAAAACGAAGTATGGTTCGCAAGATGCCGAACGAACACGCTGCTGACAGGCAGGCATAGCAAAACCCGAGAAGGAGTATACGCTCGTTATAGCACTATACCAGTGCTTTAAGAGCCCTTTCCTCTACGCCGTGATACCACGCCTGTGTCTCATCATCTTTCGTTATTCTCAGCCTGTGGTCATCAGACGCTGCATTACGTCTTTGGGAACTTTGAGACTCGATTTAGCCGACGCAGACGCGCATAGCATCATTCCTTACGTCGTGTTAGTGTATTTCGGGGTCGTCGTAAGGCTATTTCCTGCTTGATTTCACGGTATTCATTTCCCGTTGAACTGATCAAGACTGTCTACAATAGCTTGCGGCCTCGGAATATCAACGAAGGCTCAACAACCTGAGACTTGCGACCAAGAACGCCTTGACCGGTATCATTCATGAGAAGATGCTGAACCTACCGTGCTCCAAGACCGGAGAAGGAGAAGCAATCACACTTGTCAGTACTGATGTTGAAAGCGTTGAGAACGTCGCCGAAATGTTTCACGAAACTTGGGCTCAGGTCATCGAAGTGGTCATTGGGATGGGTCTCTTAGCAAGGGAGATTGGATGGCTCTGGCTACTGCTTGTTGGCCTCATAGTCCGTCAGTAACCCCCAGAACTTGATTCAATCTTGAAGGGGGTCGCAGGCGCTGACAAGAAGAGATCGGCTTGCAGTCTGCTCGCAAATGAGCCGATACGTAGCTCGCAACCTAAAACCTCGTCAGAAAGCGTTGAACGAGTCAACGCAGAGCCGGTTGACAGCCACCAGCAGCATGCTCAACTCGATAAAAACGATCAGGATGCTAGGTATCCAACCGCCCGTCGCCCGGCGTATTCAAGAGCTCAGGGAGGAGGAACTTGTTACTGCCTCACGAGTTCGGTGGATCATGGTGTACGCCAATGCCGTGGCCAATGCACTAGGCATCTTCTCACCAGCGGTTCTGCTTGTCCTCTTTGCGACCTGGCAAAGGCTTATCAACGGCACTGACCTGGATGCTGAGACATCATTCACGACTTTGATTTTGCTCGGCAGAGTTACCCATCCCGCTAACGTAGTCATGACGATCATCCCGAGGGCTTTCATAGCACTTGCCAGCTTCGAGAGACTCCAAGCCTACTTGACGAAACCGGAGCTGGAGGATCAAAGAATACAACCCACAGAACGAATGCCGGTAGCTAAAGCGGCACTGCGCGTCGATGGAGTCGCGGCCGGTTATGGAGGTATTCTTGTTCTCAATGAACTTCGGCTAGATTTCCGACCCGGATCCTTCACCATCGTGGCTGGTCCGGTGGGTTGTGGTAAGTCCACGATGCTAAGGGTGCTCCTAGGCGAGCTCGTGCCATCTCAAGGTTTCGTGACTTGCCAAGAGCGGCATATCAGCCATTGTGCTCAGAGGCCGTGGCTGCCTGGTGGTAGACTTCGCGATGTTATCACAGGGTTCAAGTCAGACTTCGACCGGCAGTGGTATCAAAAAGTAATCGAAGCGTGCTGTCTAACACGCGACTTTAAAACCCTCGATCTCCACGATGAAACACAAGTAGGCAGTCGCGGGATGAACTTATCGGGAGGTCAGAAGCAGCGAGTGGTAAGTGATCGATTCTTCGAGGCATTGGCTATGTTAGATTACTAACAAGATCTGGTCCCCTAGGCTTTGGCTCGAGCTGTGTTCGCCAAGAACCGAATCATTCTTCTTGATGACACATTTAGTGCTCTAGACGGGGAGACAGAGCGTCACGTCTTTGCAAATCTACTTGGTTCAAATGGCATTCTTAGACGACAAGGTATTACAATCGTTCTCGTGTCGAGCAGTGGTAAGTCCGCTTTAATGAAACCTTTTTAGAAGCTAAGGGAGCAAGAGCGGATTAACAAGAGTAGCCCAGTATTTTTCATTCGCAGATATGGTTGTTGTTATGGGCCCCGACGGCTTTGTTAAAGAGCAGGGTCATTGGTCGCAGATTCAAAGACAGGTAGCTGCGATCGACAGATTTAGAACGCATAAAGAAACGGGGGAAAACGGCTCAACAGAAGACAGCGAAGCTTTCAAGACAAGGATCAAAGCTGTTAAAGAAGCGGAGGAACAATTGGTTAAGCTACAACATCCTTGGGCCCTCCTAGGTACAGGACCACATATTTCCGTCCATATCACAGAATCTGATCTTAACCCGCGATAGGACACTACCTCGAGTTTGCCGACCTGGGAAGCTCTATCACCCTCTTTGCCTGTACTGCACTCTATTCGCTGTTTATCACGTTACCGCAGCATTGGCTTGAGCTCTGGACCAGCTCATCTGGCGAGCACTTTGCCTTCCACGCTGTTGGTTTGCTCACGATTGCATTGGTTGCTTGGACATCCACGAGTTGTCTCATGTGGTATGTGCACGCGACTTGCAGAATTGCCAAAGCTCGGATTGACATTCTCTGCTCGTAGGGCGACCCTTATTTGGCTGGCTCCCAAAGTCGGGTTAGGTTTGCACGCACACTTATTAGGTGTCATAACCTGGTATTATCCCTTGGATTCGATACATAAGCTCAGCTGATGAGTCTGTTAGCGCACCACTGGCATTCTTCTCGACAACAGGCACAGGTTCAATCATCAACCGGTAAGTCGCAAGCGGATATTTCAAGGCTAGGATAGCAAGGTCTGACCAAATGGTAAAGATTCAGCCAAGATATACAGCTTTATGGCAAGCAGCTCCCAATGGCTTTACAACATCTTTCAGTTCGTAAGGTCACCCCTTCGAAACAGAAAGACCCGGGAATTGCAACTAACATAATGTAGAAATTTTCAAGGCGTTTTTCCACGTCGGCCTCTTAGCTTTAGCCCAGCCTTGGCTTGTTTTGCTATCTCCATTTGCTATAGCTCTTGTCTACCTAGTTCAAAGCTTTTATCTTGAAAGATCTCGTCGGCTAAAACTGGCAGCTCTCGAAGCCAAAGCGGGGTTGTATGCAGCCTTCCTGGAATCGGTAACGTGAAACTTCAGCAGACGACCTGGCAGAACGCAACAGAAGCTGACCTGGAACAGATTGACGGACTGGAGACCATTCGCGCGTTTGGTTGGAGCCCTCATTCTGCCAAATCAAATCAGAGAGCGATCCAGCTAGCTCAAGATCCGGAACGGAAAGTCATGTGTCTGCAGGTCTGGTTCAATTTTGTTCTTGATATGCTGGGCTCTACCATCGGCGTTATTGTGATCATCGCTGCAATGTGCCGGTTCGTGGCCATGACTGGTGGTGAACTTGGTGTGGCGCTCAATACGCTATTTATCACAACGGTCACTCTACAGAGGCTCATCGAGTCCTGGTCTACGCTTGAAAACTCGCTTGGCGCAATCTCGAGGTTGAGGAAACTCGAAGACGAGACGTCCTGGAAGGCCGAAGCAGTGCAGGGTGGTGCCCAAGATGGCCATGGCAATTTTATGGTGAAGGGCCAACTCCATTTGAGAAATGTCACTGCTTCATATCAGTCAGAAAACCTCGCAGGCACATCTCAGTTATTGTAGTTACTTACAGATTACAGAGCAAATACTCTCGCACTTGATGGCATCAATCTCGCGATAGATAGAGGACAGAAGATTGTCATCATTGGCCGGACCGGCAGGTATGTTACACGAAGCTCGCTTTCGTCACTGTATGGGCTACAGGCTCCTGACCAACTTTCTGCCCACGCAGTGGCAAAAGTTCTCTTCTTTTGGCCTTATTGCGGATGCTACCTCTCACCGCGGGTCATATCGAGATCGACGGCGTCGATATTACATCACTGGATTCAGACTTCCTTCGAAGACACTTCTTTGTGGTTATTGCACAGGACCCTTTCCTCTTGCCAGATGAAAGCCTTCGTTTCAACCTCGACGCGGCAGAAGAAGCTCTGGACTCGCAACTTGTCGAGGCCTTGATCAAGGTTGGCCTCTGGTCCGTCTTGCAAGCGAGTGAAGCGCACCTGGCGGAAACACTAAAAGGTGACAAGACGACGCCTGATCTCATCCTGGACAAAAAGCTGTCAAACTTCCCCAGTCTCTCGGCCGGGCAGTCTGAGCTGTTCGCACTCGCAAGGGCTATCGTCAAAGCAGAACGGCTACGCGAGGTCGGATCGTACCCGGTCATATTGTTGGACGAGGCAACATCATCTGTAGACGCGGAGACAGAGGCAGCAGTACATGCGATTGTGGATAGGGAGTTCAGCCATCGTGGGCATACGGTTCTCATCGTCACGCATAGGGTTGGCCCTCTGGCAGAATACATGAGAGCCGGGAGAGATTTGGTTGTGAATATGGCTGATGGAAAAGCCCAGCAGGCTGACATGAATGAAGTAGTTGAGTTGTCCACTTAGGATGTGGTCTCTCTGCCTACCTCGAGTTGGTGAGCCGCGGTTCAGATAGGAGATAGGAGCCACACGTGACCTTCTCCCGGCGCGAAAAATTATCGCGATACTATCGCACCAAAATCCCGCGTACCATGAGTCACTTGAAAGACATTTCAGCAATCCGTCTCGCTTATAACCGAGGAAGCAATAGAAGGGGCTGGCGCTCCCCGACAAAAGTTGCCTGGTGATGAGCTGGAACCCGTTTCGCGCATCGCGGCCAGACGTAGGATGGATCTCGGTTGGCCTTGCCTCGTCGTTCCCCGACCTCGACGATGACATGCTCAGTCTTGCCGAGCCCCGGCCTTGCAGCGATGCGGAAACCAGGCCGGGCTGCAGAGTCTTCAAGGTGCCACAAGATGATACCTCACGCAACTCCGAGGTAGTACTCGTGGACGAAGACCCGGAGTTGATGGACTTGAAGGAACAGGTCGTGGTCTTTCGATACAAGGGCAAGTTCTATGCCGTTGATCATGTACGTTCATCCAAGAGTCTCCCTCCTCCTTCTTAGAAGATTGCCTAATGGTGTCCTGGTTAGCAATGCCCGCATGCATCATTCCCTCTGTCGAGAGGCACCCCCTTCGACATTGAGGATTTCGGAATGGTACTCAGCGCTGGCGTGACGTGCCCAAAGCACGGCTGGTCATTCGACTTGATCACCGGCATGGCCGACCACGCGAGGTACAAGCTGAAGACGTGGGAAGTCCAGCTACGCGACGTCAAGGACGCGCTGCCCGCAGGCGATGCCGCTGATCCGAAAGTGCCCCAGGAGGTATGGGTTCGAAGGAAACCCAAGATGGGCTAGGAGAGACAGACCACTTTGGTGGTTTGAAGCCTTGTAAAGTTGACGACATACGACGACAGTAATGGCAAGTGAAGAACGACTCGGCTTCGGGATGTTCGTCTTCCTTGTCCAGGAGGCACCGGGAGGGCAAAGACTGGCGGCCCAGTTGAATCTCTCAAAGAAGGGAAATCAATTCTTTTATGGGATGAGAATATCGCCTGATTGTGTGACTACTTGTAGTCAAGCACCCATAGTCATCCTGTGTGACATACAGCGATGAGTGAAATCTCAACCGAGTGTTTCTGGCCAATACCATGGTGTTTCAAACACCGCATTGGTGCCCAATGCGGGGTCGGGCTGAGCTCTCAGCAATACGTGCCAAACATAATAATAAATTTGAACTACTTCCTTGTCAACTTTGTGATGTCCTCTCTAACATCGAATGCGCCCAGAAAGAGCTATTCAACTAGGATTTTGCATCGACCTCATTTAGCGTCAACAAATGATCTGCCTTACTTGCCGCAAAGTCTTGAGCACCCCTTGCACGCCCTTCCATAAAGATGCCCCGCAGATTTTCAGCCATCATCACCATCGTTCTTGGGGTAGTCTCAAAACCTCAATAGAGATAGGGTGTTACGCCTGCAACGAGTTTTGAAAAGTCGTGACTGACAGTGGGTGCCGATTTGGGGACCAGACTAGAGCGCAAGATTACCTGAACGAATCAAGTTCAGAGGACGCTAATACTCACTCTGAAGACTTCATCACTGAGATTATTCTATGGGATGATTCTTACGATGACCAAGGATGCTTGAGTATGTCGGTCAGACTTAAGTACACTCCAGATGACACCCGATGCCAGTTTGTGCTAGATCCACATGAAGGTACGTAACGAGATCTTCGCCCACCTTCGTCGGTCCTCAAAACTTTTACTGAATCATGGAACATCAAATAGATTCTTCTCAACTAGTATCCAACCCCATGCTATCATCAAGCACACGGTCTGAGGAAAGTCTGCCGCTTGCTAAGCGGTGGGTGGCTGATTGCTTGGCAATGCATGAGCACTGTGGTGGTGCCGCGAGAGAGACGCCCTGGTACCCAAGTCGACTACTGCACTGGGAGAACTTGGATGACTTGAGGTCTTTGTGCCGCATCGTTGAAACACAGGATCTTCATGTGCCATACATGACGCTCAGCCACTGCTGAGGCAACATCGAATGTTTGAGCCTCGACACGGACAACTATGCCCTGTTACTCCAGGGCATTCCGATAGGCGACCTGCCGATCCTATATCGCGACGCGATTCATGTTGCGCAACAGCTGGATATTACATATCTATGGATCGACTCACTCTGTATCATTCAGAGAGGAGACAATCTGGAAGACTGGCGCCGTGAGTCAAGTCTAATGGATAAAGTCTACTCTAATGCCTTTTGTAACATTTCTTCCTGTCATGCACCCAACTCTCACTGTTCTCTTTTCTCAGACCGCAATCCAACAATCCTTTCCCATGATACTTCTGATATTGAGGTTGGGACCCTTGGTCTCTATAGTATCTATCACCACGATCTTTGGAGAAAGGAGGTCCTTGAAGCCTTAGTCAATACTAGAGGGTGGGTCATGCAGGAACGCCTGCTATCCCCACGGATCCTGTATTTCGGTGAACGCCAGATTTTCTGGGAATGTCGGCATAGAACCTGTGCCGAAAGCTATCCAAGAGGTCTGCCGCGAGGAATGGTCGTGTCAGTCCCTTTGTTGAACAAGCATTTTACCCTTTTCAGAAATGCAGATGGCGTTGGAACAAGGTGGCCACGGGATTCCTACGACACATGGGCAATAATTGTGGAATCTTATGCCGCCTGCAACCTGACATTCTCCCAGGACAAACTCATCGCTATTTCTGCGGTGGCCAAAGTAATGCAATGATTTCTCGACGACCAGTATATCGCTGGTATGTGGTGAAGGTCCTTGGAGCACGAACTCCTCTGGGTAGTGAAGTTGTCCAAGACCAGGACATCGACGGACGCGCCTCGACCCTATCGTGCACCTAGCTGGTCGTGGGCCGCTGTGGATGATCCGGCCATTTCTTCGCCAATATGCCCTGATGCAGAGTTTCTGTTTGAAGTGGAGAGTTTCCAACTTGATTACACGACGAGCGATGAGTTCGGACTTATCGAGGGTGGATGGCTACGACTATGGGGGGTCTTGAAGCACCTCAGACTCTTGCGTCTGAACCGTTCTTCCAACTGGACGCCATGGGCTATGGTAGTCAATGGCGTAAATATCTCTATGGCAACCGACTACGGGTCATATTTCCAACCGCAGGTTATGCTCGATCGTTTGCAAGCCGATTTCAGAGAACAGAATAATGAGGCCCTCTTGTTCTGTGTTCCCGTTAGGTGGCTGCATGACGACGATGGGTCCATTCACATGCTTCTTGTTGGAGTTAATCGATCACAAGACGCCAACTTATCGCTGAATCGGACTTGCTCGGGGATGGGGAGATGAGATGAGGGCTAGAATTGTGGCAAGTGATGTGGATGGCCGCGATATGCCTTGTGATGAGTTTCGGGACGGCCGACATTTGGTACGTATTGTGTGAATTACGCGCACATAATCAAAACATCCACTCTCTACTTGATGATGGCTAGACTGCACCATGTTAGACAGAGGATAAGACTACTGACGTGCCAATATAACAAACTTGTATCTCGTTTTAGAGGGTGCCAACGAATCAAAATGGAGACAAATAGGACCCCAAGCTCTTCGGTGCAATGAAGTGCCGACAGAGAGCCGTGGAGGAACGAGTGTGGGGTTACAGGCACCGTCCCCATGTTGTGCGTGTACTAAGAGGCGAAAAGACTGGATCCGCGTCGCCGCCATCGGCAAACTCGCGAGCAGTCCCCACGGGCGGTGATCGGAAGCCAGGTCGAAACCCCGCCGAGGCGATGCGAAGCGACCAGACGTCTCCGGCATCGCCACTTTGCCCGGATTTATTCTGCGACTCGCACTCTCCGGCGCAGCCTCATCCCCCCTCAATTACATTTGTACATCCCGGCAAAGATCCTTGAGACACCTTGACCAAGCGCAACAGTACTCGCGTTGAGATACATCACATACGTCACGCAGTTTACACCCCACCATGCCGTTCAAGACGCCGGTCCGCACAGCTCTGCAAGAGCACCCTACTTCGTGGGGTTTCTGGCTCACGTATGTGACTGTGACCCCTGGCTGATCTATATGCGTCTCCCTCTTTCTGACACTTGAGACGTGTAGCGTCGCCAATTCGACAGTTGCCCGAACCCTGCTTGCCTCGAGCAAGACTGCCCCTGATGGCGGCTTCTCCTGGGTCCTGGTCGACGCCGAGCACGGCCTGATCGCGGATAACCACTACTACGACGTATGAACACAAACCCTGGACCACAGCCCAGACCGAGCGATGAGGGCTGACATATGCGAAAACACAGCTCAACCAGGCAGTATCCTCGATGAACGCGAGCCCCATTATCCGGATACCGTGGGGAGAGGAATGGATGATCAAGCGGGCGCTGGACTCGGGCGCGCACGGAATTCTTGTCCCCATGTGCCACACTCCTGTATGTGGATCTCTTTGCGCAATATGAAGACCTTGCGGTAACTCTTTGCATATAGGAAGACGCAGCCAAGATTGTCAAGTACTGCAAGTACCCGCCCACCGGGACCCGAGGCTACGGACCTCTGTACTCGACCCACGCCTTCTCGGAGCTGTCTGCGGCCGAGTACGACGCAGGAGCCGACAAGGAGCTGGTCATCGGGGTGCAGATCGAGTCTCAGTCGGGCGTGGACAACGTCGAGGCCATCGCAAAGGTCGACGGTCTGGACATGCTGCTGATCGGTATGTTCTGAGTCTGGACAGAGCTTTCTGGTTTGCTTCTTGACTGACGCTTGCCATTGTAGGTCCCTTCGACCTGGCGCTGCAGATGGGTGTCACTCGTTTTGGTCCCGACCACGAGGCTGCCATCGAGCGAATCCGCAAGGCAGCCAAGGATGCTGGCAAGATTGCTGCTATTTTCTGTGAGTGATTTGTGCTCTTTGGTGGCGACTATGTGTAAGCTAATCTCGCGTCTTGTAGGCACGACCGGCGAGCAGGCAAAGATGCGCGCGGATCAGGGCTTCGACATGGTCTCCGTCATCACCGACGTCGGTCTGCTGGGAGAGGCCATGGCTCGCGAGCTCAACAACGCCAAGGGCAAGGGTGCGTCCGGTGAGAAGAGAGCAGGGTACTAGGCAAAGGGTATAGAGTCTTCGCCTAGCTCTGCTAGATAAAAGCACAATGAACAGAAGTGTTGATCAAGCTTCCTTTCGAATGCCGAGTGGAGAGCTGATCCCAGATATCCGGGAGCTCCAGAATCAGCTGAGACATCAAGGTGCACATGTTGCGGACCCGAGCGCAATTGTCAAGACAGCTAGCCATATCAGTCCAAGAGACCCCCTGTTGGTTGTGTCGCAGTGGGCAGACACACGCACAGGCTCCCCAACTGTGATAATGTTCCAAGAACATCTTCTCTTCAAACCAGTCCCATCGAAAACCTCTGCAATCTTCCCTCAATGGCGCCATTCACCCGAGAAGCTAGATCCAGCAGTTGAGCCAGTACCGCTGACGTATTAGCATCTGCAACCGCTGATAGGGCGTCTGGGCGACGAGTGTGGGGGGTTCGAATCCACCGGGCGGATCGCCCTCCTCTCGTCTCGCGACTAAACTCGTTGAGGTGGGGTGCGATCTGTTGGGTCAGAATGCTGTGACGAAGACGCGCAGTGAATGCACGTTGGAGGGGCATTTACCCGAGGCGTTTCTCGGTCTGCCTCGCCAGTGATGTCTTGTCCTCATCTGCTGACTCCCTCCACGCGTGACTTTGCCATGTCGTTGCGCAGAGTCTCTCCTCATCATCAACAGGAGCAGAAACCATGAGCAAAAGCACGACGACCTTTCTTCGAAAGCCGCTGTCCAGCGTCCTGCTGGCGGAGGCCAGGCGCCCTCGACGCACTTTCGCCCCAATCTCCAAGCATGCGCGCAGCTTAGCGACGCAGGTCGACACTCCTCGAAGCACCCCGTCTGGCATTTCTCCTCCTCCGCCGCCTCCGGTCGAGACTACACCCGAGACCCTTGAACAACAAGAACGGGAGAGAAAGGCACGCAAGATCTTCCAAGATGCCGTCGCCGCCACAGCGCCGCGGAACAACTGGACCAAGGAGGAGATCTCAGCCATCTACTACCAGCCGCTGATGGAGCTGGCCTACCAAGCCGTGAGTCACCCGCGATCCCACGGAATCCGAGCGGGGGGCCTATTTCTAACATCTGTCTGCTCCAGGGCACCCTGCACCGCCGCTTCCACGCGCCCGGCGAGGTCCAGCTCTGCACCCTCATGAACATCAAGACGGGCGGCTGCACCGAGGACTGCTCCTACTGCGCCCAGTCGACGCGCTACCAGGCCGGCACGGGCGTCGCCGCCCAGCGCGTGGCGACGGTCGACTCGGTGCTCGAGGCCGCGCGCCAGGCCCGCGACAACGGCAGCACGCGCTTCTGCATGGGCGCCGCCTGGCGCGACATGCGGGGGCGCAAGAACAGCCTGCGCAACGTCGCCGCCATGGTGCGCGGCGTGCGCGCCCTCGGCATGGAGGCCTGCGTCACGCTCGGCATGATCGACGGCGCGCAGGCCGCGGAGCTCAAGGAGGCCGGCCTCACGGCGTACAACCACAACGTCGACACGAGCCGCGAGTTCTACCCCTCTGTCATCTCGACCCGGACGTATGACGAGCGCCTGCGCACGCTGGGCCATGTGAGGGACGCCGGGATCAATGTGTGCTCGGGAGGCATATTGGGATTGGGGGAGTCGTCTACGGACAGGGTCGGGCTGTTGCACACCGTCTCGACGCTGCCGTCGCACCCGGAGAGCTTTCCCGTGAACGCGCTCGTGCCCATCAAGGGGACGCCGCTGGGCGATAGGGAACCCGTGGCGTTTACGAGCATGCTGCGCACCATCGCGACGGCCCGCATCATCATGCCGGCCACGATCATCCGCATCGCGGCGGGGCGCAAGACCATGTCCGAGGAGAAGCAGGCGCTGTGCTTCATGGCGGGCGCCAACGCCATCTTCACTGGGGAGAAGATGCTGACGACCGAGTGCAACGGGTGGGACGAGGACAACGCCATGTTTGGCCGCTGGGGCCTGTCGGCTATGAAGAGCTTCGAGAAGAAGTCGCCAGAGGAAGCGTAGAGACAGTAAAATTAAGCAAACCTGACTGATAAAGAATGACGAGACAGTCCTATTTGAGGAAAGAGAGACTAGTCGCCCAGCATCCTCACGACAGAAGCTCCTTCAGCCGGCGCCGCAGAGCAGCCTCGCCTTCATCCCATCCTGGCTCCAGCTTGGTCCCGAAATCAGCACCGTACCTATTGTTCTCATCGAACATGGAAACCGTCCCCAGCATTGCGTAAGCTCGAGTATGAAGCCTGTCTTGTACACCATCCCGTGTATCCTGCTCCCAGAGCTTACGGGCTTCATCAGCAAATCCGCTGAGGGGTACGTCCACGACCTTCCATTCCTGCCCCCCCAACTCCTCCTTGATGATACCGATGAGCTCGTTCGTCGACACGGTATGACTGGCAAAGTACGCAGGCCTGTTGTGGAAAAGATGCGGCTGCTTGAGTACGGCAACGACTGCGTCGCCAGTCATTGCAAGTCGGCTCATGCAATACTTTTGGTTGCCCGATCCGAAGCGAGTGATTGTCTTGGTCCTTTTGTCCACCCAGAATATCCCCTGCTCGATCGCCCAATCGAACCACACCCCGATGTTGACAGCGGTCCAAGAGAGTGTAGCTTTAGTCCTGGCAAGGACGTCATCGAGTTGTCTCTGCGCCTCCAGTTTGGGTTCGTAGAGAAGCACCTCGTCAAGGTACGGATTGAAAGAGTCGGCTCCGAATTCCGGCGTGATGAGATGGGAGACACCCGCTGCAACGGCTGCCTCCACGATGGCACGCTGGTGGCCAGCCGCGGCTGGGTTGAAGGCTTCGACTACTGCATGCTGGTCTTGAAAGGCGGAAGTCAGGGCAGCGGTGTCGCTGTAACTCGACGTCTTCACTGTTACATCGGGCGATGTATTGGCCTTGCTTTCCGGGCGGACGACAGCGGTGACCACAAAGCCAGCTTTGAGGAGCGCTGCAACGACGACTTGGCCGAGATTACCGGAAGCCTATCAAACTGGAAGTCAGTCTATATCGTTACGGTGCAATTTCTCCTGTCCTTTTCCTCTTGTTTCCCGCCTCTTCGTTGTCGACATGAACCAGGTAGGTGGGCGAGCTTCGACTTACACCAAGTACAGCAACGTTCTTGATTTCAACCATTTTGAAACTTTGCGACAGAGGCACAAGGATGTAAACGAGTCTGAATGACTTGACACCCTTCTCTCATTCTGGGCAAGCCATCACAGATATTTATGTTCCGCCCTGCTCTGCTACCTTCGTCGCCCGGCATGACAGTGATTACCAAACACAGATCAATGTGGATCGCCAGCTCTCTAGCGTCGGCCGCTCCCCTGTCAAACTCCATCTATTGATTGGCCACACTGTCTTACGTCCTTGACCTCCAACGATATCTTCTTGCATTGTCAAGAGAGGAGGCCGAATTTTTCCTTTAGTTTTGCACGAAATGGGCATCGAAACATCATTTTCATGATAGTTTCCCCTTTCTGCTAGCACATTATTCATCAACACGATGGTGAACTCATCCGAGACATCCGGAAGAGCGGCACATGCATGTGCGTATTGCCGCTTGCGAAAACAAGGTTGTGACCGAGCTCTGCCCAAGTGCACCCGCTGTTCATCGTAAGCATTCGCAGCTCCAAGGGCTTCTCATGGATCGATAAGCAAGAGTTGACGCACTGCAGAAAGTGGAGACACTGTGATTATACTGCACCTGATCTTCTCCCTCCTCGGGTCAGCATCGGCCAATGGACCGAGTACGTAGAGCGTGGGCCCTGTGGCTGGGAGCTGTCTTCTCAGGGGCAGACCGCTCTTCTACATGCGGCATCTGCGGTAACAGGAGACATTCCAGGATCGCAGCTGAGATTCACGCAGTTGGTCTCGGAGATACTGGGCCTGTTCAACCTCACCGGAAGGTCTCTCATCCAGGAATATGGATACGCTATCCACCCCTGGCTTCCTCTGTTTGATCCCAAGATCAAAGCGACTACATACGTCGACGTCCGAGGGAGCGAGGATCCATGTGACATGGTTCTTCTTTTGGCTATCTACCTGGCGACTAGCCGACCATGCGGCCGCGTCGACCATCTCAGCCGGAACACGCTCTATATCACAATGAAGCAGTTGCTTGCTACTCTGCAGATACACCCAGAGATGGAGGTTCATAATTGCCTGCTCCAAAATACGATGCTGGTAGCTCTTTACGAATGTGGCCACGGCTTATCTCACGCCGCATTCTCAACATTGAGCTCGGTAGTGGCCGCAGAAAGCCTTCACGATCACATTTTGAAGCGGAGAGGATGCATATCTCAAGAGGAATCATCTCTCCACTTACGGGCCTCGATTCTTATTTTAGACAGGTAAGACCTACCGCCCAACATTATGATTCATGGGCTCAGATCTTAGGATGATTGCACTCTCCACCATCACTTTCGAAGCGCCCCTTGTTTGCCGACCTGGAAGCTCTATTGAGAAAACGGTTCTGTCGCACCCACGCTCGGTATATTCGGCGGCAATAACTCCGGATGGCCGAAAGTTTGCCTCCATTTGTCAGACTGTCATCGTAGCTGGTCGAGTTCTGGACTATATCCACAGCCTCAAGACTCGCTGTGCACCTGCAGAAGATTATCTCTCTGTCGATCGTGATATGAGAGCGCTTGCGACAGAATTCATTGCACAAGATGATAGTCACAAATTCACCTTTTGTGATTCCATTGCCATGGCACTGAGGTAAGTGACAGTCTCGATAAACCTCGATCAACTCATAGATTGATTCCAGGCCCAGCTGCTCTCTCGCCCTTCATCAAGCCCAGGCTGAGCATGTCGATGCTGCGCCAGGCTCGAGAGAAGACATGGTGCTCCAGTCGTCCCGTCGCATGCTTTGGGATATCTGCACCTTGGGCGTGGAGGCGGTCAATGACGACAAAATATCGCTCTACCCGTTTGTTGGGGTGTGCTGCGTATTCCGAGCTGTTGTGATGCTTCTCGATACTTCGCCTCCGGTGAGTCGGGCCACGGATAAAGAGACAGTCGAGACGATCTTGCCAACTCTGAGGGTCTTCAGCAGGCGATGGGCAGTAGGAGGTCAGTATTCCCTCGGGGAAATATTGAAAGCATGCCATCTGACATTGTGATCAGCTCACTACCTTGCCCATGTTGAATCTTGGCTCGGTCAAGATGGAATGCTTGACACACAAAGAACCGATTTTTGAATGACCAAGCGCTGAAACTTCACCCACATATGTCTCCTTATCATGTTTACGTCGATGCTATGCTAGGTTATGTTTAGAATGATAAGAAACCCTTTGCCTCCGTCTTTTCCCCTTTCCTGTCCCTCTCTCTCGCTCTTCACTTCCTTTCCTTTTGTGGTGTTTTCTTTTCGAATGAAGCGAATCAGAACATTGATGCTGTGCCGTTAGCCACTGAGGGGCTCAAGGCAGCTCACATGGCTGAAAAAATCGGAAAAATGCCGCAAAGTGCAGATCCTGAGTCGCCTTTTCATCCAGGGTCGAACCTCATCAAGTAACATTTTCCACGGAACACGAATTACCCTGTTGCCTTGATGGAACCCATTAGTGCTGGTGCGAGCGTGCTCACGTTCGTTGGACTAGGTATCAAAACAATCAAGTTTCTGCTGGATGTTCTTGGCCCACTCAAAGACGGGCCACAAAGCCTGGAGTGCACAGTCCGCGCCATCCAAAACCTCCTATCGGTTATCCAGAACCTACAAACACTGAGGATCGAAGATAGAGAATTCAACGACCGACTATCGTTATGTGTTGCCGATATGCAGGCCTTTGCGGCAAAGTTGGAGGCACTGAGAATCGAAGACGGAGAGAGCGGTTCGGGTAGATACTGGAAGAAGATCAAAGTTGTGCTCTCCAAACAGGATATGGAGAAAATGCAGTCAGTTGCAGTCAGTCACACAATCGCATTGAATACTTCCATGATCAAACATCAAAGGTAAGGGACAATACCCATGAAGGGATACCAATACTGAAAACCCCACTGAGACTTTTAAATAGCCAAATGCTTCAAGGCATGTCCGATGGGCTCAATGCCATAAGGATGATGATAGACGAAGAGACAAGATTTCACGTAACACACGACCACCAGTTACGACGACAGGAAACATTACTACGCCAGATACTTGTCAAGTTGGAGAACTTTGAAACTGTCATATGCTCCATCAGCGCTATATTCGTCAGGTTGTGGGCAACTCCGCTACAGCTAGCCACAGGCTTCTTCACAGTCCACCTGGGATTCGTGCGATGTTTCAGGATCGAAAAGATGGGGAGGCTACGGGAGACTTTGATTATAGCTGCGATGGAATTCCGCGTGCGCTTGTTCGTATTCTGCTGCTACAGGAGGCTCTATATTTCGCTGCTAATTCAAGAGCCGATCGCCATCCTCCCCGTCTCCATTCTAATCGCACCGGCATACACACCGATGATCTTTGGCGTTGTGGCCGTCAACTGCCGTAATCTTGTGAAGTTACATTGGGAAAGGCAGAGACAGTTGGAAGACATGCATAATCACATACTAAATTATTATAAGAGCGATCTAAACTCCGGCGGGTTTGAAACCCTCGAAGCGTCAGCGTGGCGACGATGGCTGGCAACATAGCAATTACTTAGACAACGCTATTATTTTCTCAAGCTGATCCAACGCTTGGGTCACCAAATCTACACGATCGAATGTCCGCCTTTACCACACCCTCGTGGCCCCATCCGCCTTCATCTTATCCACCCACATGGCATACGAGTCAAACAGGCCCGACTCCTGGAAGTACGTGTTGTAGTGCATCAGCATCTCCTCCATCTTGGCGGGCTCCTTCTCCGACAGGTCGTGCACCTCACCGGGGTCCTTGGCGACGTTGTACAGCTCCCACTTGCCCTCGCCGCGCGGCGGCGGCAGGAACAGCGCCTTCCAGTCTCCCACGCGCACGGCCGCGATGCCCAGCTGCTCCCAGCCCACGATGTCCTTCTCCGAGTCGTAGATCTGGACCGAGGCGTCGGTGGGGTTCTCCAGCAGGGCGCGCCAGGACTTGCCGCGCACGGGGGCGACCTGGCGGCCGCGGAAGGTGCTGCCGGGGTGCTTGACGCCGGCGAGGTCGAGCATGGTGGGCAGGATGTCCATGACGGTGGTGAAGGTCGGGGTGATGCTCCCCCGCGCGGCCTCGGGGATGCCGGGCGGGTAGCGGATGATGCAGGGGCAGTGGATGCCGCCCTCGGTGGTGTACGACTTGAGCCCCCGGCTGGGCGCCGTGGCGGCCGAGGCCCACTGGGGCCCGTACCAGACGAACGAGTCGTAGTTGCCCATGTTCTCGATCGAGTTGTTGTAGTACTTGTCGATCATCTGGGCCATGCTCAGCCCGGGCAGGATGGGCGCCGCCTCGAGCAGCTGGCCCTCGGCGCCGTTGTCGGACATGAAGACGACAAAGGTGTTGTCCCACTCGCCCGTCCGCTCGAGGTGCTCGCGCACGCGGCCGATGTTGACGTCGATGAGGTCGACCATGGCGGCGAAGACCTCCATGGCGCGCGACGACTCCCTCTGCTTGTCCTCGGGCAGGTCGGCCCAGGGCGTCGTGCCGAGCATGTGCATGGGCGCCGGCTCGACGTCGGCGGGCACGATGCCCTTCTCGACGAGGCTCTTGAGGCGGCGGTCGCGCAGGGCGTTGGGCCCGTCGTTGTACTTGCCGCGGTACTTGTTGACCGTCTCGGCCGGCGCCTGCAGGGGCCAGTGCGGGGCGGTGAAGGGGAGGTAGGCGAAGAAGGGCTGCTCGCGCTGCGAGTCGGTCCGCTCGTCCAGGTACTTGAGCAGGTTGTCCGTGAAGGTGCGGGTGGAGTAGAAGTCCTCGGGGATGTCACCGCCGGGAGCACCGTCGAGCCACCTGCCGTCCTCGACCCAGAGGCCGTTGCCCATGAAGTTGGGGCGAGGCGGCTCCTTCTCGTCGTAGAGCTGGGGCTCGTGGTGGTAGTGGTTCCCGGCACCGGGCAGGTAGCCGAAGACGCGGGAGAAGCCACGCGCGTGGGGCGCGGTGTCCAGGGTGAGACCCAGATGCCTGTCATTAGGTCAGTCAGGAGCCAATGATGGGGCCGGTCGATGGCACACTCACCACTTCCCACTCATGACGGTGTGGTAGCCGTTGTCTTGAAGAATCTCGGGCAGAGCAGCGACCCGGTAGTTCAGGTAGCCCTCGTAGCCGGGCTTGTCTTGGAAGATCTCGGGAAACCGGCCCATGCGCTCGGCCATGGCACCGAGGCCGGCGATGTGGGCATCGGTGCCGGAGAGCAGCATGGACCGCGTGGGCGAGCACGAGGCAGCGGTATGGAAGCCCGTCATCCGGACACCCTCCTCTGCCAGCTTCTGCAGGTTGGGTGTGTCGATCTCGCCGCCATAGGGCGAGGTGTCGCTGAAGCCCAGGTCATCGGCGACGATGATGAGGAAGTTGGGGCGCTTTGCTTGCGTCATGGTGACGATGTATGCGCCTAAGTATGGAGAGGTGTACCAAGCAATCCGGACCAGATCTCACGAGCCAAGAGGGCCAGCACAAAGCGTGATATCCTTTATATAGCCTCTCGATTCGCGATACGGGACGTACATAACACCTTTGAGTCTTGCGGTTGAGAATGTGGGGTTCTCGGGGAGTTGGAGGTGCTCAAAGGCTGGGAGTCGTTGACGTTGTGGGCACTGGAACGGAGAGCCCCACAGCGACACCCGTCGACGGCTAGGCCAAACTTAGTGCTCTCGGGGGATACACAAGGGCCTCCATTCGAGACAACATTGTGCTCGGGGACCTGAGCTTCGGAGAGGCTACTCGGGCACGGACAAGGAATAGAGTATATTGGTATGTGTGCAGGATGCAACCAATGCCTTTCAGGATGTACAAGTGAGGGCTGGCTGGTACGAATTGCCTACAAGTAACACGCCTGTAGAATTGGTGACCCTCCAGTCCCCAAAAAGGAGCGTGAAACACAGGGCTCTGCATCTATCTTTGTTGCCGGTACACTTTTCCTCCCACGTTGATCGAGACCATTCAAAGCAAGCAGATCGAACTGTTCTAGAAACATTGCCTTCGTATGTGCATGTGATCTTCGGGGAGAGTGCTGGAGTCCCCCATTCTCCTTCACGGAGGTCCGGCAGTCGGCAGTGGGACCCAGATCAGGGCTAGTGCTGTACTTAGGTAAGCTGTCCTCCCAGATTCCCCTTCTATTTGCATCGCAAGAGACCAACAGTGCCATCCTCTACTTTCCAATACCTTCTCATCAGGTCATGCTTCTATCATGGCAGTCGAAGGATAGATTGTCCAACCCCATCTCCCACTCCTCCAATCAAAGGATCTGGCTCGTAACGATGCAGTGGATTGTAGATAGGGTAGGATAGTTGAAGAAAAACTAGATGCGGTTGCAACTCAGAACTAAATCATGCGATACACGACCAGTTCGCTTTCTTAACTCTTGTTGGAACCAGGCTGGCCGACATGGTGAACCGATGGCATCACTAAGCCTCGCGTTGAACTCTCTGCAATTCGTCAACCTCCTATTCACGGCTGTCAAGAAGTCAAAGAAACATTACGGGTTCACAACCTCGCTTTTGCAAGCTGTGATATCGGGCATTTGCTGAAATATCAAGAGAGCTCTAGCATTCTAGCAGCTTCTACTCGTTCTGAAAGTCACAGGGAGGGTGGACATATTGAGGTGTCGTTATAGGTAGCACTTCCTTGCAATCACAGCACTATTCACAAGCACCAAGGCTTCATTATTCGCCGGTCTAATGTTCCCTGAAAAATGGCGAAAACGGTTGCTTCTTGGAGAAAGATTGGTGTAGGTCCATGTTGATATGGGCCGCAGCCTTTGCTTCTAAGTCCAGGACCGCAGCATTCTGATGCTTCAGTTCAGGAGCGAATAAAAAATATCTACTAGTGATGCGACTAAACAAAGTCATAGAGGCCACCGCTGAAGCTCTGTTTTAACGCGTGGACACAGCTCGTGGCCTACGAGACCGTTCAACAGCGAGAGGCTGTCGAGCGGCTTCTCCAGGGCTGTGACCAAGCAACAATGATACGCAAGACTGTCAACTAGTTGTTGAATTGTGGATCGACTTCTCCATCTGCTATGAGCGAGGTTCTGTCTCCACTCTAATCTTGCGAAGGTCTTGCTTGCGCTGTAACCAAATGGCCTTGCGGAGTCTATACAACAATGCTTCAAGTCTCAGGTCCAGCTCTATGAGATTCAATTCAACGTACACTATCATCTCTCTAGATACAATTGAAAAGGAGCAATATCACAATACCCATGGTGCAACAACAGTCTGGTGAGCTTCAGTGATAACTGCTGAAATACGAGGTCTCCCTACTGCAGAGCCAGTACCAGTATACCGTTCTGCCAGTAAGGACACAATTATCACCATTGAACTTGTTGCATTTTATTTATTTATTTTAATTCCTCCGCCGCTGTCAGCACTAGGTTGGGAGGGAAGTATCCTTGTACCACCGAGGCGGTGCTGGCGGTCGACGTCACAGCCAGAACGAGTACGACCTTGTGAACCAGCCCCCACCATCTCACAGGTCGCCCTCCAGGGCTAAGTTTAGGAGCTGAACATGGTCTGCGACAGCATCTGCCAAGGACATAAATATCCGTGCCCCTCAACCACTCCTTCAGCTTCCCTCCTGCATTTCCATGGAGACCTAGGGCCATTTGCATCAGCGGAACACTTGGAACCAATCCTTGCTTGGCGTATCATGGCAGCCGTCTTTGATACCCTCCCCGACGAGATTCTGCTCGAGATCCTGACTCATTTTGCTCTCCGGCCAAAGAGCGACGTATTCTTCCCCGAATGCTACCTCAAGGGGCTCCCGCGTAGCTCTACGGAGAAGGCCGAATTCCAGGAAGCCCGTTCAAAGCATGCACCGATAGATATCCATTATTTACACAGCGCCACAACGAAGCAATGTCGTCGAGACCCCTCCGGTCGGCCAGATGTCCACTGCGCCGAATGGCTCGTCCTCAACACCACCTGCCGCCGTATTCGCCGCCTCGGAAAAGGCGTCTTCTTCCAGACGAGGTGCCTTGCTATGTCTTCAACTCTGCCCCAAAGACTGCAGCAGCGCAGCTTCATGCCGCCGCTATCTGCGCCGGACCAAGAGCTCGCACTCGCACGCATCGAAGATGTTGTATTTATCGACGGGAACGCCCATTCTCCGTCAGGCCTACTGTCTCTGCCGCGACGTCTAGCGCTTTTTCCGAGATTGCGCAGCTGCCTGGTGGTATATGGCTACCGTGAAAGCGAGACTCTCGGCGAGTTGAAACGATATGTCGCGTTTGCCTTTGACGGAGAACTCGATGGACGGCGGAACCTTGGGATCCCTCCCAGTCTGCGGAAATTACTATGCGACATTGGTGTGCCAGAGGATATCCACGTCGACTTTGCCTTCCCTCCGGGCCTTGATTCCCAGGCGTACAGGAATGAAATAATACGAATTTCATTCCCCATGCTAGATCAGAAGGCGCAAGCATTGGGGGCACGACCAAAGGCCACAGTGTCTGGCCGGCGGTAGTTGTAGACCACCGGTGGTGTATTACTTAGATCATCTGTCATAGCTAGCCAAGTGGAAGTTTTGAGTAATGAGCAAAAGATACATCCGTGGTAACCTTGCATAGACACTGAAGCTCATATGCGTGTGGCTTATACAATTGCGTAAGATCGATGGAATTTATATGTGCTATCCCACTACCTGGCATCGATGACTAGACAAGTGTTTATTCGCAGTCCGTTTGCTATCCTGATCGCCGCTTGCTTATCTCGCCTTGAAACCCCAAGTAGAACAACAGTGGCCGGTCTCAACTGCTACTAGAGCAAGACTGCACTAACATGATGAGCCAAGATATCTCCCGTCATGTCCTTCACATCAAAATACAGGGAAAGAAAAAAAAGAATACAAAAGAGAGACAGGCATGCACCACAGCCACAGCGTCATAACCATTCCCACACCCTCCTAATCAGGCTCTAACAAAGACCAACAAAGCGAATGCCATGCACGAGGTCAACATTGTCGCTCACGTCGCTCACAGCGTAGTTCAAGATCTGCCACCCAGCAGGGCAGGTGTACGGATCGTGTCTCTGCTGCAGGCGGGTATCGCGCTTGGCCGTTCCACCGCCCCTAATCAGGTCCAGGGAGATGAAATCGTTGGGGCGCTGACTGATCGCCACGGCGACTGGGTTGTGCTGCAGGTTCATCGAGGGGAAAGGGCCCGTCAGGGTGGCCCAGTCGTTGATCAGCCTGGCGACATTGTTGATGACGTTGTTATCAGTCGTGTCCAGCTGCATGCCCCAACCGACAAACGCAGTCTGGCCGCCCTTGGAGTACATGCCGCCCTTAACGGCTGCGTTGGCTATTGCAGTTGCTGTTAGTAAATTACAAGTTTACCGGACTGGATATGAAGTGGCGACGGGATGAGATCGCGAGGGATTCTTACTGATGGCTGCAGTGACATCCCGGATGGACCCGGTGTATCCTGGTGGCAGGCCCCGGTATTCGAGACCAACTTCTCTCACCCAGTCGATAAAGTTTTGCATCACTGTCGCGCAACGCTTTGTCAGCTACGGGTCACATTTGAGTAGGGCTTGGAAGAATCCGGGGAAACCTCGATGACCCCCATGGCATGGGCTGTGTTGGGTAACCCAAGGGCTCCACCTTCAAGAGCATTATTTCTTTTGGGTTACCCAAACAACCCATGAGTCTTTTGCATACAAGTAGCCCATGGGTACCAGCGGGCGGGGTTCATCCTCTGAGAAGGGTTGCGAATAGACTTACTGACTTTGCCCGGCCCAGCTTCGCCTACACCAGAGAAGGCGTCGATTAGGGCTTGTGGGACCTTGGAGCCGAGGTTCATCATGAACAGAAACCGGCCCTGCGGCGACCAAAAGAGCCTTGTGCGAGACGTGTCTCTCTTGTCGACATCGGGGCCACCGGGTGCTGAGAGGTCAACGGCTTTGGGAACAATAGCCGAGGGAGTTGAGGCTCGAACCGCGAGAGAGTCGCTGCCAGAGTCGACCGGAGCGGCACTCGTAGCGCCGATGAACGCAACGCTAAGCAAAAGAAGTTTCTTGAGTGAGAACATTGTATGAGCTTTTGAAGATTTGTAGATATTGAGGTAGGTGAATGGGGGATATGATGGGCAGTTGAGAGCTGATGGTTGCGAGGAATCTTGTGCTGTTTAATGGGTAAAAGACATTGGTAAGAAGGGTTTCGAGTTGATCAAATATATACTCTCGCACACCAACACAACAGAATCAATTGAAACATCATGGTCATGAATTGGCTGGCAATGAGTAAGTTGGCAGTACTCTAGATGATAGAAGCGTTGCTCAAAAAAGATCCGCGCGCTTCAGCCTAGATTGCATACACGAGGGGGGGCCGTCAGCCACACTCATCCATTGAGACATGATCACCAGTCCGGAGACCTGTATAGTCTCCCAGCTGAAAAGCAATTTACTAGAAAGGATTGTACGGCTGAATGCGAAGCCACGATGATCGATGCAACTGAGAGGCACCGTGTCGGATTCGAAATTCAGAACATTGCGAGTTGTAAGTCTGAAACCTCTCTCAAAATAGAAAGTTTTGAGTTTCCATCGCCGCCCGGTCGGGTCGTTGGGGGCAGTGACGCAGCAGAACTGGCGCTTGGACGGTGGCCGCGTGCATTGCGTCGTCTTGGCCCCCCCTGATGCTACGCTGACGCTGTCTCAGCCAATGTGCTTTCAAGTGGTCATTTGGCGCCGCCTGTGTAACATGTCAGCGGCTGTTTTACACGACGCGTGTAACCTCTCAGCTGTCATTTCGCGGCCGCTTTGTGTAACTGATCGAGGTTCCCAACGTTTCGGCACAGGTACACGAGCATTGGGGGCTCTGGGGGTGGCTCAGCCTTCAGCTGAAGTTACAACTAGAGTTCAATTAGGTTTAACTAACAGTTATTATCAAAAGACTCAAGCAAGAGCTGTAGTCTTTCGTCAGTATAAGTACTCCGGTAGAATCCTTGAGAATTCAAGAAATTCATCTCCAAGCAACACACTTCAAACTCATTCAGAAGAGCACCTTCATCATCTACAAATCTGTCCAAATCCCTTATCAAGCAGTCACAATTCCCAACAACCCTTTCCAAAATGCATTATAGCTCGGCTTTCCTCGTTTCTTTGCTCGCCGCTACAGCTGCGGCTAAAGGCTTCGTGCTGCCTGCCAACCAAGAGGACGGCGTCTACATCTCCAAGGGACGGCCCCATCCCCATTCCTCCAAGTTCAGGAGGGATGTCTCTACGACCGTAAAGATCGGGAACATCACGTACGACGAAGTTACCGAGCCTGGCGCCATCGAGAAGCGGGGAGTCCCCTGGACTGCTGTCAGATGTGATGACAGAAACATCCTGAACGAGTGGGACTACGCGCCGGCCCGAGATAACCTCAAGAAATCGTGCGACAAGGGCAACAAAGCTCCGGCCTGGGACGGCAAATCAGGTATTCTCTACGCCCGAGTCGGCAGTGCCATCTGGTACGTGTGCAGCTGGGGAGGGGAGAACCCCTGCAGCACTGATGAGATCAATGACGCCGAGGTCAAGATGGACGCCGAGTGCACTGATGAGGTGTCTGCCTGGATTGAAGTCTCCAACTGGAAGAAGGGCTATGGTAGAGCCATCAGCGGCATGGAGGTTTGCGATCAGCGGCCTTAAGGGTTGACAAGGTCTAGCAGTGGTAGAAGGGTTGGTTTGTACTTCTGACTGTCAGTCTATCGGTCAATGCTTTCTTGCATCTCTTACTTGGACGTTCGTTTGTAGCTTTTCTAAATAGAATTGTGTGTTCTCCTAAAGTTCCGGACTATTTTAAGCACTGCTGGCGCCCTTGTTTGTTTTCTTGGAGTTAACACCCGTCAGGAAAAGCTGCCTGGTCTCGTACTTGCGCTGATATGCCTGAAATGCTTGCCAGTCGTGGCAGGGACGTATAGTGTATTACCCGGGGTTCAAACTTATGGAGTTGCTCAAACTTGCAGCTCTCTTGTTGTGTGCAGCCAAAGCATTCTGCCAGTCGCTGCTTGACTAATTGTACTCTCGTTTATAAAGTGTAGACTTCTGCGATAGCTCTACGGAACCAAGGCTCAAGGTCTCACGGGAAAGCTTCAAGTTATCTATCTGTGCGCCAAACCGACTGCGCTGCAACGCAGCACGGATTTTCGGAACTTACAAGAACTTCACTGCTATATAGTGTGGTTTCACAACCGCAAAACTACTCGTAACTGTAATCACACATTAATCACCCAGGCCACCCTTCAATGACGACTAGGAGTTGGTCTATAGTAGCAAGACCCCCTCAGCTCTTTCTCACCCCAACAGTCAGAGCTCACTGGTATGAGAGAACAAAGACTGCTTGAACCATGTAGTGGTGTGGGGGAAAGTATGATGAGGCGCAATGACTGACAAAGGCTCTCGATGGTTGTGTGCGATATTGTTCTGAAGGGCTGGGACATTTCTCTTCGCTGTCGGGACTGCGATGTAATAGCCAGGCCATTCTATCAACGATCAAAGATGCAAACGCGCCCAGAGAACCTCATCACCCGAGAGATGCGCTTCAAGGCAAGTACCGAGGACAAGATGTTGAGACTCGCAAAGGGGCCTTCAAACCGGCTTGCCATACTACAATACCCGCAGCAAGGAAGGAATATGGCCTTGTGCTTTACGCAGGACGGCAATCACAGACCTCGGATGCTGTCACAATGCTTAGATCTCGATGTCCTAGCATGTACTTGCTCATCTTCCGACTGCGATGCCAGAGTGGTGTGCAACAAATCAATCGGCGTTAGCAAGCAGGTTAAGAAGGAGTAGAACTGGTTAACTCCACTTCTCCGCGCAACAGGCGCCTTTTACTCCAAACCAAACTTCCTCTCTGCCGAGGGCGACAATCGCGGTAAACCGAAAAAGAAAAGGCCAAACAAGGTCTCGTGTTGTTCTCAGTAAGCTCAGATCCCGATCCCATAGATCCTTCCAGCCAGGCCGTTGCTTGTGCCGAGCGTTTTCGTTCCCCTCCGCCATCTTATCCCCCCGCACAAAGGTGCCCTGGTACGAATGTGGAAAACGGTCGATTCCCCATGGGGTGGGTAGGTGACCCAGAAAAACAGCAGACATCGACATCACACGCATCTTTGTCTCATCAGCCGAGGGGTATGCTCACATTTCTCCTGCTCTCGCATGAGGATGCATCTCGACCTCTCCTGTGTACCGATTCGGCACATAGTGACACGTGCAACGCAAAGACATCCGACAATAGCGAGGTGCAAGCAAGGTAATGTTTATGCAACGATAATGAAACCTACGTCAGGCACGTAACTACGTTATTGTTTGCTCCGCCATCCCCAGTGGACATTCCTCCAACAAAGCCGAGACGAGACGAGACGAGATGAAGGGGGTATTGAGGAGAGGGCTTACTTCATGTGACGCCCGGCGCCATGCAAGCTACGGCACGAGCTGCGCCGTGTATTTCGCCCGTAGTCCATCTTGGGCAAGAGGCACGAGGAGATACAGACAGAGCGCTTACACGCACATACCGAAACTGCGCAGCAGCGCCGGGGCAGGCGTCCCAAAGGGACCAACTCGGACTGGCGCCGTAGGGACTTTTCTCCCTGCACAAGTACTGCTGCATGCGACTCTGCGCCTAGGTATGACTTGCTTGAACGCCCATCCGTGCGTGCGCTGGATATGGAGACTACCAGCAGGACAGACGGAGAGCGGGGAAACCCTTTTACCCCATTCTACTTTGGGTGCCCTTTCTGCTGAAGAACACACCCTGGACTTGTAATAACTGACCACCCGGCGAAACGGGAGATCTCAGGGCCCTGGCCGCGGCCAGCAAAGCACGCACGATAGCGTCAGTATCTCACCACACGCAGAAGAATCTGCTGCCCTTCGATATATGCATCTGAGATCCCGCGAAAACGACTCCCGCGACGCCGGGTAAGTGAGCAAGAGTGAGTGAGAAGAACGGGAGGACGTCCGTCGGGCAAACCCGGCCCCACCCCAGATTCTCCCTTTGGACTCCCCTAATCTCTGGCCACTCAGGGAACCTGGGGTCCCCACTAGCGCAGTAAAATCCCCGAGTCGGCCATTCTTCCCGTAGCATTCTGGCGTAGCGACGGACAATGCAAGGGTGAAAGCAATTTGTTACACGGGCGACATGCGTGGCTTATCGTGAGATCAGCGCGCGATATTTCTCGGCCCGTTCTCTGGTGTAGGCACAACAGACAGCAGCCCGCAGGCATGTGCGTGCAGCCAGCCGGGGCCTACATTAGGTACTACTTGTATGTCAGCCTGTAATATGGCTTGTGAGAGCGAGGACCATCAGCGGTCGCATCCCGAGGCAGCCCTGGAGAAAACTGGAGCTGAACGGTACAGGGCAGCGAGCAGCCGGGCCGCCAACCCTGGACGGCCTCTATCCGCCCTTTCTGTGGAGACATGCAACGTTGATGAAGGGACCTGTCTGTAGGACAGGCTTTTGTTCGAACGCGGGTTACGATGTGTCAGGTTTGTCGCACCGGCTGTGCTGTTGATCAGGGCGAAATCAAGATCGCGAGACTCGCAAGATTCATCTGAAGACGGCACGGGGGTCGGGGAGAGGGCTGCGTGGCGCACGAGATCTGGTAGAGATCTTCATCACACTGCAGCATCCAGTGCAAATGGAGTGCTGTGTCAATCGGACTGCGGGCACATGCAGCAGGCGACTGGTTCGCGACCATATGAGAGTGACAACAAGCATGTGAGCGGCGTCCGGGCGCAGCCAAGCTGTAGAATTGTAACAAGTCCTTCAAGACGAGATGATCGCTCATCTACCGGGACGGCAGATGGCATGCAGAGCGCTGACACGAGCACCGTACTTGTCCCGAGTGATTATTTCCCCTTGCGGAAGCTGAGCATTGCGCAGGCATTGCTCAATTCTGAGATGCGATATTGTTTTTGTCCTCGAGATGTCGACGAGTCAGCCGTGACAAAGGTGCGAGTCACGGTTCAGTGCTTGTGGTTGCTCGACAGTCTTGACTTCGCTTAGCCCAAAGTGTTATCTTTGAGTGTCCCAGACTGGCCTATCCCACGATGCTATCCGGCATGTGGCTGTTGCCAAAGTATGCTGGGCAGCCAAATATACTTTGCATCCGGACGTGGCCGAACGCTCTAGCTGGCAGTCCGGATTCGCTTACCGCTCCTTCAGCAGCATGGACGGAATCGAGGGCCACGATGCCTTCGCGTGGTGACTTCCACGACTCATTGGCGAGTTTGACGCCCTGAGCTCCCGCCTGTCGGAGCCACGAAGGGGCCAAGCCCAGCCTGGCTGACGATGTAAAATCCCTCTGAAAGATAGCGGATGGGTACACCGTGGGACCCAGAAGTGGTCTGATGGTGGCTGTGGTGCAATTTGTGCCTCGCCTGCGATTTGCTACCAGTGGGCTGGGCTCCGTTTTGTCGTTGTCTTTAGCCGCAATCTCAAAGTAGGTACCTGTAGTGCGCTGGCCACCGTTTTTCGTGTGCTCATCAACTTTGACAGCGGCATGTAAAGTACCTTTTTGTTTGGCGCGGTGCTGGTTGAAACGACCGACGATTCCATTGACACAGGCATGTCCCTGCTATCAGTTGGTAGACGCACTCGTATTTCAGCATGGCTTGATCTCTCCTCAGCAGCCGCATTGTCGCTAACGAGTATCACCATCATCCCTCGCTGCTTCAGCCAGGTTCGGGCAATCTTTCGCAGATTCTCCGGTTCACACCCAGTAGGGTAAGCGTGGCATTTGGAGCGGATCCTTGCGCAAACGTGACGATGGTCTCAAATGCCATGCATCGTCACGACACGAGACGATAGGACACGACAAGGCCTGCATGTTCTGTCGGCAGCGAGCCTGCTTTGCGGGCATATGTGTCTCCCTTCTCTCCGCAAGTACAAGCTGTCACCGATTCGGAGTGCGGGATGGACAGCGTCCGGAATGAGGGGGACAGGAGGGGCGCGGCTGCTGGTCCCTTGTGCACAGGTATCTGTTGGGGAGTGACAAAAGTCACTGAAGGCAGAGTGTGAGGTCCTGGCCGTGCTAGCCGGACGGTGGAGCCCATGTCGTCATTGGACAGCGATCATCGATCGAGAAGGAAACCCTGAGAATGCCTGTAATGGGTCCCCTAAAACCCACTGTGAACCCTGCAAACCCTGCCGTAACAGCCGCCTGTGGCCACTCAGCGCCTGCCAAAAGCGCTCAAAAATATCGCCAGAGGGGTTTTTCCAGCAGGGGGCCGTAGGTGAGGAAAAACGGGGCCTATGACGACAGCCAAGTCCCACCGTCTTTGTGTTCCTGCCCAGACACTGGCTGCAAAGAGGGCGAGCATCCCTCTGGCTTCCCCAAACGGTAACGTGCTTTCTGTAGTGGCAGACGAGCGTCTCGTGTGAGTGGGCTTTTGCATGAGTGTACAGAGATTGAGAGAGATACGGACGGATAAGAGGGTGCAGTACCTAGGGGTCCGTGTTCCGTTTTCGTGTTGCCCCTCACACATGTGTTATTGCGCTGTTATTACACCGGCGTCTGCACTCACACAAGACTGTCGAGCTGATAAGTGGGTAGCCGTTATCAGGGACGACGCCCAAGCCCCCTTGTTGATGCCGATATCCGCAGATCTGATATCTTCTTCCGAGAACTGATTGGCTCAGTGACGTCGGAGAAACATGAAGGGATGCCAGTCCTGTATTCACTCCAACGTCATCATACAGCACGTAATAATCCCCGAGAGGCAATGGACCATTGTCTCTCGGGGAGGCTTGCAGGAACGATGTGGCCCGGCGGTTTCACACTAAATGCGCTTACCTTGACCGGCAGCAGGTGTCCCAGAAGGCTATTCAGTGAAGATGTAGATGATTTGACATTGACTGCCGTCGTACCTGATCAGCGCCTCGAGCCGTACCGTCATGGATCAGAACGGTCGTTGCCAGATCCGAAGCGGCTCTTGTTGAGTTGCAATTAGCCAGGTACACAGCAGGAAATGGAAATGTCAAGCTTTTTCGTTTCTCGTCAACCTTCTCGGTCCGCTCGCCTGTCAAACCCAGCCACCATCCCTTTCGGGGTCTTGGCCGGATATCAAGATCAGAGCGCGATGCCTTGCAGGAACAAACGGGTTGGAGGGGCGGCGCATCCCCCATGCAGGTGCCTAAACAGCCGCAAATTAGGGGAGAGTACAGTGCCGAATAAGGACCCTGAAAAAAACCAAATTGCCTGCGGTGGTAAGAGGATGGGATGGCTGGAATGGAGGCCACCATGGCACAGCACTGTGCTTCCCCGGCCATGCTGTGCTTCCACAACGCGCAGCAACACGATGCCGGGCGGGCGGGATGAGGGAACACATGTGTCTCGTCTCATCCCAGAGCCGCTGTATGACAGCGGCATTGTAATTCGTGACTGCAGAGGCATTTGGACGTCTGTGGTATTACTCACGAGAAATGACCAGTAACAACACCGCCAGCCAACAGGTGCCCGTGCTGCTGCTGTTGTCTCACACAGATGATAATAAGCGTCTCTGGATCCTTTATCGCAACGTCGTCGCCGTGGTGGAGTAAGACGAGGCCTTTTTGGACTCCTAGCCCGTGAAAAGTACTTGTCGCAGGCCTCCCGTCCACCAGTGCTCTGCTGGCATTCCATGGACGAAAAGGGCCGGCCCCGGTACAGAGTCCAAATTGGCCGAACATGCAGGCCAAGCAACCGGCCAGACAAAAAAGGGACGCAGCAAGGTGACTTCTTGGCAAACTGGCTTTCACGGCACGGCATCGGCCAGATGGCCGGAGAGACAAGAGATTGAAGAAAGAGAAGGACCCCTGTAGAAAAGCAAGATGCAGGACGAAAACGCCGATAGACAGACAGCATGCTCCAGGGCTGCTTTCTCAGAATCGGCGGCTTGCAAGTTGGCAAACACCCACTGACAGAGCACCTAAAGAATGACCTGTCGTTACAGTGGCGTGCTGTGGCCCATCCCGTCAATGGGATTACGGTGCGCCTTCTTGCCTGGGCAGCCAAAATAAGCGCTGCCTGGACGCTAGAGTCAATTTAGCGGTGGTGTGGTTGGTGGGACCACCTATTTGCACTAAGCACTCCACTGTTTCCGCCGTTTTTGTTAGGTTTTGCTAGGGGAATTCCGGGTCTCTGTCTCTGGACTCACCGTTTTCTTCGCGAAGAAACGGAGCTACCCCTCTGACGTACTCGACTGACACTTCTTCCCCATGGAGATTCTTCATGGAGCATGGAGCATTGAGGCATGCGCGCCGTCACTTGCTTTGATATGCAGATCGGTCGACTTTGCAGGATTAAACGCGCAATAAGATTGTCCCTGTCGGTCATGCGTGATTATTGAACGACTGTGTTCCTGCGGGATTTCGAGCGAGAGATAGACGAGCCGTAAGCAAGCCATGACTCCTCGCCCAGGTTTTACATGTGTTGGACTTCGCCTCGTACAGGCCCCGCGCCGCGATGACCCTGCCCAGGGATGCGCAAAGTACAGCCGCCGCCTCGCCGCCTCGCCGCATCGTGATGAAGTCGATTGGGTACAAACACAGTAGTAGTCCCCATAAGGTTGGTTATTGCCTCAAGGGCCCCAGCGAAAGATACCAAGTACGCCGTCCAGCCAGCCAACCAGGACGAAGGAAAGATTCTTCCTCCTTCCGAGGGCAGTATCCAAAATCATTGGTTCTGAGGGTTAGCGTGCCCATTTTGGAGGGCAGCCGGTTCCGTTTAACCTGATACAAAAAGAGGGTCCGTTTGCCGCCAACGGAGAGAGGTACTTACTCAAGTGGCTGCAAGAAAAGTAGACGGATTGCTAACAGAAATACATCAGATCCTAACATAGTAACCAGGGGCCCTGGCAGTTATGACTCTGTGATCTTCTAAATTTCCCCTCAGGGTATTGATAGACATGCACTGAATGGCTATTGTTTACTTTAGATCTATAAAAGCCAGTGAGTGGTATTGCCACTGATCGAGATGTTAGGTATGAAGTACTCCTTGATGGAAATCCGTCTACTTTTCTTGCAGGCACTTGTTACTGTACCTTGGCCACGCTGCAACGGAGGGGCCCTGATTTGGCCGCAGTCACAGTCGTCATGATCCGGGTGGGCCCACTTGGTTTCCAAGCCATGAGTACCTGGCTGAGAGAGGGTTAGGGGAGCCCGATTGCGTGCGGAATACCGTCACTCACCTTCCCCCCAGAACGGGGACAGGGCCATGTACCCATCCACATGGATCCCCCATTGACGTTGGTCACTCCTCGTCCTCTCTCTCTTCCCTCGCGGTGGCGTCTTTGTATAAAGTCAAATGCTCTCCCATCTCTCCCTCGTCGTCCATCTCGAACCTCGTTCTAAATATTTCATTCTCCAGAGTTTTTCTCCATAAACACCCGCGATCATCACTTCATTTCTTCCCATCTGGACAGGTCCATTGCACACTTTCTCCACAATACCCATCATCTCGACATCATTGCCCCAGACTGATCTACCCTGACAGCGTCAAGGATAGAACAACAGCCAACAGACCTGTCATCCATCTCCTGCGGTTGATCTCTCTCCTTTCTAGATCATCCCAAGACCAGCAACCATACCTCTTCCTCATCTCCTAAACAACACGCTTCTGCAACCCTCCAATATGTCTGCCGTCAACGGTTCCACACCCAAGAAGGCCGTCCACTTTGGCGCCGGCAACATCGGCCGCGGCTTCGTGGCCTGCTTCCTGCACAACTCCGGCTATGAGGTCATCTTTGCTGATGTCGCCGCCCCGCTCATCGACAAGCTGAACGCGCAGCCGAGCTACAAGGTCATCGAGGTCGGCGCCGAGGGCACCACCGAGAACATCATCACAAACTACCGCGCCATCAACTCGAGGACGCAGGAGCAGGAGCTCATCGAGGAGATCTCAACAGCCGATGTCGTCACCTGCTCCGTCGGTCCCAACATCCTCAAGTTCATCGCCCCCGTCATCGCCAAGGGCATCGACCAGAGGCCTCAGGACCTGAAGCCCATGGCCGTCATCGCCTGCGAGAACGCCATCGGCGCCACCGACACCCTGGCCGGCTTCATCAAGCAGAACACCCCCGAGAGCCGCCTCGAGGACCACAGCGACCGCGCTCGGTACGCCAACTCGGCCATTGACCGCATCGTCCCCGCCCAGGACCCCGACGCCGGCCTGGACGTCAAGCTCGAGAAGTTCTACGAGTGGGTCGTCGACCGGACGCCGTTTGAGGGCTTCGAGGTTCCCCCCATCGAGGGCATCCAGTGGGTCGACCACCTGGAGCCCTACATCGAGCGTAAGCTGTACACTGTCAACACTGGCCACGCCACGGCCGCCTACCACGGCTACAACCGCAGGAAGAGGACCGTCTACGACGCTCTTCAGGACAAGCACATCCACGGCGAGGTCCGCAAGGCGCTGGCCGAGACCTCCAAGCTCATCACCACCAAGCACGGTATCGATGAGAAGGAGCAGGCCGCCTATGCCGAGAAGATTATCCGCCGCATCGGCAACCCCCACTTGGAGGATGCCGTCGAGCGTGTCGGCCGTGCTCCCCTGCGCAAGCTGTCGCGCAAGGAGCGTTTCATCGGCCCTGCTGCCCACCTCGCTGAGAACGACCACGACTGCCAGGCACTGCTCGCCGCTGCCGAGATGGCTTTCCGCTTCCAGAGCGTCGAGGAGGATGCCGAGTCCAAGGAGCTGGCCGAGATCATGAACAACGACACTCCCGAGGAGGTCGTCCGCAAGATCTGCGGTCTCACCGAGCAGGAGAAGCTGTTCCCCAAGATGGTCGAGATTGTCAGCAGAGTCCAGGCCGACGCTCAGGACTAGTCAAGACCTGTCTTCTCTCTTCATTTCCTTTTTTCCTTTTGAAAGTATTAGCGTGTCATGATAAGGACGCGTATGAGCACGGACTCTATATAGCCAGCGGCTATCGGGATATAAAGGCGTTTCATATATTTTTTGTCAGATCATATTAGCATTGGATACCTGGACTTCGCTGGAGAAAGCGAGGCTTTTTGGGTATGTAGCGAAACCGGCCATCAAAGCATGGACCTGGCGTTTTTTTTCATAGGCATCGCACCTTTAGAAGCGAAGCGATCACGAAATTGGAAAAGAAACAGATTGAAAAAAAAGAAACTCGCTTGAAAGGCCCAGAATCGTGCGTGATATTTGCTCGAGAAGTCTGGGATGACGTTGAAAGAAGGCTGGCGAATCCCCTTTCAGTGCTGCTCAACTTCCCCTCCCTCCCAGGCGAAGCTGACCGCCGCATCGTGAACTGCTGCGGGCACCAGCTGGCAACAGCCGCCGAACCGCTAGCTATGATTGGCTCAATTCCCAGAATAAGCGGGTCACATACCTCTCATCCCTGAGCTCGAAAGTGTCTGCCTGAGGCTAGAATCGAGATACGTGTGCGATAGTGCACCGCATGTGGAAGAGACCACATTTGTGCTGAAATTCCCAGGTATCGAAATAGGGTCAAGATACGTGGCAGGCAGCTCGCGATCCACAACGTCCTCCCTTTACGACATACACACGACAGGCCGGTTTCGCTGCTGCCCGGTCATCAACCCGTCCAGAACGTATTTGAATTCGCCCAATTGACGCGGCCAGCCGACCGAGGGAATTGGGGGAGCATCTGTCGGTCAACATCACAAACCCCCACCTTGGGAGCTCGAAACGGCACTCCCTTTCCTGTGGACTTGTCTTGATTCCTTTCTTTTCTCGCCGACGGAGCACTTCCACCAATAATAAACAATCAAGATGCGTTTGGACGTCAAGGTTAGTCAGGTTATTGCATTGTCTCGGTTGCACCAAGTTACACGAGGAGCTATCTGTCCTCAGCTACCTCAGCTGGGGACGATGGCGCATTCGAGCGAGCCCACCACCCCTTGGCCTTCACGAAAGGCACCAACCCTCGGTATAGCTCTGCTCGAGGTTCTCCCGCACGCGCTTCCGACTCAGGATCCCCTACCCCTAGCCTTGTTCAGACATGCTAACATGGCTACCGAATCACAGCGTCAGTTGTTCGCGCGGAGTGAGCGTGTCAAGGGCATAGACTTCCACCCTCAGGAGCCATGGATCCTCACTACCCTCTACAGCGGTGCGTTTTGATGCAACACTGCCGAGCCGTCCATCCCAAGCTGATCATCAATGCTCCAGGCCATGTCTACATCTGGTCATATGAGACGCAACAGATCGTCAAGACCTTCGAGCTCACCGATGTCCCCGTCCGAGCCGGTCGCTTCGTCGCGCGCAAGAACTGGATCGTCTGCGGATCCGATGACTTCCAACTACGTGTCTACAACTACAACACCTCCGAGAAGATCACCTCCTTCGAGGCGCACCCCGACTACATCCGTGCCATTGCCGTCCACCCGACGCAACCCTTCGTCCTCACCGCCTCCGATGACATGACGATCAAGCTGTGGGACTGGGAGAAGGGATGGAAGTGCGTGCAGGTCTTTGAGGGACATAGCCACTACGTGATGGGCCTGGCCATCAACCCCAAGGACACCAACACCTTTGCATCGGCGTGTCTCGACAGGACCGTCAAGATCTGGAGCCTGGGCTCGTCGACTCCCAACTTCACCCTCGAGGCCCACGAGACCAAGGGCGTCAACCACGTCGACTACTACCCCCACTCCGACAAGCCCTACCTCCTGACCACCTCGGACGACCGAACCGTCAAGATCTGGGACTACACCACCAAGTCCCTCATCGCCACCCTCGAGGGCCACACCAACAACGTCTCCTTTGCGTGCTACCATCCCGAGCTGCCTATTATCATCTCTGGTTCCGAGGACGGTACCGTCAGGATATGGCACGCCAACACCTACCGCTTCGAGCAGTCGCTTAACTACGGCCTGGAACGAGCCTGGTGTGTGTCATACCAGAAGGGCAAGCAGGGCGTCGCTGTCGGTTTCGATGATGGTGCTGTGGTCGTCAAGCTGGGTCGCGAGGAGCCGGCTGTGTCCATGGATGGCTCCGGCAAGCTCATCTGGGCCAGGCATAACGAGGTCATCTCCTCGATCATCAAGGGCGGCGATGCATCCCTGAAGGATAATGACCCTATTCACCTTCCTACCAAGGATCTCGGCACCTGCGAAGTCTACCCCCAGACCCTCATCCACTCGCCCAACGGCCGTTTCGTCGCTGTCTGCGGTGACGGCGAGTACATCATCTACACAGCCCTGGCGTGGAGGAACAAGGCCTTCGGCTCCGCTCTGGATTTTGTGTGGGCGTCCAAGGAGAACAGCAACGACTTTGCCATCCGGGAGTCGGCGACGAGCGTCAAGGTCTACAAGAACTTTGTCGAGAAGACTGGTGGCCTCGATGTCGGTTTCCAGGCCGAGGGTCTGGCCGGCGGTGTCCTCCTGGGAGTGAAGGGTCAGGGCGGTGTTTCGTTCTTCGACTGGACTTCGGGCGGCCTGGTCCGCAGGATCGAGGTCGAGCCCAGGCAAGTGTACTGGTCCGAGAGCGGCGAGCTCGTCACGCTTGCTTGCGAGGATACCTTTTACGTCCTGAGATACTCCCGGGAGAACTACGTCGCTGCTGTCAACGCTGGCCAGGTCGACGATGATGGTGTTGAGGCTGCTTTCGAGGTTATTACTGACATCAACGAGACGTAAGTGGGCGCTGAGGCTTGTGAATGCTTGAATTATCTGGCTAATCATAGGACAGCGTCCGGACGGGTGAATGGGTTGGCGACTGCTTCATCTACACCAACAGCACCAACCGACTGAACTACCTGGTCGGTGACCAGACCTACACCGTCTCGCACTTCGACCAGCCCATGTACGTTCTCGGGTACATCCAGCGCGACAGCCGCATCTACCTCGCCGACAAGGACGTCAACGTCACGTCTTTTGCTCTCTCCCTTCCTGTCCTCGAGTACCAGACCCTGGTGCTCCGCGGCGATATGGAGACCGCTGCCGAGCTGCTGTCGAGCATCCCCGAAGACCAGCTCAACAAGATCGCCCGGTTCTTGGAGGGCCAGGGCCATAAGGACCTCGCCCTGGAGGTCGCGACGGACCCGGAGCACAAGTTCGACCTGGCGCTGTCGCTGAACCACCTCGACATCGCCCTCGAGCTCGCCAAGGCCGCCGACGTCGAGCACAAGTGGAAGACGGTCGGCGACGCGGCCATGTCGGCCTGGGACGTGGCCCTGGCCGCCGAGTGCTTCGTCAACGCCAAGGACCTTGGCTCCCTACTGCTGCTGTACTCGTCGACCTCGGACCGCGAGGGGCTGGCCAAGCTGGCGGCGCAGGCGTCGGAGGCGGGCGCGCACAACGTCGGCTTCACGTGCAAGTGGCTGCTCGGCGACGTCGAGGGGTGCATCGAGGTCCTTACGGCCACGGGCCGGCTGGCCGAGGCGGTGCTCTTTGCGCAGACGTACAAGCCGAGCCTGGCCCCCGCCGTGGTGGCGCAGTGGAAGGAGTCGCTCGAGAAGGGCAAGAAGGGCCGCGTGGCGAAGATGCTCGGCACGCCTGGCGAGGACGAGGACTTGTTCCCTGAGTGGGAGGAGTATCTGCGGCTGGAGAGGGAGGGGGTCACGATTGACAGTGGTGATGCGGTGGCTGCTGCTACGAATGGTGGGGAGGGTGGTGAGGCGATGGAGGTTGAGGAGGGTGGGGAGGCTGAGGAGGATGCCGATGAGGAGGAGTAAGGGTCCTTTGGGGAGAGGGATTATGGAAGAGGTATGAAAAATCTTATGGGCAAAGGGTGTTTTGAAATTTAGAAGAGCCCTCCCAACTCGCTCGCCCATGCCTTGGGATGAACTGGGAAAATGAGAACGAAATGGAATTATGCGGTCACAGACAGACATGAAAGTTATTGAATTACGTTTGCGATTGGATCATGCGGTGATTAATGAGGGGAAAGAGAAAATGAAATAATTGCTTTGAAAGTCTCTTGCTAGCTCGTCCTTGTCTGAATGATGATGAGGTACGATCCCTCAGATCCGTGCCCATATCCCTGAACCCCATGCATAGAGAGACTTGATGCCTCCTTAAAGCATGGACTTGCTTTGTGAACTGTTGAAGAGTGGTGATTGCTTGCGATGTCATGTCATTGTTGAATTCCGTGGGGCTCCTGTTCGAGCCAAGTTGCCCACGATCGTTAGACCCGTGTCTCTGCCCAGATAGGTTTCAATCGAACCTCGCCATGAGGTTCGATTGCCTTCTTGTCTACTCCTGCGAAGTGCTGTCCGCGTCGTCCGCATCGTCCTCGCCGTCCTCCTCGGTGCTCCCCTCCCCGCTCTCCTCTGAGTCTTCATCGTCACCGTCGTCTGTGAGCTCGTCGTTCTCTTCTGTGAGTTCATCTCTGTCCCCTGCTATTAATTTTTCCATTTCTCCGTAGTAATATTCGAGAAGAGAAGGAGAAGGCTGGCTGTCGTGGTCAAACCACAAGGTGCCACCCCACACGTCCTCACCCAGCCAAAACTGCTCCGCGTCCTTCAAGGCATCGTATTCGCGAACCCGGTGTCCCCCGTCATCAAGAAGCTGATTGGAAGTAATGAGTAGAACCTTGGCGTTGGGCAACCGATCTGCAAACTTGCGAGCCAGAGCCTCGAACTGTTTTGGCTTCACCACTTCACCGGGTTTCTCGCCAGGGGGGGCGCATTCCAGAGACATGACGGCTGGAGACCCGCCTAGGCAGCTCCGATGACGCAAGCCGATAATCATTTCCTCCATGGCGGGCAGCTCAGGGTATTTCTCGAGGTCGAGCAAGTCCTTGCAGACAGTGGGCATCCGGTAGAAGAATCGCCGCAGTGTCGGGAAGAGTGCGTTGGCTGCGCTGCAGAAATGCTCGCAGGGAATGGCCCGGAGGTCCATGTCACCTTTCAGAGGGTACTGGTAGCTGAGGACCAGGCTTGTCAGATTGGAAAGGGAAAGGAGCGGAAACAGTGACTGATGCCCGACGAAAGTCACGTTGTCAGGATCTCCGTCCGTTAAGATTATGCAGATGTCAAGAGACCTTAGCTGACGGCATTCCCCAAGGACATCCACCAGCTTCTTGGACGAGCTTCGCTTGTCGAGTCTCGCCTGAACGTCTAGTCTTGTGTAGGCGTCGAAATCGGAAGCGCTCATCAGGGAGCAGGCATAAAGGCCAAACTCGACTCTAGCGGTACGCAGCTTGGATTTGAGACGCTCGCAGGCTGCGTTGCTCATTCTGAACATCGCTGGCCTGCCCCAATCCTGATAGAAATATCCGGACAGAATATCGACGGCAGCATTGTACCATTTGGAAGCAATGGTAAGATGGCGAAGATTCGAACGGAAGTACTCAGGGCCGAGAAAGGAGAAGATGAGGAGCAGAAGCTCGGTCGGAAGGTCGAGCAGCAGCATTGTTGCCGGGCTGGGATCTGGACTGTTGAAGCTGGGAAAGGGTTGATGGATGAGGAATCTTGGGAAGTGGAATGAAGGAGATATGTGCTTTGTTTGTGTGGGATCCAGGATACTTTTCTGGGAAGCGTCAGATTCAATGCTTGTCAAGGTGAGGATAATCTGAGGATGATCTGAGATTTAGGTTATCATTGGCTCACCTTGCCTAGATCTCGTCCACCAGACAGGATTCTAGCACTTGAATATGATCCACTGATCTGGTATCGTGATTCTTGCTTCTAGAGAGGTCAGCTAAAAGAAATTCCGGCCTCGTCGATCTTAGCGGCCCGGTCCTATTCTAATCGTTGCCACTCTCCACAGAAAAGAATGTTGTGGGCGTTCAGTGCCGTTCACAAAGATAACAAACAGCTTGAAATTCGGTAACATGGGGAAGCGATGCCTAAACAGGCATATTTAATGCTGCTCCCAGATATATGTATGATTCATCCTCAATGACCTTTGTTCCAGCCACTGGCATGGATCATATCGGCGATGTCACAATCTCCCCGCCTACCACAGAACAGATCGTTGGTCTCCGGTTTCTAGAGGCACCATTCCGAGAATACTCCACCACGTCTTCGTAGATGATCTGTCGCTCCTGTGACTTTTTTATCCGACTGTCCACAAAACCTCGAAGGGTGATCTTCCGAGGCGTTTGATGGTGATGTTATGCATGAGGAAGGGTGTGTTCTCTCCTCACCACTTCCCTGAATCCCACATTCAGGAGGAAGATTTCAAGTAAGCTCTCTGATGCTCTCAGAACCTGCCGCACACTCTCAATCTCTTATTGGAAACTGTAATATCCGAGAGATTTCTGTCTAGACTGGAGCCCAGATAAGATCTTATCGAGCTTCTCCACATATGCCGATTCTGAACGACAGAGAATTCAACAAAAGCTTAGCATGACCAGCAACCTGCAGTCCACAGCCGCCGTTTTCTAACTTTTCTTTTTTATCACTTCAATTTCTCTAGGATGGCAAGCTTAATTCGTTCAATTCTCAATGGATGGTAATGCCTACAAAAAAGTAAAAATTTAACAGGTTATCCTCCTCCGGGCGGATTCGAACCGCCGATCTTGTGATTAACAGTCACACGCCTTAACCAGCTGGGCCACAGAGGATGCTGTATGCTGAGTCAGCACTGTGCAAGCTAATATAGTAACAGCATGATCCACAGCTTAAAGCTTGACGGTATGTTGCTCCTCGCCCCCTTCAAAACAGCATTCCACTGACCAAAATATTGTTCACAAAATGAATTAAACCGAAAATTGAAATTTGACACAGAATAGACATGTCTTATACCCTCATATTTCGCGGCCACCTTGCCTGCCTTTATCTGCACTGCGCTGGGCGTCCGCGACATGAACTTCCCAATAATCTACCCGAATCCCTCTCACTCCCCTTCAGATATAACCCCCTCCCTTTTCACCTCTGAAACACCGTCTCCTCCAACGCCCTCCCGTCAGCCAGCGTGATCTTCTCCGACCCGACCATGACAAACAATATCCGGCACGTCTCGTCCCCGCGGTTCTCCCACTCGTGGTTGACCCCCTGCTGCACGATGAGCTCCCCGGCCCGCACCGTCTTCTCCTCCCCGCCGTCGAGCCGCAGCACGACCTCCCCGGCCATGACGGCCGCGTAGTCGAGGCTCAGCGTGCGGTGCATCGGCGCGCTGCGGCCGGGCGGGATGTCCGTGATGACGAAGTTGACGCCCGCGGGCGGGCAGCGCGGCAGGAGCGGCTGCTGGCTTGCTGCTGCTGCTGCGGCCGCCTGGACCGGCGGGTCCGTGTTGCGCACGGGCACGGCGGGCCGCACGTCGAGGACGGAGAAGCCGGAGCCCTCCGGGCCGAAGGGGTGGAAGGGCGTGACGAGCTCGTCCGAGACAAAGACGGACTTGCCGTCGTCGGCGTGGGCGGTGCGCACGACGCGCGGGTTCGGCAGGCGCTGGTCGCCGCCGGCGGACATCTTGAAGACGTCGAAGACGACGTTGGGCTTGAGGATGCCGAGGGCGGAGGTGTGGCGGAGGTAGGGCTCCCAGTTCGGCTGTTGCTGGGGTTGTTGTTGCTGCTGCTGCTGCTGCTGAAGTGTAGGATTGTAGTCCCGTGGCGGTGATTGTTGTTGCTGTTGCTGCTGCTGTTGCTGTGTTGGCTGATCTTGACTGGAGCCGTCGTCTCCAGCTGACATGCTGAGATACAAGGCGCGGGGCGCCAGTGCCAAGACCCAGTGCTTTTACATGAATCCGCGGGATTCTCGTTGGCCGTGTCCCCAAGGATTTCAAATCACTTAAACGGCTGTGTATGGGCGCCAACAATGGTAAGAAGACACGCCGCCTGGTCGCTTTTATCATGAGACCATCTCGGGGACTATTCTTGTCGCTCGTGTAAGTAACTGCAACGAGGATAGTGCCACGTCTAGGGCTGAAGCCGCCGACCGGGTGAGCAGGGCGGGTACACCAATGGCGGCGCCCGGCTCCCGGATTGGGCAATGGATATCGCCGAACCCGCGTCTCGCAGGAACCCCACATCTCGCGATGGGTGGCGTGGGGCGACTGGGACCAAGTCCGAGGGGTTGCGGGCGCTTGGCTTATATTCGTCTCACTTGTTGTCCCGAAGTCCGCCATTCAAGAGGGTGACCGGAGTGGGGGTGACTTGTGCCATTATGATCAAGTGCCGTCCGTCAACTGGATAGGAAGATGGCCAGTCTCGTCTGACCTCAAAGAATATTATTGATCAGACTTGTCCGGTAGCAGGCCCCGCGTCGGGAATACCCCAGCTCCCGTCAAAGTTCAGCAGCGCCTGCCAGAACGCGCCGTCAAACTCGCTCGGGTACGCCGCGAGCCCGCCCACGTCGGGCTCGGCCGCCGCCTCGGCGCCGCGGAGCTCGTCCATGGCGTCGGCGTCGACCATGTTGATGTTCTGCATCGGCAGCTTGTAGCTGAGCCAGTGGCCCAGCCAGCGCATCTTCTCGGCGTACGTGCCGATCGTCGTGCGCTCGCCGTCGATGTACTTCCTCTTACGCGGCAGCTGCTGCTGCTGGGCCGCCGCCGCCACGCCGCCCGCCCCGGCCTCGCGCTCGCGGTTGGCCTCGTACAGCTCCGCCGCCGCGAAGTGGTTCTCCATGCGCTTGGCCAGGTTGGCCAGGTCGAGCGCCTCGCGCGCCAGGCCGAGGTCCCAGTCGCTGTCCTCCAGGAAGGCGAGGCGGGTGGCCGTCACGACGGCGAAGGCCAGGTGGGACGACACGGTGAAGGGGACCGTGGCGAGGTCCTCGACGGACATGGTCTCGAAGACTGTGAAGATGTCTAGGACGGCCTGTAGACACTTCCACAGACCTTCCGTGCGGCGGGCGCTGGCCAGGTCCGTCGAAGTCGAAGCCCGCATGTAGATGATCGGCTCGTAGAGGCGCATCACGACGCCATGGTAGCATATTTGCAGAAGGGCTGTGAGCAACTGATTAGCTGGCAGTCCATCCGAAGCAGTCCGGTGGGATCGCAGGCTTACCTTTCTGATGGATATTGGCAGGCATGCCTCGCACAACGCCCTCGATCTCCTTCCTCATGCCAGAGAGAGTCATGTCAATGGGTAGACTGAAAGCGCGTGGGGGGCCAAGGATCAGATCGTGGGTGGGGAAGGTGGTGGAAATGCGGCTGGCGAGGCTCTGCAGCTGAACGAGGGCGACCAAGTATTCGTCTGTAGTGTACTCTTTGTTCTTGACGAGGATGTCGGAGCAGAAGTTGAGGTAAGGCGTGAATGTGAAATCGGGCATTCTGCGAAAGAAGGTCGATATGCTGTCGGAGTCCTCATGGTCAGAACAGATAAAGGCTTGTCCACATCGTTGTTTAGGATCCTTACAGTGATGTCATATAGAAACACCCAAGAACTGCTCGCATCTCGTCCGATGTGTGGTACGGCCTGGGCTGCAAGCCTTTGGTTGACTCGACGGCTTCGTTGAGTAGGGAGTATGGGGTGCCATTTGCAATGATTGGCTGTCTGTTGAGGCCCAGGTCGGCGACCAGGCCGACGGACAGTTGCACCAAGCCAGTGGCCTGGTTTTGGAAGTAGTAATGGAAGTCACCCCTGAGTGAATCCGTGTTAGTGGAAAGAATATCGGGGCTGACACGAGACACCTACCACGAGATAAACACTAAAAGAGCCTGGAGGTATTCGAGACTGAACTTCCTCTTGACAATCACGAGGTCGGCAATGGTCTCTCGGAACCACTGTTTCATACCGGTCTGGAGAGCTGCGCTGTGCGGGACCACAGTGTGCATGATGGTCCGGAAGAGTACAGGTTTCGACTTGTACAGGTCGTGTGCGCTTACATGGTTGGCAATAGGGACGAAAGGGAAGCACGGCGAGTAGAACGTGCGGTATGAGTGAAGGGCCAGGTCGGCTTCTTGAAGATTGATATTGAACCCCGGGATGATCTCGACAACCTCGTACGGCGACAGCCGAATTGGCGGTATGGAGGTCCTGCTGGCCTCTGAGTTGACATCGGGAGTCTCATGGCGGGCCCGGGATTCAAAGGGTGCTAAGGGGACAAGCTGGTCCTTCGGACTCGGTCCCGGCGTTACCATCGAACTCGGTATTGTCTGACTGTTGGTCGGTTGCGGCGTGGGCAGCTGTCGTGTCTGTCCTGTGGTCAACAACGACATAATGCCGTCGAGCTTCTGCTCCAGCTGGCCCACGCGGTTCCTGAGCATGATAGGTTAGCCTCAGGAGAAATTCCGTACTATTGAAAGTCGAGAATGGGATTCCGGCCCACGACTGACGATGTCGACGGTCCACTGTGCCATTTTGACCAATGACACCTCACCAGAGGTCGCAATGAGAACAGCGGGCAAGACATGCCGGGCTTGCAGTTGACACTTGAACAGAGAAAGAGGGGTGAACCTATCAAAGCAGCAAAACAAGATGCTCTCTGATTGCGCAGAGATCCTGCCTTAAGACATTCTACAAAGTTTCGAGGATAAGGGACAGTCTGGTACTTACGAAGCTTGTCCGCGTCTCGGGCCTCGAGGTTTGATCTCTGGCAAGACACATCTCGTCCGCGCCCGGGCGCACCTATTTTGCGATCAGAACCAAGGCTCGGCTGTGATGTTCAATTTCCCACGTGCAAGGCACGTCTTGTCTGAGGCTGATAAAGGGGTTGGGCTGGCGACATACCTCTCGCAGGGTTGCGTGCCGGGCTCAGCTGGCCAATTGCACTTCAGCTTTGACGTGCTGCAGCGCGCACAAGCCCGGGGCCGAAATTTGGCTTGGTCGCTGTGCGAAGCTGTTGCTTCGTTGCCGGAGCTCGTTGACGGCGACGGGGCTGTAGGTGCCATTGCAGGGACTCGGCCGAGTGAGCTGAACGACGATTGTGGTATTCGGGGATACTGCAGAGGTACAAATGCCAAGCTCTTCGGCTCTGCGCGCCTCTGCACCAGGGTGTCTGCGAACGAAAAGACCTATCAACAATGCAAAGATTATTCAATGAAAAGGTTTCGGACTGGCCGGGAGGCACCGAACGCTTGATATTGAGAAATGGCGATGGGAGAGCGCAGGCATTGAATCATGCAAATCGACTTTCGGGGTCGGGATTTCTCTTTGGCCCCGTAGCCGAATTCCAATCCCTGATTCGGGCATATTGTGGAGTCGTCGTAAGCCCCTTCCACCCAATAAGAGTCTTCCTACACTTCGAAAGGGTATTCGGGCAGACATGAGATCTCTACAACGGGTTTGGCAATTTCCAAAAGAGGCGATTATAAGGATGGGGAACCTTGTCAAAACCTGTCTGTTAAAATCGGAAGGAAATATTTGTCTACTTCTCAACCACATCGATACCGGGTGTCCTTCCAGACGTCCAATGGCTTACGAAGACTCGGGACCTTTTCTCCCTCCGCCAACTCGACACATACAGTCAAGCTATTAATGCCTCTGAAGGACAGAGTCGATGGACCGGGCGACAGCAAGGCACCGTTCCTCCTGGAACGGAAGTCCAACTATCTGGAGGCCCAACGGAGCATTTTCAAAGACTTCTGGCCCCTTATCTGTACTAAGAGGTCAGCAGTGATTTAGGCGGGCTTTCTGTGTGAATCGGGATCAACCTGGACCTGAAGACGAATTGAAAAACACATACAAAGTCTCATCATGTCCCTGTCGTAACGGTCGTATGGGAAATTAGGCATGTCGTCGTAAGGCGTCAAGTCGTACCACTCCGCCGGGGCAATATCCTTTTGGAGGTCAACGCGCCCAAACGGGACGCAACAAACCGGAACATCGAGTGCATTGTACGCAGCACAGATAGCAGAGGTGATGTACTCGCCATGAGGTGGCGCCGGATGCGGCATGGGCGCCGTGACGATGGCGTCCAGGCCTTCGAGTTGGAATTTCCTCAAGTACTCCGTCGCCAGAGCATTTCTGCGGCGATGGTTGGCCCATATCTCCGAGGGAGTAAGAGGCTGCTCGGACCACCCCGTGCATACTCGCGGGACCAAGGGCTCGCCAGACTTCTCCAACTCCTCGCGAAGGCCAATCCCGCCCTCCTCTGTGTACATTGTGAAAGCCACACCAGCAGCGCGTCGATGCAGGTCAGCCCAGTCTGGCCCCAGTTCAACGATCTCATGACCTGCGTCGCCGAGAAGCTTGGCTGCCTCGCGTAGGCATCGCGTCACCGGTGGTGAGAAATGCACGATGCCGTCGTCGAAGAGGAAGCCAAGCTTCAGTCTTGCGGGAGCTTTGACACCACGAACCCAGGGCAGCGGCATCACAGAGGGGCTCTTGAGCCACGGCTTATACGAGAGGACCACGTCACAGAACAGTTCCACTGTGTCAAGGTCCCAAGCCAGAGGGCCGTTGTTGGCACTGTTGCTTGTTGAGCGGCCAGCACCGCCGGGGAACCCAGGGATGCGCGCTGCCGTAGGCTTCAATGTATATATGCCGTTCCATGCAGCGGGGATGCGTAATGAGCCTCCCCCATCGGTGCCGACGCCCAACGGAGAACCCCTGAAAGCAACGAGTGCTCCCTCACCACCAGAGCTTCCGCCAGCACTGAGATTTCGATTCCAAGGGTTCAGGACGGTCCCGTAGATATTGTTGGTAGATTCTACAAGAAGGCAGCCCTGCGAGATGTTTGTCTTGACAAAGGGAATAGCGCCAGCTTCGCGTAGGATCGCGACCAGCAAGGTGTCTTCGCGAGCGACATTGTCTAGCCGTGACACAAGTCCAGAGGTCGTAATGTGACCGGCGATATCGAACGCGTCTTTGATCGATACAGGGAGCCCATGTAGCGGGCCCTTTGTCTTTCCTGTCGACTCTCTACAACGGTCATACTCCTTCGCAGTTTGGATAGCTTCGTCAAAAAAGATATCGGTTGCACAGTCCAATGCCTGATGCGCTAGAGCAGCACGTTTGCAAAACGCAGTAACTGTCGCTTCAGCGGTCAGCTGCCCCGTCTGTAGCCTGTCGACGAGCTCGACGGTGGGAGCGGTTGTAATTTCGACTTCGGATGGGGTGTAGTGTTGAGATAGAGTCGTGTTCATAAACGCAAGCAACCTCCTCCACCGCCGGGAAGGTCACTCGCCATTCGGGTGGAATCTGCGAAGCCAATGTCCGCTGCCGAGCGGCAACGCGGTCCTGCCAAGGTTCTGAAAGCATTGAAGTGAGTGTGTATATGACACGATAGGTACGTCGTAGGGGAGGACGAAATTGGAGGAACTGAGGAAAAACGTCCTGGTTTGAGTGGGAGTAACATGACGGCGGGTTGGGCCTTGAGTGCTCCATCGCTGCTGCAAGTCAGCTTGGGCGATCGGAAACGCCCGCGGGGCGAGTTGATCCCACCCCAGGTTGGACAAAGTTGCCAGATTGTGGGACCGCGATCTGTTACTAAATTGAGTCTCTGTTCTCGCATCCACAACTCCGCCCGCGGCCAACTCTGGCCAATATCATTGCCATCAACCACGATGAACTCCTCACTGCATTTCTTCTGCGGAGCGCAAGTTGCGCTAGATTCCCTGATGGGCGACTTTTACCCAAGAAAAGTGGATTGCCTTATCCGCTTGGTCGCCCATCGCACATCACAGAGCTGCACTGGAAGGTGGCGTGGCTGATGCTGTTAGACTCCACTTGAAAGACTTTGAAGAGATGCACCGCCAGGGTGATTGTTTTGAGTTTGCGCGGCTGCTGCTCCGTAGGCTGAATCTTGTAATGGATGAGTTATTCCGCGAGGAGGACATGGCCACGGACTTGGTCATCACACCTAACATGCATCGGGACGAAGGATTCGAAGATAGGATATGGGCAAACTATCACATGCCATTCTAGTACTCTCTAGTCTAGTACACTTTTATGATCATGATAGTGCAAACTGCTGCACTCTCAACAGTGGCCCAAGAGTTGATTGGCAAGCCTTCTGATGGCTCGCTGGCCTTGCGTCAACCCCGGCTCGTCTTCATTGAATTTCTTGAGACCCAGCGCTCGCAGTCCTGTTTCGCTAAGGACATTCTCCACTCTGGCACCGTGGTCCTCATGCTCGCACTCCTTTTCGTTCACGATCTCGTATTTCGCAAAGTCTTTTGGGGGCACGGCCTGCTGGAAAGCATCGCGGACGCTAATGAGAGACTCGATGTTGTAAGGCGTTAACGGGTTGCACCCATTGTATGATACGCTTGAGTCGCGGATGCCGGGGTGATATCGATCGACCATGTGGATAAGATCGCAGTGCCAGAACACATAGTCGCCTGGCTTCACGGGCGGGATGCCGACGATGCTCTTCTCCATGCGCAGGTGCGGGTGGGTCTCGTCCGTCGGCAAGAACTGCGTGCCGCCGGGCCTTGACCCTGGGAAGGTCGGCTGCGTGTCATCGTACTCCTCTCTCGCGTGGAACAGCGGGCGTAGCATAGAGTATGCGACAGATGCCTTGAGGTTGGGCAAGAGGCGCAAGGTCCCTTCGCCGGTTCCGGTGTGCGACATGGAGAGCCATCCCTGGAGGCTCCTCCAACACGAGCAGGCCGCCTCAGTGCCATACAAGTCACTCACTGCGTTGACGCGCCGGTCTGCTGCCCAGCCATCCCACTTCTCCCAATGGCCCTCGAAAATGGCCCTATAGTTCTCTCGGTTCTCCACGTCCTCCCACCGCTCGATAGCACCGCTGTCCAAGTGTGCTGGCAGCGTATATTCGGCGTCCTTGCTGGGGTAACGGATGCGGAAACGGTCGGGGTAGACAACCTGAGAGGCAAGATCTACGGGGAGGGTAGGATCCGAGACGTGCCAGAGCTGAGAGACGCAATCCATAGCTTGCAGCACGCGTGGGTGGCTGCGAATCTGGACCTGGGCTGGAGTCCACCACAAGGACCAGTTTTGGGGATTGTCGACCGGATAGCCGCCCACGCTCTTGTGTCTCTGTGTATAGTCCTTCAATTGCCCTTCCCACGCGGCCGCCTGCTCTTCAGGAACCACGTTGCGTAGAATCACGCATCCCCGCTCGCGGACTAGGTCAGCAAAGTCGGCTGAGAGTTTCCCGCCTTTTGTGTCGTGTTAGCTTTCTGTCGTGATTTGAAAGTGCCGAATCACATTGTTTTATATAGAGCTTGTAAAGGATAAGGGGAGTTGATATACCATTGCTTAGCACGTCACCAAAGTCAATGCTGGGCACCATATTGGGACCATTTCGCTGGATCCGATCGGCTTCATTTTCGAGGAAGTTGCACAGTCTCGAATAGGAATCAATGACTTTCTGCTTATGCTCCGGCTTGACCAGGCCTTGCTTGAGCTTGGCGAACCGCTGGTCAAGGAGCGGCACGTTCGACTTTGATATCTGCTGGTGAACCTGCACCTGAGTATGGTGGGTTTGGGTCGTGACGGTAGCCATCGTTTCGTTCAGTTCCGATAGACGAGTTGTTGATACTAGAGATCAATGCCAGTATTAGCGTAGGTGAAATCCAATCCCAATGCTTAAAGATGCTGTCAAAAGATAGGCTAATTATCATCGACAACTTGCATTTGGTTTTGGACTAGTTGGATACTTGAGATGAGAAGAGGAGCAAAGGTGGCAATTTCCTCCTCGCCAGGGACGCAGTTCTTGTCTTCCGAGGCCGGGATGGGACATCTTACTGCACGTCATGTCATGCACAGTTGGCCGCGGGGGGACGTGAGACATGATGAGCATTTCCCTAAAGAGGAGTGGTGATTTGGCAATTAGTCATTCAGAATGTCGATTGGCTGCTGCATCTTGACAACTCTGCCCCACAACGCTGTTGTTGCCACCAAAATTCTTGACTTGGTTCGTGGTGTGGGAGTAGAGTCTCTCTGGTTCTTCAACACGGATCTCTGGGGCCAGGAAGTAGGAACATAAATGTGCATGAGCGCGATGGACCTGAACCATGTTCAGTCGAGGTCAGTCACCAAGTCTAATTCCTGCCATTGTCGCGCGCACAATCGCTCCGCCTGTCGGGGGTGCGTTGACTCAATCTACCATTACTCAACCTGCTCTTCCAACATTTTGGCCATCTGGTACCAGTCTCGTGCCAAGCCTGCCTAAAGGGCCGTCCGCATGACTACGTTATGTACGAGCGAGCCGCAGCCATAAACTTTGGTTGCAGGTGTGTGGAGCGGCATCGCTTGTTATCCGGTGGAGCGAGACACGCCCGGATTTACAAAGGCTCAGCACTAGGAGAACAAGAGAGAAAGTCAGAGGAAGTGATAGTGTGCCAGTAGATATCATGTCGCTAGGTAATGGTGAAATATGAACTCTATTTCACAACGCACATCTTTCTTGAAAATACGCCTATCCTTACTTACCAGTCATTATCTTTCAAAGCTATGCACCATAATTGATTTCCTAATGTGCAAGTTTCTCGGCCTTCCCTCATTCCTCTTGGTGCGACTCAATTCATCCCGCTCTTGCACATTCAAACTTTCCACTTATCCGCACCAACAGACAGACATAAAAGAAAGACACGCACCCGCATCCAAACAAGCTCAGTCCCTTCCAATCACCGATTCCAACACCACCTAAGATCCGTTTTGCCAATCCAGATCAATATCCCTCCCCCTCGGACTCGCCTCCTGCCTCTTTCTCATGAACCCTGACCGGGCAGTACACGGTCGATCTCGACGATCTCACGCTATAATGTTCAAGGGAGCTCCATCCTCAGCTTTGCCAGATACTGCCCAGGGCAGAGCGGGCCGCCGGGCTGGCCGCAGTAAATGCCAGACTGGAGGTAGGAGGGCAGTTCCGGGACGCTGTCGCCCATCATGGCCAGCCACGAGAACGGAACCATGTATGCGATGATTGTGACTGCAGCGGCCCAGCCAATGATGGCCACCGTCGAGAGCATCTCGGTCCGCAGTTGGTTGCGGTCCGGGGCCGGGAGCTCACGGTCTAGGGGGCAACGGCCGCGTGCGTCCCTGCCGTCGCGAACCCAGGTGAAGCCCCAGCAGTACATCCCAATGAGGACGGGCTCATACATAGGGAGCTGGTAGGTCTCGCCATACCACAGGGTCAGGGCCTTGGGCAGGGAGACATACGTATACACCTGCGTGCGGTTCCAGAACATGGCCAGACATGTGAAGATGGCAATGTAGACGCCGTCGACAAAAACGTACATCGTGGCCGTGGACATGGTCGGGAACGCGGCGCGCAGGCGGTCGAGAATGGCACATCCAAAGATGGCGGCCCCGACGCCTAGCCAGATGTATGCTGGTAGGCACCAGAGCAGACCCCAGGGGACCTGGCTCGCGCCCGGCGCGGGGAAGCCGGGAATCTTGTTGGCCCAAGAACCCATGGCGACGCCATAGGCGTTCATGGCCCAGGTCGGGTTGAACCAGGCGAACATAATATCGAGGGTCGATGCGAAGAAGCCGCCAATGAAGAGCTTGCCATCGAGACTAGGGTAGCCATTCTTGGCCCACGGCTTGACGACGGTGTAGTGTCCGATGAACAGAAACAGGAAGACGTTAAGGGCTTCGGTGCCACGCAGAACGTACATGTACGGGTACGGGTCCGGGCCAGGGTCAGGTCTCTTGAATTCGGCCGATGGGACCCATCGAACCCAGTTGTTTGTCCAGAGTGCAAGCTGCGCGAGGCCGGCGATAGCCCAGAAGTACACAGCGCCGCTTTTTCGTTCTTGAGGTGCAGGAGGGACGGACTTGCGAACTCCTTCGAGTTTAGTACTAGCGACTGTGATAGTCGCAGTCTTCGACGAACCATTGGCGGGAGGTGTCATGTTGGTGAATTTCGTCAGTTGACGCTGTTATCTATGTGGATGACTTTTCCGTGGGAACTTTTATTCGCAACTCGAGACAGCCTCTCCTATATACCATATCACAGTTGCCTGCGTGCACAATAGGATCGGTCGGAATGGGTCGGCGGCTTAGACATCCGGAGCCCGGGTTGATAGTTTTCCGGGTTCTCCACATGTTCAGCTTGGGATCCTAATTATCCTCAGCATGCTTGCGTTCTGGGGAACAACTTAACAAGGAAAAGGGCGGGGTGTGGGGCTACACAGAAAGGTTGGGGAAAATGGACAGGATCACGGGGCAGATTGGAAAAAGCAAAAGGCAGTTTGGCGAGGAGACCACAAGTGTGGCCAGTCCTCCATCAACGTACCGAGACCCCAGTCATCAGCCCGGTAGGTGAGACGAGCTAACCTCACCTTAGTATCGGCATCACTGCTAGTTGTCAGAGAAAGACATTCTCATGCACCTAAGGGTAATTTCCCGGAGATAGGAGACTCAAACTAAGTCTTAAGTCCGGATCTATAACCTAGCCAAACCCTGCTGATGTTCAGATGGCATTTATGTTTGAATAGCTATCATCTCGTATATCCTCAGTATCCCTTTAGACGCCGCAGTAACATATCATGTGCAGTTGTTGCCCTCTTAGGCAGGTAATCCCTATAATAGATTCCTGTATCTACAACATCAGTGTATAGAAAACACTGGTGTGTTGCTGTGGCGTCCAAAGGGATAGATGCCTATATCGTGACCTTCCATACACATACTATTAGTATCAACTATTCACTATCAGACCTTGTTGTCCTTTCTTTTACAGCAAGAATCTCAGGGCCCAGACAGTAGGAGCTAGATAATTATATTGGTACAGCAAGGAATGCAACTCTATTATGGATCCTACCTATTGTGAAAGCAGCGTACCGGACGCCTTGATCCACAAGCCAACCGTTGACATAGAATTTATTTCCAAGTGAGCCCAATTGACTTGGAACCCGGAGGGCTGTCTCCATATGATATCGGAAAGCATGGAATGTTGCGAGATTTTCTTCCGGCATTCCCACGACGAGCCTCTTCTCGGCGACTAGCACGGGATTCGTTATAGAACCCGTGTTGACGAGGTGCTTGTAGGACGCGGAGGCACGGAAACCAATCTCCCGTTCAATGACGACGTTAGTGCAAGGATAAAAGGAAGACGCACGAACCTTTTTCACAAATTTCAATACTGTCGTGCCTGATAGGATCATCGCGATGAGAGAGAGCCCGTACTTGCTACTTTTCTTGCATTATACCCCTCTCGCAGTTCTCAAAGAATTCACCCTTCTGTAGCCCATTTTAATAGTACCCAGGCATGTCACTGATAGGACTTAAAACAAATCACGATTTTGGCCCGTTCGAAGACCCCTACTCCAATATCACTTACGATTACCTCCAACTATACTACTAGAGCTTGCATAGATGGCCTACAGTTACCTACACGACGTATACAATGCTACTCGAGAGCTTCCCCACGATTGGCTTGGAGCCTTTGAAGGTTAGATCAAACGTGCTCTGCATGTCTGGGTGTTCACGTGCGGACTTCTGCATCCTCAGATGCCAGGAGAACCTATCAGAATACTTCGGGAGCCTCCTCATCATCCTCAGATGATGCTGCTATTCAAATGAGAGAGGTCCTCAGTGATGAAGCAGTGGGAGCTTGAGCTCGAAAATTGTTTTCAGGACAGATCCATAGCGGAACTATACGGTGTATACTCACCCTACGTTTTCTACGTGGATAGGCTAGCACATACAAGGGGGCGTATCTCTTTGGACACAATAGATCAGTATGGTAGCTGAAATAGCAACAGCTGCTTTCGGCAAGCCTCGTGCTATTCAGAGAGCCCAGACCCAACCCTCGTCACATGCAGCACGTCCTGGGCGCTCCCCCCACCTCCTGTCATGGCCCCTTCCCCCTTTCTCGACTTGAACCCCTGCCCACCTTCCTCCTTACAGCCCTCGCCCTTGCCCCCCCTTTCTCTATCCCGCCACTAGAATCTGCTTGGTCCATTCGAAACCATGGCATGCTCAAGACAGCTGGCCGGTGGCTCGGTGGTTAGAGCGCACGTAGTGCATCATCTGCCCACTTGATGTCCTGGGTTCGAATCCCAGCCAGGCGCCCCAATGGCAACCAAGGGTGTGGTTTGGTTTCCCACGAGCACACTCGAGGGAGAGAGAGATGTAGTGGGAACTGGCCGACCTTTGCGAACTCTTTCTGCTAGAAGAGCCTCGATGTTCGTTTCGCGCTGTTGAGGAGATCATAGGTGCAGTCTTTTTGTCACCCGCCGGAGTGGAATGGTCTTGCAAACCTCAGAAGAAAGCATATGACTCAGCTTCACTTGATGGCTCTCGAACTCCTGTTTCACAGCGGTGGTAATAGTCTGAAGCCAGACAAAGGCAAGACAAATGATGACCGCCACTCGATACTCCAAGACGAAAAGTGAAAAAAAGGAAGCATGCGCTGCGATAGTGGAATCGAACCATGGAACTGAACATTAAGACAAAAAAACGGGAGTAAGGATTTGAGAGACAAAAAGAAATGTGGCAGCCAACCGGCAATGACCGTTAGGCCATATGCTCAGGGAGGCCACACGTGGTGCTCGTCTGCCCAACTGCGAGGAGTGCTAACATATCTTATAAAGCCTGACAATTACTTGCTTGTTCTTCGCCACTCCGGTACACTTCTTAGGTAGCCATGGGTACCTATTATTGGGTCATGGCAGCTCAAGTTTGGGACCGAGCAAGATACCTAGGTAGTGTTTAGTGTTTGGATGGTCTCTACCGAGTCTGGGGCGTGACAAGGCACTAATCATGTCACAAGGCGGGTGGTGGTTTCCTCAGGCGAATAAATAACAGGCATGTCGGTTCGGCCATTCTTACCGGGTACGTACGTATCGGCGGTGTTCTCCTGTAGCACGATAACCTTACTGGTTGACTCGATTCCTGTGTGTTGTCTATTCCAATCTCTACGATTGTGCCAGGCCCACGGCCTCGGCCTGTCGATTATCCGTGCGCAGCAACACGGCCAGCACCATTGATGTGGCTGGGGCGTAGCCAACGACAGCCGGAGTGCGATTACACCCAGTGCCGGAGTTCCAACAAGACATGTAAAATGGCCGGGAATTTTCTACGAACTGGCCGACGGAGAGCCCAAGCTCTCGAGCTGCACATCGCATTTGCAATGGAGCACCGCAGTACCCTAAGTTGTTTCTTACCGGCAAGGAGTGCTGTATACAGCCCTGGAACATTACAAGCTACTCATTGTAGGGGCAGAAACAACTGTACGTTGCCTGGTATTCACTGATAGGTGCTTGGGAGAAGAGCAACGGGCTCAACCCTGACGATGATCACTTGATTGCCCATGAATGCGCTTGGAAGAGCTATCCTTCTTGATCATGTTCATGCCCATTTCGTATTGCCAGAAGATGAGAAGGTTCCAAACAAAAGCGCTTAGTTTAATTAATTGTACACAACCATCAAACTCAAGCCGGGCCGATGCTGATGTTGTACTCCAGCTGCCAGTCGGCCTGCGGGTCGCCCTTGCGAGGCACGAAGTCGACGGTGAGACCATCCTTGACGGCAAACACGCTGTCGTTGTCGACGTAATCTGAGCCAGAGTCGAAGATCTGGGTGACAAGGGTCTGGTAGCCCTCGGCGATGACCTATTTTTGCGAAGGAGCGGTTAGTCGAAGGAGCGGGATCGCAGGATTTGTAGGGGCCTGTTTTCTTACCATGAAGTGGATGTGGGCCGGGCGGTACGGATGCCTGTCGAGCATCTCGAGGATCTGACCGCTGGGGCCGTCGTTGGGGACCTGGAGCCACAGTTAGCTCCCGCGTAGTGGCAGAATATCAAGGGGGGCAGGGGACGTACAGGGTACGGGGTAGGCCGGATGCAGTAGCACGAGTAGCGGCCCTCGGCGTCGGTGCGGAACTTGCCCCTCAGGTTGTGCTCCACCTGCTTGTCGTCCTGCTGCTCGTACAGACCGTTCGTGGACGCCTGCCAGAGCTCGACTGATGCGTTGGGGATGGGCTTGCCGGTGTGAGAGTCCGTGATCTGGCCGTAAAGAAACGAAACCTGGGCGTCCTTGGGCGTGTCGAAGGTGATGGTGGTGCCGTTCTCCCTCCAGGGCGTGTCCGCGCGCCAGAAGGGGCCCAGAATGGCAGAGTTGGTGCCAGTGTGGCCCTCCTTGGCGAGCTTGCGGTGGGTGATGTCGTCCACGAGACTGGCCGTGGCAGGTTAGTCTGTTTTCGTGGTGCGATTTGTCGCTGGAAGGCAACTCACCTCTCAATACCAATGATGTCACACATCAGCTGGCCCTCATTCCTCTTCTCGTTGCTCATCTGCCCGCTCCAGTTGATCATCTTGACGGCCGTCATCCACTCATCAGTAGTGAGCTGCGTCTCGCGAATGAAGTCGTGGATGTGCTGGGTAAATGAAGCCATGATCTCTCTCAGTCTGGGGTCGGTCTTGGGCCCAAACGAGTCGATGACCTGCTTGGTGAACTCCTGGCCGAGCCCCTCCTCCTTCTGGCCGTTCGTTGCCATTGTTGCTGGTGTGTGTGTGTGTGTGTGTCTGGTGTATGTGTGTGCGAGTGTGGGTATCTTGAACAGGAGCCTCAAAATGCGACAAGGATACTGTGTGAAGGTGTTGAAGAAATGAAATGGTCGCGGTGATGCTTTCTGACTTGGAACTAGCAGATCTAGCTTGGGGTAACGGCCTGCGTCGCGCGGATATATGTATCGGATCTTAGTGACTTTGGATTATAAAAGGCCACCGTATCACTGGTTGAGACCCCGCTCTGGGGATAGCTTCGAGTCGCCGTCTGGGTCGCAAACAGCCCATGAGCTTGCCCAACATGGAAGGAATCGTTCGACGCCGGGAGGGGGAAACGTGGAAGTGCTCAGCAGACCACACCTCGCGGCTAGGCGAGCCGGTGCGCTATCGTTGTTTCTCCGCAGCGAGGACCAGGGTTCGCCGTCGGACAGCGCACCTGCAAAGGGGAAAGGGTCTGGTCCAAGAAGCTTTTCCCCGCAAGGAAGCTCCGTCGGAACCGCTCAAACGCGGAGGGGCGAGGAGATCGGCAGAAGCCGTCTAGCGTCGGGGGAGGAATGGCGGATATGAGTCCCGGCTCCACAGCAGGCGGCGGATAAGGGCGACTCATGTGCTACCCGACACTTCCTTTGTGGGTCCGTCGTCGATCTTGGATCCGAAAGAGGCAGATTAGGGCAGTAGAGGAGTCTGGGAATAGCAACAAGTCGCATGACAGAGCAGAATATGCTATACTCGTGATGCAGTGGAGGATACCGAGGGAGTAGTAACAAAGACCTCACCCACGTCCCAATCAGGCAATCCGAGCTTTGCGTGACAGTCACTCGAGGACGGGAGGTTATCTACATGCTGTGCGTGCGTAGATCCATGTCCCGGGATTGCGTATTGTAACACATGTCGAGATCCTTTGGCATTCTTCAAATTGATAGGCGGGAGCGGCTGGTGTGATTGGGCCGAGGATCCTCTCATCGAACGATTCATTGCTATCTTGTGTCGCGTGAAACAGGGATTGAGTCTGAAGAGTACCCGAAATATCCAACAAGATTACATTATGAAATGCCGCTTGCTGCAATGATGGAAACCCCGTGGCCATGTCTCCTAAAACCCACTCAAGGAGTGCTTATCCTGCGATCCTTCTCACCGCTGAAGTCCCACGTCGGCGCGTCCGAGCCATTCGGTCGGCTGGCCCTGCTGAAGCCGCTGTTGATGTTATCTGCCTCCACGACGGGCAGGACTGCCTTGACCTCGGCCTTGTAGGGCTCGGACCACCAGTGATCGAGCATGCGAGACTCGTCAAACAGGTGCGGGTAGAGCTCTCTCATCTTCCGCAACGCCGTCCCGGAGATGTGGTCGACGCTGTGCGCGTGTCTCATGGCGCGGAAGTCTGGTCCCATAACCTCGAGCAGCTTCTCTTGCACATTCTTTGGCAGCAGGCCGACCTTGAACAGGAGGATATCGTACTGCAGCAACGAGGCCTTTCCGTGCCATGATCCTCCCTTGACAGCCCGGTGGTAGAGACCGATCAGGGCGGTGATGGCGCCCATGCAGCCGGTGCCGTAGTCAGAGATGGGGAAGGGAGGCACAACGGGTTCATTCAGGCCCATGAACCGTCCTTGCTCCCACGCGACTCCACTGACCTATGCGACATGTCAGTTCAGAACCTCGCGAGGACAGACACAGTAGCGCGCTATCGACTTACACAATCGGCGATCTGCTGCCAACCGGGCCGGTTGGCCCACTCGCCTTCATAGCCAAAGCAGTTCTCGTTCACGTAGACGTAGCCCTTGCCGCGCTCCTCTGCAAGCCTCGCCAGTGCCTTCGGCCCGTAGCCAAGCTTCTCCAGAGCTCCGGGACGGTATCCGTCGACGAGAACGTCTGCTTCCGCAAGGAGTTTGTCAAACACGGCCCGGTCTTGAGGCGTCTTGAGGTCGAGGTCGGCGGCGTGCTTGCCCATGTTACCATCGACCTGGAAGAAAGGAACGTCGCTGAGGTTGGGGCTGGTGATCTTCAGCACATCCGCACCATACTCGCCCAGGATCCGGGTGATGGTGGGTCCGGCGATGATACGGCACAGCTCAAGGACCTTGATGCCCTCGAGCGGCTTCACGGGCTGACCGGCGGTGGCCGAAGGCAGAGGATATTTCGGCGTGCGGTCCTCGAGGTTGTCGACGGACCACGGAGGGATGTGCATATTTGTCTTTCCCTACCAGCCGATGCGTGTCAGTAAAGCCAGGTTCTGGCTACCCTCGTGCCCAGGAACGATGGCTAACTTACATGAGGAGTTTGGACAAAATCTTCGTGCTTCAGTGCCGGAACACCGGCCTGTCGCTTCTCGGCATTCATCTTCTCGAGCTCCTCCACCGTGAACTTTTGTACAGCGGGCTCGATAGCGCCCACGATCTCCTCGTGGGTCTGCAGGTCTGGCCTGTGCGATTCCAGCCCAATCATCTCTAGAGTGGTCGACGCTTCGAGACTGCCGTGGATGTGGTAGTACTCGTCGGGAGTCTTGGTCGCGTAGAGATTGGCAGACATGCGACGGTACGGGTTGGACTGGGCCTGAAGTAAGTCCGTATCTGTAAGTTGTTAGCCACCTTGGTAGAATGACGGTTTCGCAACAAGCTTGCTAACCTTTCAACAGCTTCTTCACGCTCGGATCCAGCTTTCCGAGTCCGGCAATCTTCGCCATGTAAGCCTGGCACAGAAAGGCCGTCGTCTTCTCCAGGTTGACCGTCACATGGCGCGCCTCGTCCTTGCCGGTCTTGAGGTCCGCTAGAAGGCAGGCCACGGCTCCCTCGATGGCCTTCAGCGCCGCGGTGGTCTCGGTCTCCTTGAGAGGGATGGGGAAGTAGGGTTGGTCACGCGTGGCCGTGAACGACAGGCGCTCCTTGAAGTCTTGCACGCTGGACGGCAGGTCCGTATCGTCAAAGAGCCCGCACAGGAAGTCAAAGATGCGGCTGGCCTCGGCGGTCGAGGAGTACCCCTTGTTGGTGCCGTTGGCACCATTGGCACCGTTGGTGCTGCCGTTCTGCATCGTCAGAGACTCTGTTCAGCCTGGCCGGTGACGTGGTTTGCTATCGAAGGAAGGTCGAACAGCCGTCTGGCACATGAATCGTACGACGGCGATGTGGTCCTCCATCGCGAAGCCGAAGGAGATAAGCCATGAATAATCTCCAAAGAAAGCTATTCCTCGCCCGAGCTTAGCTCTCCAACGGGAGCCCGATATCGTTGGTGCAGTGGAGTCATGCCACCGGCTTAGGAAGCTGTAGTGGGTGTGGGGGTTTGAGTAGCGATCGAGGCGGATCCGTTCCATTGCCGACTCCGCCTAGTCTTTAGCCGACGTAGATGTGCCCGTCTTCGGGCAATGCCCGCGCGAAGCTGCTTTAGGTTCCCCCCAAAAGTTTCGTCGCCACGGATCTCGGACGTGTCTAGCTTATTAGCGCCATGATGCAATTGGCGCGGGGCGGGTTGGAGACAAACTGTACTAGACCTTTGAATGGCACCTCCATCTGCATCTGCATGTGATACCTAACCAAGGGTCATTGTGTGTTGGTTTCGTAATGCTCCGTACTCCGTAGAAGTCTTCTGGTTGTCCAACTATACCGTGCCAAACTACAAGATGCCATTCTTTCAGTCAGGAGAAAAGAGGCTCTTCTACCATCGTGTAGATGCTGGGGCCGCTCAAAAGGCCGCAGCGCCGACACTGGTCTTCATCCACGGTCTGGGATCATCACATGCCTTCTATGGCTCTGTGATGAACCAGCTCGCAGGCGCGGGCTACTCAAGTGCTGCACTGGATGTCCATGGTAGGTCTTACCCCGGTGATGTTTTCTCGCAACGGCAGGTTTAACTGAATAACTGGGTAGGCAGTGGCATGTCCGAGCTTGCACCGGGAAGCGCCGGTCCTACATTCGAGTCGATCGGGAAGGATGTCGAGTCGCTCCTCGCCCATCTCAAGCTCGCTCCCGAGCAGGTCATTGTCGGAGGGCATTCGATGGGCGGCATTGTCGTCTCCAATCTGGCCGCACAACATAACCTGAAGGGTGCAGTGCTCATTGGACCAGTTCTGCCGAAACCAGCACTTGGGGAGATATTCACGGCCAGGATTGCCAAAGTGCGGGAAGGTAAGAGAAGACGCAAACCTGCTTGCTCCTGTCGAGATGGATCTATGCTCAACTTCACTCGTTCGTAGCCGGTATGGAGGCTATGGCAGATACGATTCCGGTCGCCGCCACTGGTTCTCGATCAACACAAACCCATAAGGCTTTTATTCGAGCTCTTATCTTGTCGCAAAAGGTAGAGGGATATGCTGGAGTCTGCCAAGCCATTGCACAGGCAGAGCGACCCCAGTACAGCAAAGCGAAGTCTCCCGTCCTGATACTAGCCGGCTCAGAGGACAAGACGAGCCCTGTGGCGGATTCTCGGGTTATTCTAGAAGAGTATGTACAAGTTCCTGTGTCTCGATCTACCGAATACGAATACAGAAGCTAACTTTGCCATTAGATGGGGTTCGGATGACAAGTCCAAGAGGTTGGAGATACTCGAGGGCGTTGGTCACTGGCACTGCATAGAAGCGGCAGATGAAGTAGGAGACAAGATTCTGAATCTTCTTTCTCAATTGTCATGATGTCTATAGTCTAGATCCTAGAATGCACTTTGGGAATACTGCAATACCTGCGCAGACTGTGCGAAGCGATCACTTCTTGTAGGGATTCTTGGCCCCAGTATCCTGGATGCTCGTTAGTTTGTGATAGATAGCGTCCGAAGTAGCAGAGAAGCGTACCAGGTAGACTTGATAGAAAGACAACCGGCCCTTGTCTCCGCTGAAGTCAAGCTTCGCGTGTGCTGCCCACTCCGACAGCATGTTTCCACCCGCCTTCAGGCCCAGGTCGACAATGCCATACATCATGACCTCCGTGGCATCGTTTCCGAAGGGGAAGACCTGGTGCACGGTGTGCTTGCGCGAGGCTACTGCAGACCACATGCCTTCTCTCGTGGCGCGGATCTCTGTGCATCGTTGGAGCAGAGAGCAGAGGGTCAGTCTTCAGATCTGCGCACTTCAGGGAGCAATCCCGAACATACCATCGGTACCCTTGCTCACTTTCGACGCGAGAATGAATGTCGCATCTTTGGTAAACCGGTCGACGTACTCGTCGTGCTGGCCGGGCGTGTCTGATAACTTGAAGAAGTCGGAGATGAACGCCTGGACCTCGGGCCGCACCTTGATGTCGGCGGGGTAGCTCGGGGTAGAAGTTGATGATGACATTGTCAATGGCGGCGTCTTTTGTCGCTGCGTGGACTACGATTCAAAGTTCGCGCGATCAATGTAAGCTGCTGCGGCGAGCTCTGAGGCATTCAGTTATCCAGATGGAACAAGAGATCGACGGACTTATCGGTGTGAAGTATTACTAATTCGGAATGACGAAGTTAGTGCCCATTCGACGCCACTGGGATACTGTGCGACGGAGATGCCCCCCGCAGTAGATCCAGATGGCGGCGGATAGCTTCGTACTCCACCGGGGAACCTCCTCCGCACCGCGGTACGCCTGGCGGATGCGACACCGGAGCGCATGATTATGCGGCTAGAAGGCCATTGGAGGGGCGAAGAAGACAACATGGTGGTTAGATAGCACCGATATGCTCGTGACGATGAATGATTGACCAGAATAAGGTTAGCTCCCAATGGCACAAGTTCTCTGTTCCTTTTCAACCTACTTCACTCATTGTGTCGACCCGCACAGATCGGTGGCGATGAAAGCTTGGACTACAGTAGAAATGTTTGGAAGTCATGTATTAGATCAAGACATGCTATCTATCTAGTTCATTACAGCGTATCCTACTCCGAGTCCTTGAAAGCACCAAGCTTGAACAGCTTCTTGGCATTCTCCTTGCCAATCTTGGCCACGTCCTCCTTGTTCTTGAGCGTCACGCCGTCGTACCAGTTGCAGGCGTCGCCAAACGACTCGAAGGGGTAGTCGATGGAGAACAGGATGCGGTCGGCGCCGATCTCGGTGATGCAGTACTCGAGCGTGGGCGTGGAGAAGTGCCCGCTCGTCGTGATCCAGATGTTCTGCGCAAAGTACTCGCGGATCGTCTTCTTGCACGACAGGCCCAGGGGCTTCTTGACGTCCTCGAACCAGTGGTTGATGCGCCACAGGTCAAAGGGGATGTGCTCGCCCAAGTGGCCGATGACGATCTGCAGCTTGGGGTGGCGGTCGAAGACGCCGTTGGTCACCATGCCCAGCAGGTGCAGGCTGACGCCCTGGGCGAAGCTCAGGGGCGGGCCGATGAGCCACGAGCGCTTGGCCCACAGCTTCTCGTGGATGGTGCCCGTGGGGTTGCGCGGGTGCAGGTAAAAGGCGACGTCGAGCTCGACGACGGTGGCCCAGAAGACGTCCCACTCCGGGCCGTCGTAGAAGACCATGTCGTCGCCGTCGGCGCCAGCGCGCTGGGTGTCGTTGACCAGGGCGCCCTTGAAGCCGTACTTGGTCACGCACCGCTTCAGCTCAGCAGCGGCCTCGTTGGGGTCGTGCATGGAGAGAGTACTGTGAGGACCCGCATTAGGGACGTGTCTTGGAAGTGTAACGAGAGGGCATCTTGACTTACGCGAAAGCTCCGAAGCGGTCCGGGTGGGACTTTATCGTCTCGGCAATGTAGTCGTTGACCTCGACTGCCAGGGCCTGCGCCTCCTTGGGGTCCCAGATGTCTTGCACACCAGGTGCAGTGTAGGACAAGATCGTGTAGCCAACGCCATGCTTGTCCATATACTTGATCCGGGTCTCGGTGATGTCGTTGATCTCGTTGGCGTGCTTGTCGGCGTCGACAGCAAACATGCCAGCCCACCACCTCGTCCGCTCCTTGAAACGGGGCAGCGCGAAGGCTTCCTCGAGAGCTACCTTTCCGAGCATTGTGACTGTGAATATCTAGAGAGAAAAAAACTTTGTTGTGATGAAATGAACAAGAGCAGACGATAAGAGATATGAGAGCAAAGGTCGACTATATGAGAGACGCGATCCCCCCGAGACAGCCGTACCTGGTTGGGGAAGCTTTAAGTACGGCCGGTACTCATCCGCACTTACATGGTTGCCAGCCCTCGCGACGGGGAGGGACACCCGGCGGGCGTCTCCTCTCCCACTACGACAGCATCTAATTCTGGTAGTGTAAGCGAAACTCTCGATCCTAGACTAAACCTTAGTGTGGTGGAGACGCCTTTCCTGGAGAGAGTTTATGCGGGGGATGATGCTGGGCGGATGTGATCCTTTGTCTGGATTTGTTCGAACCCCGCATCTCCTCTTCCGCAGGTGATAAATAGGTATTCGGTTGACCCGGGACGGCTGTTGGTTCTGCGCTCCGGGGCGCCGCGAGGCATATCCCCCTTCAACCTTCAAGAGGGATGGGGACCAGCCAGCTGTGATCGACCCTGGAAGGACGCGAAACGAGTCGCGGCACCCCGAATCGCCTCCGCACTTCCTGTTATCAAGGAATCCACAAGCCTTAGTTCGGTCTGCTCTAGACTCGCTCTTATCTCTCTACCTCTACTCCAAATTCGCGCACGCCTAGGCCTAGCGCTTCGCAGAATCCCTTTCCGACGGCCCCTTTTAAAAGGGTCCCAGTGGCCCCAGAATCGGTTAAGAACCCTGGCTGGTACACGGCGCTGGTCAGTCCAAGGCATGTCTCTTGTAAACTCTCGGCACCACCTCGTGTCGTTGCGTGTGTAAAAGCCGACAGCGACTCCAGTCCGATCAGCCCATACCATATGCCCCGACCAAAGGTTCACCCGGCGAACCGCCGGAGGGCGGCAGAGGCGTGCAACTTCTGTCGCGCCTCCAAGAAGCGGTGCAGCGCGACGGTGCCCTGCACGGCCTGCGAGCGCCGCGGCATCGGCGCCTCGTGCTTCCTTACGCATAAGCCTAGAGGTCATCGTGGGCTCAGCTCCCGCTCCTCCGCTACCGCCTCGCAGGCCCGCTCTGTAGTGACGGATGACGCTGGGGAGCAGAACGCCGGGAGACGCCCGAGCGAAGTCGACGCCAGCTTCCTGTCCGACTCGGGCTTCCTTCGGCAGCCGCCAGACCCAGCAGACCTGAACTCGGCGGATGCCTTTCGTCTCCTCTCACCTACCAGCTCTCACAACGACGCTTCCGTCGTCTCTGCCCCTTCGGCCACGCACCAGCAGCACCGGACTGCCTCATTGTCGTCATCTCTACCTTCTGTCGGCGAGCTGCATTCTAGGATGTTGCTTAACCGTCGCGGCGATCGAGGTAAGACCTTACCGTTTCTTAGCTTGTACCCTTTCACATCTATGACGTCCTCTATGTGAGCCTCACTTCGGAGGTACTCTGTATGCTGACGAACCCTTCACAGTGTTCATCGGAGAAGCTGCCTCCTTATCCTTCTTGTCTTTTCTTCGCGATGCCGTCTCAGCAAAGATTGGCCCGTCCCAGTTCTCTCACAATGACAAGAGCGAGAGCATGCTGGAGTCGCAGCCCTTGGAGACCGAGACCGGCTCCATGGACCCCGCCGCCATGAACATCTCGGCCGAAGACAGGCTCTCTTACGTCAATACATACTTCCTAGCTGTAGGTTCCTTTGTCATGAGCAACTCCTAAAACGAAACCAAACTAACAAAGAAACCAGACCGCCGGCGTCATCGACATCTTCTCAGAGTCGGAAACCCAGGAACTGATGAACCCGAGCCCGGAGTCACCGTCCTCGACGCCGTGTCCGCTGCGGGACCTCGTCATCGCCATCGGCGCGCAGTGCAAGTCCATCGGCTGCTCGCGGCGGATAGGGCAGCAGTTCTTCCGCAAGGCGCAGGTGCAGGCCTTCTCGGGCATGCTCGAGGACCACGACATGGACACGGTGCGCATCTTCCTCCTCATGCACTTCTACATGCTCGGCCACTGCCGCCGCAACACGGCGTCGATCTACCTCGGCATCGCGGCCCGGACGGCCATCGCGCTCGGCCTGCACAGCGATGTCTGCTCGTCGGGCGTGGCGACTCCCGAGCACCAGGTCAGGTACGTGGATAGTTTCTCCTTTGCACACATTCCTATAGTCCGAACATGATGTTGACATATCGATAAGACGGCGCGTGTGGATGAGCCTGCGCATCTGCGACATCATCGTCAGCTCCATCCTCGGCCGGCCGCCCGCGACGGGCAGCCAGGCCTCGAGCGCGGAGGAGAAGCGGTGGCTCGAGGAGCCCGGCCGGCGGCCGTCGATCGGCAACTCGGACAGCCTGACGGCATCGCTCAAGATCCTCATCATCATCAACCAGATCATCGAGGAGATCTACGTCAAGAAGGACGAGTCCAAGCGGCGCGCCGAGCAGCTGCTGGACAAGGTCAACAAGTGGAGCCAGTCGCTGCCCGCGTCGCTGCTCAAGCAGAGCAACTCGCCCGGCGACGCGCTCGGCCAGGCCGACTCGATCGCCCGGCTGCACGTCTCCTGCCTGTACTACTACGCCGTCACGCTCGTGACCCGGCCGATCCTGGTGTCGAACCTCATCCTGCAGCCCGGCATGGACGACCCGGCGTCGTCGCAGCTGTCGTCGGCGTGCATTGACGCTGCCGTCTTCTTGGCGCAGACCTGCATGGATTCACATGCGGAGCGGCTGATGCTCGGCAACATGTGTTATATCAAGTAAGATCTTACAATTGTCCAGACACGACCCATGGCCAAGTACGCTAACCACCCTTTAACGAACAGAGCCTTGATATTTGCAGCTGGACTCATCCTCGGCTTTGCGCTGTTCGCGGAGAAAAACAGGGACTACGAGGTAGAGGGAGCGTTTGACGGCGCCAAGGATGTGCTTGGCTTTCTGTCCGCTCAAAGTCCACAGGCGGGCCATTACTTGGAGATCCTGAGCCTTCTCTCCACGGCCATCGACCGACAGCGCCAGAGGCAGACGACAAGAGGTCGCAACAAGTACGTCGGAAAGATCCTGACGATGAACAACGATGCGGCTCCCGCAAGTGGCTCATCGTCGAGTCCCAACGAGTCAATATCAGTGGCACCCGTGCCCAGCCTGTTGTCTGACCAGACCGACTACACGTCGGCGATGCCAGACGTGGGCGTGGACTTCTCGGTGGACTGGGACGCTCTCGATTTGTCACAGTGGGACAGCTTCCCGTTCTTGGATCAGAGGGTTTTGGATCTGGGCGTATCTCAGGTGGACGGCTAAGTTTGTATATTAACGGTCTATGGGTATCCGGCGTTTGGGCTGCTGTCTTTGCTGCTCAATCTGATAGCGTTTTCTTCTCAACGAATATTCCCAAATGAACTATCAATCTCTCTGTGCCAATCATCCACACTGCGAAATTTGAAATCCACCTTGTCTGCCGCAAAGAGCATTCGAAATCGGGCTTTCAAAGGCTCCACATCGTCCCACGTGGCCTCCCAGGTGCCAACTTCGAGCTCAATGGGGCTCGAGGTGAACTGGAACTCCTTCAAGCTCGGCAAGTAATTGCGGTGGTCCCGGTGGAAAGCCCCAAGGAGCAGATCAACGCGCTCGGAATACGACAAGCAAGTCTGAGGATCGGGAGGTGCGCGAGCCCGCGGGAAGCTGGGCATGCGACGTCTCATAGTCGAGCTCCAGTCGTCGACGAGGTGAAGTGCCTCAAGGGTTGGGGGCATGAGGGACGGGATGTTGAGCTCTTTGGTCTGCTCGTCCACCAGGAAGCGGATGTTGGTGGTCAGACTTTTCAGAGCTTGCATCTTAGGCAGCACGTCCTTTAAGAAGGATCTCGATACGCGCGTGAACATAATTTTCCTGGGATACGTCGTGATGCAGAGGGTATCGAGTGAGCGCCGGAAGAAATGCAAGCAGTTATACATTGCATCAACTCGATCGGCCCGGATTTCATCCCTAGGACGACCGATGTGGATGGACAGTCGCGTCAGGGCGGGAAACACGGTGCAGCCCAGGGTGATAAATTGCTGAGGTGCACAGGCACCGTAAACCGCCAATTCGCTTGCCTCACTCGTAGCGACCAAAGGCCAGCCGGTCTCGAGGCACCTAGAACTCCTGAGTCCCTCGCCCTTGATCTGTACTGTTTTCAGGCTCGGGCAGAACTGCAGCACTCGGCCGGGAATGATCCTACGATTCCGCGCTGCTGGGCTATACAGAGGAAAGTGAATCGTGATGGTCTCGAGCTCCCGGAGAGCCAGCGGGAATGAAAGAGTGTCTGGTAGTGCGAGTCTTCGGCACAGCATCTCGATCCGAACCATTTCTTCCTCTCCATCGCTCGGGAGCGCACTAAGCACCCTTTGAAAGGCCATCCATTCAGAGGGGAACAGTTGGGTTTCCCTACCGGCCTCGTTCATAGGAGTGGGTGAGATCCGCGTGTAGAGCCTCTTGACCTTGGGCATGAATGCAAGTATTCCCTCGAATGCGGAACATGCTGTGAGAGGCAGCCGCGGTCTGAAGTGGTGGTCTGCCTGGCTCGATGGGCCTGGGGCCGAATAGTAGGCTGAGCGCACCTTGCGATGCTCGTCGGGTGTCACCTCGTGGAGCATCCCGCACCAAGCGAAGCAGGTGATCAGGTCGCGGAGCTTCGGTGCTTCATACAGGGTGCGGAAGAGGCAAAACAGCTCCTTTTGATTCTTGACGACTACCGCTTGATAAAGGTAAGGTGTGGCGAGGTCGTACAGGGGACGGCAAGTCAGGCAGAGGTTGCTGAGGTTCCTTCTCGAGCTGATAAAGGCTGGATTGATGGCGTATTCTTCTGCATCCCAGTCATCGACCACGGAGCCCTCTGGGAGCAAGTATCCCAGGATCCACGCCGTGAGTTCGACCGGGAAGGTCGCTAACTTCGGGGCCCGTGCGGAGTCCATCTTTCTCGGACGTTGGGCTCCGGCTGCAGCACGGGGCACGGAGGGAGTCGATGAGCAATGAGTGTCACCACGCGACAACGCAGAAACGCTACCCGCGCAAGAATAGGCTATATCCGCATAATTTTACCCTTGCTAGAGCTGTAGTTGTGACTGGTGACGGCGTTTGAGTGCAACATGATATTGCGTGACCAGGGCGCATGTCGTCAAACGTGGCCCGGGCAAAATCGTCATCCCGCATCCTGTATCTCACGTGATCACTATCGCATGTGTGTGATTGTTCGCCGGAAGGCGCTTATAAGAGCCTCAAACTATGACGTGCGTGTTGCAAGACGACGAGATAAGATAAAGAGTGTTTGGGTTTTGGACATTCTGCTATCAACTTGCGTTCAAAACTCACTTCCCAACGGGCTGGGTTGCAAAGAGTCGCGAAGGGCAACGCCGGCGGATCCCGCGACCGAAATGCGGAGACACCTAACTTCATAGAGAGCTGGGGTTCAGTTGTCTGTCAAGTCTATCAACCCAATTGCCTGTCAGACAATTGGCAAACACAGAGTTGGCCTCCAACAAAATTCACGGATCTTAGGACGGAATGGGGTTCCTACCTTTCCGGAGAACTAGTCGTCAGGTCCAGTTAACTTCCGCGTGTTCAACCATCCGTTTGCCGCCTGATAAGCAGTGCAGCAACAGCTGCTGAGCTTGCAGTGGGCTCCAGCCGATAAGACAGCTCGCATCGGTAGCGTTACAGGAGGGCACCACCATTCTCGGCAGTGGATTATTCATTGGCCAGACCGTAGACGATAGATACGGGGTTACGGGGTAGTGTGGTGGTCCATATCCGACACTGGTCCATACCCGACGCGGGGATCAAGGGCAGGTAGAGGAGAGATAAGCGGCTAAGACACCCGGCGTAGCCCCGGCCGGAACACCACACCCACCACCACTGCGACCACCGATTAGCACCCAGACCACAGTGATTGATGGGACCTGACAATCGGCTTGTACCGACACTGGCCTGGGGCGGGAGTGAGTGAAGGTCTACGACCAGGAATGATAGCAGACGCAGTTTAGCGGCTAGAAGGGTAGCGTGCCGCAACAGCTAGTGGGCGGTGGTGATCCGTCAAGTCATATCGAGTGCGATCATCAGCAGGACATCATAAGTACAAAACCCCGAGGCTCTTAGTACGTAAAGCTTCCCTCTGCACTGAACCCAATAGCACCCAGCAGAAGCTCAATCTGGAAGCAAGGAACCTCGGACTCTTTTCTTAACTATCCACACATAATACCACCCTTGATCATACACACTCACCCACTACCACATACACACATACACCACACACACACACACACACACATACATGATGGGCTCATTATCAACCCCCGGCTGGCGCCAGCTCAACGTCGGCGTCATCGGCGGTGGCATCGGCGGCATGTCCGTCGCCATCGCCCTGCGCCGCTCCGGCCACCTCGTCACCATCTACGAGCGCGCCGACTTTGCCGGCGAGGTCGGCGCCTCGGTCTCGTGCGCCGCCAACGGCACCCGCTGGCTGCACGAGTGGGGGGTCGACGTCGCCAAGGGCGACCCTGTCGTGCTCAAGAGCCTCATCAACCGGGACTGGAAGACCGGCGAGCCCGTCAGCGTCTATTCGCTGGACGACTACGAGAAGCGGTGGGGCTACGTCTACAACATGTTCCACCGGCAGTACATGCACGCCATGCTCAAGGACTGCGCGCTGCAGGAGGAGGGCGAGGGCGTGCCGGCCAAGCTGGTCGTGAACCACAAGGTACGTGCGACCTGAGACTTTCCGCGGCGCATGAAAGTAGCCGGTATGATGTGAATAGATATGAACTGACGTTGTACAACTTTTAGTGCGAAGACATCGATCTGGAGAAGGGCACCATCAAGTTCGCCAACGGTGTCACGGTGCACCACGATCTGATTGTCGGCTCTGACGGCATTGGCTCTGCCGTCCGCGGCGTTCTGGGCATCCACCCGGCCAAGCGCCCGGCCGACTCCAGCTGCCTGCACGCCAACGTCAAGACGGAAGATGCCGTCAAGCTCGGCCTCGTCGACTACTCCCAGGACAGCGCCCTCGAGTACTGGGGCGGCCAGGAGGGCAAGTGGGACAAGATCGTCCTGTCGCCTTGCAACGGCGGCAAGCTGCTGTCGTACTACTGCTTCTTCCCCCGCGAGAAGGGCGACTACTCGACTCAGCAGTGGGGCACCGAGGACAGGCCTGTCGAGGAGCTGCTGGCTCCTTTCCCGGAGTTGGATGCTCAGGTCAAGGCGCACCTGGCTATTGGTATCGAGATCCAGCCCTGGCGTCTGTGGGTTCAGTAAGTCAAACTGTTCGACACACGATTACAGGCACCAGTAAACTAACCGATAACCTTACAGCGACCCTTACCCCTACATGCACAAGAACACCACTTGCCTTCTAGGCGATGCCGGACATCCTGTAAGTATTCTCACTTTCTTCGAGCCACTAGAGTCTCAAAATACTAACAGAACCCAGATGATGCCCCACCAAAGTCAGGGTGCTTGCATGGCCATTGAGGATGCCGCTGCCCTGGGCATTCTTTTCAACAAGCAGAACTTCAAGGGCGACGTTGCCGAGTGCCTGGACGTCTACACCAAGGTCCGTCTGCCTCGCGTCACCAGGGTGCAGGCCGCTGCTGCCAAGGCCGCCTACAACATCAACGAGAGAATCGGTAAGCGCTTTTCTTGAGCCATCTTCTCCGCATATGTCCGTTGTCTAACAAATCTCGCGCTAGGTTTCTCTGCCAACAAGGACATTGCTACGTACAAGGTTGAGGACGAGAAGAAGAAGCTGACCATCGAGGAGATGAACGCGTAAGTTTCAAGCATCACACCGTCTTTGAATTCTCCTCGGCTAACCTCAGCTGCAGATATGACATGTACAAGGACATTGATGAGGAGCTGGCCAAGGCTAGGGGTCAGGAGTATAAGGACAAGTACCTTCACGGTCTGCCCATCGGTCTGGAGCTTCCCAACGGCGTTGTTATCGGTGCATGAGCAGCATGTTTAGATTTTGTGTACTAGTTTGTCAAAGGTTGCATAGCATCAAAAGATCGTTATACCCCAAGTCGCCAGAACCTTTTGATGAACCGTGAATCTCTTGTGCTTTTGACTTGCCCGAGAAAACCAGTGGTAGCTCACCAAGAATATGAGAAGGGTCTCGGGATTGTTGGACATGCAAGCCAGCCCGTAACTAACTGCCTGCGGATATAGATAACTCTCGTGACTGACACTTCGAACACTCACAGTTGGGTGTATATAGAGACCTAGATGGTTATAGCACAATCAAGGTGAAGTTGGGCCAGGGATTCCTGAAGCGTCACTCGTGTGTGATGGTACCACAACGTGGCCAATGGCCCTCCAATATGCTTGAGATGCGTTTCATAGCTTTTAGACCTTGGGTTTCATGTAATCATTGAAATAATGGTAATTACATGAGGTGAGGATCTACTCTTATTATGCCTAGGAAAGCCCTAATATCCTAATGGCAATCCTGGGATGTGATCATTCTAACTCTATACAATAGTATTCACCATTCGGACCAGGGCCGATCAGCCACAGCGCCCTGGTATCAGTCCTTTGCATATCCAGCCCCAGGTCGGCTTCTGTGCGACATTCACTGGAGCAATCGGCAAGACCATTTGCGATTGGCTACCATGCTATCACCAGACCAGACATGATTGTGTGGGTCTGGACTCTGGAGAAGCTCTGGGGCGGGGAGTCCCCGGCCGGCTACACCTGGGGCCATTTTCACCACGATGTGCGGTGATCCACTCCAGACTATAGATGGCGGGGGATAGAATAGAGTTGGTGGGGGGACAATGGAAGGGGAGATTAGTACTCGACTATCTTTCATACCCAATCAGCTTTAGATAGGCCTTCCGAGTTCCGAGCAAGGGTATGTAATGTTATCATTGAGGTATCACCTGATGAACTTCCGTCAACTACTGACAAGGGTTTCAACTAGATTAGTGGCACCAAGTCAATCCTAAACGGCCATAAGGAGGTGTGAACCGTTAATAGGGGAAATATGTGACTAGTATGCTCCTGAAAGATGAGCTTCATTCACGCGTCGAGAAGTTGTTACTCAGATCAGATCCTAGAACTGGCTTGGCAGACCCTATCAATTCTGCCTATAGCATGTGCATAATTATCGTGGACCGGACAGACGTTGTGTATCATTCGCAAATACGTTCAAACGTCTTTGACTTCCTGGATTCAGGCTTTATCTATGAGCCAATGATCTTCTCGAGATAGCGCAGCCAGTTCTCGCCCAGTACCTTACGCATCTTCTCCTCGCTCCAGCCCTTCCTAGCCATGGCGCAAGCGAGTTCAGCTCTTTCTGCCAGGGGTCCCAAAGGCTTGATGACCTTCTGGCTGCCCCAAGGAGTCAGTTGTCGGGCGTAGCCCTTGTCCTTGTTGCACCACGCCATGAACTCGCTGGGCCGTCCGTGTCCCTCGCTGGCGTCAGAGCCGATACCAACCAGATCCTCTCCAATGAGACCAATAACATGGTCAAGGGCGTCGACGTAGTCGTCAATGGTGCTGTCGTTGCCCTTTGCCATGTGCGGGCCGAACTGGGATAGTCCGACAAAGCCACCACGAGAGCCCAGCAGCTTGATAAGCTCGTCAGGCTTGTTTCGGGGGTGATCCTTGAGGCCGCACGGCAGCACGTGAGAGAAGCAAGGGGGCTTGCCCTCGGGCGCGTACTTGATGACATCCTCCGAGGTCTTGTAGCCGACATGGCTCAGATCGACAACCATGCCCAGCTTGGCCATTTCATCGACAACCTCTCGGCCGAAACCCGTGAGGCCCGAGTCGTTGATCTCGGTGTAGCCTGCTCCGGAGTAATTTTGGGTATTGTACGTGAGCTGCATCTTCTTGACGCCGAGGTCCCTGAAGACGCGGAGGTAGTCCAGCTTGTCCTCGATACCCGCCGTGTTTTGCCATGAGAGCAGGACGGCCGTCTTTCCTGCCTTCTTTGCCGCCCGGATGTCGGCGACAGTGTGCGCTTGTACGATCAAGTCCGAGTGCTCCTCGAACCACTTCTTCCACTGGACGACATTGGCGATGCTATCCCGGAAACCCTCCCAGAGTCCACAGGTGCACGACACGCCGGTGATACCACCCTTATGCCATGCCTCAAAGATGTCGCGAGACCAGTTGCAAATGTTCAGCCCGTCGAAGTGAATCGCCGAGGCGTAGATCTCGCGGGCTTCAGACTCTGACACCATTTTGACAGCACTTGACGCTTCCTAGTTGACTCGGTGAAGGAAATGCGAAGGATTGCTGCTACTACAGCTGCTAGAGTCTCAATCGTGATTTGTTCCGGAGTCTATCGGGATTTGGCTACGATCACGTACATCACGTCAGAGCCCTAGAGACGTGAACGCCGAGTGCCACACGAGGCAACCTATTCCCGGTGGTGATAGTGAAATTCTCAGTCATTAGTAAGGTTGTCGGGCGCCACCCGACAGTGAAAGAATGGATCTGTGCATCCACCACGAGGCTAGCGGCGAGTCAGGTCACCCGGGATTTGGGGTCCGACAGGGCGAATTACTGTTTCAGGCAGATTTCCATCCACCAGGTCGGGTTGTGCCCGACGTCCTAGCAACATTCTGCACCCGTCTGCGCGGTCTTGCTCCGCACCAGCAAGGGTTTTATCACACGGCTATCTGGGGAAATCTGGATATCGGTGCCCACCATTTCCCTTGTGTCAACGGGACCAACATGGCGTAATCGACACCATTGCAACCTTTATCCCTTTCAGCAAGGCTGATCTTGGTATTGTAATAAGCGTTCTATGATATAAAGTATCGAGCTCGCCGTGATCAGCGCCGACTCCTCAGCTTCCTCCAGACACCCAACACGTCTATCACGACGATTTGCGTGTCAGCAGTACCTTCATCCACCGTTACTCCTGTGCTGCAGACGCGATGGAGACCCCTGTGGAGGACACAGAGAAGGCCCACCCCGTGGGTGTCAAGGACGGTTCGGTCGACAGTCGGGAAGGGCCGGCTGCCAAACGCCCTCTGAGCAAGAGAATCCTCGCCGTGGTGTGGGACTCGCTCGACAAGACTCCCGAGGAGCGCAGCTTCATTGCGAAGATTGATTGGTGGATCCTGAGCTACTGCTGCATCGCGTACTTTGTCAAGTACCTTGACCAGACCAATGTGAGTAATGTGGCATGCGACACCACCAGCCAACCGGCCTTCCCCGTGGGGGAGGCAGTATCTAATCTGATGGTTGCGTGCTGACACTCGGGCCAATCAAGGTCAGCAATGCGTACGTGTCGGGCATGAAGGAGGACCTGAATATGACGGGAAATGACTTGAACTACCTGACCACCTACTGGAACATCGGCTACATCCTCGGCCAGGTCCCGTCGCAGCTGATGCTGACCAAGATCCGTCCCTCTATCTGGCTGCCGAGTCTCGAGCTGATCTGGGGCTTCCTGGTCATGGGCATGGCCGGTGCCAAGAATGTCGAAACCCTTTATGCACTTCGGTTCTTCGTTGGACTTCTAGAGGCGTCTGCCTATCCCGGCATCATGACGCTGCTTGGAAACTGGTACACTCCTATGGAGCTGGGCAAACGTGCCTGCATCTTTCAGGCCTCTTCCAGTGCCGCTCAGATGTTCTCTGGGTATGTTTTCTGGTTGAAAAATCGAGAAGTGGTGGAATAAGATACTAATAGGAAGGTCAGATACTTGCAAGCTGCTCTGTACTCCGGTATGAACGGCAAAGCAGGTCTCGCAGCCTGGAAATGGCTCTTCATCTTCGACGGCATCATCGGCGTGCCAATCGCCCTCTACGGCTACTGGGCCATCCCCGACGCGCCGACATCCTCCAAGGCCCGTTGGCTCAAGCCCAAGGATCGCGATATGGCCGTGGGCCGCATGGAGCGCGTTGGCCGCGCCCCAATGAAGCGCCTGACCTGGCGCATCATCCGCGAGATCTTCACCCAGTGGCCCGTCTACCTGTTCTGCACCATGTTCATCTGCCACGTCCTCGGCATCCGCATCTACAGCTACATGAACCTCTGGCTCAAGTCGACGAAGCTCTACTCGACTGAGCAGGTCAACCTGATCCCCACCGCGGGCTACGGCCTGCAGATCTTCTTCACCCTGTCGTACGCGTGGAGTTCCGATGCCATCGGCAAGCGCTGGCCCATCATCATCATCGCCTGTATTGTCGCCATGATCGGCACCATCATCTTGTCGGTGTGGCCCTCCTCCAACATCCCGGCCATGATGGTGGGCTGGCTGCTCACCTTCTGCGAGACCGGCGCTGGCGCGCTCATCATCACCTGGATCAACGAGATTTGCAGCCACTCTGCCGAGCACCGTGCCGTCATCATTGGTATCGTCGAGACAGCTGCCTTCACTTTCCAGGCCTGGGTGCCGCTTCTGGCCTACAACACGGGTCAAGCTCCCAAATTCAAGATTGGTTACGAGATGGCAACCATGTTCTTCGCTCTCGAGCTGCTGCTCACGGTGCTAGGATGGTGGCTGGTCAAGAAGTATCCTCCAGGGAGCAAGCCGGAGGTTACACCTGTTCTGGAGGATGGAGAGGTAGACGCGGGCATGTAGTCAGCTTTCTAGCCCCTAGAGATATGTGTATTTCGTAGCGATGCCAATAACGAGTTTTGGTTGTAGTACTGGATTTCATCATTATTCCCGTCTTCAAAGGCACTAGGTGGTAATCTCGGCTAGGGGCAATTATGAAAGTGTCTTCAGTTGCCCGTATGCTTCTCTGTCGTTCGTTAGCTTATCCAACTACCTAAATCGATCGACTTCCACGATTGCAGCATATCGACGACTATGGAATTGAAGGCTTCAATCCATGCCGGGCTGATAAGCCCTTAGGAGTATCATCCGCAGTCTGGGTGACACCGATGACACTGTAGCATTTATCCATAGATATCCTGACGGTCAGCACTGCCAACGAGCCGTGTCTGCAGCTTTGAAGGGGACTGTATTTCAGCGGCATCTGGGACTGTCACAACCCAGAAAAAAAAGTATACGATAATGGTTGATAACAGGACGTTGAAAACCACGCTGCGAGTAATACACTATTCAAGAACGTAAAACTCAACAGCAGGCTCCAATCCCTGAAAGTATTGCTAGCTCATCCATTACTCCAATACCCACGACGAGCCAATAAACGCCGTTATTCATACCCAATCTATGTCGCTTGTGATGTCTAGTAAACATGCATGCAAATCTATGTCTCATCCATCGGTCGTGCCGAAAGAAAGTATACAATGTCCAGTCCCCGATCTTACTGTCCTAATCCTGTTCTCCATGCCAATATTACAATCCTAGAAGCTGAACAGGCCGCTCCTCCGTTTCCCGAGCGGCCAGACAAGCAATGCAGAAATGAAAAGACCAACCGAGATGCCAATAGCAATCTGAATCATGCGAGCAGCGACATCAAACACCATGTTGTTGAGCGCACTGGATGCTGCAGTGCTCGTGCTCGTGAGGCTGTCCGTCCCATTCAAGCTAGCGCTAGAGTTCCGCAGCGAGTCCGCCGTCGCCAGCCCACTCAATAGGCCTCCAGTCGACGCCAGACCGCCGGGAACCTGGCAGAAGATGGCCGGGATGAGCGTCGCCGCCGCAACGCCGTGGCGGATGCGCGACCAGAGATTCGCGAGCAGGCCCACGGCGAGCGCGCCGAGCGTCGGCGCGATCTGGGGGCTCGCGACGAACTTGATGCCGCTAAAGTAGTTGACGATGTACCCGGCGAAAGCCATGATGACCATGACGGGCATCTGGCGCCACTTGGCCTGGTAGATGATGCTGATGCACACAGCGAACAAGGGCACAAAGATGAAGCCCCAGTATGCCGGGATGGGGTTCTTGCAGGTCGTGGCCGAGGTCGCAGAGTCGTCGAAGATGCCGTAGAGGGCGGTGCCGACCATGATGCCGAATCCGAGGAGGAGAGAGTAGATGACGGCGTAGACCATGCGGATGGAGCCCGGCACTATCGCATGGGATTGGATCTCCAAAGCCGAGCACACTGTGGGCGAGGATAGGTTAGCGATCCATGATCGAGCGATGCAGCTTAGACTTCGGTGACGACCTACAGACGAGATAACCAGGGAGCAGCATGACAATACCGCTTTGCGCTAATGCCGAGAAGCAAAACAGGTTGCCCCCTTTGATGCTGCCGAATGCTCTGGCGAGGAAACTGACGATGATAGTCGACGTGACCTCAAAGACGTTGCTGTACAGGGCCGACCGAGGCGATACGATGAGCTGCAGTGTTCCCACAAGACAGCCAAAGCAAAATATGAGAGGGAGATCGATAAGGCGGGCCTTGAAGGAGAAGGGGCCGCAAGTGGCACTGGTCAGGCCGAAAGCGAGGACACGCGCCCAAGGCCCGAACTTGTTCTTCTTGTTCAGCAAGGCATCCAGCTTCTGGATACCCTCCTCGACGTCGATGACGTCGTGCATGACCTCCTTGTAGACCTCGTGGACATCCTTGAGTTTCCCCAAGTCGATGTCCTGCGCCGTGCGAACGATCCGGACCTCGGTCGTATGCAGAGTCTTGTCGTCAAAGGAGACAATCATACAGCCGGGGAGATACAGGAACTGGCCAGCAACTTCGAGGACCCGAGCAGACATGCGGAGATACTCTTCCAGCCGATGGGTGGGCGCTCCAAACAACATCAATGCTCGACAGAGCTTGATGAGATAATCCTGCCGCGACAGCATCTCAGCGATGCGCGCCGTCACGCGAGCCTCTTCAGTCATCCAGTACTGGCTCATGCGTGAGCTGCTACCAGCTCGTCGGTGGAAAGGCGATCTGGACCTTGGTGAGGTGTCCGCCGGTCTGCTGCTGTTGGGGTTGGCAAGCCGCGTCGACGCCTCGACCAGGTTGGCCAGCGTCTCTTGGGAGTGGTTCTTGTCATACCACTTCCTCCGGCTCGGTGTAGCCGTTCCCGACTCTGGCCGAGACTCTCCGCCTGATCTCTCGCCCATCAGCGGCAAGAGAGAGGCCCGGCTCTGGTGATGCTCGCCACGAATGTCTTGCGGCTGCTTGTAGAGCCTCAGGAGTTGCGAGAGAATGCTGCCACGGTAGTGATCCGGCGGTGGGACGTGGTACATGTCATCCATGAAGCCGTCGTTGACCTCGCTTGGCCCGCGGTTATCGTGATCTTCCGGCGTGGCCTTGTGTATTGGGAGCGGACTCTGCCCATTGCCCGCGAATCTTTGGGAGTGCGCCTGCACGATCTTCTGGGCCTCGTTGATCTCGGACGGCTCGTGCGACTGGGTCTGAGTATGATGGGTCTGGGAGTCGGGAGAATCCTGCCTAGAACCTGGGCGGGCATGTAGCTGTTTCAGCGGTATGTCATCGCCCGTAAACTCAGAATCGCTGTCCCCGGTCCGGATACTGGACCCAACCGACGCCCTCGAGTCCCACGGTGACTCGGCGCGCACCTGGGCGGCAATTTCACGAGCTCGCTCCTGGGCAGCCGCGTATGAGGGACTGTCGGGCTCATGGCCAAACGGGGACCGGACGGTAGGTACGGCATTGGCAGAGCTACTGCGCAGAGCCGACGGCCTCGGTTTCGTAGCAGGCTTGGGCGCAGGAGACATTGGGCGCTCTGGAGGAGGGCCAGCCGCCGGCGTCAAGGCAGGAGGCGGCACCGTCACCGCCGCGTTGCTGTTGAACCGTACTCTCGCCTTCTCCTTCTTCTCGGCTGCAAATTTTGCTTCCTGCGCTTCGGTGCTCGACGAACCTTCCCCACCTGCCAAGGTCTGCTGTCCGGTGGCCGTCTCCGGCATGGGATTCGGGTCCGGGTCATCCGGCGACGATGTGTTTGCCGATTCCTCCATTGCTTCTGATGACCATATGCTCGACTGAGGTCAACAGTCACCCACGAAGAAATCAACCAGAAAGGCGGGTGTGGCCGCCCTAATAATGTGATCGTGGACCCGCCAGGTGGCCTAGCATGATTCAGGAAGCCGAGGAGCTGTGTGGAGATGCTGTGGGGAGATCAGCATATTTTGAGATCCGAAAGGGTGCAGAAGCAGAGCTAGAGTTGGCTAGAAGTACGTAACAAGAAATCCCATTGCCATATCCGGGGTTGCATCAGATCGTGCTTTAGCACTACAAGGAGATCTGGCCCCCAACTTGGCATTCAGTTGACTCAACTGATGGAACAGATGGCAATGAACCGCCCATCCCCCATGAACATCCGATGACGACCATGGTGCTTGTCGCCAGGAGCGAACATCGTGAAACACTGGAAGAGCAACGCTTGGCTGCTCGGGAAAGAGCATTATTTTTCTTGGGCTTCCTGTTCTTCTGCAGGAACAAAGATGGCAGTCTAGGTTGCTTCTCCGTCCCTCCTCCCTTGGCCCGCCCAGCTTGGTTCCAGGCATGCAAGGCCTTTCGGTGAAGACTTCGACGCTAGGCCAGTCCGTGGCATTTTGCGATTACGTCACCCCCGGCTCCATCCGCGCCTGGACCCTTACTGCTGGGATTCCGGTGAACATGATTGACAGCTGCCGCAGCCAATATGGCAGGCTGAGCCAGCGAGCTACCTGCTTGGAAATATGTTCGCTTTGCCTTCTGTTGCTTTCCATTCCGGAGCTGGCAAGTGATGACGCTCGATCGGCCTGCTGGGCTGCTACACGTAACTGAGTAGAATTTCTGTTTCAAAAGCTGATCCCAACTCCATCGCCGAGACCGGCAGCACCTAAGGGGCCTCGCCACGCGTCCTCCACACCTCGCTAGAACACCATGATCTGGGCTTCAATGGCCCCATAGTGACCACATTCCTCTCGTATATGAATTCAGCTAAAAAGTAAGTCATGGGATTCAAGAGTTCAAGCACTCGTCAACCGCCCTCCCAAAGTCATCTTCTCCTTGCATCTCCTTGTCCCAGGAACCATGATTCGTTTTGCTCAGCGCTTGAACCGTCTCTGAGAATTTGAATTCCCCCGCAAATGCATCCACCGTTGAAGAGTCGAACTATCTGGCGGCGGCACCAAGCATGACTTACTGGGCATGTGGATGCCATTCGGCGGTGACGAGCACGCTGCCCCTGCCCCAACCCCTGTTCAAAATAGGGGTTGTAGAAAACATCGAATGATATAGGGAGATTCATCATTGCTAGCTGTCACCGGGACCTAATCCGCCTTAAGTAATAAACCATGCTCATGACGTGAGGCCCATATGCTCTCCAAGTCGTTGCGGAAACGTAGGACTTGTGCCATCTTGGTGAGTTCCCACCGCCTCTCCAAATCAGAGCGTATGACCTCTCGGTCCTGAGGCCGCGACATGAAGAAGCCAAGAGTGTAGGTGGGCCAGTTGCCGATGAAGCACTTGGCCCAGCCGTCGTCGCTGGCGTATTTTGTGACAATTGCCAGCGCTCTCTGTATGCGCCAGTCACTGCTCGGGACCTCTAGAGGCGGCCCAGGTTCTTTTCTTGGTGTTTGCGTCAGGAGTAGCGAGACGATGATGGCATAGAGAGAGCTCGCATCTCTGCAGAGGTCCTTCTGAGGATCGATTAGCTCGGCAGAAGGTGCGCCTGCGTCCGAGTCGCGGAGCAAAGTCCTCTCCCAGACGGCGGCCTCGTTCTCCATACTCTGGATGTGATCCAGATCCACCACGAATGACTGTTGGCATTGTTGCCGAAGTAGCAGAGCGAGCCGCATCAGCGATACCGGAACGCCGAGCACCGGGCTGTTGCAACTCCTCGCTTCTCCGGGGACCAGAGATTCTTGGTCGAGCCGGCTCTCTGCCCGGATCCAAAAGTCGAGATCAAAATAAAAATCCGGACCCCTTGTGTCTGACCACAGGCCTGTCGACACATGAAAGATGTGGTAAAGGATGCTTTCGATGACCAAGATGTCGGTAGCTAAATCAGCCCCGACCGGCCTCCTGAGGACCTGCGCATCAACGATACCTATCGCTGCTTTGAGGTGCCGGGTTATGTCAGAATATGTGCCCCATCCCATGACCTACCAGCAGAGTTAGCGAACCGCCATTGTGAATGGGCAATCACCCATCTGGATGCAAACTACGACACGATCAACACAGACGGCTTACCCCATGGATGTACAGCAGCATGACCGCCATAAGCGTCCCATCATGATCCTGTGGATCCACCGTAATAGCGAGGAGTCGCGATAGCTTTGTAATGGCCTGCGAGTAGTACGTGAGAGCGAGCTCACGCATCCGCGAGCAGTTCTCGGAGTAATAAAGATGTGATGCAGCGCACGCTATGACTGCGTCGTACATGGCTTCGCGCGGTGTCATGAGCAGCATGATCTCGGTCAGCCAGCCGTTGAAGAAATCCGGGTGGCATCCAGGCAAGATCAATAGTCCATAGTAGTTGTCGAAGAAATGCTTCGAAACGACCAGCTCCAGATCACGAGTCATGACACCCTGCGCCATCGATGCCTCGATGGGAAGGAACTCAAGCATTTGCCGGAGAGCAGGTCGAGAGGCCCCGTCTTGGTTCTCAGTGATAGTCCACGTCGTGTCATCGCGGCTCTCAGGCTGGTCCTCTTGAGCCTGGTGCTCATGAGGCTTATGCCGTGACTGAGCATGCGACAAGAAGCGACGATCGAGCAGGTCGGCCGAGGTTGGCCACTTGCATTCCCGCTTGCCGACACAACAGACTCTACACACAGGACGTCCCTCGTCGCATTTCCTCCGTCGCTGACGACCTATATAGGACTTAGCAAGAGGCCCGTTGGTAATGCGCCGCACAGCGGGGGTGGATCTACTCACAGGTGAGGCACCCGGTCTTGGTCCGGAGTTTCTGCGACGAGCGACTGCGCATCATGATCCAAAGCCTGCTGCTATCAACCCATTCCAGGTTCCACACATTCGCATGATGTTAAGCAGTGATGGGGTACAGCAGAGCAATTGATTCGCTGCTGAACATGCTTATCAACCCAGGTGATGCAAGTGGGTGGAGGTTGTTGAAAAGAAGAGCCTAGACTAGTCGATTGGGGTGTCTGGAAATACAACTTGGTCTGACACGTGATCTCGAATGTGCCTTGGGAGTTATTAAGGGCGAGTATCCCCTTTTCTCGTAGGTCGCCTCCACTGATGCCAATCAAAATTGCCAGCATTCTGTGCCCCTGTGAACGTCTTTCTCACGCAGTGGGAACTTGCATTGAACTTGCATTGCTACAGGATCACATCAATTCTTATTTATTGACTCATACTGAGCTACACTACTATCTTTTGCTGGTTACGTATCATACTTACACCCCGGCTCACTCCGCGTCGAAGTTGACTGTGTCACTCGCCACAAGATCCTGGTATTTCTTGACGCTCTTGAGACGGAGGGACTTGCCGTACTTGACAATTACAAGAAATACAGACGAAGCAGCCATACCGATGAATGCGGCGGAAATAAAGCACTTTTGATAGCCCAGATTTGTCAACCATGGCGTGATCCTGGACATCAGACGTCATTAGTAGATCAAAACGCGCGCGCGTCGCCCGTGACAGGCATGCGGGTGGTACGTACCCATAACTGACAGCAAATGACATAGTGTTGCGGACGATGATGACGATAACAATTGCATCCGAGCTGATGTCGTGATAACAGTCAATCAGGTAGTTGACACTCAGAGTCACCCCCATGGTCATGGTGAAGGCGAGGCAGCCCAAAGCAAAGACCAGGCCAAACCAGTGAACCTCGTGCTGAGCACCGACTCCCCACAGAATCAAGGCGCCCGGTACCACGATGACACAAGAAGCAAAAGGCCACAATCGATGCTCGGCTTCCATAACACCATTGTTCCGGCGCGCAAGCTTGACGGTCAACCAGTCGCTGAGCCGACCGGAAGTCAGGCCGCCAACTAGAACGCCGATACAGCACGAGACGTAGCTGAGCCCAACCATGGCTGAGGAAAAGTTGTAAGGATGGCCCGATAGAATGATTGAAGTGGTTGCGTTGACTGCGTTGAACCAGATGAGGTAGGAGCCGTAGGAGAAGCCGGCATAGAGAATCAAGGGCCAAGACGACAACTTGACAATCTTGATAAAGCGGGCCAGCATGCTCTCATGTGGGTTCGCATGCCAGATTGATAGCTTCTGAAAAAATGACCTCGGAGCTGCGTACAGCTGACCATTTTCGACCTGTTGTGGATTGGGAGCCACAACATCGCCCGGTGACATCGCGTCCTTGCTCTCGCTCTTCCCTTCGGCAGGGATAGGCGCTTCCACACTTTGAATACTAGGTTGCGTCGCTGACCGTCGAGGTGCACGGTGGTAGGTCGTTTCTTCCATGAAGAGGAACAGGAACACGAAAACAGCAGCCAAGAAGATGGCTGGCCAGTAGAACACCCATTGCCAGCCTTGGTACTCCGCGATAAAACCACAAATGATCGGGGCAAAGTAATTACTTCCAGCAAGCATGAAGGCATAGGTTGCCATATACGTTCCGCGTTCGTGGGTGAAATACTAGCAATGAAGAAGAGAGGCGTTAGCGCCGCTCGATAGAGACTGACAGAGGGCTAATTTGCAAGTGCGAAATGACGGGGAAGTAAAATACTCACAAGATCCGTGATGGATATCTCAGGAAGGGCTTCGATTGGGGCAATGAAGAAGCCTTGCACGATGGACTTGGCAATCCACTCGCCGTTGCTTTTGACATATGCACTGGGGACAACAGGAGTCAGCCAAGCTCTGCAATCTGCCTTTCTAATGATGTAATTCCTACCTCCACACACTTGTTCCCTAGAAAGGTGATGATTGTCAGTGGAAGGATCGGCAAACCCAAGACCTAAATCACTTACAACTGCACCGAGGACGGAAATCAGGTACACAACCCGCTTGCCGTACTTCAGAGAAACTGGCGTCCAGAACAGCAGACCCCAACCCAGGAGAAGATACATATAACCCGTCCCTTCGTTGATGGAGGCGACGGACACGCCGGACTCTTTGGATAGCTTGACAAGTACCGAATAGACCACCGAGACCGAGATGCCCGTGAACCAGGTGTATCTGTGTACATACCGGTCAGCGTTCAACTGCCAACTCTATCTCGGACATCTGCTACTCACAGATTTGCGCAGACAAGTGCGAGCAGCTTTCTCCGAGGCCTCCAATTCAGGGGATCGTGGGGATCGTTCGAGGGAGTTGGGTTGAGAATAATGTCTCCATTGGCAGTAGCATGGCGAGCGAGAACACTGTGGTCCAGGTCGACCAAGTGGACGGTGCCTGGAACAGTCTCTGCCTGCGACAAGTCTGCCGGAGAGATGGTCATGATTATGATGGATTGCGTTGCTTCTGTGAAACGAAATGGCGAGGGTGTTGTGAGTCAGGGGCAACTGTGAGGGGACGGCACTGGCTTGATATACACATCACGGATCGCCAGGCAGGCTGAGAGCCTTGCGCAGCCAAGGCCCATCCCCACCTTATCTCGACTTGGAGAGGGTTTGATCCTGGGGAAAGTCTCGTTTCTCCAAATTGCACCAGAGGAATTTGCCCCCGAAAGGGCTCTTGGAGATTCTGGGAGGTCACCCCCGTTATCTTGGCCCACAAAACAAAAGGCATGTTTAGGTGGGAGGGTGTAGTACCATACCCTCGGGAGGAGATGAGTCCACCCTACTCTACACCTGTAAAGCGAGGCCAATAGGGTATAATTACGCAGTGACTAGCGCCATCGACAGACAAGTTTCCCCTCACCCGTAATCTTGTCGTGATGCTCGCTAGTGCCGGTAAAAGGGGGCGGACAACAGCCAATGAAGTGTAATTACGCACTTCCCCGCATTGTACTGCTTCAAAGACTCCCCGAATCATGATCGCCGTATTGGGTTACCAGTGGCATAACGATAGCGACTTTGAAATATCAAAGCAGATTTTGATCCTGGGGTGCGGTACTCGTAGCTCTAGGGCCAGAAAGTCAGATATCATCTACACAGGCGAAGGACAACTGGAGAGCACCTGGTGTGTCGCAAGACTAGAATCGGAAGGAGAATCCACAGAGACAACAGATCGGGTCCAATAGTCTACTGCGTTAATCTAAAGCTTTCTCGCGATGACTACCAAGCGCATAGCATAGTACTGTGATGAAATAATGACTGATGTTCTAGGTCTTCTTCTTGCCAGCACGGCCTCTCAACCCCCATTCGATTTGATGCGCCATCTTAACTTTGACTCCGAGCTCCTCGGCAAACGCACCTACCAACCCAGGGTTCTTTTGGAACCATCGGCCAGCGAGAACGGCATCAAGCCCAGATTGCTGCAATGTCGCCTCGGCCAAGAGGCCTGACTTGATGCCGCCCACAGCAGACACCAGTATCCTGTCGCCGACTGCTTTCTTAACCTCCTCCGCAAACTTGACTTGGTAAGCAGGCCCCGACTTGATCGCTATGGCAGATCTCTTGTGAATGCCGCCGGATGTGACGTCTATCAAGTCCACGCCCCGATCGGCTAGCAAGGGAGCGAGGCGGACAGATTGGGCAACTGTCCAGCTCTCGGGAAACTCGTCTTGCAAGCCGAATTCGAACCAGTCGGTGGCACTGATTCTGACGAAAAGCGGCATGTTTTCAGGCATCGCCTCCCTGACAATATCTACCACCTCGAGCAGTAGTCTGGTTCTGTTTTCGAAGTTGCCGCCGTACTGGTCGTTGCGTTGGTTTGCGATAGGGCTCATGAATTGGTGCAGGAGGTAGCCATGGGCCGCGTGGACCTCAATGGCATCAAAATTGGCTCTGATTGCCCTTTTCGTTGCTTCGGCAAAATCGATCTTCAGCTGCCTAATCTCGTCGAGACTTAGCGCCCTTGGTACAGGATATCCTTCCTCCTGCGGGATGGCCGATGGGCCGACAATCTCGTCTGGCCATCCGCCCATCTCTTTGACGGCAACAGCGTTACCGCTCAGCCATGGCGCGACACCGCTAGCCTTGCGGCCAGCATGGGCCAGCTGAAACGCAATCTTTTGGCTCTGGCCGTGTGCAAATTCCGTAATCCTCTTGAAAGGCTCAACCTGCCCGTCCTCCCAGAGTCCAAGGTCCTGAGGCGTAGTCCGACCAATAGCCTGGACAGCCGTAGCCTCGGCGATAGCGAGGCCAGGGCCCCGTTGAATTATTCCGCCCAGGTGTGCGAAATGCCAGTCGTTGGCGTAGCCATCTTTGGCAGAATACTGGCAAAGAGGGGATAGGAATAAGCGGTTAGCGCACTGCATCCCGCGGATGGTCAAAGGGCTGAAGAGCTTAGTCGAGACATCCTCGAGCTCAGTGCCGGCGGGAGGGTCTTGGGCCGGCGTGTAGTAGCTGATGCCCTTGGCAGCGATGTTGTCGACGACTACCGGCACCATGTTGGGCTTCGAGATCAAGCTTACGGACTCAAAGACACTGGGCGGGTGACAAAAAGAAAACAAAAGATAAGGAAACAACTTATAATGTTATCTGGCAAGACGTCGGCAGATAATGCATTTGTCATCGGTCAAGAAAATGAACCGGATGCCACCAGAATGTATTAGGTTGAGTAATGACAAGGAAACACAAATCATGATAGAATTCATCGCCCGGAGAAGAGGTTGAACATTCCGTATTCGTAAGCACGGCCTCTCTCTTTCTCTTCATCGTGGTCTACCTCGATAAGTCCTCCAGGGTGAGGGGAAAGTCAAGCTCTCTCTACCAATCGTGTCTAATTCCACCATCTCCAAAAGTGGCGAAAGCATCTCCAACTCTCGATCCACCACGCAAGATGGGGTTCAGTCCAATTGACCAATCACGTCTAATTCCGAAGCTGAGCACCTGAATAGGCCCCTTGGATCGCCATGTTGCTCTCAGGCTCGTGACAATGACATTACAAATGTTGAGTCGATATCTTTGGTATTCGGTGTCGCCTTCTTCCCTGGTTGTCTAGCCGATTTGTTACCCAGCTGCAATGCGCTCGCCCGGCCGGTTGCGCGACTTCGATGTTGAGAAACCTCCATACGTCCGTCGAGGCACCTACTTGACCAGAAAAGCTTGCCATCTTGCCCTGGAAAAGTCACCCAGCCACATCGTTACTGTATACTATCCCCCAACTCAAACATGTCTTGGAAGACTATCGCCCGTGACTCCCAGACGAAACTGCTGGAGTCCATTCCTCAGCGATGGAGGATCGACGTCAACAAGTACAAGTCACTGAAGAATGTCACCGGCGTGCCAGGAACTTGCGGCTTGCTTACGGACGAGCAGCTGGGGATCACTGAACTGTCAGCAGTCAAGATTGTGAAATGCCTGGAGAGACGGGAATTGAAAGCCGTTCAGGTGCTGGAGGCTTTTGCCGCCCGCACAGCTATCGCTCATCAACTGGTCAGTAAAAGGTTATTCACCTTGGAAGGATGATGTCGACTGACAAAGAGTAGGTCAATTGCCTGACGGACTGGTTCTATGATGATGCTCTGGAACGTGCAAAAGAACTCGACCAATACCTCGACACCTATGGCCGGCTGAGCGGAGTCCTCCATGGAGTCCCTGTGGCTCTCAAGGTAATGCAGTGAACCGTATGCCAAAAGTCTCAACCAAGCTAAGACGGGACTTGCAGGACTATCATGTGGTTAAAGGCCACGCAACTACATCAGGTTACGTTTCTAAGAGAGACAACATCGTTCAACACGACTCTGCGATCGTCAAGGCCCTGCGGGACGAAGGGGCAATCTTCTTCTGCAAGACAACAATGCCCCAAACAGGCATGGCGCTGGAGACCGTGAGCAATCTCTGGGGCCGCACATTAAATCCCTTTAATAGGGATCTGAGTGCTGGAGGTAGCTCAGGCGGAGATGCCGCGCTCGTAGCCATGCGAGGGTGTCCTGTCACCCCCTCCACAGACTCCGGGGGTTCCATTCGTGTACCTGCTGCCTTCAACGGTCTGTACGCCATCCGACCCACGGCCGATCGCATTCCCAAAGGCGGCATGGATAATACGAACAACGGCCAGACTGCATTTTCATTGTCATGTGGTCCCGTCTGTCACTCCTTCGAAGATTTGGAGTTGTTGACGGAGGTTATAAATGCACACCCGCGTAGTACGCACGATGTCACATGTGCGCCAGTGCCTTGGAGAAAGCTTCAAGATTCGCCTTCAGACAGAAAACTCTCAATTGGGATCATGACATGGGACGGGGTCGTGATGCCCCATCCTCCCGTACTCCGAGCCATCGAGGAGACCAGACGCACTTTAGAGAGCGGCGGGCATGAAGGTGATCCTCCATTCGTTGAACTGCTTCTCTAATAACCTATTCTAACTCCTTTCATGAAGTCATCGAGTTCAAGCCGCCATTTGATTGCTGGGAGGTGTCCCAAACAACAGTTAGTACTAATCTACTTCTGCAGAAATAAGGAGAGGCTAATGTTAGTCATGTAGTTTGGCATCTACTATCCGTCCGGAATCGAAGGGATTTTGGACACACTTAAATCCTCCGAGGAACCTTTGATTCCAGTCTTCACCAAACTTCAGGATATCTACCAGCCCAAGCCACTGTCTGCAGCAGAGTTACTCAAGGTAACTGTTCTCTGAGAGTCAAGAGTGTAAGCTAGCGGAAATGTTGCTGACAAAAAACAGCTGAACATTAAAGCAAGAGTCTACAAAGAGCAGTTCTTGGCGGCATGGGATGCTACGGCTTCAGAAACACAGTCAGGTCGGCCAATTGATGCCCTGATCTGTCCCTCAGCGCCTACCATTGGCCTCCCTCACGACTTCAATCTTTATTGGGGATACACTTCGCTATTCAACATTGTCGATTATCCTTCAATCATCTTGCCAATACCCGAACCTCTGGAAGCAGACCCTATTCATGTTACCTACAAACCTCTCAACACCAATCCTTTCGATGAAGCCAACTCTCACCTCTGTAAGTTTCTGCTGTACAAAAACACTAAGAAGAGATGGGACTGATTTCATGTGTAAACAGATACCCCGGAGCTCTTTTCGAATCTGCCTTACACTATCCAGATTGTCGGACGTCCGTTCAAAGACGAGGAGCTAATTCAGGTGGCCTCCAAAATTGATGGGTTGTTTTAGCCTTAGAATTCCCATCTTATTTGTCTGCTCCTACAGGAAGCCCAATCGACAATCCGGTTGTATAACACAGCTATGGCACTGGAGGACAGTTAGCTTCCTCATCTTGCCCGCTGTACAGTCTACTAGGGGGTGCAAATATTGAATAGGGCTTTGGCGTGACATTTTCTTCGCGACCATATCTGGCAAAATAATATAAAATGTCACCATACAATGAGAGTTGTAGCTATATCTAGACTGTATTGTGAACTTGGGGGTTGATAAATCAATGAGTACAGGAGCTATCACAAGATCAGACTTTGAATCCTCCAGGTCACTATGGTTCTCAATAGCACTCCGAGGTTAAAGTCCTCGCAAGGTGAGGGTGCAGCAATTGGATAGGAAAGAAATGGAAACGGAAAAGAATGTGTAATTTGGGTGAAAGATTAGGGCCTAGAAGCCATCAAATGTTACTTGTTGAAAGATTAACAAATGAAATGACATGTATCCAGAACAACCCAATCAGCTCTCGGCATCAAGATTGGAGACGCAGCGGGCTCCGTCATTGCCGGGGGAAGGGGCGGCCTCGGAGACCAGACGAGGCTCGGACAGACCATCGACGTCGAAAGCGATGATGTAACCTGTCGGGTTGTCGATCGCGTAGACCGTACCGTTGTTCTGGGCCCAAATGCCGCCGAAACCGCCCTCCGGTCCCTTCGGGTAATCGCTGATGGTGTATGTGCGTATAGTAGTCCACCGGTGCGTACCATGGCTCCAGCGAAGCAGCGCCATGGTGCCGGTGTCGTGGTTGGTGCCGATGGCGAAGTTGTACGGACCGGCAGAAGGAACATAAGTCCAGTCTCCAACGATGTAGCCACCACTAACGGGAGAATTGCCGCTGTCGACGACTTGGCCATAGGTAGACGTTCCGGGTCTGAGATCAATCTTGACCCACAACCCATCCGAACCGTTAGAAACCCAGTAGAAGCCGTCACTGTCGACGTCGCCGACATAGGGCCGGTCGAGATTAGTGGCCACACGTGTCGCCACGACAGTTGCCTTGCCGTTTGGTGGGATGCGGAGCAGATTGTGGGTGGCGGCGTCCATGCCGTAGATGTAATTGTCCAGCGTGTTGTACCCAATGGCGTTGATACGGGAGTCGGTGTTGACATCGCGGTTAACCACCTCGACCTCGCCAGTCTTGATGTCGACCCGGAAAAGCGAGGTCCATTGGATTAGGTAGGCATATTTGTCGCAGGTGAAGGTCGTTGCCGGCGGCGTCTCGATGATCACGGTACCTGGATTAGTCCCAGAAGGGCTGATCGTCTCGGTGGTCGGCGTAGGGCCTTCAGTGGTGTACGTGGTCCAGGACTCAGCGGGGCTGGTCTCTGCAGTGCTGGTTTCTGCGGGGCTGGACTCAGAAGGGCTCGTCTCAGCAGGGCTCGTCTCGGGGGGAGGTGTCTCAATAATGACAGTGCCCGGGTTAGTTCCCTCTGGCGGAACTGTCTTGGTTGTGGGCGTCGGACCTTCAGTCGTGTAGGTTGTCCACGAAGGAGTTTCGATCACGACAGTGCCTGGAGTTGTCCCAATTGGTGTAGCCTCGGTCGTCGTGAGAAATTCAGGGCCAGGGCGCGTCACTGTCACCCAGGACTCGGGAGGTGGCGTCTCAATAATGACAGTGCCTGGGTTGGTCTCCTCTGGAGGGATTGAGTGGGTAGTGGGAGTAGGGCCTTCAGTCGTGTACGTAGTCCACGATGGAGTTTCGACCACAACTGTACCCGGAGTTGTTCCAACGGGTGTAACCTCGGTCGTCGTGAGAAAATCGGGACCAGGGCGTGTCAGCGTGACCCAAGACCCAGGAGGAGGCGTCTCGATAATTACAGTTCCCGGGTTGGTTCCCTCGGGAGGCTTCGTAATTGTCGTAGGCGTAGGTCCCTCTGTCGTGTATGTCGTCCAGGACTCAGCAGGAGGCGTCTCAATGATGACAGTTCCAGGAGTGGTCCCTTCTGGCGGAATTGTGTGAGTTGTCGGCGTCGGGCCCTCTGTGGTGTATGTGGTCCAAGACTCAGGTGCGGGTGGCGAAGACGTGTTGGAGAAAGTAGGGAGGCTGGTGATGGGAAGACGGGGCGTAGAAGTAGGAGCAGTAGTAGTAGGACTTTCCAGTGGCTCAGAGCTAGCAGGATCGGTGCTGGTAGGCTCCATGCTGGTGGACTCTGAGGTGGTTGGCTCCGGGCTACTTGGCTTGGAGCTGGTTGGCTCCGGGCTGGTGGGTTCAGGAGAACTAGTCGGGGTTTCGATGATGACCGTGCCGGGGTTAGTACCCGAAGGAGGAATAGTGTGCGTGGTGGCCACAGGCCCAGGAGTCGTGATCGTGGTCCAGCCAGGAGATGGAGTTGGGGAAGGGGTTTCGATAATCACAGTGCCTGGAACTGTACCAGATGGAGGAATCGTGTAAGTTGTGGCCTTGTCGCCTGGGGTAGTCACAGTAACATATTCATCGCAAGGAATGGTCTCGGTACTACAATCCATCAGCGAATGTCAGAGAGCCGAGTGTGTGTGTGGATCCTGAAATTAGGAGGCTGAAGGTGATCCTACCTAGCGATAGCAGTGCGGGACGCAAGGCCTTTCTCAGGATACGCGATCACCACTGGCTGCACCTTGATGAGGTGTTTGCCGTCGGGACATAGACCCATACAGTCATCCGCCTTGACAGTGCGGAGAAGCTCGGCAAAGGCCAAGGGGCCAAGCAGAGCCATTAAATGCATTGCTGCAGAACGAGTGACGGGTTTTCAGTGAGAGTGAATAGAAGTCGAATCAGAACGAAACGATGGAAGCCTTTGGCGAGTTGGATGATGAGATGGTTGTAATGCTCAAAAGACGGACGAAAGAGCTCAACATTTATACTTTTACTTTCTCTTTTTCACCTCTTGAATCAGTCATTCCTTGCATTAATGCATCATTATTCAACATTTCTGAAGCTTCCAAGGGAGACACCGAAGTGAAGGCAGAGTGTGAGACCTGGTGGAGAGGCTGGAGATGTCAGAATTCTTCCTGCGCAAATCAGGCCCGATATGGTCTTCAATGTCAGTCCATTTTTGACCAAAAAAACTTTAACTTTAATAACAACTTGAGCTGAAACTGGGTCCGAGATCTCTGCAAGAACTCGAGCAGAGACAGAGCCTGGGACTCGCGAACAGGAGGTAGTGATACGCGTAGCTAAGGATCAAGGGCCGACTGAATGCTCAAGAATGGCAAGAATATCCACTCTCGCGACTAAGACTCTGAAGAATTGATCTAATACGACAGACACGCAAGGCAGAGATCTCCCTTCCTCTCTGGCGAGGAGCTTGTCGCAACGACATTAGTCGCATGGGATACTCACGACTCCAGTTTTGCACATGGATCAAAGTGTGGTCCATGTGGACCGCCGCTGTCACTCACACGAGTGACCACTAATATTCCGGTTCTGTGTCGTGGATGTAGGGTGATTTTGAATACTGACAAGTTCATCGGGGCTCGTGCGATCCCGGGCCGGGTCTGACAAATCCTGGCTCGCTCGAATGAAGCATACTTCTCAGTGAATATCAGCCCCGGGCTGCGTAGCAGAATCCATTTAGTTGTACCTGTCGAGAGTTTCATCGACTTATTTCCATTCTTACGACCATGTTTGGATGCGACTGTATAGGGATCACAGCCCCCCTTTGGCAGGATATCGCGTGCATTCGATCACCGATGAAGTCTGGGCAAGTATTTCTGCCTTACATCTTTGAGAAGGACAATGCTTGAAGATCTAGCACAAAAAGGGGCTAGTGAGGATGTGTTGACAGCCAGGGTTGGTGCCAAGCAACCGTTTTGGTGTAGGTGCCAGAATCCATACAAGCTGACATACACCCGCATTAGGTAGCCGGTCTTGCCGGCATGCTGGAACCGCATGTATACCTTGTAGATCTTTCCTTGATGGGCAACATAGTACGAATGTTGGTGAGCCTAAAGGGATGTCAGTCAAAGGTGATAGATGATGGAATTCAGCAATGGCGGTGCAAGTAAACTCCAGTCACTTACTGGGCTCACATGCGGTCGAAATCCAACGCGATAGCTCCCATATCTAATGTTGCTTACGAATTTTCTCCGTTCTCTCCCTGATATTCAATTATTTATTAATGGATGGAGACCTGGGCGTGAAAAGGAGTTCGCCTCCCAGCTTCCTCGGAGCAGATCGTCCGGCCTGGCATCTTGACAGCCGCGTAGTGTAATGCAACTCCGCCTTTGACTGAACGGCCATACCGAGTGGCGATCAACCACTAGGTAATGTCAACCGCTATTGCCTCTTTTGGGGCTTGGCAGCAACATCTGCTGAAGGCAAAGAGACGCAGGGTGAGTCTCGCCCTATCATTTGTCGACTCGAAGAATGGGCTGTCCAGCTGTATCCATTGTAATGGGCTATCATTCTGCAGGACCGTTAGATACTGCATGTACCCCAGGATGCCTTGATGTGTACCGGGTACATGTCCCACGAGCCCCCTATGAACTGGCACGATTCATTGTTTGCCAAGTGAGGTTTCACTTCAGCAACTCGTTGAGCTATGATATTACGTCCAACAGAGTCAAGTCCTTGCCCCCAGGATTCCACAATACTCCATCGTGGAACTCAAATATGAGGTGTCTCATATGTCAGCTCGATATCGTATCGGCCTTCGCTGCGAATCGCCAACTACATCCGGGCCGAGTGTACTTTTTCACGATTTTACAAAGCTTCACCTCGACACTTACTCGCCAAACTCCATCCTAGAGGCCATCCACGTCTTAGATGACCTGGAATGTCTGCGATGATCGAACTTAAAGTGGCGTGTTGTCAGCTGCGGTGTTAGAAGTCCGCTTGGATGTTTTGGGCGATGCACGACTCGAAGGTAGACGTGTCATTACTGATCTTATCGCAGTCTCCTCCAGACTCGAGGTATAAGTGCAAGCAAGTGCTGGCGGTGATTGCCAGGAGATGAGGAAGTTCGTGCCGTAAACCACTCGTTCACTCGTTCTGTCACACTCGTTCACTCGTTCTGTCACACTCGTTCTATCCTCCCGATCAAGGAGCCCCCATTTCGCCTCATAAGACTTTCAAGATGAGGTTCCTCACTCTGTTGCATCTCTCGGCGATGCTTGCCGCAGGCAAAGCAGCCATACCTTTTGACCGGGCTTACCAGGCTCGTGATGAGCCTTCCGTGACCTGCGACACTACCACGACTCTCGACCCCATAACCGTCACGGGCGACGGTGGTGGCACCTACACTCAGTGCTACACTGTCACTTACCCCGGCCTGGGCCACCAGGGCTCGCCGACATCCATCCCGTACACCATCACTCAGACCTGTTCCAACCCTATTTGTCGAGGCGCCGCCGAGACCACCCCTCCACCCGGTTTCACCTGTGCCATCGTCGACTGCGGGACCTGCGCCCCTGGCGGCGGATCTGTACACGTCACCGTTACTGTACCGACATCAGTGATTGACGGCTACATTTCCTCTGGATACACTATTCAAACTCCACCACCAGAGAACCTGGGAACTGGTGGTTCCTCTGATGGCTCCCCTGGTGGCGGTGATGGCTCCTCTAGTGATAGCTCTTCTAGTGACGATAACCCCTCCGGCGGTCCAGCCGGCGATGGCTCGTCTTCTGGGGATTCTCAGGGGTCGACGCCACCTGTCGTTACGGCGGGTACATCTGGCCACGTCAGCCTGATCGGCGAGAGTTACCTGTTGGCTGCGATGCTTCTCGGTGCTGTTATCCTGTAGAGAACAGGGCCAATGTAAATACTTCTTGTCGAGTGTGGTGGGAATCTCTTTCATTCTAAGGCTGCCAGGATACACTGGGTCTGGTATGCAAACATTTGTTACATTCGTCTCGTCGTCGGGCTTGGACACCGCTCTCTGCCTACGGACTTTTCAACTTTAACATCTTTATTTAATCAAATTGTTGGTGCCTCACTGGCACATTCTTGTTATTATACCATTGTGTGCACATATTGGCTTGCTGAGTGAACACGTAGTGGAAAGTTGTCTCTAGGAATGCCCAAAATAATTGCTGAAGGGCTGGGTGCTCTCTGCCTTCTTATCAGACGGAATTGCCATGGCTGACTACTCCCTTTAGTGAAATCTTTAAGTATTACTGGGGCAAGAGTTCTGAGGCGTAACACTACCATTGACCCTATACTGTATATTTGTGGCAGATTGGGATACCTACCATGTTTGATTTGCCCGCCAGTGGCTGTGCAGAAACCCGGTGCCACCTTTTTAAACATGATGCCTCTTCCTATATGAACATACACGATACTAACACTGCAGCCTTTCAGCAAAGATTAGCGCTCGTCAAAACGACTACGATCGTGTATGGCCTTCTAGAAATCCTGGTATACTCCTCCAGCGCGGCTAGCCACATCGCACGCCCGTATACGAATTCTCACAAGAACCAGCAACCAGTTTTCATCCAAGCACGCGATCGGCAACCATCACTCGTCTCCAAAAAGCCTCTCGGCATCACTGCCTCATCCCCCTAATCAACCTCGGGAGCCAAGCACACGTGCTCGCAACCTGATTTGACCTTCGAGAAGGGCGCGAAGAACGCCCATCAGCCCCTCGCTTCGAGGGCACCCGCCAATGAGATCCGCCCAGAAGCACTTCCAGGGTAGCGTGTTTCAGCTCAGATACAGCTGCCCGTTGCAGCCGAAGCCAACGTTTCCCAGATAACACACTTCATTGGCTAGCGCCCTACTTATTGCCCAGTCCTGGGGCTAATGGGCCGAACCCCAGAATTTCCGGCACCTAGACAGGTCAGGGTGGGATCGGCACTTCGCCAGATAAGCAACCTATCAATATCGATGCCGATAGTGGATGATTCCGTGCAGAGCGTCGGAGTCCGTGGCTGTTCTTTTTGCTGTAAGTGGTAGGTGTCGCATGCAGGTCGTGTTGCGTCCATGTGCCAAGCCTGAGCAGGGTGCGACAGTCGCCTCGGCTGCTGGGCCACCATCGCTTGGAATTGCGTTTTCAGGCCAATCGACCGGATGCGACGCTGTGATAAGTGAGATGAGCTTCTTCTTCTGGACATGCACCACACGTGCACACGTGCACCTACAGAAGTATAACAAGACACGATGTTTCCCATTCCCATTGTGATCGAAGCTCGTTCCCGGCTCCTCAGCGCATCGCGATATCTTCCAGCAGTCCAGGTCTCTCATCAAGCATTATGAAGTTCACGCTGACCATCGCGGCTCTGGCTGCCGTCGGAGCTGCCGCTCCGATGCCGATGCCCACCCCGGTATGAAACTCACAGGTCTCTCCTGCATGCCGTTCAAGACACTGATCTGAGCAGCCTGGCATCCCCTCGGCATCGAGCGCCAAGACCAAGCTGGCTGCCCTCACTGTCAAGGCCTCCGACTCGGGCAGTGGCTACAAGCGTGACCTTTTCAAGACCTGGGACACCATTGAGGGTACTTGCAATACTAGGTATGTAACACCCACAACAATGCGAACGTTTACACCGTCTCATCAACCCATAGGGAGTTCGTCCTGAAGCGCGACGGTAGTGGCGTAGTGGTCAACTCTGCCTGCCAGGCCACATCTGGCAGCTGGACAAGCCCCTATGACGGCGCTACCTGGACCGCGGCCTCGGATGTCGACATTGACCACATGGTCCCGCTCAAGAATGCCTGGATTGTAAGTTGCCTCGTGCTATTTACCCTTCTTTTTCATTCGTGAGAGGCTAACAGAAACTACGACAGTCTGGTGCCTCCAGCTGGTCTTCATCGCGACGGGAGGCATTTGCCAACGATATCACCCGGCCGCAGCTCTGGGCCGTGACGGACAACGTCAACCAGGCCAAGAGCGACCGCAGCCCTGACAGCTGGAAGCCGCCTCTGACGTCCTTCTACTGCACCTACGCCCGTTCTTGGGTGGAGGTCAAGTCTTACTATGGCTTGTCCATCACCTCCACTGAGAAGACTGCCCTGACTTCTATGCTCAACACTTGCTAGATTTTGGACCTTTTGGTTTTCTTCTATCTGGCGGTGATGTCTCAATGTCTCACGCGCGAGTTGCCTGCAGCACTTTTGACCGAAGGTTGAAAGCTGTCAAAGACCAACATTGCTGTTAGCTCCAGTTGGGGACTCGGATGACTTACGTATGTACTGACAAAAGTCTGTATGACTCATGGTTCCTTTTTATGTTGTGATAAACTCTAGGATTGTATGGCAGTCATGTTTGGTAGTTTGTTCTCAGATGACTGTCAGTCATCTGCTGTTTAGGATCCATGCCTTCCTGCATATAAGGTCGACCTGGATCCTCTTTCCTTTCACAGTTAGTTTCTCATTCTGCATCCGCATAATAAACACTTTTGCCAGAGTACTTGTGGTTATGAGCCTTTTAGTGTTTGATTGATCTTCATTGATTGGTCGAGCCTATCTTGTTTCTCCCACTCTAGATCAAACAAAAGAGCAAGTTTGTTCTGCTGTTGATCATTTTGCCTGTCCTACAAGTTACCGGAAGCTATTTTCATGTCCTACGGGATAGTAGTTTCCTATGACATGGCAGTACCCAATCAAATGAAGACAAGTCTGGTTTTCACAACCATTTGAAGTGTTTCTCAGGTGACTGAAACAGGAGATCGAAACCAAGCCCTGTGCATACTTAAATATAATTGACATGTGAAAATCAGTGTGTTCATAAAGTACAACAGTCCACCTGGTGCTTTTCTTTTTTGCCAGTGTGCCTCAGGCGGACACACTCCGACAGTCATTAACTTTGGAACCCTTTCAGCAACACACAGAATTAACTAGGTGGCCCGTGCTCAAGGCATTCCCAAATTCACAGTACTTCTCAGACCCACCATTCATTAACTTCACCCCTCAGCAGCTCAATGATCCATGGCTGACGACAAAAAACCACAACATCAACCCGAGAGGCTTAGACTTTCTTGAGAACATCACAAATACCAACATATTTAGGCAGGAACATAGACCTCTGCAGGAGAGGATTACCGGGACTGGAAGATCTTGACCGGGGTCTCTGCGGGGGCTCACACGATCGACGGCCATGTCTCAGCAAGACGCGCCAGCATGCGAAGCCTCCAGTAGCCAAGGAGCCGCTGACTCATCTTCTTCTACTCCCGACGAGTCAACCGCCGCCCTGGGCGCGCGTCTACTACGGACATGCGTCTTGCTCCAGCAAGAGGTCTGTCATTTCACCGGCGACCTCACAATACGCAACGCCCACTACACCCCCCTCGAAAAGTGGCTACGCCATCTCCGCAAAGAGTACGAGTTTACCGAACGCCTGCGAGATGAGGCCCGGCAGATAGAGGCTATTCTCAAAGAGCGCGAGGATCTGGAAGCGGCGGACCGCGAGAAGAAGATCCGCCTGCAGCTCTCGGCGTCCAACATCCCCGGCTACGTGGCGAAGTGGGACCTGGTCAAGAAGTGCTCCGGCCTCGTGGGCTTCCACTCTACGATGCAGATGGTGCCACCGGGTTCCAACGGCAAGCGTTACCCGAAGCGCGACAAGTGTCACGCCAACGACGTCTTCATCGACGCCATCGTCGATGACGGCGCCGAGTGGCTGCGCGTCCTGGGCGTGACCGAGACGCGCCTCGTGTACCAGATGACGGAGTCGGGATGGGACTTTGGCGAGGAAACTGTCCATGATGACGACAGCAGTGACGACGACGACGACGACGAGATCAGTGGAGACGAATGCATGCCCATTGTCCAGACGACCATGAACCTCATCCTCGCTGCGCGCGCTAACCGCTTCGAATACGCCTACCCACGAGTCCACCTCGTCCTTCCGCGCATCACCGAGGGCCGCAACGCCGACATTGACGTCCTGCTCGCCCGCCTCCGGCGCATGGGCCTTTGCTACGGCGTCGACCTCGTCCTCGACACCGCCTCGTCCCCCTTCGTCACGAGCACCCCTCCCTCGATAACGACCATCTGGGACGACTCCTACGCCCACATGCTGCCGCAGAAGTACCGCGGCCTCAGCGCCACCGTCAACCTCGACAGCTCCATCCTCATCGGCCTGGCCTCCGACATCTCGCACGGGCACGTCAGCACCGACCCGGCGCGCCACAGCACGCAGAACGCCGAGATCGACAAGGAGAACGCCGACCCGGGCGGCTTCCTGCATCTCCTGTACCCGGTGCTGGCCGGGAGGGAGCTCGTCTGCACGCGCGAGGCGGCGCAGACCTTCCGCAAGCTGACGCGCACCATGGCGACGCCGACGGAGCTCGCGCGCGGCGGGCTGCTGCTCCCACCCGAGGAATGCACGGTCCGGCCGGAGGAGTTTCTGCCGCACTTCCGGGTGACGTCTGAATATCCCGTGCCGGACGACCTCAAGCTCCCCGTGCGCATAGCGGGGGCCAACTGGGGCACCGCTGAAGTCGAGCAGTGCGTCGCGGAAGGAGCCCTGCCGCGCGTGGCGGTTCCCGTGTTGCGGGAGCTCAGTGAGCCGTCGAGCTCGGTGTTTGCATACGGCTGGGCGTCGGGCCTGACGACCATCACGTCCAACCGGACGGCGAGCAACACGATCAAGCGCCTCGTGGAGCGCAACCGCACAGATGAATACGAGAAGGGGCCCAAGGTCTGGGTTTGCAGCATCGCTAGGAGCCTCAAGTGCACGCCGAAAGATAAGGATACGTCGGCAGGAGTAGCATAGACTTACAGATCAACTTTCAATTGGAGGCAAGTCGGTGGGCCGGACGGGGGGTGGGCCAAACAGAGGGTAGACCTTACAAAGAGTAAACCAAACAAAGAGTAAACCAAACAAAGAGATCAAAGTCATCCATTATCCATTACTTGACTTTATTAGCAAATATCTCCCAACACTGCACCCCGTACGCAAGAACAATCTCTCTCCACTTTCCCTTCATGACCTTCACTTGGGCAGCTAACTTCGTATGAACGGGACGGGAGCTCGGGATTTTCAATCCTAGAAGCCGGGACTGATCGACTTCACTGATAAGAAACTGGTCAAACTGGAAAAAACTAAAGAACTGAATACAAAACAGTCACTATGCTGATGATAGTACAGTTATTGCATTACTTTGGTTAGCAAAAAAGTGTGAGAGACAAAAAGTATGGGACTTGCCGTGGATCGAACACGGGACCTTTTCATACAGTTAGTTCCGTGTTTTGTGAAGTGTGAAGACATATATAACCAGAGAGTGGAGCTTACCTCTCGCAAGAGAATGCTTTCGGGTGTTACCCTAAGCGAGAATCATACCACTAGACCACAAGTCCATTGATTACGTAATAGAAGCAAGAGGAAGCAGTTTCAAATTATGAGGTAAGGGCAAGCTGTACCTCGGGCCGTCCCAGGCATGCCAAGTAGTATCTGTCAGTGGAAACGAAGAGATCAGATAGACAGTGCTTCTCCAGATACAAGCAGTGCATATATTATATCATCATGAAACCAGGTTCCTCTTCCAGAGACCAGTGGGAGAAGAATCTCCGACCTCACAACGAGAAGCGTGCTACGAGCCGCAAAGTAAAGAAATGCATTGAGAGGGTATCAAATAAGGTCTAAAAAATGCCAACCCCCTTGCCGACTGATATCTGCTCCCTCCAACCCATCCCTAGTCTCGATCCTTCCATGAGGAGTGCATAGCCGTAAGCCGTGAAAAAGGAATGCAAAGCGACAATGATGCTCCTGCCAGCGGCACACAGCGGACACCAAAGTCCAGCGAATGTAGAAAAAGGAAAATACCAAAAAAGGTCATCCCGTGACGCGACGTGCTTCCCTTAGTTGTTACACGTCGGGCAGTAAGTGCATTTGAAGCTCTGCGCCCGGTCATCCCAGCCGACCTCGGGGTTACCGAGGTCGTGATAGCTCCCAATGACCCAGAGGGCGTCGTTGTCGTTCCCGCTGCCGGGATTGCAGTCGGTGTTCCTGATGCCGGGGACGGGCTCGTCAGCATAATGCATTCCATGAATAGAGGTAGGTCATCTCCCTTTCTCGTCACGTCTTTATCGTTGATTGGCATGGGAAAAAGGAGGAGCAGGGGGGCTAATAGGAATGAATGCCACGTACGGGAAGATGCGGCACTCGTTGAGGTGGTCTGCCTTGATGGATGAGACACCGCCGGGCGTGCCGGCGGGGAAGTCTGCGCCAAATGTATCTATACGTCATAGTCTCTCGTCAGCATGCAGATCCGAGATCATGGCCGTGTGTGGAAACAAGGACTGCGACATACAGCACTGATCAAACGCGATGCCAGTGTAGTGTTTGAATTTGCCGGAGAACTCGGGATCGGCCCAGACCTGGAAGCCGGGCGTGGCGGCGGCGGAGCTTACCGGAACGGCGTTGGTGGTGGTGCGCAGAAGGGCGAGGCCCATGAGAGAAATGGCTCGTAGGGACATCATTTTGAGAGAGATGAAGATTGAAAATAGGCAGGAAACTAAAGGCTTGAAGATCTGCGTCGAACTGATGCTGATGTAGTATTCTCGGAGCATGAGCAGAGGGAGGGAATCTCGCAGCTTATATAGGATCATCCCTCACCGTAACACCGAACGCAGACGTGAGCAATCTTGATTGCTGGCTGAATCACGAACCCCGCCCGCCTATTGCCCAGAAATGCCAATGGGTCATCATGAATTATCCAAAGAGCATGTAAGAAAGCTTCTTTGGGTTTCACCCCCCTTTTTCCTTGCAACGTGCCCCGACCGACCCAACTGTTCACCCCTTTCTGGTGAGCAAACGCACTAACAACACACTACGTAGGCGGCACGTACGTATGGTCGACCACAGAGCCAGACCCAGTCCGGCCGGTTGCGCTACGGCTGTGCGTGGGCCGTGGGGATTGGGGGTGATGCAGTGACGTGCGGAGAGAGGTGTGGTCTGGGCGCCGTGATTGGGCGCCGGGGTGATGGGATCAAGTTGTCGGCGGTTAGCAGCGTGCAGCGAACCAGGGGGCCGAATCACGGGCCCGCCGCACTCTCTCGACTTGTAAAAGGGCCAACTGCAAGTAACTAAAGAGCTGCCGGAAGGATTGGGGGCCCTGTTGGCCAGATGTCAGTGTGCATGTACGATAGAGTAAAACAGCTGACCTAGGGACGATCCAACCCTGCAGTCGCGGGCCGAAGTGTAGATATGCTTGCAGATCAGCCCCCTGTGGTGGGGTCCTGTTCTTCGACTTGAAGGATCAAATCAATCTACAAGCTGTTGTACTTGTACACCGCATCCAACAGCAGCATCTTTGTTTCGGGATCGGCCGGCGAGATGGGTGCAGTTGGGGTCCAGGCCCCCAAACATGCGGCCAAATCGGCGGCCCAAGACAGGTAGGCACGGTACCTAGATTAGCTTCGTCTGAAGCGCACATGCAATGACGAGCAGCAGCCGCATTCGAGTCCAACATTACGTGCATCGCCCCATCAATCAAACTCGCACATCCTGTAGCCCGCGGTGTTGCTTCGCGGGCCAACCTGGCCGTGAATGCCGTGCATTGTTGCGCGTTTTGGCCATCATCAATCGGCCAGCATTGATTAGCGAGTGAGCGAACCAAGACAGCGCTGCATGGGGCATTTCTGTTCTGTGATGTGAACATGCATATTGCAGAGAGCGTGACGGGGGTCCCGCATAGACTCAGAGAGCAGTCGAGGAGTGACGCGGGGGACGAGAGCAATCACTGTAGATCAGCTTCCCTACCCCCTGCTGACAGCGATGATCGGCGACCTGATTGGGAGGCACGCATTGACACCAACGCACACCAACATGGCCCTGAAAAGGGCCCAGAGACCCAATCACCAACGTGTGCCTGTTAGTTCGAGACTGGTCACACAAGCCCTACCGTGCTGGTGTTCGCGATAGGTTGGTGACGGGGGCCATAGAAGGAATGGCTAAGGTCAGGGTTGGTGAGTCTGGTGACGAGGATCGTCTGGTATTGTCCGTCTCGTGGCTCCGGCGATCGGACTGGTGTCCGGCGGCTCTCCAAGTCGAATTTCGAGGGACGGACTGTACCTACGCTCACTTGAGCCACGCATCTTGATCGGGCGCTCATTTGGACCCCTGCAAACATAAGCATCTGGTGATTCGGGACTGTAAGAAATCACCTTCATCTTCCGATATCCCTTGTGACATTGTGAAATTCAAGGTAGAACACAAGTAAATTCAGAAAGCAAATCTCCGTCCTGATTGATAAAAAAGCACAACCCAAATTTCATTCCCGAAGACTCGTACATACACGTAAGCATGATGTCCAGCCAGATAATAACAACAGGACGGACCACCTAAAACGCTGAAACACCTTGCTAACTCACGAACTAGCCACGGCTAACATGCACCCGCATTCCAACCTTGATTTGATGTACATCCTAAAAATAACACATATCCTCAAGGCCACGAATGTGTCCTGATGCCCTTCTTCCTCAGATCCCTAAACAGATTGTAGCTCGTCAGCAAGTCGCCGTCCTTCTTGGACGTCGGCGCCAGCCCCCACGGGCTGTTCATCGGCCAGAAATTGACATGGTGCTCAAACATCAGCTCGTCGACCAGCGCGCTCGCCCCGCCGTGGTCGGCATCGTCCGCCAGGAGGCTCTGCACGATGGGCTCCTCGATGGGCGCCGAGTCGATGTCGAGCTTGAACACAAAAAAGTCTTCGGGCTTGACGAGCCGCTTGATCATCTCGATGGCGTTGAGCTTGTCCTCGCCCATGGTGAGGCCGAGATTCATCAGCGTGTAGATGCCGACCAGGTCTGCGGGGATCTGCTCGAAAGCCACGGTGTCGTTCAGGGTTTCCACCTCGACGGCGATGAAGCGGGTGAACTTCTGCCCGCGCACGTGGTACTTGTCGTAGAACCACTGGCCTGACGCGGCCATGGGACTCGCCGTCCACCCCCCAAAGTACGAGGACCCAAGGTCCAGGTGCACATTCTGGGGCGTTGACCATACCGTGCCGACCTGCTCGTCATGCTCCGGCCGCAGCGAGGAGTACCAGGGCGGGACGCCGTGTGTCTGCCAGGACTTGGGCTCCTCGTCCCTGGTCGTGTACGCGAATGGCGAGTAGCCTTGTGGGAGGATGTGGTGCTTGGACTGGCCAGGGTGCTCGTCGGGGTAGCCCTGCATAACGAGCTTGTCCTTGCCGCAGTAGCCGTCAAAGGGGTCACGCAGCATGCCGAACAAGGGCTCGATGAGTTGGATCCCGCGACCGGTCGCCGGCTGGAAGCTCTGCGTCTTCTCGTCGTAGCAGACACGTCGGTAGTGCATGCGGCTCATGTACTCGTCTGCGGGATCGAGAGAGGCGATGGCGATGGACGCCTCGTCAAGCTGGTCCCACTGCACCTTGGGGTCGATGGCGGTCAGATTGATAGCTCGTCCGACGATGGCCGTGGCTGCTTCGACGTGTTTCTGGCTCTGCATGGCTTGGCAGATGTTGGGCCCCTCGGGGGTGGTTGACTGGACGCCGGGCACCTCCTGGAACCATGCCTCCTCGTAATCACTCGATTCGTACTGGTCGAACACCCACTTGCAGTATGACGATGGCTTGCCGGTCGAGCCATGAGGCTTCTGTTGCGCGTTCTTCCGGGGAGCGCCCGGGCTCGGATGGCTGAGAGCGTCGGGTGTTGTGTCCTGCTCTGGGCCCTGCTTACCCTTGGCGATTCGGATAAGAGACTCGTATTGACTGTGGAGGCCGAGAAGGACTAGAAATGCGGCCGCGAGGAAGAGAAACAAGTGAGCTCTCGGGATCATGATGAATTGCAACAGCCGACGGGTCTGGTTTCGAGGGGGGCGTGCAGTTGCTGCGAGCAGAGTTCTAGCTTGGATGGAGTTTAATGAGGCGAAAGGCGCTGGTCATCTGGCCCGTTTGTTTTGCGAAGAAAATATTTGAGGTCGTGTGCTTGGGTTCGGAATTACAATTGCCTCTCGCTACCAGACTCAGGAGTTGCTGCCTCTGGTCTGGGCTGGTTGCTGTTTGATCCGGCAAGGTCCACATGGCGGTTGAATATTGCTCAAGCTCATGCCAAAATACGTGCTCAATACTTGCTCCCAGCCGTCGCCGCTTCTCTTCTTCTGAGCATAGGGCTGGGAATACCGTGAACTCACCATTAGCGAAGCGTTAATCACCGCGTTAAACATGAATGAAGGGTTAATAGGTTTACTGGACCACACAGAGTGCCTTCCTCGCCAGCTAGGTGAGCCAAAATATCACGGCCTTGCCTTAGTTGGACATGGCGAAATGAGCAGCTAAGTGACTGGCATGTCCGACACCCTCTTAACGCCCATCAATAGTCAATGCCTGTGTAATGGTTAAGACGCAATTGGATTCGGAGCCCATTGACCACAATTAATGCCAGGCCGGATCCGACAAGACCTGCTGTGGGCGGCGTTCTGCATTCAAAGTCATGCTAACCATTTTATCACAAATCCAGTCACAAAATTGGTTTGGAACATGTACTGTCTCTTACGAATCCCATGTCAGGATGAGAGGAAATGATGTGTGATAATCACTGATGATCTAAGCTTCCCTTGATCTTGGCTAAAACCATTACTCCCCAGAGTTTGGCTTGTAAGTTGTAACTAGCTGTGCCTGAACGTCTGCGAACTTGATGTGAAAGAAGTTACTTGAGTGCACAAGTTTAATGACTCTATGTTTTGATGGATATGACCAGCTTGAGACGAATTGGGACCTATCGATAACGATAAGATAAGAGGGTTCTGCACTGCCTGCTGATTTGTCACATGCCCGCCCCTTGAGAACCTTCCAGAACGGAGGCTGTGGGGCGACTTTTGCCGTTTTCAGCGTTGCCAGCGCTCTGTCTCAGCGGCCTCAGCGGATGGACCCGCCTGGGGGGCTTCGGCTTTGGGGCGCCGCCTGCTGCCGTGGCACCTGAAAGAACAAAGGAATCTCTCATCCACGGAGCCATCTTGGATCAAAATGTCATGAATCGCCGTTTTGCATCTTCACTTGGTGGCCTGGTGAATAGCAGCTCATACCCTCATCGCATGCACGTCTTGACTAAACGTCCGTCTTGCTTTGGATCACCAGCCAGGATATATGTCGAGTCTATCAATTCCTTGCACTCAGACAGTAACGTCGCGCCGCCTGCGCGAAGCCGATTAACGCCTAGAATCAAACAGAGCACCACCGTCAGCCCGTATTTTGAGCTGATTTGATGTCCCGGGCCTGCTGCTATCGGCACAGGGATACGAACCCCTCACTCACCTCACACATCGCTCATCGTTTGGCGACCGGCCAGTCAGGCTATCTGCCTTGTCGGATTCAACTCCTCCCCTCCCTCTTTTTGACCCCCGTGTAGCTGCAAGTCAGCCTAGCCCGAGGACAAGGAACTGCACTTTCATCCCGCTTGCCAAGCACGGTTTGCTGCTCGTCATCGACAAGGCCAGGCCGGCGTGCCCAATCTCCGTGCAGATATTCATTTGCCATTTCCAATCCTGCCCAAGACATCATCTCCAGCATGAGTGCCCCCAAAGCAACACAGCTCAAGGAGGAGGGCAATCGCCACTTCAAGGCCGGCGATTACACCGGCGCAGAGGGCTATTATTCTAAGGCGTAAGCTTACACTTTGCCGTCGAATCCTTGTTGCCGGACGTGAATACTCATCATCATTCTCTGTGTAGTATAATCCAAGACCCAAGGAGCGCCCAGCTGTACACGAACCGCGCGTTCGCCCGGGTCAAGCTCGGCCTGTGGCCAGAGGTCGCCACCGACTGCCAGACCTGCCTGGAGATTGACCCCAAGAGCATCAAGGCGCACTACTACCTGTCCCAGGCCCGGCTGGCCCTCAAGGACTATGACGGCGCCTTCGCCAGCGCCAAGACCGCCCTCGAGCTGTGCACCGCGGCCGAGAACGACAAGTCGCTCTCGGCCATCGCGGAGCACATCCGCAGGGTGCGCCTCGAGCGCTGGGAGGACAAGGAGAAGCGCCGGCCCCGCGCCACGGCGGCCCTCGAGCAGCGCATCCTGCGCCTGCTCGAGAAGGAGCGGGACGACAACCTCGCCGAGTTTGGAGACGGCATCACCGAGGACGACCAGAAGGACGTCAACGACGACTTTGAGAGCACGGTGGAGCAGGTTCGCGACATCTTCGAGAGGGCCAGGGGCCCCGAGGAAAGGAAGAGAAAGGTGCCGGACTGGGCAACTGACGACATCACCTTCCAATTCATGGTCGACCCCGTCGTGGTGAGTTTGAATCACATCGCTCATACCCTTCTACTTAAGACCACATATACTGACATTGCATCTCTCTCCACAGACCCAAAATGGCAGGTCGTACGAACGGGCGTCTATCGAGGAGCATCTGCGGCTGTCAAAGACTGATCCTCTGACCCGTGAGCCTCTCTGTCGACACGACCTGCGGCCGAACCTGAACCTCAAGATGGCATGCGAAGAGTTCCTGGAAGAGAACGGATGGGCTGCGGACTGGTAATGGGCGCGCAGCGCTCAAGGGCCTCCGGGACCAGGCCGTGTAGAGGGTGTTGGATGCTCTCTGTCATGAGAAAATCGCACTTTTTTCGAGGGTTTGGTGCATTTCCCCGGCGTTGGGAGCGGGCAAAGCAAGCATTTCTGAAGGCGGTAACGATTCATGCACCTGAGCACCCGATCACAGGCGATTTGAGCTGATTTCTTTTCCTGTTTTGTTTGTTCCATGATACAGTGTATTGCATAGCAAGCATCTGCGACCAAAAGGGTATTATGCCGGATGGAAGGGAAGATTAATGACATATTAAGTAGCTGTAGAGAGACCTATGAAGCCAGTCCGGATCCCTCCTCATTCTCATGCCGCCACATCCCCGACGACCCCGTGATGCCTCCTCGTGAAGACGCGCTTCATCCTCTCAACGACACTAGGGCGCCTCGTCCGGTCAGCTGTCAGCGGTACGACCGCCGCCTCGCCGTTCTCACTACTCGACGTCGTCGCCGCACCCTCGACCGGCGTCTCCGTGACCTCGACCTTGGGCAGCCCATCCACCAGATGCTCCGACACCGCGCTCTCCCGCGCCACAACGACCTCGCTCCTCGCCCTCCGCGCACTACCACCACGACGACACTCTCGTCGCCCATCCTCCGCTCCCATTCCGCGGTGCCTACACCCCCGCTTCCGCTCCCACCCCTCCACCTCACCGCCCTCGTCCTCCCTGCCCATCTCCCGCAGCACAGCCCGCACAACCGTCTCAAAGACCTCCTCCACGCCCTCCCCCGTCCGCGCGCTCGTCTCGCAGAACGGCACGCCCAGCACCAGCGCCCGGGCTAGCGCGTCCCCCTCCTCCCAGCTGACCTGCCTCCTCCGCGCCGCCGCCTCCGTGTCCGACCACGCATCCACGCGCGTGCCATCATCCTCCGCCTCCTCCTCCTCCTCCTCTTCTTCTGCCGGACCCCGCTCGACTACGACGACTTCCTCCTCGTCCACGGCGTCAGGCACGGGCGACCCCGTCCGCAGCCACCGCTCGATGACCTCGGACCTGCGCTGCGCGTGGCCCCCGCCCCAGCCCATCAGCGGAGACAGCGGCACCGTCCGCGCCGAGAGGACGGACCGCCGCACGCCGGCGTCAGCGGCGATAATGCCGCCGCCGCCCAGCACCGAGTCGGCCGACATGACGGACCGCCTGGCGAGCAGCGCCGCCGGCGCAGACTCCCTCTTGATCCCGCCCGGCGGGCCGGAGAGGGGCGACGACGACGGCACGCGGGCCCGGAAGTGGTTGCCGCCGTTTCTCCGTAGCGGTAGGTCGTGCTCATACAGTCTGCTCTCCCGGAACAGCGGGTGTACGAGCCCGCGCTCCTCGACCTCGGCCTCCTGCAGCGCGGCCTCCTTGTCGTACGCCGCTCCGCCGTCGGCGTCCATGTCGACGTCGGCCTTGTTGCCCGCCAGCGCGACGACGACCTCGCCCCTCCTCGTGGCGTAGTGTGCACCACTATGCTCGACCGCAAGGGAGCTCGCGCTCGCCCCGCCGCCGAACCAGCTCCCCCGGGCGCGCTTATCCCCCACCACCTCCTTCTCCTCCTCCGCCGTCGCCGCCGACGCGGCTCTCCTATGCCGATGATGATTTCGCCTACGGCGGTGATGCCACCTGCTGCCCGACGGCAGGATCTCCCCGTGCAGGTCCGCCACGGCGTCGAAGCTGTCGCGGCTGCACACGTCGTACACCAGCAACACGGCGTCGTAGGTACCCCTGGCCGCCAGGACGTGTGCTCTCGCGCGCGCGTCCTGCAGCGCCGGGCAGTTGATCAGCTCGACCATGTACGTCCTCCCGCTGCCGGTGCGGCCGGCCTCGTCCTCGTCCTCCTCGCGGGCGCATTGCGGACACCGACCTGCGCTGTTGCCGCCGCCGCTGCCAATGCCGATACCGGCGTCATCACCGCCGTCGCCGCTGTGGACGGAAGCCGGGTTGGAAAACGCGGACGACGCCTCTCCCGCTGCTGAGGAAGACGACCCAGGGACGGAGGGCCCACCGGCCGCCGCGGCGAGTGTGACCTTGAGTCCGTCGGACGTGTCGAGCGGGCGGGTGAGAAGGGCGTCTGACGGTGTTGGCGGCCGCGGCGTAAGGGTGAAGAGGCGCCTGCTGGTCAGGGTGAGGGCCGGGTTGTAGGGCGGCGGGTAGGTCGATGTCGTGAACTGGTTGTCCTCGTGTCATGTCAGTGAAGGCTGTTGAAAGCAGAAGGGAGTACCGTACCCTTGATTCTAAGCAGTCCTTCCCCACACCCGGTGCCCCGAGCATGAGGATCCGGATCGTGGGGTTCGGAGCGGGCTTCTTCATGGCTCTTGTGCCTCTGACCTTAAGTCTGATCTGTTGACCGGGTGGTGAAAAGCTTGGCTGGATATGGGTGTCTCGTTCGGTAGCAGCAAGGATATCGGGACAGACCTGGGCTTTAACGACGACGTAGTCTTCAATCTGGGGTCTCGCTGCCCTGCTGCCCACGTTTGCATAATCGCACTCTACCTGAGAGCCTCGCCTCAGTCTGGAATGAAGGCGGACGGAAAGCATGCATGCGCACAACGACACCTGACCTTCATTCAGCCTCCCTACTTTGTTAAAGAAAGAGTAGAACCTCTAATTTCGAGACCCTCTACCCTCTTCCCTTCCCCATTTTGCTCGTGATGATCTCGCCCCTGCGGCGTTTCAAAAGTCTACCCAGAGTCGACAGGCGCATGAAGCGACGGCCACAGGCTAAATAAAGTGCAAGTGACCATTCCCTTCCAACGAGTTAACAGTGCGAGTAGAATCAGGCGTTAGAATAAAGCAAGGAGAGGCGCACAGGTAATATAGTCGAAGGGGCATAGCATGAACTCGTATACCAATGCGAAAAGCTTATACATCCCGCCGTGATTAACTCTACTTGTTATTCCATCAAGGTTCATATCCAGGATACCTCCACTCCTTTTTAGCTATACTTGATAGACCTCAAAGAAGATCGTTTTCAAGATAAACAGAGCAATCAAGGATCGAGAAGCTTGACTCCATGGCATAAGTATATCAACCAGGCAAGTATCTACATTCGACAGAAAATGAGACCCCTCGTTCGGATCGGTGAGGCGGAGTCTGCTACCCTCGAGTGGTGCATAATCCGCGCTGCAACGTTGGTTGCGCCGAATCCTGCAGCATCACTCACTTGTCCACCTATGAACACCCCTGCACACCTGGTTGTACTGTACAGCCTCATTCCGCGACCCGCCATGACGCCAAGAATGGTATGTAGTAATTTGCCAGCACGTGCGTCAGCATTGGGCAGATGTGAGAGGGGCTGAGGCTGCATCTGCATATGTGTTTTTCCTATAGAAACGGGCATCCCCTTGATTACAAACCTCAAGCAGCACCACGACTGAGTAAATCTCTGCTTGCCGATATTTTGACATCCATGGGTCGCCGAAAAGCAAGATCCTACCGGGCTTCAAGCCCACCAGATTCAGACTCCAGCGCATCCAGCGACACAAGTTTCGAGTCTGCAAAGGTAATCGGCGACGAAGGCGATGCAGAGGCTCTGCATTTGAAACGAAAGGCCTCCAGAAGCGGCCAAATACCCCCGCACCGCTGCCGGCATTGCGACTATATTCCCACTCTGCGCCCTTACCGGCGCGAGCCGGTGCATGTTCTGAAAAGCCGAGCCGAGATCAAACACGCTGCTAGAAAGGGGTGCAATTGGGCGTTACTGCTCTATCCGCAAATCCGTTATTTTGACCTCGAGCGGAAGGCTGTAAGGAGTCTCATCGACAAAGGATTTCGACCCAGGATAGATGTGGAAGAGGGAGTTCGTGTGGACGTTGGCAATGGGGGCTCACGTGTTATCACCGATAAAAGAAACAACGAGAAGGCATTGTCGAGCGCTTTCGAGCGTTCCTCAGAACGCGAGGAGTTTCTGTCATTTTCCGACGAGGACAGTGACTTCTGGGGGGGATTCGAGCTGTGGTCGGCTGAATACTGGCCAGAAGACTTCGGGGGATCCATCAACCCTGATCTTGTTCGTTTGGAGTTTCAACTTCATCAATATGAGCCTCTGGAGATGCATGTCAGCATGTGTCTCTGTGGGCCATCGGAAATCTATGCTTTGCGTCACTCGGCCAGCCCATCAACGACCCATGATTCATCGGCAAGCCGTACTAACGGCCGTTCTGGAGGTGATTCTGAGTCGAGGAGATTTGTTGATAAAGTCCCCATGTTGAGTGTGTGGTCTTGCTTTGAGATGTTTCACGTAGTGGGACGTGCAGGTAAGATTGTTGCAAGTCGCGGGAAATGGTGCATAATTAACACTGTCTAGGTGACCTGATGCAGTTGGGCCTTGGTGAATCTCTTGCGCCTGTCAACACAGATCCAGGGGCCCGGGAATCCCTGGAGCTAATGAGACATTGGCATCGCTTCTGTAAAACGAATCACGAATGCGGCATGGAAAAGCCGCCGGATGTTATGCCTAGGATGATTTTAGACCTCATGACGACTCTCGACACCTCAAAGGTTGGCCTCAAGATAATCACACCCGACGACGTCCACAAGCGGTATCTTGCTTTGTCGTATTGCTGGGGACAATCCGCACAGAACCTCGTCCTGCTCAAGGCAACTATGACACAATTCGCACAAGGGATCAAGATTACTTCTCTTGACCAGACAATTCAAGACGCCATCAAGATTGCGAAAGCTTTGGGTTACCGATATTTATGGGTCGATGCATTATGTATCATTCAAGATGACCCGATTTTCAAAAGCGCCGAGATCTCTCGAATGGATGAGATATACAGAAATGCGACGATATGCATAGTTGCTGCGAGAGCAAGCAGTGTGAAGGAAGGCTTCCTGTCTAAACGTTTGCCCCTCGGTCAGCACACACCCAACACCGTCTTCCCGCTCAGGATTAAGGGTTCGAAGAATGAACCGCGTACAAAAGCTGTCCTCATTCCACAACAGGACACTTTGGCGGGCGATCTCACTGACGAGCCTATGGAAGATCTGGAGTGGTTTACCTCCCTGACACCCAATGACCCTCTTCCCGACCAAGAGCCCTGGGAACAAAGAGCGTGGACTGTGCAAGAGGATCTCCTGTCCGCGAGACAATTGAAATTTGGCAACAATCAAACGACCTGGACGTGCTTCTGCTCCACGTTGCCGTACATTGCGTCTGACGGCTGGCTCAAGAATGGTTCCCGAGAAGGCAATCGGGTATATGATACAGAGTTGTTTCGGCGGGTGAACCAAAACTTGAGAAGGTTACAGTCCCGGGACCGGGTTTCAAGAAGAAGAGATCCGCTTGCAAACTCCGAGACTTTATTTCCAGACGCCCTGAGCACGTGGTACAGATTGGTCGAGTGTTATTCTTTCCGGCATGTGACAAACAAAAGCGATAGACTGCCCGCGATATCGGCCCTGGCCAAGGAGTTCGCCAAGGTCCTGAAGGACGAGTACGTTTGCGGCCATTGGAGATCTCGTTTGCCATTGGAGCTCATGTGGTCCCCCGTCCGCGGATCGCACTCTCTTCGTGACACACGGCCAAGACTGCGGCCTTCATGGAGTTGGGCTTCCTTTGAGGGCGCCATTATGATGACCTCTTACAAGTTCGATGCAAATTTCAAGGTCTATGGCCATTTCGTGGACTTGGAACACCCCCACGCACCATATGGCGCCGTCAAGGCAGCCAGTCTCGACCTACAAGGATTACTCATCGAAGACCAGATCGTGCGCCATGATCGTAACGGGAAGCCGAACCTGGGTCTTTCCAATCAGAGCAGGAATGGTGTGCGAGGATGCGTACTTGGTCGCCACGCGAGGCTGCATCTTGACTACCCCGATGAACTACGAGTAAGCGAAGATGAACTTGCTAGCTTTGTCTTGCTTGTTGTCTCTGATTCTCGGAATTCGGATAGTCCAGACGGTCTCGTTCTGCGCCCACACGGAAATGACATATACAGTCGAGTGGGGCTCTTCGCGTTTTATCAGAACTACACTGGGCTCAAGTCAGTCACTAGTCCGGATTCCTACGACCTCAAGCTGTTTTTTGGGCACGATAAGAGCTCAGAGGATGGAAAGAAATACCGGAGACTTTGGAAGGACTCATACATGTACCGAGGAGGAGAGTTGCGGACAAGTAAGGGACACGTTAGACGGTTCTCGCTTGTGTAATTCCCCATGTCTTCTGTATTTGGGATGCGAGAGTCCGTATCTGACTGTACACTCGGCGAAGAATAAGCACGGGATGGCTTGGTGTCTTCAGATGATAGAGTTGAGTCCCCAAAAGAACAATTGTCGGATTCTGGCTGTATTATGTGAGCATGGTGAGATCATGGCATATAGGATCTACTTAAGAGCACTGACTGAAAGGTAACAGATGCGAGGCGTGATGAGACATCATGATGGGTTCATGCTATTCGTCAGACCCAGGGCTGTCTAATTGTGGGATCTAGGTGCCACTGAGCTGTCAAATTTCAATATGGTCAAGAAAGAAAATCATCGCTTGCAACACTTTGTTCGGACCTCCGACCCAGCTTCCGTTGGAAAGCCGCATCTGAGAATGATGTTCTCATGGGACCAGGCCCTGGTCGTCACGATCCGTGACTACGTGATGGCTGTACATCCTTGGCTTGTATCGCAACGATAGACACTGCCGCTAGCCATGAACGTCGAAGCCGAGTATGCAGAACCGCTGCCGGAGACGACAGAGCTGCTCGTGCTGAATCACGGCGTGGAAGATCTTATGCTCGATGAAGCGGGACCTTGGAAGGCGGCTGCGCGAACAGGGTCGAGAGTGTGTGTAGTCTTGGTAACTGAGTGACATCAACAACAGAAGCCATTGAAATTGACCAATACATTACCCGGCTTCCTGCTAACACCTTGGGACTGTGTTCTCCGAAGAATTTGGTCCGTTGAACGATAGCGTCTTTCATTGAATCACCACTTGCAATCAGTTTGGATATACTTCGTGCTGACAGATCGTTGCGGTGCTATGCCCCGGTATCGCCATTGTTGCTCTTTTGGCGTCGTCTTCACTCAAGAGGCTATTCTGGCTCACAAGGCGGTAGATTGACTAATTACCTAATATAATCCCCCGCCAATGATCGTGCTGGCCGATCAGTAAGAGTAAAGTTGAGCAAGTCAGGAAGGCCAGACATGGTGCCGATCGATCAGGACGCTGGGAAAAGCTCAGACAGCTCGACGAAACCGGACTCTTCAAGGTTCTACGCTACAGTAAACCCTTTGCGCATGCCCCTGACAAGAACAATGTCAAAAGGGTACGCAGGTACTACACTACCTACCTAGATATTAGACTAGTTATAGTATGAGGCAGTTGCTTCTGACTGATGCACTACGGGGTTGGGCTGGTTGATTTGCTATTATCGGGCTGGATAGGGGATGAATTCCATCTTCCTGTTGCATGTGTTGTGGCATTTCTGTGTTATATAGATATTGATTTCTGACTACAAAATCACCATGGCCCTTACGCTCTTTAATATAGTAAGGCATATATGTATACATATATTCCCCACCCCATTCTATGCCATGCATGCCAAGTTTGGTATCTAGATGTATGCTCCATCCTCTAATCCCCTCCCCTCAACTCCAACCCCCAACCCAAAGGTTACCTGTACCTGCCCGCCTTCTGTATCCTCTCACCTCCCACCAAAACACCCAGAAAAGAGGCCATAAAAAAGAAGTTCATCAAACAAACAACGCTTTCATCATGGACTCTATCGTTACACACCTTTTGCCGCCCAAACCGCCCCTTGTTCCCTCACCACTGACACCACCCATCGTCGTCGTGAGCATCAATCATATAAACGCCCCCGTCCCCCCTCGAGGAGGACTATGCTTCGGCGGCGGCGGCGGAGGCGAAGACCCCCTCCTCCCTCCGCCACCACCACCACCGCTCTGCCCCGTCGACGACGCCTCATCAGGAGACGACCTCCCCCTCCCCCTCCCCCTCCCCGTCCTCTCAGCCTCCCACTCCTTCTCGTCCTCCACATCCCCCTCATCATAAGCCCGCCGCCCCATCCCATCCCTCTGGTTGCCCCCTCCGCCACGGGGCGGCGAATCCGTGATCCCCCGCCCATACCGCGCCTGCTTATCGTCCGTGTACGTCGCGCCCCCGCCACCGCCAAGGTCATACGGGTCCTCGTCGCTCTCGCTCTCATACATGGGCAGCGAGATCCGCCTGCCGTCGTCCCCGTACCGCGGCAGCGCCGGCAGGCTCTGCGAGTCGCCCTTGACCAGACCGAGCCTCTCCTCCTCCGTCGCGTCCTTGACCTGCGGACTCGAGTAGCCCCTCGACGCCACGCGCGGCCGCTGGTGAGCATCCTGCGCCCCGTCGTGCTGCTGCCCCTGCCCCTGCTGCTGCTGCTGGTTCTGGTGCCGCCGGAAGACGTTCTGGAACGAGAACTGCCGTCGCGCCGAGTGCGGCGGCGGCGTGGGCGGCACCGCCAGCGACGAGCTGCTCTGCGACGCCTGCCGGTTGTCCCCGCCAAACTGCACGCGCCGCCCGCTGCTCGACGGGATGCTAGCCTGGCTGCCCTCGTACTCGGTCTTGCTGTCCGCCGGCACGCCGTACGGGTGCCGGCCACCACCACCACTACTACTATAGTAAGTCGTGCCGCCGCCTTGCTGTTGCTGTTGTTGCTGCTGCCGCTGGTCTCTGCCGCCGCCCGCCGGCACGTTGATCTCGGTCAGCTGCACGGGGTGCATGGGGCTCTGCACCTTGGGGTCGCTGGACGACGACGGCCGGTACTCCGGGTGGCCCGGCAGGACGACGCTCTTGGCCCGGCTGCGGATGGTGCCGGCGATGCTCGAGAGGATGCCGGGCGTGCTGCTGCCCTCGCGCTCGGCGATCTCCTCGTCGGTCGGGAAGTGCGTCCACCCGAGCGGCGGGTGCGTCTGGTTGGTCTGCGCCGTGCCGGGCGGCGTAAACGGCGGCTGGCCCGTCGTCGGCGAGGTCATAGCCCGCGAGCGCTGGCTGCCGATCATGGTCCGGCGCCGCCGCAGGCCGTCCCACTCGTACTGCGGGCCGTTCTCGCTGACGGGCGTCAGGCGCTCCTGCATCTTCTCCTCGTGCAGGCGCTTGAGCTCCTCGACCTCCATCTTCTGGCGCGCGACCGAGAAGCGGCGCACGATGGCGGCGGCGCCGCGGATGGCGTCGGCCTTGGGCTCCGTCTCGGGCTGCTCCTGCTCGGCGATGGTGTGGATCTGGTCCAGGTCGCCCGAGAAGACGGCCGAGTCGGGCACGTCCTTGGCCGACTTGGACAGCTGCAGCAGGACGACGCCCGCGCAGATGGTCAGGAAGCCCATGACGACCGTTACTATGTTCTGCGCCGTGCCCTTGAACCCCTGAAACAGGATGGTCGAGGTGATGATGGTCGTGCTGGTGAAGTAGACGTAGTAGGTAGGGGTGACTAAGGCGGCGTTGAAGAGGTTGAGTGCTTTCTAAATCAGTGGAAAGCACAGGTAAGTAAAAAAATGACATGCGTATATGCGTAGGGGCACTGGATGCGCTTCAAACTCACATTAAGGTAAATGATTTCGGTAAGCAGGGTGCCGATGACAAAGACCAGCAGGACATACATGAACCACTGGTTGAACTGGGGAATGCCCCTGATCTGGGCGAGAATGGCGGCACCGAGGCCCTGGGTGCACACGACGCTCAAGCCGCCGATCCAGCTGCAGATGGAGATGTAGACCAGCATGTTCTTCTTGCCCCACCGCGGGCCGGCGTAGAAGGCAGCGATCAGCGCGCCGACGATGATGAGGCCCGTGTAGGTGAGGAAGCCCGGGGTGATGACAAACTTTTGCATCTGCTGGATGTTGTCGACGGCCGACTCGTGCGGGGCGTTCATAACAATGACGACGGACCCGACGATGCACAGGAAGCAGGCGACCTTGCCGACCATGCTGAGCCGCTCCTTGAGGAAGATGGCCGACAGGATGGTCGTGATGACGACGGACAGGGCGCCCAGAGGCGTGACCAGGATGGCGTCGGTGAAGGAGTAGGCGACGAAATTACAAATCTCGCCAAGAATCATCAGCGTCATGCCGGCCCACCAGTGGAAGTTCTTGAGGTAGCCGTAGCCCTCGCCGGCAGCCTCGTTGTATTTCTCGTTGGCTTTGAGCAGGCCGACCTTCTTGAGGACGAAGGATACACCGATGAACAGGCCCGAGGCGACGGCAAGTGATATGCCAATCACCTTGTACACTGGGGGCCTCGTCTCCGTCGCCGTCTTGTTCGTGTCTGTCTCGTTGGCGCGGCGGTATATGTCGTTGGCAACGGTGAGGAGCTGGGCTCCGTGGCCCATGGCGGCGTCCATCGTGGGAGCTGTTGTCGAGAGGTCGACGAACAGCGACGGGCGGCCGTCGCCGGGTCTGGTTGTGATCTCTGTTGTCTAGTTTCCGTGCACAGCACTGACTGATTGTTGCCAAGCTTTCTTCGTCTCCCCCTTTTTCTGAGGTATTGTAGTCGCAACTGCGACCACGGTTGAGAGATCGACAACCAAGAACTCAAGACAAGCCGTCCGACATGTGATGCCCTTCCAGAAGCGCCCGATCGTGAACAATGCACAGGAGAAGGTTGGCAGGTGGGAGGCGGCGTGGGAAAAGAAGAGTCGGTCGAGCTCTGGAAAACGATTGAGCCAGCGGACGAGGGCGATTGGGTCGGTTGTTCCGAAGGCCTGTCCTTGATCCCTCTTGACAGCGCACGGCTTCCTTAGCCGGAGGCTTGTATGGTTCAGGTCGGGCGGCTGTGTGTGTGTGTGTGTGGCGGACGAGTCGGAAACAGGGGAAAGTGGAAGCGAGGAAACGTTGTTCGCTGGGTTCGTCTGGTCCAGCGCCTGCCCAGTCGGGGTCTGAGCGAGTTCGGGACAATAGTTGTCACGGGCTATGGAGATCAAGGGTCGTGGGTGTGCCAGAGGGAGAGGATGTGGATGTCGGGACGTCTGGGGGATTTTCCTGGAACGGAGCCAAGTCGGTCAGCGGGCGGTGCGGCGAGGGGGGACGTTTGTGGGCAGAGGAACCTACGAGGAGCGTGTGTTTCTGAGACAGCTGGTGCAGGAGAATAGAAGGCTCCGTATTTTTCTGGTGATCCAGGGGAGACAGCCGAAGAATGTCGTTTGTGGCGGTTGGAGCAGGTCTCTCTCGATTGGGGCCGCCCAGCAACGACTGGAATGCGGGCAGGGATGCGGATGACTACCTATGTAGGTAAAGTAGGATGGATGCGGCTAAGAGCAGGGGTTCTCGATACCTTGCGAAACAGAATAAGGTATCGTTCAGATGGGGGACTAGCAAAGTCAAAAGCTAGGTAGAGAGTAATCAGCACCCACAAAGAATAAGCAGAGTTCGCAATAGTGAGAGTTGCATATTGGAAGTGGAATGGAAGAATGGGCGATTCCCAGTTTACGACATGCCATCCCCAGAAGGTAGGTAGACTAGATCGAAAATGTGGGTGGTGGTGGTGGTGTTTGCGGTGGTTGGTGCAGCTGTGCAGCTGGCCTTGGGTGCGGGCAAGAGACGTAATGCGCCGGTCGATCTTCCCAGGTAAGCAACGCTGGGCCAGAAGCGAGGTGGAGGCAGCTGTTGCGCTAGGCGCTGGGAGCCGTCCAGTGGTTGGCCCACGGCGCTGTTGGCGGGTCGATGCTGCTGGAGTGGGTGGATGCGGGTGGGTGGCAGCCCAACCAGGCGGTCTCTCCAGGTGCATTGCGTGGTGGATGCTCAGAAGGGCAGGTCTGGACCGACCGATGCGATCATGGCTGGCCCCTCCAGCTAATGCAACCACTTTAGTCTCTCTCTCTCTCTCTCTCCAGCTCTCTCCGGCACTCTCCTCTCCATCAACGGCGGCGTTTGTTTGTACCTACGCAAGCTAACTATTCCGCGGATAGCAACTGTCGCAGTCGGTGTTGCTCTCTGCCGCTGCCGTGGGGCTGTGCTCAAGGTCGGCCCGCAATGTGTGTGCTTGTGCCTCGTGTTTCGGATGCTTATTTCTGGAACACAACCAGCTTCACCACACATCCCGCCCTCAACCAATCGCTTGCATGCAAGCAGCCATTCAGCCGATGAATTGCGATGATAAGGGGGGGGGGACTTTATTCTTATCCATCAGCTCCCCCTCCATCTTCCTCTTTCTTCTCCTTCCCGTGCGGTCTGCTACCAACAGCCGTGCAGCAACGAGGGCTGCTGAATGGCCCCGTATGGCCCCGGACTACATACCAAAAGGATGTTAAGCTCTCGTGGTGGTGAAACATCGTATCGCGCTGGGCGGCCTCCCTTGTCTCCAGTCCACAGTGGCCCTAGCTCCAACTCTAACATGTGGTCCGGTTCCGATCCCCACACTTTCCAGGAACGAACGGTTCCCCTTTCAATCTTCTTTGAACAGTGAAGACATTCAGCTGATACGGAGTATGTAGGGAGCACCAGCCTGCCACGGTAGGAGGTACGTCATGCTGTCGCTCGGAAGACTCGCGGGTGCGGATGACCAAGGAAAGGGCCTCTCCTGCTTCCAGGGTCCTTGAGGCCTTGCCTCGTGTGGTCATAGGGTTGCATTGCCGACCTCTGCGCGCCAACAAGATCGCGCCCAGTGACGTCCAGTGATGTCAACCCCGCAGAAGATCGTCGCCATGCCATGTGATTGGGCCCAGCCAAGGGACCACAGGTACTTGTAGGTAGTACTACTGTCCCGCATCCCATCAGCCACTACTTCAATGTTGAAGAGAGCCCGCCATCCCGGTCAGCAAGGCAGCCATAGGCAGAATGGGAAAGGAAAAAAAAAAGAACAAAACCTGCATGGTAGGTACACTGCATTCGAAAGCATGCAAAAAAAGCGAAGCCCTTGTTCAGAGGAAATTCCGAAGAGCAGTTGAGCTACTTCGCTTGAGTAACCTGGCCATCCTCTTGCACATATAGCATTGTACGCCACCTCCACGGCCAGACTTGGTACAACGCAACACTACAACACACTCGGATAGACAAAGTATTCAGTTCCCGTTCTGCATTAGGTAGAATAGATAGCGGTTATGATACCGATAAATACCTATCTCTCGGCATCCAAGCCATTTCACTGCATAGTATTGAAACCTCGCCGTACAACCTGAATGACAACACATGGCAAAACAAAAACAAGAACGAACCACTGCACCAGTGGCTCGAACACATACACACCAGGGCAAAAAGCAATTAAAAGCGAAGCCCTGGAATGTCCAGGTCCATTTCTAGAGGCAGTTTTACTTGGTTTCGCTACTTCGCGGAGAGGAGCATGTCTAATTCGACTGATAACCCCGACCTCCAGAGGTCCGCGCCCACAACTCGGCGTGTTGACTCATCGGCGAGTGAACTCCCTCGCCCCAACTGCCAATCCTGTCTCGAGAAGAATGGCAAAAAGAAAAAAAAGACTTGTACGAAACTCGAATCGAACAGGTGTTGCCCTAAGCCGAAAGGCAAAAAGCGAAGTCCTGGCAAGCCAGGAATGTGGTTTTCCCCTTGAAAATTTGTTAAATCTGACAGACAGTTGAGCTACTTCGCTTGGAAAGCTGCTCTCCACCATTCGGTATAAGTCTGTAGTCTCTCTGACCAGATACCTGAGATAGCAGGCAGAACGAGCAGCCTAAAACAGCCTGGCCAGGACCTTTTCTTAAAAATGGTTTGTCGAGCCACAGTTCCTGTCCCATACACAAGACAATTTGTTTCTTTCTTGAGACATCCGAGTTATTCGGCTTCTGTTACAGCCAGACGCTGGTCATCGTTCAATGTTGCTCTCGCGGCCCAGGCCACTTATCCTGTCTAGGCGGCACATGCAAGCCACGGCTCACAGGTTTAGGTAAGAATGCCTCGTCGAAACAACCCGCCAATGACACCCACACATGGCGTCTCGGTCTGCCTGTGTGCAGCATGGTGGCGTGCTCCGCCCAGCCGCCGAACACATGTGACGTCCACCTTGGAACGCCACGGCGCCCTCGCCCCTCTCATCCGGGCAACTGGCTAGGCCTCCCATACACCGAACGCGGTCTGGTTGGCATCCCGCCCGGATACCGCAAGTGGCAGTGCATCTGGAACCTGCCGAGATATATACACCGCCTGGCGTCCCCCATCGCCATCGCCATGTGCCCATCCCTCGACGCTTGCACTCGCGGCAGCCATGCCCGCTAGGTAGACACCACGCTTCCTGCCGCGGAACCATGGACCCCCTGAGCATCACGGCCTCGGTCGCCGGCATCCTGACCGCGTCGGTCAAGATCCTCGGCGTGCTGACGCTGCTGCACGACGCGCCGGCCTTCGTCACGGCCATCGGCGTCGAGGTCAACCACATCCGCATCGTCGTCGCCGCCCTCCGCAAGTTCCTCGACCGCACGCGCCGGCTGCCGCCCGGCCGCGCCGCGCTGATCCAGGTCGACGACGTCGTCGCCATCCTCACGCAGACCGTGCTGACCTTCTCCGAGCTCGAGGGCTTCGTCCGCTCCGCCGCCTCGCGGAGCACGCTCCTGCGCCTGCGCAGCCGCATCTCCTGGCCGTGGCAGCAGGCCGGCGCCGACCGCCTGCTCAACCGGCTGCAGCAGCACAAGATGACCCTGTCGCTGGTGCTGCAGATTATTCAGTGGTGCGTGTCGCGCTATAAATAATGTTACTACTGGTTGCTTAGACTGATACCTTGTGAAGCAACTCTGATCTGGACGCCGAGGAGTTTGCGACGTCCCTGCAGGACCAGGTCGAGAATCAAGTGCAGGGAAGTCCCGATCTGTTGAAACGCTTGGAGCAGCTGGAGCCTCTGCCGGATGACATCGATGCCAAGACACTGTCCGGCGACCTCAAGCCTACGGAAGAACAGGTGGAGGACGTCGATACCGAAGAGGAGGGCTGCCCAGGCCACGCTTCGTTCCCCCAGCCAAACTTCGAGATTATCCCTCCGTCCACTAACATAGACATTGGAGCGCCAGCCTTGTACGACATCAGTCAAACAGTAGATCTAATGGACAAGTCGCCAAGCCTGACAAGTCAGAAACCATCAATCGAGATGCCGCCTTCAAGACCCATCACCACCCCCGGAATGCTGCCAAGACGCTTCGAAGTGATACTATCCACGACTAGAGTGTACAACCGGGTCAGACATAGAGGGATCGACGACGCAACATCAATCATCTCGTTCCGCTCGCGGGGCTGGTCCGTCCTCACGGGCGTCAGTCTCGCCAGGGTCTCGGCCATCTCGGTGATCAATCTTCCTCTAAGTGATGCCGAGGTGAGGCGCTTCCTCGACCTCGCCAACTCGAAGCCAAAGAAGAAAAACCGCCCTCCCCCCTCAGACATCCGTCTTGACCCGAGAAGAATCCCACGTAAGCTTGACCCTCCGGCCCTTCACAGCACGCCCAAGATCGTTCAAGACGAGGCTGCATCGAGCAGGGCAGACTCTGGCCAGCTCAGAGTGATCAGGGAGCTGGACGGTCTCATAAGCAACCCACCCAAGTCGGTGTTTGCGCAGGAAGTAACAGATGACTTAGTACGCAACCTCCCGGCGTTCACAACACCCTCCTACTATGATTGACAAGACAGCAGATGGAGTGGCAAGCGGGCATCACCGGGCCGCCCGACAGCCCCTACCACGGCGGCATCTGGCTGCTGAGGATCCGCTTCGAGCATGCGTACCCGCGCGTGGCCCCGGAGATCTCGTTCACGACGCGCATCTACCACCCAAACGTCGACCAGAACGGCCAGATCTCGCTCGACATGCTGAACCAGCCGTGGAGCTCGAGCATCAACATGCGACAAGGTGCTTCTTCATCCCTTCCTTCCCCGTGCCCTCCTCCCCTGCATCACGCTCTCGGCTCGACTGACAACGCACTATCAGTGCTCCTCCGCATCTGGCTGCTCCTGTACGATCCCCAGCTGGACATCGCCTTGGTCCCGGAGATCGCGGAGACGTATACCAATGACCGCGAGCGCTTCGACAGGACTGCCCGGGAGTGGACGAAGGGGTATGCCATGTAAAGTTGTACGGAGTATCAGGTAGTCGTAGATTTCTCGTCCTTGACGCCTCGCTATCTGCCTTTCCCGATCTGGAGCCGTCCACGACAGCCGAGACCACCGTGACGCATTTCCGCCTCCAGTTTCTCCACCTTCGGTAGGCGATAGCGACCGTGGTGGAGTGGATGGGTTACAATTACCTCAATCGTCCTAGCGCTGCCTCTTAACCTCCGACTTAAAGGCCGTTGCGCGGGATTCCCAAACTGCAGATTTCATCTCCCCGCGATCTTTGAAACAATCCCAGGGATCTCGTGCTTCAAAGGGAAAGACAGGAAATCGTCGCACTTGGTCGAGAATATGAAAGCTCTCAAACTGTGGACTATCTCCGTAGGTGTCGCGGGAGTCCTGGGCTGTGGGTCACACAACCATGATGACCGGGAGTGGTCGGCCGAAGAGCTCGAGGAGCTCGAGGCGAAATGGGGTACTGATGTGAGTCTTCAATGCATAGGCATCATATCTCTTGAAACTACAGATGCTCTAACTGCCCCTTCGCTCATACAGTGGAGTTTCTCAGGCATCTCGACGTTTGCGCACCTGCCGCACGTCAAGTGCCTCACGAACCCGTCTCAGGAGTTCGACATCGGCATCATAGGTGCCCCCTTCGACACGGCCGTCAGCTACCGACCAGGTAAGTCTTGTCTCTCTTCTGGAAACCCACCGTAAGAGGAATTCCTTCGCTCACCGGACCCCAACAACAAAAATAAAGGCGCACGGTTCGGCCCCCGCGCCATCCGCGCAGCCTCGGCCCGCCAGATCTCGTTCCGCGCCTACAACCCGCGCGCCAACATCAACCCCTACCAGAGCTGGGCCAAGGTCATCGACTGCGGCGACATCCCCGTCACGCCCTTCGACAACGCCGTCGCGGTGCGGCAGATGGAGGCCGCCTTCTCCGAGCTCGGCAGCCGCCGCACCGCCTCCTCGCTCCTCCGCCGGCCGAAGCTCCTCACCCTCGGCGGCGACCACTCCCTCGCCCTGCCCGCCCTGCGCGCGCTGCACGCGCACTACGGCCCCATCCGCGTCCTGCACTTCGACGCCCACCTCGACACCTGGAGCCCGGACAAGTACCCCTCCGCCTGGGCCAGCGAGCAGTCGCGCTTCACCCACGGGTCCATGTTCTGGCTCGCCGGGCGGGAAGGCCTGCTGTCCAACACCTCGTCGAGCCTGCACGCGGGGCTGCGCACGCGCCTGTCCGGCACCGACGCGGCCGACTGGGACGAGGACTCGGCGCAGGGGTGGGTGCGCATCGCGGCCGACGACATCGACGACGTCGGCGGCGCGCGGGGCGTCGCGCGCGCCATCATGGACAACTTTGGCGCCGCGGACCCGGTCTACCTGAGCGTCGACATCGACGTCCTGGACCCGGCCTTCGCGCCCGGCACGGGCACGCCCGAGCCCGGCGGCTGGACGACGCGCGAGCTCATCCGGATCCTGCGCGGGATCGAGGACCTCAACATCGTCGGGGCCGACGTGGTCGAGGTGAGCCCCGCCTACCAGAACGCCGGCGAGGAGACCTCGCTCGCGGCGGCGCAGGTCATCTACGAGATTCTGAGCTCTGTTGTCAAGAGGGGCCTCAAGGACATGGCGTCGTCGGAGGCGGCGCGGCAGGTCGGGCAGGAGAAGGATGAGCTTTGAATTGGGAGATTTCATTCAAGAGACTATGACGAAGCGCGTATGGGGTTTGACCTCGAAGTCGAATGATCAATGCGGGGTGTCTATGTTTGACCAGGGAGATTGCATTTGATGACATTTGATGACAAAATTGGCGTGGCGAAGTGGGAATTGGAGCTCTCTTGTATTGGTCGATCTCATCGAGAATTCTTTTATCAAGCTGGTCGATATGAGGTGTTCTTCACTCGAGCCAATGAGTACATTGAGTCTGTTGCAGATACAACTGAAAGATGTGATATTGACCATCTCAATCACGCCTTCTCGTCTCCTAGGACCTTGTGGGCGTGCTGGCTTGCCTCCAGATTCAGCTGGACCTGGGTGATGTGCTTTCGGAATTTGCGGGGGGCTACTTTGCACTCAAACATCTCGTCAATCTCGGCCGACGTTCTCTGGGCCATCTCGGGCAGGACAAAGTACCCGATGACGCACGAGATAGCCCCCGTCACGCCAAAGCTACCCCGGGAGTCAGCAGAAGCGTATGCAGCGGTAGGTAGACAGGCGCGAAACCTTGCAGCACTTACAAGTAGCCTGTTCGCACACTCCAGACCTTCAGCATTAGAGGCACGGTGTAGTTGAAAGTCAGGCCCAGACAGAAAGAGCCCATGAGCGCGACGGCAGCGGTCCTGGCCCGGAGGCGCTGGGCAGGGATCTCGCCGACGTAGGAGTAGGCGATACCGGCACCTCCGATGACTCGGAAGTTGGAGACGGAAGCAAAGAATACCTGTGGAGAAGAGTCAGACAATATAGTTCATCACACTTCAGACGTGTAAGAAGCAACTCACCAAGGCGCTGGCGAGCTTTGGCTCTTGGTAGTCGAACGAGCCCAGGATACCAATGGCCATGACTGCCAATGTGCCGGCTCCAAACAAACCCAGTGTGAGCCATCGTCGACCGAACTTGTCCGAGATCATGGAGCCGAAGTGTATTGCGCACTAGCTCGCTCTTGACCTCGTAGCCTGGTACGTTCTTGTGCATCGATGCCACTCTCCACAAGCCACCCTTCTCAATTGTTAGCCGTTTACTATGGCTTGAAGAGTAGTCACTAGAGCGAACTGACACGGAGACTCGGAGATGAAGAGATTGATGATGAGCAAGATGCCTAGCATTCCCCATTGCATATAGATCGGAATCTTGAAGTCGTACGGACCGCTGATGGCTAGTTGACGCAGGGCTAGTGGCGAAAGACTCCATGAGATATACAATAAAAGCTCACCCTAAAGCCATTTATGCCCGCATTGAACATGGAGACGAGTAGCCATTTCGGGTGAGCCAGGACCCGCAGGATGCCAATAGGGCGATCTGGGTAAGCAGTGCTAGGAGGTGGGTATGGTCTTGCTGCCACCTTTGGTCTACACTGGATATATTACAATACCTTCTGTCTGCAAGGCGTAATGCTGACTCCGAAGCCTTTGAGCAAAGGCCTTTCATTCCCTTGCTACATGTAGCAACATTGTCGTGTTGCGGGGGTCGGTCTGTGAATAGTACAAGTAGCAGCGTGATTGATCGTTCGCGCCAAATTTCGGGTTTTCATTTAGCTCAAGATTGCAACTGTTGAAAGGTGCGAAGCTTTTCGTGCCCACTTCGCTGAGGCGCAGTACTCCCTTCTACAGGGTGCCTGTTAGGTTAGGGCTGTGAACTGGGATATCCATTTTGATTCGCAGATTCCAGTTCGCCTCACTTTTCTCAGAGTGTTTTCGATTGGGTTGCCAAGAATGGCAGTGATAACTTATAAGGCGGCTTCTGTAACCTTGTTGATCTCGTGCAGTCCGTTCTGCTCCTACTTTTCCGTATTTCTACTTTTTCAGGTCGTGAATATGTCACACCCCAAGGGAAACTTCTTCTTCCAGCAGCGCTTAGCTGTGTCCGCCTTTAAACACGCAATTCGTGTTCTTGTCCTCCTACCAGGGAAGAGAGAAGCTCAGCTCACTGCAACTGCTCGCCTCCTAAACCTAGATGATTCAGGAAGGGAGCCGTATACTGCTCTGTCTTACACCTGGGGCGATGCTCACTTCCCGGAAACCATCTCAGTGGACGAGGAGATCATTCCCATAACGACGAACCTGCACGATGCCTTGTGTCACATCCGTCGAGAAGATCAGCCGGTCACAATATGGGTTGACGCCGTCTGCATCAATCAAGAGGGCGTGGTGGAGCGTTCATCCCAAGTCGCCTTCATGGATGAAATTTATTTGAGTTGTGAAGCTGTCTATATCTGGCTGGGTGTTGGCGACAACGCCACGCCGACCGGGACGCCTGGCTCTGAGCGCGACCACTTCGCGCTTGTTAGGCACTTCCGTGATGACAAACACTTCTTCGAACTACCGGGTTATCGAAGGGACTTCGAAACAGGGCTTTGGGTATTTGACGCCGAAATCCCCGGGGCGGGTGTCTCGTGGATGGACTTTGAGCCAATTTCGACGAGCGCGTGGTGGACTAGGGCATGGACGGTGCAGGAGACGATTCTTCCGACCCGCGCCGTTCTCATGTATGGCCAATCAACGCTTACTTGGAATGACCTCGCCGAGTTCACCTTTAACCGTGCTCGCCACATAAACAACTACAGCGGAGAGTGCTGTGGGCGGGCCCACGAGGCCCTGGGTGGAAAGCGCATGCAAGCCATGGACAACCTCACGGGGCATGTCATGAGGCTGGAGCACCTGCGACGCAGGACAGGGTACATCAGGAGCTTCTCGGATGTCAGCCGTGCCTTTGCGGACCGACAGTGCAAGGACCCGCGTGACAAGATATACTCGATCCTGTCATTCGCGAAGCCGGGCAAGGACAGACTCGGCATCCGGCCTGACTACCAAAAGGCAGTTCGAGATGTCTACGTTGAGGCATTCTGCCTGATGCTGCAGGACGCCGACATGAGTCCGTCTTGCCTGCTTGGTGAGGGGTTCAACAGCACCTCCTTCGGACTCCCGTCATGGGTTCGAGATTTCTCAAAGGCCATGGAGACAGGAGATTTGCTTCGTCGCGCCTTTGAAGCCTATCCACTCTATAACGCCTCTGCTAGACGATTGGCTAAAGTCAAACTTACGTCCCACGGCGAATTGCAGCTGAGGGGTACACAAGTGGACGTGATCAAGGACAGGAGTCGAGTTGCGGGTCATCACGTCAAGGCATCCTTCAGGCCTGGCCTGCTGGACGATTGGCTCCAAGTCTGTATGCGTAACGGAATTACTGTTACGCACGACACCGTCGACAAGACTTTTGTGCAAGTGCTCTGCAGAGGGGTCATTGATGACCGGGAGGCGGGCAAGGGGAAGTGGCGGCTGCTTGATGCAAACGACAGTGAACTACCTTGTGACACTCAGTGGAAGGCTTTCATCGGGGGTGACTCTAGGGTCGTTTCGCGGAAGTATCGTATTGGTGTTGCGACCGGGATATCTGGACAAGTCCTGTATGTGACGTGGAACGGCCGTCTTGGTCTTGGTGATCCGCAAGTTGAGATAGGTGATGTTGTGTGGATCGTTGAGGGATCGAATGTCCCCTTCATCCTTCGCAAGACAACCGAGCCGGATCACTACCGTTTGATAGGGGATACCTATCTCCATGGTGTTATGTGCGGGGAGTGCGTGAACGATATTGTCGACACCGTCACAATATCGATCATATAGCATGCATCAGTTCTAGCGATGTTTCCGGAGAGCTAGCCTCTAACTTCGGTGGCTCGGACATTCGTTCTGGAAGTTACATGGGAATCGGGTGAGTTGTAGAGCTTTGCGGCGTGGCAAATACTCAAATTTAGCACCGCCAATTAAATAATTTCAATTGGGAGAGTGAATCCCAGAGAGGAAATTGGCCATTATTTAGGTGGAGGGAATGCGATGTTAAGTCCAATTCTCTTAGTGGCTAAAAAAGTACAAAGGTTGTTGATGGTCTGTCACTCAATGATAAACTGTGTTGAAGGAAACCTAGCCGACATGATACCAAGACTTCTGTTAAAAATGACGACAAGGGGTAAACCTGTAGTGTGAAAGTCACCTGAGTCACCCAGGCAGCTCGAGCTCGGTGATCCGAGGAAGCGCCGATTGTAAAACACATGTAGTGGCGCGAATATCTGCGCGGCAACGTACCAACTATGCTGTGTCAGTGAACAGAGGGAAATTGATCGAGCACGTCAACACGTACAACATGTATGAGGTGGTAAGGAGGCCTCGGATATGGGTTGGCCCCTGCTCGATAATGTAAAGGGGGTATGTAGCCTGCATCATGCCGAGGCCTGCTCCTCCAATGAGCTTGGCAAACAGCCAGTAGAGCCAATTCGATGCAGCAGATTCGACCGCGACAGACTGTCGACTGTCGGTCAATCAGCATCCTTCGCCACTGGCCGGGGGGCTGGGACTTACGATACAAAGTGTGAGCCAGGTGATGTGCATAGCAACCTTGCGACCCAGCGTGTCGGTGGCCAGCTGTAGGAATCCGACGCCAACTAGCTGATCTGTGGACAACATGTCTCCCCAGACGGCCACATGGGTAGGGTCAAGCTTGGTCCCTCCGTTGGACATTGTCCTGATGAATCCCTTGTTGGAGACTATCGAACTAGAGATGGAAACCTCTGCCGTTGTGGGAGAAGCACAAAAAGATTAGCTGCTTTTACTTGCACAATCTTACTCTTTGGATTCCAATTAGACATACGATAGCCGTCAAGCGCAGCACAGAAGGCTCCCAGCATGCATATCAGGGAGATACGCCAGTACATGCGCAAGGCTTTGAGCATAGGCAGGTCGTCCAAGGTAGACCGCATCTGCACGGGCTCGCCTGCGGCCGGCGCCTTGTCAATGGCTTGGGCAGTACCAACATTTCCGGTTGCCTCGACATGGTTGATAGCGGCCATGGTGAATAGTCCGTGGTTGGGCAAAGCTGAAGTGCCGCGAAAGGACCGCAATTTGGCGAGACTTCAAGGCAAGGCCAGATACCTGAGAGGGGATCGCGCCTGCTATATATACCTCAAGAATCGTCTGGGGTGATAATGAACCGTCGCTGCTCAAGCTCTACACTCTCCGGTAATATTCTTGCCGACCAGGGTCGTGTTGTGTCCCATAGGGGCAAGAGGCGAGTTCTGTGGAGTCTGCATCCAGTGAAGGGATGCCATAGTATGGAAAAGACGTGGTCTACTTACTTGTCACGCAAAGCACGGAGAAGAAGACTGGGGTACTTTGGATGCCGGGGATGGACTAGAGGTTCCTCGTTGAGTTTGCTACGGAGTGAGCAGAGTCCTTTCTTGACCTCCAGCATCTAACTGGAGAAAGCATGCTAAGCGCCGCTAGGAAACAGTGCTGATAGAATTGGGTATGTGAAGCGCCGCTATAACAAGCAGACCTGTCGGCTCGGGCCCGACTTTCGCTCTCCACCCCAGGGAAAGCCATGAGTGTCTACACATGTTAACCCCAAAGAGGTATCCTAGGCACACGGAAACATGAGCTACTGGGCCAGTAAGCTGGTAATCGGTTAGCTGCCAGATATCTGCCTATCTTATGGTGCACTAATACTCCGGACGGGCAGTTTCTAGGGAGAGAAAACATCAATGATTAGAATATTGCCAAGCTCTTGGCTGGTATAGACCGAGAAACAAGCATTAGCCAAGCTTTACTTAGAGAGCATCGTGCGATTCGTGCCTGATGTTAATGAAACTACATGTGTAAGACTTGACCTTTCTTTATTGGCTTCTGCTGTAATCAGGTTAGATCATAGAGGGTGTGTATGCAGGAAGATTCATTCGACTTGTCGTCCGCTTAGGTGCACCAAGTTGCCATACTACATACAAGTTTAGCTCTATATTACCATACAAACACCCATGGTCCGTCCACTACTAGTCTACTCCGCTGCGGGAGCAGTCTTCTTTGCGACCTTCTTCTTCACGGGGGTGGCCTCTCCATCCGCCGCAGCAGCAGCTTTCTTGGCCACCTTCTTCTTCACGACAGGAGCGGCAGCGGGGGCCTCCTCGTCGTCGTCGTCATCGGCGAGTGCCGCAGCCTTAGCAGCCTTCTTGCCGCGGGTGAGAGGGACAGCGGCAGCACCGGTGGCCAGACCGGCGACACCGGCCCAGTCGTGCTCCTTCTCCTCGAGCTCGGCACGCGCGACGTAGCGCGGGTCGAGCAGGTCCTCGAGCACGTCGGCCCAGTACTCGTACTGCACCTTCCACTCCGTCACGCGCTCCTCGGTCGTGGCGGCGCTGTAGGGGAACTCGGCGGCGCGGCTGTAGCGCAGGTTCCAGATCTCGCGGGCGAGGTACTTGAGCCGCGAGGCGAGGGGGCTGAGGTCATTGTGGGTTTGCTCTGTAGCGTTGGAGAATGAATTGGTCAGCAACTCAAGCCATGTATGTATTTGGAAAAGAGGAGTTTCTTGTCTTACGAGACTTGGCCATGTAAAAAATGGTCGTGATGGTCTGGTACTCGGTGATCATGCGGTGGTACAGCCTAGGAGCTGGGAATGCACTGATGCTAGGCTCGGCCGGTGGCGGAGCAGGTCCCACTAGACCCTTGTCAGGAGTCTCTGGCACCGGGCGGTACGGGTAGGTCTGTTGCGGAGGCTGGGGCGGCTGAGGCTGGAAAGGAGCGTTGCCAGGTTGTGGAGGGCTGCTTGTCCTACCAAGCGCCGGGTTTTGAAGCTCGGGGCTGGGATACGGAGCAAAAGACTGCACTCCACTGTTGGAGGGCCTTCGGGTATCCGGAGCGTTGTAGTTCGGGACCAAGGATGAGAGGTCCTGAGCGTGAGGCCCGGCCTGATGACCCTGAGCCTCGTACTTGTTGTGATCGTTCTGCGCCATGCTGTTCTCGATGTATTTCCTGACTGTGTTCTTGGGATCAAGGATAAGTTCCTGGAGTCCGTTGCCCTTGGGAAAGACTCTTCCAGATGATGATTCTGATGGAAGCTTGGTAGAGGAGCTCATGATAAAATTATGTTTGCAACGAGGTGTTAAGTAATATATTGAGTTTGGAAGCTTACGTTGTGGGCTCCAGCTTGAATGCTGCAGTTAACCTGAACATACAAGTTCCTTTATAGATGCTGAGTTGTCCAACCTGTCGGTAATTCAGTAGGCTAATTCTGTGGCTGTGCCGAAGCGCGTTTCGACTTGGATCGCATATTTGCCTGCTTACGTCGGGAGGGCATCCCTACTCACAATCAGATGCTCTCCTTTGGACGACGTCCAAATGCATGTAAATAGAAGCACCAAGCAATATAGGGCCCTAGTCACACTGCGGATGAGTAAGGCGGTTCTCGCTGTATGACATGAGCAGTTGAGGGTTGTATGACAAACCTCAAGACCCATGCACCTTATCACAACTGAATTTCGTATCAGTTTATAACTTTCAGCTCTGTCTTATTTCACCAAACCTACGGCAGCTCCGAAGGCGACATGGTGGTTGAGTTACTAATCGCCAGCGCTGGGCAACCCATTCTTAGTTCCAACCCAGCCTTTGATAGGCTATGATGCTGACAACCTCCACGCGGCTGACGAACCTCGGGGTCCAGGTGGAGCAGTCGCTTTGCTAATATCTCTTGTACACAGAACTCGCGGCATGTTCAATCCTGAGTACCAACTTGTAGCCATGGCGAAATTTGAGATCTGACCTTGTCGATATCTCCCTCGAACCTAACAGGTGATCAAAATCTCCTTGTAAGCAGGCGGCGCTCAGCAGCGGCTGTGTCAGCTGTGCCAGCCCTCCCGACACCCTGGATTAGGCCCGAAACAATCATGGTAACTTGTTATTGAAGAGGAAAGCATATTCTGGCCGAGGTCGTAGCAATAAAAGGCTAGGCCGAGGGGGGCTGAGACTCAACGCAACCTCTTCGTGCTGACAGAAGCTATTCAGCATCATGCAGGCGCCAGACGACAAACGATATAACAGTGCATTGCACTCACGCTTGGTGACGTCGAGGAATAAAGCGAATAAACACGATATACATTGTGTATTACCATTGAAACACTCATCTAATTCGTAATACCGCGTGTAAATCACCAACATCAACCATAATGGCGGGAGTTGTTATGAGAGGTTAGTATCTTGTCCATTACCCCAAGTTCAAGTCTGATTGTTTGCAGCCGTCGCGGCCGGCAAGGGTGGCGGTGTTGGAGATATTGGAGGGACTGTCGTGGGCTTGGCCGAGGCCGGAAAGCACCTGTCAGACATCGCCCGCCAGATGGCCGAGGATTTGAAGGAACAGGCGCGCAACAACGACAATGAGTTCAACATCCGCAAGCAATTCCTAGACAACTCCGTCAATGCCATCAAGGAGGCCACCTATGGCCAGTACAACATCCTCATCTGCACCGACCAGGCACACGACGACTTCCAGAATCTGGAGGGCCAGATTCTGCCCATGGACCTCATCGACGTGGAGGTCCGCAAGGACACTTTTGTCAACTTTCAGGTCTACGTATTTGAGACAGGCAAGTATCTCCGGCGCGGGAAGTGGGAGAGAGACTACATCTGGTATTTTGGAAACAACAAGAAGTGGACCGACATCTTTATGCACATCCACTTCGAAGTTGCCCAGCAAAAGAAAGATCCCAACGAGATCAAGGCTCTAGAGGATAAGCAGGCAGCCGATCAAAAGGCGGCTGAGGAGGCAGCTGCAGCCACTAAGAAGGCCGAGGAGGATGCAGCCGCCGCCAACAAGGGTGAGTATTTCAAGCAGTCTTCCCACCCCAGCCAGCCTATCGTTTACGAGGAATGTTTTGACTAATGTGTTTTCTGGTACAGCACAGCTTGAGGCTGATGCCAAAAAGAAGGCAGAGGAGGAAGCAAAGAAGGCGGCAGAGAAGAATAAGGAAGTGTAGGTCCCTTCCAAGCCTCAAAAATTGGAATGCTTAGAACAAAGCTGATGATATTTGTGTTCAGTGCCAATGATGAAGAAGAGGGCGATCAGAAAGAGGTTGAGGGCGAGGATGTAGAGGATGATGAGGACCAGGAGCATACCGAAGGAGAAGATGAGGAAGAGGAAGAAGACGATAATGAAGAACAGTAAGTCACATCTAGTATCTCCTAACAGCAGTTTCTAATGTGTTTTTCAGGGAAGAAGACGATGAAGAAGAGGAGGAAGATGAAGATGAAGAAGAGGAGGAAGATGAAGATGAAGAAGAGGAGGAAGATGAAGATGAAGAAGAGGAGGAAGATGAAGATGAAGAAGAGGAGGAGGATGAAGATGGGGATGAAGAGCAAGAAGAAGATGAAGAAGATGAAGATGAAGAGGAGGAGGAGGAGGAGGTCAAGCCTCGAAAGAGGAAGTAGTTATCTCTATTTACAGTAGGTAATCGGTTATATAGGGTGAAATGATCTTCCGTTTAGATACTGTACTAGTTTTCCTATATAAAGCAGGCTCTAATCAGATCTCTTTTTCTTATATCTAAGATAACATAGTGCATAAGAACGATACTACACAACTAATGATATTAGGGGCAGATAGCTTTAATATGTCATGTTAGGACTTTTGAAATATTTTGAGAGCTATATGAGCAATAAGAAACCTAGATAAGCAGGTCAAAAATTATGAACTTTATCTAAATTAGAATGTAAAAGCTTAAGACCTTGATAGAGATTTGTTGAAGTGTACAATATTGATCTTCTACTTATCCAGAACACACACCCATTATCTACATCACCACCAGGTCCGGCCTCGCGCCCTTTAGAGGGTTCATTCAGAAGCGCGCCACCATGGTCGGCACCGGTCACAAGCTCGCGCCAACACTGCTCATCTACAGCTACCACGACCCCAGTGCCGACGACTTGTACCGCAAGGAGCTCAACCGGTGTCAGGCCGCAGGCGCCATCGACACGCGCAGGGCGTACTCACGCAGGACCGGCGAGAGCCCGGGGTTGCAAGCACGTGCAAGACCGGCTGTGGGAGGACAGGGTCGACATTATGAAGCTCTGGGAACAACAGGGGGGTAAGATCTTTGTGTGCGAATCCCCGGAGGAGATGGTGGAGAAGGCGGGCGGGGAGGCGATGGACGAGGAAATTGTCAGTTGGTTTGAGAGTATGCGGAATGAGAGCTATGCTACAGAGTGTTTGATTAAAGAGGGCTTGGGGTTTGGTGTTTATTTCTTAGAACTGAGTCAGAGCTAGAAAGCTTGAGTTCGACGATATGACTGTTTGGCCGCAGACTCAGCAGCCCAAGAGCATCAGGGACATGGCCACTGATCAGAAGCTCAAATATCCAGGCTTTCGAAGCTGACAGATTGCCCTTCTGCAAGAGACTGACGCCTCGCTCTCGACGGCCAATGTCTGTTCTGATATATCTATTTATCTTTATTGAAATACTGGCCATAACAGCCAGCCAATTCCTGTCGACGCTCCTACTATCCGACTTTCACTCGACCACAATCAAGGGCCTCATGAACATCACGGCAATCGCAGACTATGAAACATCCGCTTCCCCCTCCACAAACTACTTCGCGGCCGCTCCGGCGGCAAATTGGCGGTTCGCCGAAGAGCCGGGTTCCTATGTTAGCGGGGATGCCTTCCAGGACACCGGTAATACCTACCGGGCTTCCATGCCCTTGACGACCGAGGCGCAAAGGACCAGTCTGCGCGATTTCCAAGGACCTGCTGAGGTGCTCAACTTCCGTGTGCTCTGTGCCAGTCCTCGCCTGACCGACTTGGTGTTCAGCAAGCATGGAGGCGGCGACTACTACACACTGGTGGGCAACATGAGCGTGGACTCGGGCTTGCCCCTTTGTCGAACACGTCGACAGTCCCGATCGCTTTTTACTGTCCGATCCCGTATTCAATTCCCTATCAGCTAATGCAGTCAAACGAAAGCGCCACGGGACTCACGACGCTGTGCTACGTGCTTCCGTTTCCTCCGATACGAGAGCCGGGGGACCAATTCATCGCTCCCGTCAGTGTGCTTGCGCCCCAGACATACATGATTCTCGACTTTACTTTCCACAACTACTCAAAGTTCAACCTGACCGACTACACCCAGGTACCTGCCACCATGGCGCGTACTGATGGCCCCTGGTCGATCGTTCTCGACCACAATGGAGAGGACCTTCTCCGGACTTCTATGTGCTACACAAATCAGAGCTCGCAGTTTCTCGAAGTGCAAATGACGAGCTCCAAAGACGGTCCTGAGCCAGTCACTCCATGGAGACGTGCCCTGAATTCATACGATACCACGAAATCGCGGTCTCAGCTCGGTGCAAGTCTGGAGCCCCTATCGGTAGAGGACCGTGGGTTGCTTCATCTTGCATGGGATCCAGCGGATCACTCAGGTTCGAGGCTCAATGGCTCAAATTACAGAAGTCTCTCAGATATGCTGAAGGGGCTGACGACCCGCTCCAACCTACATTCGTTCATGGTTCTGTCCAACAGCAGCTCGACGTGGAAGCGGCGCACTTGGCGCAAGTCGCTTTATTCCAGGACACATTGCGTCTAACGAATAGTCCCGCCTTGGCAGTGCAGTCCTTATTCACACGAATATTCCAGATGATCTATTACGACTACCACCAGGAGGTGTCGCCTTCCACTTTGGCGGCCGCGGCCTTCTCTTCTCGGGTTGATATTCCTTCGCGATGGGCTGGGTTCATAGGTGTTGTGGCCATTATGACGGTCCATCTCTTCTTGATGGCTGCTGTTGCCATACTCTTCTGCCGGTTTACCGCCGTTTCGGAGCTGGGTAATTTATGGCAGGCTGTGTCTCAGATTATCACGACTGATACCTTACCTGTGCTCGATCATGCCAGAGACATGCAGGACAAGGAAGTGGGCAAGCTAGTCGAGACACAGTATCCAGAACTGATGGGGGACAGCTTTATCAGACGTTGTTATGACGGACGAAATAGGCTGAGGACAAGATATAAGAAAAGATGAGATAGTGTATACTAGGCCTTTATTGCTGATTAACTTTTGCAATTAAATTATATTCTTTATGTATATTAACTTTATCTCTCTTCATGTTGGAACTTGGGCATTGGGTGTGATCGCACTCCTGCTGTCGTCCACTACGGCGGACCGGAACAGGCAACGTGCAGCTGAAGTGACATGGGTGTGTGAAGGGAACTTTAGGGACATACAACATGGAATCTTCTCAACCACAATTCAACTAAAGGCTCTGGCACCTGCATGACGCCCCCCTCCCTTCTCCCGCCGGCACACCCAACCCGACATGAAAATACATGTACATCGAAACCACCAGTGGCTGCTGCAAGATGAGGAATCATCTAGAAGACCGCATCCAAAAGCCCCAACGCCCCCTCGCCAGCTCCTTGGGCCAGGTGCCGCTTTGCTTTCTCCATCTTCTTGAGTTTGCGATATAAAAGAAAGTTGACGATGGCAAAGACAATTTTCAAGCTGGTTTCGACGATGGAAATGATCCATGATGCGCCCTGTCAGGGAGATTTAGTAACAGCATAGAAAGACCTGCGTGAACCGTGAAATGACTGACCTGTATCACACAGAGCTTTGAGAAGTCAACGTTGATATGCCCTCGCTCCTGCAGTTCAGTGGCGATGTCTGTGCACGACCAGCCCCATAGATCATCCAAAGCCTTTTCCCAGCGGTATAAGAAGGTAACCACGATCCACAGCGCAATATGAATCCCGTAGCTCACGACGATGACTTTCCAGCTGTCGGCGGCTCGCTTGAAACAACAACAATAGTACAGCGCTACGAGGATCGACGCCGCCATCGTCGCGAGCGAAGCAACCAACAGCATGACGGTGGGCCAGGTCTTGGGATCCCGCGGCCAGATCGGACGCCCCAGTGCTTCGTCGTGGCGCGTGGCGAGGAAGACGGAGATGACAAAGGCCATAAAGGCGAACATGACCGTGTCGAGCAGCGCCGAAATGACGCGCGAGATGGCACGCACGCGCGATACGCGGCCCTTCCAGAGCTTGATGGCTTCATGGAGTCTGTTTCCTGCCACTGGGCCCTGCTTCAGGTCCGGTGTCAGTGGCGTCAGGGGCTGGTACTGCACCGCGTGAGGCTGCGGCTGGTAAGGGCCGGGATACTGTGGTTGCTGGTAGTTTGAAGCCATTGTTGGGAGAGCGATGGTGACAGTGATAGTCGTGATATCTTGCGACGTGATCTTGCTTGAGTTGCGAGAGAAGGTTTAAAGCCGAAGGAGACTGGAGATGGAGGACCGACTGGAAGCCAGGCGAGGATGTCAAGGAAGACTTTTCCAAACCGTTCCCTCTTGCATGTCAGCATTCAGGCCTCCTAAAGGAAGCCTGCTCCCAATTCGACTGGTCGCATGGGATAGGATTCTGCAATTGGGTGGCGCAGTGAGAAAGAGATTGGCAGAAAGCACGCATACACCCACTTGCTTGCCAAGTTGCTGACTGGCTATGACTAATTTGATAGGATCGGAGGGATAAATTAGCATTGCTATTGGAGACGGGTTCGTTCAATATCCGGGTGTGATCGATTCGGCCCCCAAACTCAGTGGCCCCAGCGCGGCTGATATCAACAGAATAAGTCGCCTACTAACTGCATGGCGTCTGTTACTAAGGTACCCAACCTCGCTGATGCCGGCTGAGATCAGACTGATGACTACCAGCTGTCAACGCAGTCTGATAGGGAGAGAAATTGGCATTGTCAGCTCGAATGATGCGCGGGGTGCACGGTTACTAATCGCGAGACAACACTTCAGCATTGTGAATACATCGAAAAGACTTCAGTTCAATTCTTGCCATGTACCCCAGTACATCATAAGTGACATGTCTTAACATAGGTTTTGAGTGCTTCTGGTCTGCGAAATCACTTATTGCCCATGTGGGATATCCTTCCACGTTCAGCTCGTGTGGCTAAGTCTTAGAATAGCACGTCGAGGGCTTAGCGAACGGACACTGGGAAGCCCTGGCCGTGATCAAAACTCGTGCTCAAAGCGTATAAGACCGGGCGAGAAGAGCCTTACAAGTAGCCTTTGTGAATTCACCAACTCATTTCTATTGCTTGCCATCTTCATATATCCACCATACAACACGTCCCGATCGGAGCGCAGTTTTTTGTCTTCCCATATCTTACGCCAAAGCTCCAGTATCATCAGCATCTCCCAATATGCCTCCCAAGTCGGTCAAGCCTACCAGAAAGGCGCAGGAGGAGCCTGAGGATGTCGAGTATGAGGATGTCGAAGAGGTAACAGAGGAGGAGGATGAAGATGAGGACGAAGTAGAAGGCGAGGAGTATAGCGAGGAGGAGGATGAAGAGGGTGAAGAAGAGGACGAGGAGTGAGTTACATGATCAACCTCAACTGTTGGCGCTAGTAATAATCATACTAACATATATGGGAATAGTGTGGATGGGGAATATGAAGAGGATGAAGGTGAAGAGGGGGGTGATGATGAAGAAGAGGTTGAGTATGAAGATGAGGATGAGGATGAGGAGGAGGAGGAGGAGGAGGAGGAGGAAGAGGAAGAAGAGGATGGAGATGAGACTGGCGATGATGATGAGGAAGAAGAGGTCGAGGCTGATGAAGATGAAGAGGAAGATGAGGAGGATATGTCCAAGAAACCCAAAAAGTATGTGACATATCTCTTTGCATTGACCGCTGGCTAACATTTGATAGGACTTTTGCCGACCGCTCAATGGGAGAGAAGGCCAAGAAAACGAAGAATGAGAAGGAGGCCGATGATGTGTCCGAGAGGGGCCTGCACAAGGCCGGGAAGCAAACAGACAAGCCCACTAAAGACGAGAAGGGAGGCTCTACTGACAAAGAGTAAGTGGATATCTTTTCACCTTGAAAGCCGAAAATGCGCATGCTAAGCTCATGAATTAGGGTTGATGGAAAACTGCCCAAGTACTACCCACGTCCTGAAAAGGTGGATTGGAAGTCTCCTTCCAAGGGAAAGAAGTCAAAGGAAGGCAAGCAGGAACCCGAGACTGAATCGGGCAAGGAGCCGGCAAAGAAGAAGACGACAAAAAAGGGCACAGATGAAGAGGGCGACGCGGCAACGCCAGCAAAAAAGAGTAAGCACATCCCTGAAATAGGTAGGAGAAAGTATGTTGACTGGGATTTTGCAGAGACAACAACAAAGTCCGTCAAGAAGTCTACAGCTGGAGATGGAGATGAAAGCGAGAAGAAGACGAAGAAGGCCAAGAAGACAACGGGACCAGAGTATGGAGACGAGGAGAAGGGTGAAGGGAAAGAGACCAAGAAACCTGCCAAGAAGAAGACCACTACAGCGAAGGCCCCTGTCTCGAAGGGGAAATCAGAGGATGCCAACCACGAGGAGGGTGAGAAGACCAAGGCATCCAAGCCTGTGAAAAAGAAGGTGAGCAAGAAGACGGCAGCCACAGGCGACGAGGCCGAGGGTTCCGACAAAGAGGCAGAGAAGGCACCGGCCAAGAAGAAGACAGCCGCCAAAAAGACAACTGCAGCCAAATCGAAGACCGACGAGAAGCAGGGGGAAGAGGCTCATGAGAAGTCCGCACCCAAGAAGAAGGTTGTCACAAAGAAGGGCACCGCTGCTAAGACTGCGGTTGAGGGTGTGGCAAAGGGTCTCAAAAAGGTGTTGTGAGAGCCTAGTCATTTTGTTCTGTATGCGAGCGCTGGCGGAGATTGTTCTTGTTTTGAGTGTCAAGGGTTTTCAATGGCATAGACTATCTCGGTAATGTAGTATTAGATCAGCTGGATGGGGTTTCGTTCATTATTCTTGATTGCCTTTATCCACACACTCCTACAGTCTACATATAATTTATGACGATGCCTTGACTGCTCGAAGATGATCATACCTCAGCACAGCATTAAGAAGAACTTGCGCGCCGTTAGCACAGTCCTCTGGTGAGCAGTACTCCGTGGGGTTATGGGTAATGCCCTCTCTACACGGTACAAAGATCATAGCCGTGGGCACTCTTGTAGACGTGTGGACGCTGTCATGCCCAGCACCACTGTACATCCTCCTCGTCAACGATGCAGCCTTCTTTCCGAAAAGCGTTTCGCTTCCCTTCTCGATACACTCGATGCACTCCTTGTCGAAATTTGCTACCTTTGCATGCGAGTCGACCTTCCACGAGACGGTGCAGCCACGGCCACGAGTACAGCCTGCGGTTACAGTTCCCACACTCTCTCCCTTTGCGATGCTCTCGAAGTCTCGGCGGAGGATGCTCTCCATCTCCTCGATCTTCTTGTCTTCACTGGAACGGAGATCTAGAGAGAAGGTAACCACTCCGGGAACGGTGTTGGTGCTGCCGGGCTCCAGAGAGAGGAGGCCAGTCGAGGCCAGTGATGAGAACTCGGTAGCGACTTGGTGTGAGCGCAGGATCATTTGTGCGCTGGTCAACAAGGCGTCAGACCGGTTCTCAAAGTTAGTGGCTCCCGTGTGGCTATCGCGGCCCCCAACGGTGATGGTAAACCATTTGCTGGCCTGGACTCCCTCCACGGCACCGATGCATTGGCGTGATGCCTCGAGGATGGGTCCTTGTTCTATACGAATGTGTCAGACAACGAATACGCCCGACTGTAGAACAGGTTGACATACCGATATGCAGTTCGAAATGCGCCGCCATGGGCGTTGCGGTGTAATGGGCTGGTGTCGGGCCCAGGTAGCCTATTCTCTCCAGCTCAGACCTGACTGTGGCATTGGCATCGTCAATGTCGGCAATCTGGTATGTGTTGTTGACGTCCGTAACACCAGCCCATACAGCCGAAGCCATCATGCACTGGGGGAACCTTGCTCCCTCCTCGCTGTTTATTGTCAGCGGCTAGACAATCTTAGAACATACACAGAAAGGCCAACTTACTTGGTCCAGTCCACAACACCGACAGGGTATTCGGTCTCGATTCCAGACTCATGCAGGGTCCTCAGGGCAGAGACACCGGCAAGAACGCCGAGGATACCATCGTACCTTCCCCCAGCAGGTTGAGTGTCCAGATGAGAGCCCATGAACGTGGGGTGCCCTTCCTTCCTACCGGGCCGGATAGCAAAGATGTTGCCCATGGCATCTACGTGCACTTTGCAGCCGTACTTCTTGACCTCCTTGATGAACCAGTCCCGGACCAGCTTGTCTGCATCACTCAATGCCAAACGGGCCATACCAATCTCAGTCGGCGCACTGTGTCATGTATTAGCTAGTGTGCGTGGGGGGACGACTTGGAGAAGGAGCATCACGTACTCTCCCCATCTTTGTCCCTCACCCCATTGAGCCGTGTGGTGAATATCGTCCATCAGCTTTTGCCTGTCTATGGATGCCGCGGCGACACGGTCGCTCTGATGGGATGGGTCTTGGGTTGCCATCGTCATGGTCACCGTGGTAGACATTTTGCGGCGTAGAACGTGAGTGCAATGGTGCAATGGTGCAATGAAAGTGAATTGTAGGTAATATTTGCACTGTGACCAAGGGATGCTGGCTCGATGCTTGTCAAGTGCGGAGAGAAAGATGCGTGTCCGCGTCTTGATATTCTCTTTGAGATGCAAGTATGGCCCAACGATCCGGCGAGCATTGGCATTCCTTGATTCCCATACACACTCAAACCGCCGCTGGCATACCCACAAATATTCGCCGAAATCATCTCCACCTCGATCTACAGTCACATTCGGCGGATGCCAAATCCACAGTTTCGGCGACGGTTGATAGTCATTGGTTAGTCGCAGCTGGGCTGATTCCGTGTGACCGCTTATCGCCGGCTGCGATACCGGCTTGCGCCTGTTATCAAGACTCATTACTGAAACGATCCGGCGACCGCTTATCACTAGATACAGTTTATCTCGGCGGGACTCGTTCGATGGTCGTCAGAGTCACCTACCCATCGAATACTCATAAAGGACATCAACAGACAGCCTCGTCTGTTTGTTTTGCCCAATCTCAAAACAATTCTTCAATAGCTTCACCTCTGCGCCAAAAGACATGATGACAATGGAACACTCCAAAGAAGCCACTATGGACTTGGACACAGTCCCGGGCAACACCGTCGACTTGCCTGATTCCACCATGGGCGCCAGCTCGATCGTGATAGATCCCGTGCTAGAGAAGCGCGCCATTGCAAAGTTTGACAAGTTTATGATGCCGCAAATGGCACTTCTCATGCTCATTGCTTATCTCGACCGGACCAATATTGGTTTGTTTGGCCATTCCCGGGTCGGTGGTGTTGTCACTAACATGAGACATTGGCAGGCAATGCCCGAGTGTTTGGCTTTGAAGAGGGTCTGAAACTCGTCGGAACACAATTCAACGACTTGTCGACATTGTTCTACCCGACCTATGTTCTCTTCGAGATCCCGTGGGTTATGGCCGTCAAGAGGTGGGGAGCCAACGCTGTCCTTGCCGTCGCCATGATCGGCTGGAGTGTCATCACTATCGGGACCGGCTTCATCCACACCTATCAGCAGGGCATTGCCGTCCGCCTTCTTCTCGGCATGTTCGAGTCCGGCCTCTTCCCCTGCCTTGCCTTCCTGATTTCCACCGTCTATTCCCGAGCCCAGCAGGCCAAGCGTATCGCCGTGCTCTACGGTGCTATCGCTCTTTCCGGTGCCTTCGGTGGGCTGATCGCCTACGGCATCCAGACAATGGGCGAAAAGGCCGGTCTTGCGGCCTGGCGCTGGCTCTTCATCATTGAGGGCTGCATCTCCATCGTGGTCGGCTTGGCTCTCTGGGTCACGCTCCCCTTCGACTCCGAAAGGGCCTGGTTTCTCAACGCTGAGGAACGCAATGTCATGAGCCTGCGCATCAAGCGTGACGCGGCGTACAAGGGCGACCAGAAGTTCGAGTGGAAGTACGCCAAGATGGCCTTCACCGAGCCCATCATCTACATCGCCGCCATCGGCATGTTCTGCTCGTCCATCCCGCTATTTGGCTTTACGACCTTCTTGCCAACTCTCATCGTCGGTTTTGGGTATGTCTTCTCCACGCAGTTCTTCTGGCGGATAAAGCCCACAAAACTGACACACGCAACAGATACTCTTCGCTGCAGGCCAACTACCTCTCTATCCCTGTCTACGTCTTTGCAACCCTGTTCCTCTGTCTCATCGCCTGGCTCTCCGACAAGCTCAACAAGCGCGGTATCATCGCCATGATCGTCCCCATCCCCGTTCTCATTGGCTACGCGATCGCTGTCGGAACCGGAAACCACGGCGCAGACTTGTTTGCCATGTTCCTGGTTGCTGCTGGTGAGTTTCTTCGCGCCTTATGCTTTCTGGCTGTGATTGTATTGACTCGCCGTAGGCGTCTACCCTTACAACACCCTCGTCGTCACCTGGGTGACGAACAACCTGCAGAACGACCACGTGCGCTCCGTCGGCATCCCCCTACTAATCTCGATCGCCAACGCATCCGGCATCCCGTCGTCCCAGATCTACCCCAAGAAGGACTCGCCGAGATATATAATGGGCAATGCGGTCTCGCTGGCCATGGAGGCCATCGCGCTGATCGCTGTCGGTCTGATTTACATCGTGGTCCGCAGGAGAAACGCAAAACAGGCCGGCGACTTCCAGTTGGCAGTATAAATACAAGGAGGCGGTCGATCCCTAGGAGCTTGTCCTCAGGGTAGGACAGTTTTGGAGAGTCAGTAAAACATAATGAAAATCAACACATCGTGATAGGCATTCAAAGACAAAGTACTACCATTGTGATGCAATAACATCGACTTCATGTTGATTCCTTGATGACTTGCGCTACGTGTCTGTTGATCCTGAATATTTTGTTCATGTCCGACCAGTACATCGCGTCTAGTCGAAGAATCCCAAGGCTCATATCTTCAAAGCTCTGCGATTGATGCCGCAGTATCTGCCTCCACTTGTCGATGAGCGTCTTGCACGTCTTTGCGTGCTCCACGCTCGGTGATTGGACAAAGAGCAGGGCGAGGAAGCTTGAAGTGATTGCCCAGCCGATACGCGACCCTGAGATGAAACGCACAGGTCAGCCCCTCGTGCACACGATAGTCACCGATGTTTGCGTCGCGGGGAAATTGAACACCTACAGGAGTACCAGAAGCCGGCGAAGTCCCATGACATTAGCTCCACGGTGAAGGTACTGACAATCCTCGCGCAATTTTCGGCGGCGCAAATGATCAGTTCAACTTCGTTTCGCAGGCTATCATGTGACATCTGTCCAGCCATGTTCGAATCCGAGTCATTACAAGATCCCTCTGCGAGAAAGCCTGATATAAACTGGTCTGTTCGGGGTGTGTTTATCGAGGCATCTTCCAAATCAATGTTCCCAAGCGGCCGTAACAAAGCGCGGTAGAGCAGTATCTCGAGAGTGAGGTAGGCAAACTTCAGGCACGCCACTGAGCTTGGTGCAGCGGGGGCTGCCCGCTCAGGGTCCGCCCTCGGGGTCTTCAAATGGACGGGGAGACTGGCATACCATGACTTTAACTCCTCGCGAAGAGGCCTAATAGCCCTGATGGAACCGGAAAGGTCGTTGGCGAGCTTCGCGGTTGCCCGTATCGTGCTGCATCAACGTGTCAGTGCATTCCATCACCGTAAAATGAGTGCCTATAAGCTTACTAAAGACATCTATAGATGTTGTCGGCAATGGTTGCCAATGTCGCGAGCTTTTGCGACATCGTGCCACCGTCGGACTCTGACATTGCGCGTCGCAGCTTTGCAGCAAAGTCATTCGATGCTGAAATCTCCTCATCGAGAGAAGGATTGTCCTCGAACTCAAAGTCCGCAAATGTGAGCTCCGAGACGTTCCATTGGTCTGGAGAGATAACTGAAGGTCTCCCCAACAAAAGGCTTCTCCACGTAGCTTCGGAAAAGGTCATCCACCACAGACGACGTCTTAGGCGCTTTTCCCACGGCGGGATGGACCATGATCTGCAGTCCAAGTGCAACGCCAGACTCGCGACCAGGCCGACAATCGAGGTCATCAAAGACCAGGCGAAGGAGTTGTCGGCCGAGACGTGCTGAACTCCAACTCGGGGCCGGTGAAGATACAGTAGTGCCGCCGAGATCGTGGCCAATCGCGGTGTATGAAGGTCTGTCTGGACACCATCATACACCATCTGCCATAGTTTTTCGGCAGGGGGCTTTTTGTAGACGCTGGAGACGCACAGAATGTCGTCATAAGCCGTGAAAGGAAGCGCGGAAGCATATATGGCAGCCAGGAGATAACTTGGCAATGGAGCAGCTCTCGTGGAAGAGGACTCGTAATAGTCACCAAGCGCGGTTGCTAGTCGCGAGCGAGAGATAACGGGGAATGCTGGGAAGACGTATTGGACAAATCTAGGCCGTTAGAGTCGCGTCGGGCACGGGTCAGACGATTGGTAAGACTTACAACAAGACTAGCCTCTGCCCAATCTCTTCATTGACGAGGTTATTCAGCTCTTCCCTGACCGATTCATGATCATATAGGTGATTTGTGGGCCCAAGGCGCCTCAGTTCGTCACCAAGCTCATTCGAAGTTAGGAGGAACTGCACAGGTACATGGCTGCTGTCCTGAGCTGTAGCCGCGGGGTGTTCCGTGACCGAAAGCTGGTCACGAGGTATGGTGCCGTGCTGGGTCCTTCGGTATATGACTCGGAGAAAGGGAAACTCATCCGCGTCATTGTACAGGTAATGCCGTAGCAGGTACGGGTCCGACTCTCCTGAGAGCCCAAAGTATGTGCTCTGAAAGTCAGGTCTTTGGTCAATGCTGAAAGTAGCTGCACTGCTACGGTCAATCGGCAGTCTCGGAGTAGATTTAGCTCCATTGGAGAAGCTAATCTCCGTTTGCGGCGCCTTCTCTGGACGATTCAGGCTGGGCTCTAAAGCTTCTGGGACGGGCAGTGAAGCGACTCGCTCGCGTGCTTCGAAGATTTCCTCATCGGAGTGCATCAGGTCGGATCCAAGCGCTGCATTCACAGACTGCGGTTCTTCAAGCGGCGGACTGCTCCATATCCTTGCATCCGTAAAGCCCCCGTACATGGCCTCCATGTCCACAGAGTAGTGCGGGAAGCCGTCATTCATTCGGTGATCGGGGAACCCTAGCCCAGCGTCATTGACCACATTCTCCGGCAGTATCGATGTGCTGAAGCCGTCCCCGGGCTGTCCCATGCTATCCAGCCCGTGGCCATCATCAGCACTCCCGCTCGGCAGACCGGCGGGTCTCGCCTCTGGCGCGATGTCATTGAGGAAGCTGCAGCGCTGGCCCCTTTTGCGGCATGTTATACACGAGATGTCATTGTCCGCACGTCGACATGACGTCTTGCGCGCACGACAAAGCATGCACGGCCGGTTCCTCTTTGAACGATAGGGCCGGCGTTGCAAACCGTCTGGCGTTGATGCAAAGACTTGATCCATATGGCACGCCTCAGTGGTGGACTGAGTACAAGTTGCCACGTGGTGACTGAACAGCAGCCTTAGGTATCTGGCCCATGAATGCCTCAGTCTTGCCGCATTGTTGGTTTGGTATATCCCCATCAAGGGTTGTTAGGCCATCAGGTCAAGTGTTCCAGAAGCAAGTACGTGGGAATAAGGTGCTGTCCCCACGAGGCAGGTATCGGCACTAGTGAGCACTCCGCAGATAGGCGGATTTATTATCCGTTGCGTACTAGTTGGGTACGTCGATGATCTCAGTTAGTTCGTGTAAACCATGACACTCAATCAATGTGGATCCTCTTTCAGCCCCTTGAACTATGATGTGCTAGGACCTCTCTCGACTCGGAAAGATGAACTTACTGGAAAGATCGCGGCCAGGGATCTTGAGAACAGTTTTGCAACGGAGAAGTTGATCCTAGCTGGGCTCATCGAGAGGAAGGGCAACAGTAGTCACCGCCGCAAACGCGACCAAAAGACTAAACATGAATATCTTGAGCGTCCCCAAATGGTCTCTTTATACTTGGGTTCGAGACCAAATTAATACTGTGCCTTCTAGGAATGAGCAACGTAAATGTAAATGACTATGAACGCCCAGAACATCATGATATCCATTTGCATCTAAGTGCCCATGCAGCCTGGACCAAAGCTGGCGACCCTCAAATTTCATCTGCGCGGACGGGCGTCCTCTCATACACTCGAAATGGAATTCAAAGGGCCACTCGGGCAAATGTTTGATTTGAGACGGAATCAATTTTATACTGAGGACCAACTCCAGCGCCTCTCTGCCACGATCAACAATCCATGATAAAACAGTGTCACAAGTCTGATGTAATTCTGGCGTTGTTGTAGCTGTTTTCCAGGTTTGATGATATATTTTTTTGTCGCTTGTCGTCTTGTGAGCGACTAGTTTGTTGCGGTGCATCTGGTCGCCCATAATAGCCAACAACACACTGGTAAGTGGCGGTCAAATTAGGTGACGGGCTGTCCACGAAATACTTGACAGTCCATTGAGCGCAATTGGTTTGAGGTAGTGCGATAGCCCTTACGAGCTCTCGAGAAAAGGGCATGCATTGTTCACATTCAGTTATCTCCTGATGAACCGCTGTCAACCATTCTTGCCCCTGCTTGATTGGTCATCCACAGCTTTGACGATCTTCTCATTGTTTGTCTTCTTGTGGGTCACTAGTTTGATGTTGGTTTTCTGGCCGCCCTTAGATTTGATGATCTTCTTGTTGTTTGTCTTGTTGCGGTTGCGCACAAGATCAAGATGACCAACAACATGAAGAATTGTCCAGGCAGAAGAAGTCTGTCCAGTTAGCAATTGGCCAGCTGGGACGGCTGGGCCGCTTCATGTCAGCATCTGGAAAGAATGACACAGATAAGACCATATCAGCTCGCTCAAGGGAAAATGTTGTGTTCAAGCTGCCCGGGCATGCAGAAAGCTTGAGTATCATCCATGACTGAAAAGGATTGTCATAATTTGCGCCTTGATTTTCGGGTTACTGGACAAACCGCCTGTTCTCACTCAGAGCCAGTCTGACCTGTTGTTCTTTGCTCCTGTGTCAGAGTCACCGATCCGCTTGTTTCTGGATTTCACTTGAAAACCTGCCTGTTCGCATTCAGAACCAGGGCATGCATGTTGTTTTTTTGGCTCCTGTGACTGTGGAAGAGTCACTAATGAGACCGGAGCAAAGATAGTCACCAGCCATCCCTTCTCATAAAGTATACAAATAGCTGCGCAGAACCCATCGTAGACTACGAAATTTCCAATCCAAAATATTATCCCCATGAGCAAGAGTGTCACTTCAAAGAAAACCCCCTCCCAACTACACTTTCCAGCCAACTAGGCTTTCCAGCCAACTAGGCTTTCCAGCCAACTACTCTTTCCACCCAACTACTCTTTCCACCCAACTACGCTTTCCAGAACAGGGCTTTGTCACTCATTCTTGCGCTCTTTGACAGTTGTTAACCATGGCGCAACAACCTCATGCTACCACTACCCTGCGGCGTTTTCTCACCCAGAACAAGCCATTCACTACCTGCTCTGCTCGATCCCAGCAACACCCAACAAACACAAAATGGCCGACGTTCGAAGATCCCGTCACCATTTGGGATGCTTTTACACTGGGGAACCTTGATAGGCAGTTCGGCGCCCTCCTTGATATCCCAATCCCATCGGACAGGCTTCCGATCGCGGTGGAGGCTCCGGAGGACCTACCCATCACCAATTCGAAGAGCATTGGACATCTCGTTGCTCGGAACGATGCTATGATGCAGGCATCCCTAAATGTTGCCAAGTCGCACCTTCAGCTGTTTCCCGGCATAGTCCTGCGTTTTCGATACAACGACGTTGACCAGACACAACTTCCAAAGCTCTTTGATGGCAGAAAGACACTCAGGCCCGACCACATCATCCAGCTCGATCGATTCCCGGCATCTATCTTGGTGGTCGGTCTTGCGCGCCCAAGCTCCCATTGGAGTGCCCGAAGGGCCGTAAGCAGTCTCGGCGACCTGGACAAGGGGGGCCTTCAGCCATTGCGAGAACTGGCTAACTTGTGCAAGATCGCCGGCACAGAGTTTGGGTACATCCAGACTGATGAGGACATGGTGGTGTGCCGTTTCACCTTGGCGAGCGGGAACAAATGGAAAGCATCTATTAAGCCGATCCCATGGTCAACCTATGAGACATCAAATCTCACAGCTGACCTGGCTCTCTGGTGGCTTTGCATGCGAGCCATGTCCATGTTGGGCAATCAACAAGGATAAAATCGTTGGGGCAGAAGCCGTGGCCGGGATCAATGAACGACTCGTGGAGGGATATTGGGGTGATGAGCATATTGGCAGCGAGGATGAAGGCCGAATGGAACAGAAGTTGGCAAGTGAAGGAGGCGGAGGGATGTGTCAGGAGAGATGAGGAAACAGGGCATGATTGATACGACTGGAACCTTGATAGAGATAGCAAAACTTTAGCTTAGCAAAACTTTAGCTCTTCTCACAGTAGCTCTGCGCTCAAGACTAAGAGCAGCGAAGAAGAAACCCCCCAAGAATGGGAGTGCGTATAACACACTATACAGATTCAATGATACCCTCAAACCAATGTGATCCCTTGTCGGGGCAAATAAGGCCCGCCCGGTACTTCCACTCAATTCCAGGAACGAAATCCGTGCATCTCTTTAGGTTCCGTAGATGCTGGTCGCTGCCCTCATAATACCACCTGGGGGGCTTCGAAGAAAGCGTCTTACCGGGCCGTGGCGCCCTCCAGTCATACGTTCTCGGGTCGACGTATGAGAAGGCACGCTCTCGGTCAGGGCTTTTCCTGAGGTCATACTTGATTTGCAAGCCCTTGCCGTTGGGGAACGCGAAGACCGAGAGGGGTTTGTGCTTCTTGTTGCCCGTCCATTTCAATTCACAATTCCATCCCACGATCATGTTGTCAAACTCCAAGTAGTCACGGAGGCTGTGTCCAAACGCTTCGTACTCCACAGCCGATCGCCACTCCGGCGTCAGGAAAATGTTCATTTCCGGATTCATCATGTAGTGAGGCGTGGTGATTGCGATGCTGAAGTCGGCGAACTTGCCATTGATGATCTGTCGTTGCTCCGGGTCAATATTGACGATGCCGAGTTGCTGGAGCTGGATGATATCTCGGAGGGCTTTTTTAGCATCTTTGACTCTGAGCACTGTGTTTTCTTGGCCAAACTCCTTGACGATACCTCGGATAGGAGGATCCTTGCCACTCTCCCCCGGGTAGCGGGAGCGTTCTTCGATGCCAGGTTCGCTCCAGGTTCCGCTAAATTCAAGGTCGAGGTCACTGAAGCGGCTCATAAGAGTGCGCTCATGCTCCTCGTCCAGGAGCAAGTACCCAAAGCATTCGATAGCGAGCTCCTCGTGGCCAGATTCTTGAAGACGGCCAAAAGCGCGGCACTCGGCACTGAAGGGCTCAGAGTACTGGTAAAAGGCGCTTACTGCCTCAATGTCGTCGAGCTCAGTGTGGCGTGGACCGGGACCGATCCAGTCGTAGATGTAGGTAAATCTGAACTGTGTATATCTCAGTCAGTTTCTGCTTTCCATCATCCGGTGCATGTGAGTACTCATACCAATTTCAGGGCATAGACAGTGCCAAGTATTTGAACCTTGAAGACGTGCGAATGCTGGCCGGAGCCAAGGTATTCGAGAAATTCAATCCTTTGAGGACCTTTGAAGTCAAAGGGTCCCAGTTTCGGACCGTCAACACGCGGCAAAGGCTCCAAGTCAACACCCGGCTCTGGCCAGTCTGGATACATTTGGTGTTATATAAGTATGGCGGCGAAGCTGATATACCAAGAGATAACGAAACGGACAAGAAGGTGTGCAAGACGTCGAATACCTCTTATATATTGCCTCACAGAACACAAATGGCAGGCTCGCACGCACAAAGAAGGGTAGGGCATGGTGCAGTGCAACAAAGGAAATTAAAACCGCGACTTTTTGCAACCGGAGAAAAAAAAAGGAGAAAGAAAACAAAGGAAGAAAGTGATGGATGGCTGCTGAGCTCTGTCGCTGTACGAACGCAGCCATGCAGACAGTTTCACAAGTTATGTCGTTGCCCACATCAAGGCTACACCAGTGCAGACTCTTGCGCCAATTGACATTCTTTGAGACACATGCATCATATCGTGAACACTGTACACCCTGGGGACCAACCTGCTGTGTTGTGCTTTCTCATCAGGTGGGTTATCTATGAGAGATCAAGAGGGCGTCGAGGACAGCTGAGAACGGCAAATTCAAGACTTTTTGGGTGAGGAACACACAACAAACAAACACACAAGGCACGGCCAAAAGAAAGTCGGGCCGGAGGGGGAGACGATGCGCTTATTGATGTAGGTACCTAAGGTAGGTAGGCAGGGACCCCGATGAGGAAAGACGAAGGCTGGCTGCGTGTGGTCAAGCTGCATCACTGACCTAGCACCAAGCACTGGACCGCCCTGCGTGAAGCTTTCCATGGGGACAGACTTACGGAGGGTAATTGATGCTTGCGTTGTTGCATTGAGGTTAGCCCGAAAATTAGGTGAGAAAGTGTGCTTTTATCCTCCAAGGGATACAGTGGCGGCGCCTGCTCCGTTTACAGCCCACACTTGTTGAGCTGCTTCTGGCAGGCCAAATCCCGCTAATTCACTGATAGACACTCTGAGCTGCGGGCGACCTAGAGGTAGTAATCGCTGGAGCCCGGTGCACTCGCTACCTAGGTGGTGCAGGCCCACCACCACCCCGCCTCCCACCTGGTGGATTAAGAGCTTGTCATGTGATGCAATCAATTTACCACCAGTTACCTCAAAGAACTCGCATCTTGCACAGCTCACTGTCCTGTGAATTCAGAGGCTCCACCTTCCCATCCCCCATCCGAGCCGCACTCCTAGACTCACAGATATTCTTACACATACATCCGGAGCTCCATTTGACCTGTACTTCTCAAAATGGGCCGTCTCATCACGGTAGCAGCCGTGGCACTCGGACAATGGGCCCTCGACTGGGAAGGGAACACTGGCCGAATCATCGAGTCTATCATCATTGCAAAGCAGCGCGGAGCAACGCTGCGAGTGGGATCCGAGCTCGAAGTGCCGGGTTACGGATGTCTCGACCACTTCAACGAGATTGACACCTACTCAAACTCGTGGGATATGCTTCGTCGCATTCTGCTCGACAAGAGGTGCTGTGAGTCGACCCGGGCCGGACTGGTAGCTAGCTTTTTCAGCTCTGGCCATGTACTTACCACAAAATGAGCAGATGGAATCATTATCGACGTGGGAGCACGTAAGTCTACCGGCATCCACAGAGCACATCCCGCCGGGCAAAGTTCAAGATACTGACTTCTATCCAGCCGTTCTGCATCGCAACCAGTCAGTCACATACGACACCAGCATTTGCCAAAAGACATATAACTGACCACAGCAATAGGAAATTTAACTGCCGCATTATAATCCTGGATGGCAAGATCCTCCTCATCCGCCCCAAGATGTTTCTGGCCAACGAGTATGTGGGATCCTCGCCTCGCTTGACCAAACCTTGCTGACGCTCCAACAGCGGCAATTACCGAGAACACCGGCACTTTGTTCCATGGCTTCATCCGTGCCAGACTGAGGACTACCACCTGCCTCCTGAGATCCAAGAGATTGTCGGTGTAACTCATGTCCCCTTTGGTGACGCTGTCATATCCACGCCCGATACCTGCCTTGGAGGTGAGTTTGTCGCTTTTGTATCTCGAAGCCGGGAGGATCTTTCAAATGCTAACAAAACGAATCTACACAGTGGAGGTGAGCAACCCGACCATATCTCGTCAAACATATCGCCTGGAGAAGCTAACCCCCAAAAGACGTGTGAGGAGCTCTTCACTCCCAATGCGCCGCATATAAACCAGAGTCTCGATGGTGTCGAGATTTTCGCCAACAGCTCAGGCTCCCATTTCTCGCTTCAGAAACTCGACCTGCGCCTGTCCCTCATTACCGAGGCCACGCGGAAAGCGGGTGGAGTCTATATTTATTCCAACCAGCAAGGTACGATGGATCTACCCGGCCCCTGTTTGAAAGCTTTGGAACACTCACGGGAGACTGGCAGGCTGTGATGGCGACCGCCTGTACTACGATGGCTGCGCCATGGTTATAGTGAACGGAAACATCGTTGCCCAGGGATCGCAGTTCAGCCTCAGCGACGTCGAGGTGGTCACTGCCACCGTGGACCTGGACGAGGTCAGGGCACACCGCATGGCGATGAGCCGTGGCCTGCAGGCTGCCTTGTCGACAGCAAAATACCAGAGGATACAGACTGACTTTAGCATCGGCAATGACGAGGACGACGCAGATGTCTCCATTGCCCCGTCGAAGCCCATCAAACCTCGGATCCACACCGTCGAAGAAGAGATCGCTCTCTGCGCCGGCTGCTACCTCTGGGACTACCTACGCCGCTCTGGCGCCGCTGGTTACCTCGTACCTCTGAGCGGCGGTATCGATTCATGCGCCACAGCAACGATCGTCTACTCGATGTGCCGCATCGTCATCCAGGCCATGAAGGACGGCAATCAGGACGTCATTGACGACGTGAAACGCATAGCCAAGTACGACGACAAGCTCCCCGAGACGCCGCAGGAGCTGTGCAGCCAGATCTTCACGACCATCTACATGGGCATGCGGGAGCAGAGTTCTAGGGAGACGCGGCAGCGCGCCAAGGATCTCTCCACTGCTATCGGCTCCTACCATATCAACCTCGACATCGACGAGGTCTTCCAGGCGCAGAAGAACCTCATCACCAATGCGATCGGCTTCACGCCGAGATTCAAGGTGCATGGCGGTACTCACCAGGAGAACTTGACTCTCCAGTGCATTCAGGCGCGCGTCCGCATGGTCACTGCCTACCAATTTGGGCAGGTTCTCCCGACTGCGAGAGGTCGTCCCGGTGGCGGCGGCCTGCTTGTTCTGGGATCCGCCAACGTTGGCGAGTCCCTGGTGGGATACCTGACCAAGTACGACTGCTCGAGCGCCGACATCAACCCCATCGGCAGTATCGACAAGGACGACCTGAAGCGATTCATCGCGTGGGCCGAGACCGAATTTGAGCTGCCGTGTCTCCGGGAGTTCCTCGAGGCTATCCCGACGGCGGAGCTTGAGCCGTACGTTTGTCGCCGTGTGCTGACTTGCCCCCTTTTGTTTACCCGCTTCTGACACGTCATCCTCTAGTATTACGCACGACTACGTCCAGTCCGACGAGGCCGACATGGGCATGACCTACAAGGAGCTCACCATCTTCGGCCGGCTCCGAAAGGAGCAGAAGCTCGGCCCCTACGGCATGTTCCTGCGCCTGGTGCACGACTGGAGCGAGGACCGCGCCGCGCACCCGGGGGGCGGGGACGGGGACGGGGACGGTGCCGGCGGCGACGACGCGCCGCGGATGACGCCCGCCCAGGTCGCGGAGAAGGTCAAGCTCTTCTTCCACAAGTACTCGGTGGCGCGGCACAAGTCGACGGTGCTCACGCCCGCCCTGCACAGCAACGACTACAGCCCCGAGGACCACCGGCACGACCTGCGGCCGTTCCTGTACCCGCTCATGTGGAAGTCGTGGAGCTTCAAGAAGATCGACCGCGAGCTGGCGCGGATCGAGAAGAGGCAGGCGCTCAAGTTTGGGGAGAAGGAGAAGGGGAAGTAGGGGGGAAACAAAGAAGGATTTTCTCTCTTTTCTTTTTCTTTTTCTTTTCTTTGTCCTTCTAGACTTGACAGTGAGTAGAGTTAGTGTGTCATGATTAGAGTGGGAATTGATTTCGTGCCGTGCGACGACCTTGCAACTCCTGACGTGAGGGAAAGACCACCTGCGTTCAGAACGACTTTGCATCCCCTCGTGCGAGGGAAAGACGAAACCAGACCGGGAAAAAAAGAAATCAGGGTACAAACGACGGCTCGAACACACGCATTCCTCCTGCCAGCTGCCCAAATTGCAAAAAGCGAAGCCCTGGTAAGCCAGGTCTCTTTCGTCGTCTGATGGAAAAAACAGTTGAGCTACGCTACTTCGCTGGGAGGATGCGAGCTGCTAGTTGACTTATCATGCCCAGCTCTCCCCGGGTCCACTGTCACCAGTCTAGCCTGGGACGGAGGTTGACTCGCACGGGAGCAGAATCGATCTATAAAGGAAAAGGCAGGGCAACAAAGAATCTTTGTTGGATCAGATGCCTCGTGGGTTTCTTGCCAAGAGACTCCTGTGTCCGGAAAGGAACTTGGTTCGGATTCAGGGGCATTCCTTTCCTAGGGGGTCGTGCTCGACTCTGCTAAATGGAGGCGACCACAGTTGCGCTACTCCACTGTGTCGTGCAGCGATGCAACAGTACCTATAGGTACCTCTCAACGGTGTAAATGGGGCACTGTAGTTATCACCCGGAGGGATAACAGCACGCTTCTCACCTAATTTTCGGGCTAATGAGCGAGCCCACGCAACAACGCAACCTTAAGCATCAATGCCACCACCGATTTTGATTTTGCCTCTACATTTTCAACAGGCAACAGATGCAGTTCCAGATCCCTATTCTGTTCCAATTGCGAGGAGCGAAAGCATTGCTTCCATTGCGCAATTCAATATGTATACGTATCTCATAGTATTCTGGAGTACTGCTCGAGAAAGAGAGACACGAAAGCCCACCCAGCAGCGTTTTCAAACATGCTAATAAGTGCCCACTGAGTATCTCTCGCTTGCATCTCCAAAAATAAACAAGGGAAAGCCGCTTTTCCAACTCACGCAATTTTTAATTTATTTACAAGACCATCAAACCGCCAACAACACAAGCCGCGACGCCACCCAGCACGCCAAGCGCCGGCCGGCCGAGTGCCGCCGCGGCGCCGTTGGCCTTGCCCGTGGCCGTGACGATGCTGCCGCTCGTCGTCGCCGTCGTTCCGGAGGAGGAGGAGGAGGAGGAGGAGGCGTCCCTGCTCAGGACGTAGATCTCGCCCGTCGTGTCGGACGTGACGAACAGGCGGCCCCGGGGGCCCCAGGCCAGCCCCACGGGGCGGAAGCAGTTGGCCGGGCACTGCGCGGCCTGGCCCGGGTTGGAGATGATGTCCCTGCTCAGGGCGCGGGTGCTGCTCGGGGGCTCGAGGGGGGTGCCGCGCTGCGGGTCGAAGTCGATGGTCGAGACGCGGTAGCCCTGCGGGTTGGTCTTGTCGACTATTTTGTGTTTCTGTTAGCAAACGCACACATAATTCTCCGAGGAGGTCTGTTTTTCGGTAAAAGATAAAGAGAAAAAAAGGGAAAAAAAGCAGGCAGGGCCAAGTTGGGGACGAAAGAGAGAGAGAGAGAGAGAGAGAGAGAGAGAGAGAGAGAGAGAGAGAGAGAGAGAGAGAGGGAAGAAGAAGGACCTACAGCTGCCGTGGAAGGAGACGTACGCCTGCGCGCCGTCGTCGCCAAAGAGGATGTCGAGCGGCGCAAAGTGCGCGGGCAGCGTGAGGCGCGGCGCGACGTACTGCTGCGCGCAGGTCGTGTCGTTGAGCGTCGCGTTCTGCACGAGGCTGAACTGGTCGCCGACGTGCAGCCCGCCGGCGACGGTGCTCGTCCCCGGCAGGTTGGTGTCCCAGACGGCGAAGCAGTTGGGGTAGCCGTAGTTGCCGCCCTGGCCGGCGGTCGTGCCGTTGAGGAAGCCGTGGTAGTTGAGCTCCTCGCCCGGGTTGGAGCGGTCGATGTCGGACCCCTCGCGCTTGACGCCGTCGATCGAGTTCTCGACGCTGTAGATGGCGCCCGTCTTGGGGTGCTCGCCGACGCCGACCGAGTTGCGCAGGCCCCAGCCCAGCACGCGGCCGTCGGCGTTGAAGTTGTAGGGCGGGTGCGTGTCGAGCAGGCGCGCGAGGTCGAAGGCGCGGATCTGCGACAGGCCCGACGACTTGTTGAGGGCGTCGACGTCGTAGTTCTCGGCCGAGCCGCGCGAGACGACGAGCTGGCCCGGCACGGCCTGGGACATGAGCAGGGTGCGCGTGGTCAGGTCGTTGTTGCTCATGTTGGCGACGACGGCGCGGCGGTCGCCGAGGAGGGCGCCGCGGGCCGGGTCGTAGGCCCAGGCGAAGACGGCCTCGACGTTGGAGGCGTAGAGGGTCTTGCCGTCGTTGGCGAGAGCGAGGCCGTGGTTCAGCTGGTTTTGTTTGGTTGCGGAATCAGCAATTGGGTGCCTCCCTTCTACAGCCAGAGGATACAGAACCTACAGTGGTGTCGGCCACGACGGTGATGGCCTGGTCGACGGCGAGGCAGGTGCCGCCGTTGTCCTTGAAGGTGAAGCGGGTGATGCCCTTGCCGCTCTCGACGACGAGCAGGCCGCCGCCGGCGTCGAACTGGATGCTGCGCGGCTTCTTGAGGCCGTTGACGACGAGCTGCGCGCTCCAGCCGGGGGCGACCGAGGGCGGCGAGTAGGAGGGGACCAGGACGGAGGCGCAGGCCGTCTGGGCTGCGACCCCGGCGGCGAGGAGCCCCGCACCGACGGCGGCGGTGCTCAAGACGTTGGACTTCATGTTTGGTGGTGGTGCAGGCGGAGGCGGAACTGAGCGTCTCTACGGCAGAGTTGATGGGCAAACAAAAGGTATCAATCTCCTGCTTCACCACACCTGGGAGCTACACGGACCTACGAAAGGAGTGGGAGAGGAGCAAGGAGAGAGAGAGGCTAGACAATCTTCAAGCTCTTTTGTCTCTCTCTCTCTCTCTTCCTCACTGTTGCTTCCCGCCAAGTGGGCAGACACCAGAGCTAACTAGTGGCCCGGCGCAAACACAACGCACATGTGCATGCAACCTTTACGGCGAAGAGCTCACCCCAGCACCGCACCACCACCACTGACACCATTGACGGAGAGCATGTGGTGGGGCGGGATGGGCTTCTAGCTCCAAGCAAGACTGGTCTGGCTCCCGCCATGTTGGGAGCTAGATGGTGACAAGACCGGCGGCGGGCGGGCGGCGAGAAAGCAAAAAAAAAAAAGAAAAAGAAAAGAGGGCTGCAGATTCGGGGTGGAGAACTCTTTGGGCTGCTGTTGGAGGAACCATCGCTAGATCCTCCGGGTCAGGCCAGCTAGCCATGAGCTGTTGAGCTAGTTGATTCAGGGACCAAGAGGGAAAGGAAAGTATTGGCTTGGCCGTTTCTGCGAGGTTTTGTCGTTCCCAGCCTTCTCGGCAGCAAGCAAGTCTTTGGTTTGTCTGTTCACTTGGCACTCCACCTAGGAACTTGGGAGACGAGATTAACTACTTGTAGGTTGTGCGATGCTGTGTGATGCCGGGTGTCCAGAGACACCAGATCATGTCGCCATCCGGTCCCCGATTCCCACGATTCCCCAACTCCCCAGTCCAGGGACCGGGGCCCTCTTGGCGGGGTTGCACGACTGGGAGTTGGTACAAGTAGTTACTTGTTGGTTACCCAAGTACGGCATCGCATCTTGAGGGACGGATGAGGGAGAGAGTCAGCTTCGGCTGCAGCCAGCCATCTGCTGTACGTAAAAAAAAGGACCTTTGCCATCCCACCCTCTTCATCGGTCGCGAGGTGTCATCCTGTGCCGTGTTCCCCGCCATGTCATGTCAGCTCAAGCTATGCCACTTGCCGGGTAAGGGCTGGCCGGTGCCGGCGCCGGCCAATGGTGATGGCTCCAGGGCTGTCCAAGTGCAGAAGACAGCCACCCAGAGCAGACGCCCACGGACTGCCCAGCCTTGCCGGCCCAAATGTTACGAGATGAATGTGTGTGCAAGGCGAGAGATGGAGGGGCTTCTGATTCTCCGAGTGGGGGTTCTGCCATTCCCTGCTACCTTGGGTAGGTAGGTAGTTAATCGATTTACTCTGCGCTTAAGGCGGTGTTGATGGCGGTGGCAGCCCAGGTTTTCGTGGACTTTCCACACCGAGCATCTCGGGTTTTGACCTGCTGCTCCAACGCGTGGCTCGCCACCGACTTGAGATTATGAGACAAGCCACCTGTCTAACTACATCTTTCCCAGGAAATCATCGATCGAGGCACGTGCGAAGAGCAGAGTGCTCGACCAGACATGGGCTCCCGTCGATCATGGAGCTCGAAAATGCCCCTCCTAAAAGTCCTAAAAGAGGGCCGCCGGGGCTGGATGCAGTAAAGTCGGGTCCCCAGTAAAATCGATAATGCCCTGCGCCCGTTCCATGATGCCATGAATGGAGCCCGTCCAATGGATGCCTCCCCTCCATCCTCCATCTGCCCCTCACCCGTCCGCCGCCGTTGTTTGCAGAACCGCATCCGCTGCCAGCCATCACCTTTCTCGTCCTTCCAAGCCTGTCAGCCCACTGTGCGCCCGAGTCGGCCGCTGGTGGGAACGACTGCTTCTGACGGCTACTTTGCCGCATTGGAGTGAGTGAGCACGTTTTCACTTACAGCCCGTCTTCTCATTCCAGCCGCCGCCCGGCCAGTCAGTCATGTCACAACTCATCCGGGCCGCACCCATCCATGCTTCTCGCTCAACCAACCCAGATGCTCCTCCATCTCTAGCTTCCTGTGCAGCAGCCTGCATGCATGCAAGTGACCACCAGGCTTGGCAGCTCCCGGATTGGACCGTCCAGAGAGGCGCAAAGGGCTGGAACCTCCAGGTAGAAAACGGGTAGCCCAAGACATTCTCTCCATCTCGCTGTAAACTAGCTTCCTGAGCTTCCAACCATCGAATTCTTTAGCTCCCCCACCTCACCTAGCTCTGACTAGAGCTATTGAGTTTGTAGTCTGTATGCAGTGTGTCTCGGACGGCTGGCCGGTTTGGATATTTTCTTGTCTGTGAGACGTTCTTGATCGACCTGTCCACTCAACCTGCTCCTGATCCTCATCTTCGCGCCTGTGCTTCAAACAATCCCGCCGGTACGCCGTCTAGGTGTCTCTGTCTACCTCACCTCGAGAGGGACCTGACCAGGCTCGTCTTACACCCCCCTCACAAACCCCGCCGCCAAACACGCTCAACCATGCGATCGCTCCTCGCCCTCGCAGCAGCGGCGCCGTTGCTCTGCGCCGCTGCCGCCGCAGTCGTCCCGGGACTTCCCCTCGACCCCCGCGACGTCACCAGCCCGGACACGCCCTGGATCTCCATCGACGCCAGCGGCGCCGCGCACACCGTCACCCCGTCCGTCAGCCGCGACAGCAGCGGCGGCGCCCCCAGCACCGTCTCGGGCCCGCCTCCGCAGCTCACCAGCACGGCCGCCTACACGCTGACCGTGTCAGGCACGCCCACGACCGTCACGGGCCAGGCGCCCGCCGTCAGCGCCACGGGGGCCGCGCCGGGCTCGCCCGAGGGCGTCTTCTTCACGTGCGACAAGTACGTCGGCCAGGACAAGCCGTTCTGCCTGCCGCAGCGCGGGGCGGCGCTGTACCCCGGCCGGACGTACTACAGTGAGTTCGCCAGCCTCCTTTCTCTTTTTCTTTTTTTCTGTTTCAACCCACGGTCTCTCAAGCCCCCCAAGGAGCACACACACTCAACTGACACACACATCTTCCCCAGTAACGTGGTACACGGCCTACTTCGCCAACCCCCGCACCGTCATGGACATCGACATCACCTACGGCAACGGCCAGGGCGTCACATTCCCCAACCTCGCCGCCTCGCAGGGCTACTTCGCCTGGACCGTCGACGCCGACATCCTCTCCAAGCAAGGGCTGTCGCAGCTGTCCAACGTCACCATCGGGCTCTCCTACTTCGAGACCCCCGGCGACAACGCGTCCGACGTGCTCCTGCCGGGGCCCTCCGTCTTCATCGTCCCCGCGCCCAGTCCCCCGAGCTCCGGCCCCGGCACGGCGGCGATCGTCGTCATCGTCGTCGTCGTCGTCGCCGCGCTGCTCGTCGCCGCGCTGCTGGCGTGGTCGTGGCGCGCGCGCGGCCACCCCTTCGCGCTGTGCATGGGCCGCGGCCTGCGGAGGCGGTCCATGGGCGGCGGCGTCCGAGGTTCCGGCCAGGGCTACGGCGTGCGCAAGAGCCACGCGGAGCGCACGGCGGGCGTCGCCGCCGCCGCCCCGGACCCGGACCCGGACAGCAAGGCGCGCGGCGTGGAGCTCACGGACCGGGAGAGCTGGTCGCCCACGCAGGGCGGCGGCGGCGGCGGGCGGAACGTGTTCCGCGAGGAGGTGCAGCGCCAGGAGAACGAGAGGTGATGTGGGCCCGTGAGGCTGGGATCCAAGTGGCATGCTGGGAACGAGGGAGGGCGTCCGATATACAAGGTGGATTTGGTGAGTGTGGAGGTTGATGGAAGCTGTAACCTACGGGCGAGATTGTGAGAGGCGTGAAGAATATTCTAAGGGGAGGGGAGTTTTCAAAGTACATATTAGAATCCTTTTTTTTTTTTTTTTGAAAGCACTCTTTCGGCAGGACACTGAACCAAAGAGTCTAATGAGTTACGTATCTGTCATTCTCTACCAGAGCCACAAAATTGAAGCATTACAAGTTCACATACCAATCGAGCACTGCAAAAAGCATATCACGCCTGGGAGACTGGGTAGAAGCTGTAGGCCGGTCTGCTCCGACCCAGCCTTCCAAAACCCAAGGCCAATGTAATTCTTGTCAGAACATCCCCGTCAAAGATGAGGTTCTTGACATTTACTTCATTTGTTTGATTTGGGTATAATGATAACATAGCCAAGTCAAGCCAGCACAAGTGTGCCCGCATACCAGCCCTTCCGCTACTTGGAGCTGCACAAATGCTGCCGCACATGCGAACCCGCCGGCCTGGATCCCCGGAAACGCCGACGCCCCGTCATCTCATAAAATATACTCGTAAGCAAAGCCAGAAAGTGAAAGAGGCAAACAGGTCTACAGCCACTGCCTCACGCCTTGCCCACCCACCCCGCATTGATGAAGAACTCAAAGATCCTCCCGCCCTTTTGGGTATCCAGCCTGCAGATCTCCTTGGCCTGCTTCTTCTTCAGGGTACCATTGCCCTTGAGCGCCTCCTTGAGGATCTGCTCCTTGATCATGAGGTACGGCTTGGGCTGCAGCCGGATCACCTCGCACAGCTTGGCCTCCTCCGGCGTGAGGAGATGCAGATCCGGCGCGTTGTCTTGCGTCAGCGGCAAGGGCTGCACGCCTGAGATCGCCTGCGGCATGAACTTCTCCTTCTTGGGAGCCCCGGTGCCATTTGCCACCACGACGCTGCCATCGGCTGCTGTGCCATTGACGCCGTTGGTGAGAGCGGCCTTGTCCTCCCCGTTCGCCGTGCCGTTGAGCGCGGTCGACTGGGTCGGCAGTTCGGGAGCCAGAAGCAGGGCGGCGCCGCTGGGGGGCTCTGGCGCGGGCGGTTGCTTACTCCGCTGTGCCGAGGCCAGCCTGTCGCGGTCCATCGAGCCCATCGGGATCGCCTTCTGTATCCTGGTCGCCTTTTCTTGCTCGTACTTCTCGCCGCTCTTGAGATCTCCGATGCGGTTCTCTCGCCACTCTTGCAGCTGCGTGATGGCCTGGCGCAGGTTCAACTCGTCGACGAGACCCTGGCAGAACTGCTCAAAGTCGTCGTGGTTCATCATGCGCGCAAAGGGCTTTGCCTTGTTCAGCACATCTCTCTCTTCCTTTGACCGGCCCTTTTCGATCTTTGTGTTGCTCCTGTAGTCGAGCAGGTTGTGCTCAAATATGACCTTCTTCCTATCCACTCTCTGTGTCAACCGACAGTTGTAGATATCCATAACGGTGAGCTTGAGCTCCATCTCGGGCTCGAGCTGGCCGGTGTGAGGGTTGATGCCATCGCCGGGATCGAACTGCATGAGCTGCACGGCCTCCTCGGCCTCGTTGGCGTATTCCGTCTCAAACTCGAGACGGCCGGGCATGTACCCTTGGATCTCGTGACAGGACGGCACAGAGGCTGTAGGCTTGGTCTTGGGCTGCAGCGCGGGGGCATTCTTGGCTGTCTCTCTGCGCTCTTCGATGCGCCGCTTCTTTCTCGATTGAAACTCTTCTCTAGAGATTTCGTTCGCCAGTTCCATATCGTGCGGACTGCATCGCTTCGGCAGAGGGAACGCCGGCGAGTCGACGTAAACCTCGAGGTAGTGGTCCCGGACCTCGTCCTTACTACGGTAGCCGCCGATGTGGTCGGCGATATCGGCCCAGGACCCGAGTCCATAGATCTCGGCACCTTCCAACAGCAGAAGCTCCTCGTCCGCACCCCACTCTCGGTCGAATATGGGGAATGAGTTCTGCTCGATGACGCGGTAGGGATGCGTGGCTGGCAGGTGGTTGTTGCTGGATTGGCCGCTCGAGAAACATTGGACGCAGAGGTCGTACTCGTTGCACGCGCTATGCGCGCATCTGATGCGAACCTGGAGACGAGTGTTAGAGTTGAGTCGGCTATGGCGGTGCCAGATGAGAGCGTTTGCATGGAAAGGGTTGGTGAAACAAGAGAGGGAGTTGTATGGGGGGGGCGTGATGACAGGGCTGAGGGTGTGACTGTATGAAAGATGGGGAAGCACGCCTGGATGGCCACGCACAGTAGATGTGATATCTGCGCTACACACGTCACAAACGTATTTAACGCCTCCCTCGCCGCCTCGTGCGGCAGTCTTCTTTCTGATCACGCCCATGTTCGGCGACGATATCGTCTACCGGCTGGTGTCGACGATCGGGTGGTGGTGTGGTGGTGTGGTGGTGAGGAGGAGTGAAGCAGGCTGCTGGCTGGGGGTGCTAAACTGCCGCACTCCCTGTCCGGGGAAGATATCCCGCTCGGGCTGAGGGCTGTGTCGGGGGGTCTATCGGCGTGCAAGCGGCATCATTCGAAAGTGCTCGTCAAAGCGAACAGTATGCGACGCGTTGTTTGATGAAAAGACGCGGATGCGATGTGGTGAGTGATGGCCGATGGTGTGCGTGGTTGGTGGTGCTGATTGCTGGGCGCTGATGTGTTTGCGCGATTGCTGTCTCCCCTGGTCTTGGTGTCAACGAGCGGCGTCGCCCTTGGCTGGGGAGGGAGGGAGATGCGCACGGACCACCATGCGGCAAAACGTGCCTTCCACGCCCCAAATCTGGAACGGCAAAAACAACAATTGGTCTACTTCGTAATACCTAGCAAATTTTGGACGCCTCAGGCAGGGAAAAACGGTTGCATGCTACCTAGGTATCATGATCGAACCGGACGACGAGGACATGAAAACATCAGCGGACTCGAGAAAGTGTAGAAGGATTGCTAACAGAAATGCTTTTACGCTATCAATTATCGATCGTTAATACCGAGTAATTTGTTTGCAACGACGTACCTGCAGATGAAACCCTGTCTGCTTTTCTTCGAGTTCCTTCAACATCAAATGCAACTAGGTACCCAAAAATCCCCGCTGTGGGGTGCTCAAAAGCCCGGTGGAAGCGACAACCGACTCCTCGGAGGTCACAGACTCACAGTTGATCTTTTTCAAGGCTCTAGCTAGGCGCCAATCGCTTATTGGTGCGCTTTCAGAGAACAGTCCATGAGTGACAATAGATATAAGAGCGAATTGAACGTTACAATCATACAAACGGATATCCTTTTGAGGCATTATTCTGCTGATGCGAATCAAGAATATCTCACATACGAAGAGTGGCTCATGCTTTGGAAGAAAGTCACACCCTCACTATCCCCAAAACGACCCGCCTATTCCTGCAAAGTTGGTGGCCTGTCCCATTTGTACAAGTAGCTGGAGACAATTCGCCCGAATAAGGCGCCGTTGTAGCAACACCACCGGCCAGCATCTGACGTAGAGGCGGCCCCTCAACTGCTTTCGGCGGTCCCGCCGCACAGCACCCGTGGCCCGGACAGCCCTGCGAGTCAAAAAGTGAGAATGCCCCGCGTCTGGAGGAAGTCACGTCGCGAGTCTTTTTTCCCTCTTCGAGATTGCGGGAAATCGACTTGTTTCTATTCTCTTGTATTCATAGACCTCTCTCGTTGACAGTTTTCACCGCATAGCGAGCCAATTCGCGACCATTTCGCAGTAATCCCAGTGCCCCTAGTACAAGCGGCCGTCGTTGATCAACTGTCGACCAAGCTCCCCACCATGCCGGACGAGATCTTGAACGACATCTCACATCGCAGATACAACCCCTTGACGGGTTCATGGCTGCTTGTTTCACCCCACAGGACCAAGCGCCCCTGGCAGTAAGAGCTGCGCCTGAACCAATCTCACACAGCTTGCTAACTCGAATGCAGAGGCCAGCAAGAGGCAGCTCTAGAGAACACACTGCCCGAGTACGACGAGAAGTGCTATCTGTGCCCCGGCAACAAGCGCGCTCAGGGCGACCAGAACCCCAGATACGAAAACACATTTGTCTTTGTCAATGACTACAGTGCCGTCAAGGAGCAGCAGCAAGACTACCAACCAGAGGTGAAGAGCGATGGTGCATAACACTCCCCTGCTCCTGACCCTAAAAACGAGCTTGCAACTGACCATCTCTCAAGATATCGCGTCGTTACTCCTGCGCGCTGAGGCCGCCACCGGCCGCTGCTACGTCCTCACCTTCTCCGCCAAGCACAACGCCACCCTCGCCGACATGACCGCCCAAGAGATTGTGCCCGTCATCGAGACCTGGACCCGCATCTACGCCTCTCACCTTGCGCCCTCCAGTCCCCTCGCCGGCGCCGCCGCCGACGTGCTCAAGGCCCTCCCCGCCGCCTCGGCCGACGACTCGGTCACCCCTCCCGCCCACCAGCTGCGCTACATGCAGATCTTCGAGAACAAGGGCGCCGCCATGGGCTGCTCCAACCCCCACCCCCACTGCCAGATCTGGACCACCTCGAGCCTGCCCGAGGAGCCCGGCAAGGAGCTCGCCCAGCTGGCCCGGTACCGCCGCGAGCACGCCGGGCGGCACATGCTCGCCGACTACGTGCGGCTCGAGATGGAGAAGGGCGAGCGCGTCGTCTGGCAGAACGACGCCTTCCTCGTCGTCTGCCCCTGGTGGGCCGTCTGGCCCTTCGAGGTGCTCGTCATCGCCAAGCGCCACGTGCGCGCCCTCGTCGACCTCACCGCCGCCGAGCGCCTGCAGTTCGCCGAGGCCGTCCAGGAGGTCGCGCGCCGCTACGACAACCTCTTCCAGACCAGTTTTCCGTATAGCTCGGGCATCCACCAGGCGCCGCTCGAGTGCCGCGACGAGGACGAGGCCGAGAGCAGCTGGTTCCACATGCACTTCTACCCGCCGCTGCTGCGGTCCGCCACCGTGCGCAAGTTCCTCGTCGGCTACGAGCTCATGGCCGAGCCGCAGAGGGACATCACCCCGGAGCAGGCGACGCTGCGCCTGAGGGACTGCGGCGGCAAGCTCTACCGTAAATCGATGTAGGGTGACGTCTGAAGAGCTTTGTTTGGGGGTACGGCGTAGGGTGGCGATAAAAGGGAGATCGGGGATTTGGGGGTCCGTGGAGTCTATAGATCTCAAATCGTAATAATTACATCTATATTAAAACCAAAAGTATACCATTCAGAAAAACCTTGCCCTCTGTTGCCCCTGCCCATCAGCCCATATAGTGCTTCCACTGCAGGCTCATGTAGATCAGCCCGCTGAGCCCGCCGGCCATCGGCGCCAGCAGCTCCCGGCTCGGCCTCATCGTCTTGAACACGAGCACCTCGCTGGTGAAGTGCACCACGGCGATGGCGTGCGTGAAGAAGGCGAGCTGGAACAGCGCCGGGTTGGTGATGTCGTAGGCCGCGTAGAGCCGGATCACGCCGGCCATGATGGTCCACACGCCAAAGATGCGCGCCGCCAGGGGCGTCACCTGGTCCCGCGCCTTCTCGACGTCCTTGCCCGTCGCCGAGGCCGGGACGAGCTTATCGACGCGGTCCTCCGGGTTGCTGTGCTTGCTGGCCGCGGGAGCGGATGCGCCGGGGCGGCTGAGGGCCGGGTTGGGCACAAAGGTGCCGTTGTAGATGCGGCGCGTATAGTGCAGGGTCACGAGGTTCTGGACGGCATTTCCGATGGCGGCGGTGGCGACCTGGGATGAGGTACTGTCAGTGTACCCAGTTCGAGAGAGCAATTGGCCTCTGGAAGGTATCCCCGGTTCTGCCTTACCACCATAAGGTAATAGGGCAGGTAGCCCTTCTCCACGGAGGGGAGGAAACTTCTGAGGTTGTTCATATTGTGATGCTTGAAGAAGGATCTTAGCTTTGAACTTCACAGCTGGGGGGCTCTGATGTTCTCGCGATGGATTGGATAACGGATCGGCCGGCTATGACTTCGAGAGCGCGTTGATATCCCAAATGTGGGCAAAGGTTGGATGATTGTCCAGCTATGCTGCCTCCAATGCGGGTGTGGATGATGATTGGATGATGCTCCAAAATTTCCAGGGGTTTTTCCAGCACTGAGAGCTTGTTGAGTGCGCCGGACCCACTGAAGCTCCTTGTCGCGGCACTGTAAATGGACCCCAGATCCAGGGGTGCCGAGGCCTGATGCTGACCTAATTTCAGCACCAAACGTGCTGAGTTGCCAGAATTCGCTTGAGCTCAACATTTGTCACATGCGGAACGAGGATTCTGGACAAATTCTTGCTTCTTCCCCTCCCTTATCACCGTCGGGAAACCAGAACCTCACTGCAATCGAATATCGTGACTCTGTAAGACAATGGACGCTATCAAGTCCTTCTTTGTGCACATCCCCCAGCCGGCTCAATGGTTCCTGGCCGGCGTGGGAGCTCTCTACATTTCTAGCAAGGTTCTTGCCTATGTCGACATCCTCGTGAAGCTATTTGTCCTCAGCGGCACCAACGTAAGGAGAGCAACGTCCTCTGCCTGCAATTGTACAATCACTAATATAATTCGTTCCTCAGCTCCGCAAGTATGGCAAGAAGGGCACCTGGGCCGTCGTCACCGGCGCCTCGGATGGCCTGGGCAAGGAATTCGCGACGCAGCTGGCCGCCAAGGGCTTCAACCTCGTCCTCGTCTCCCGCACCCGCGCCAAGCTCGAAACGCTCTCCAAGGACCTCGAGCAGAAGTTTGCGGGCCAGGGCCTGCAGACCAAGATCCTCGCCATGGACTACACGCAGGACAACGACGCCGACTACGAGGCCCTGGGCAAGCTGATCGACGGCCTCGACGTCGGCATCCTGATCAACAACGTGGGCCAGAGCCACAGCATCCCCGTCTCCTTCCTCGAAACGCCTCGCGACGAGCTCCAGAACATCGTGACCATCAACTGCCTCGGCACGCTCAAGACGACAAAGGTCGTCGCCCCGGGCATGGTGCAGCGCCGGCGCGGCCTGATCCTGACCATGGGCTCCTTCGCCGGCTGGATGCCGACGCCCTTCCTGGCCACCTACAGCGGCAGCAAGGCCTTCCTGCAGCACTGGAACAGCTCCCTGGCCGCCGAGCTCAAGCCCTCGGGCGTCGACGCCTACCTCGTCATCAGCTACCTCGTCGTCTCGGCCATGAGCAAGGTCCGCCGCCCGAGCCTGCTCATCCCGCTGCCCAAGCCCTTCGTGCGGTCCGCGCTCGGCAAGATCGGCTGCGCGTCGCAGGCCGTCGCCTACACCTACACGCCCTACTGGAGCCACGCGCTCTTCCAGTGGGTCGTCGAGAACACCATCGGCGCCGGGCACTGGTTCGGCATCAAGACGAACCTGGACATGCACAAGGACATCCGGCGGCGGGCTCTGCGCAAGGCCGAGCGCGAGGCCAAGAAGCAGTGAGGGCTGGATGACTGGGTACAGGCAGGAAAGGACGGATACACAGAGTCTGAGGAGTGGGTAGCAGTAGAAGGAGAGGCTCTGAAAGCGGTGGGTAAAAGGGATGTAATGGAATCAGGTTCCTCATGCAATGGCAATTAAGGAGGGAGATAGCAGCATGAGCAGGCAAAAGGCTCAGGGAAGGGTCGGGGATTATACTATCACTTGGCGCAAAATACATCTAATAAAACGACTTGACCTATACCTGTCTCCTCTTTGATCTCGAACAAAGTGCATGTTGGTGCTTTGTATCAACAAAGAAGCGTTTGTGAAAGGAAGACAATAAAGCGAGTGTCGATGCTCAGAATCGAGAGCTCCCCAGCCTTGGGTGGCTGAATCGGGACAAGCGCCGTCCGGTTAGGCGCGACAGCTTCGCGTCTCCACCAAAAATTCGACCCAGCACTGCCAAAGCTCGACCAGCCTCTCTCCATCAAGACTACAAAGAAAACTGTTTACAGCCTCAGCGCAGGCCGTACTTAGTTCGAGCCTCTCGCTCCACCCCCGAGCTTCCACCTGCCTGTGCGCACCTGTCATCGTCGCCCTCTGGCTTCCTTTCCCCGATCGAATTCGCCCTTCAATGCGCCGTTGCATGGTCAGATAGCCGTCAGCATTCTCGCCAGGGTTGGCTGTCCTCACCTCTCTCCTCACCCTTCCGACAGCTTGCAGCAACCCCATCCGCGGCGAGCGACCTTCGCCGTCATCCCATCGCCCTCCATCTGCGGAAAGCATGGCGGCGCCGACGCCCATGCGACCCGTCCCGGGCGCATTTTTCAACACCCCTGCTCCAGGCGCCAGAGATCCTGTCCGGCGACGCTTGTTCGACGAACCCCCACCTGCGTCGGGCGACCTCGCGAGGACCAACAGCTTCTCAGGCGGCGTCTCTTTTCAAGGTCGCGGAGCCGGCAGCGAGCTCCAGGCCCCCTCGCAACAAGCGCAGCCGACGCCAGATCCTGTAGCATCATTGCCCCCGGTCGTCAAGGCAGCTCGTTACGTCAACGGGGTCCTCCAGCACGATGAGAGCTACCCAGACCTAGATTCTTATTGTCGACGTAAGTTTTGACCCTCGAGGAGCCCTCTCCCTTCCGATGCAAATGCCGTGCCAGATACTGACTCCCTAATAGCTGGCGCGTCGTCCGACTATGACCTCCAGTCCGCCGACTCACCCTGGGCCCCGTTCCACAAGGTCCATATGCACCCCATCCCGGAACGCATCTTCGATCTATACAACAGCTCCCAAGTCAGCACCAAACTGGGTCTCTTCGCCGAGATCAACCACGCATGGGCTTGCATCGACAATGCTCTGTTTCTCTGGAACTACACCCATCCCGACCCAGAGGTCATCGGATTCGAGGACCAGCCTCACAGCATTCAGGCCGTGGCTCTCGTACCGCCGAAGCGCGGCGTCTTTGTCTCTACTATCACGCACATCTTGGTAGTCGCAACTACCTCCGAGCTGATTCTGCTCGGTATCGCCGCTGCGTCCACTCCCAGCGGTGCCAAGACTATCTCTCTCTATGATACCAAGATGGTGCTGCACAAGGGTAGCAGCGACGTGAGCGTCATCGCGGGCACTGCGACGGGACGTATTTTCTACGGCGGAGAGAGTGACACGGACGTCTACGAGCTGTACTATCAGCAAGAGGAGAAGTGGTTCTCGAGCCGCTGTGGAAAGATCAACCACACGCACCCTGGCTGGTCGTCAGTTGTGCCTGTCCTACCCACGCATCTGGACTTCTGGTCGGCGAAACAGAACGAGTTTCTGGTAGATATTGTGGTCGATGACACGAGAAACCTACTGTACACCCTCTCGAACAAGTCGACGATCCGGACATATCACATGGACGGGCCGGAGAAGCTCACCAAGGTCATCGAAAAGGAGCGCAACCACTGTCTCCGTGACATCACACACATGATTACTTCTTCACCGCTGCTCACAGATCGCATGAGAATCGTCTCGATCAGTCCCATCTCGGCGAACGAAGCTTCCAAGCTCCATCTCATGGCGCTTACAAATACTGGCTGCCGGCTATTCCTCAGTGCCACGAGTTCCGCTTCGTACATGATGACATCCTCAACCAACTCTGCACCCCAGTCTATGCAGGTCCAGTACGTCAAGTTTCCGCCAAGGGAACAGCTGTCTCGGGATAGACGATCAGCCCCCGCCTCTAGTTCTGCCGATGCTGGCATCGATCTGCAGTCCAAAGCCCTGTGCACCAGCAGGTTTGGACAACGATTTGCGCCAGGCTATTGCTTCACCTTCGTCAGCAAGGACACCGACCCGAACACCGACCTGCTCTTCGTCTCCGCGCCGGAGACCGGCCGAATCAAGAACACGACCCCGACATCCGCCTTGAAGTACTATGAGCACGGCAACTGGATTGATCTGGGCGAGCGCAACCGCGCTCTTGCGGTCGGTCAAATCACTCCACCTTTCGCCGCCGCACGGCAGCCTCTGGGCTTTGGCAACGAGCTGGCCGTTCAGTTCGACCAGCAGCCGGGCGAGTTTGCGCTCTTGACTAACAGCGGAGTCCACATTGTGCGACGGAAGCGTCTCGTTGACATCTTCGCCTCGGCCCTTAGGAATGCCGTTGGCGATGAGGGTCTCGAGAGAGAGATTCGAAGGTTTATCCAGCAGTATGGCCGCGTGGAGACCGTCTCTGCCGCGCTGGCCGTTGCCTGTGGCCAAGGCAGTGATCTTCGTACTGGTACCGGCAGGGCTATCGACCAGTCTACCCAGGACCGCGCCACGACGGCGTTTGTCAACTTTGGTGGTCAGCCCACTGTTTCCGAAACGGACAGCAACAACATCACCGCCGACCAAGTCAAGCTTTCCTCCCGCCACGACGCTCTGGCCATCTATCTCACCCGTATTATCCGGAATGTGTGGAGATCCAAGGTCATCACCGCGAAGGTCGATCCTAAGGGGATCGCAGTGACCTCTACCAGGCCCATCAACGAGCTCGTCATTGTACAAGAGAACCTCGAGCGGCTCAGAAATTTCCTCAAGACCAACGCCGCGTCTATCCAGGGCCTCTCGGGCCCCTCAGACCTGCAGCATGTGACGAGTCGGCAAGAAGAGGTTGCGCTACAGGCCGAGCACCAGGCTCTCCATGCGCTACAGAAGCTCATGGAGAGCGTTTCCGAAGGCATCTCTTTCGTTCTCGTGCTCTTCGACGAGAAGGTAGCTGACATTTACATGCGCCTGGACGAGACGTCGCGCCGGCAACTCAACGATCTTACGTACGAAGACCTGTTCGCCCAGTCATCTGGGAAGGAGCTCGCCAAGGTTCTTGTCAAGGCTATTGTTAATCGCAATATCGAGAGCGGCGCGAATGTCGAGACAGTCGCGGACGCTCTCCGCCGACGTTGCGGCAGCTTCTGCAGCCCGGATGACGTTGTCATTTTCAAGGCCCAGGAGCAGCTGCAGCGGGCAACTGAGCAAGTTGGCAACCCCAATGTTTGCCGCACCCTTCTCAACGAGAGCTTGCGTCTGTTTGAGCGTGTTGCCGGCAGCTTGTCCTTCAACAACCTGAGCGGTGCTGTGCGCCAGTACCTCGCTCTCAAGTACTACGCAGGAGCTATCGAGCTTTGCCTGTGTGTTGCGCGAGAGAAGGATCGGGGCAACACTGCCCTTTCTTGGGTCAACGAAGGCAAGCCTGCGAGCGACCCCCGGAAGGCCGCATGGGAGGAGAGGAAACGCTGCTACAACTTCATCCACGAGATCATGCAGCAGATGGATGCCGACTCGAACAAGGAACCTCAGATGATTGACGGCCGACCGACCCTGGCAGCGACCAAGCTCGCGGAAGCATACGAGGTTGTTAACAGCTCAGATGATGAGGTATTCCACTTTGATCTGTATGAGTGGTACATCGATCAGGACTGGACAGATCGGATTATCTCCATCGAGTCCCCCCACGTTATCACTTTCCTGCAGCGACTAGCAGCTGTGGATGCCCGGCATGCCGAGCTCTTGTGCCGTTTCTATACCCACCGCGGCCGCTACTTCGAGGCGGCAAAGGTGCAGGCCGACCTTGCGAACTCCGACTTCGACATCAGCATCAAAGACCGAATCATTCTCTTGAGTCGCGCCAAGGGTAACGCCAGCGTCCCGACCACCGGCGTCAGCAGACAGCAGCAGCAACAGCTCAACCACGAAGTCACAGAGCTGCTGGAGATTGCGCACATCCAAGATGATCTATTGGAGCGACTCAAGGCGGACGCCCGCATCCCCGACGAGCGCAAGGCGGAGGTCGAGACGGCTCTTGACGGCCAGATCCAGGGCCTGACTGAGGTAAGTCACTGATAGCGATTTCATATATCATTTCAATCCCGCTAATGGGTTTACAGCTTTTCAACAACTACGCGGACCAAGCAGGCTATTATGACCTGTGCTTGCTCATCTATCATGCCGCTGATTACCACAACCCTCGTGTCATCGCGGACACGTGGAAGAACTTGATCAACGGCACCCACGAAGATGTCGAGGAGAAGCGGGCGGTGTACGAGGAGGCCCGAGCCGGTCGACCCCTGCCGGAAGGCGTCGCGATCCCGACGGGGCCGCCGCCGCTACCTTTCGAGTCGGTCTCGGTCCAAGTCCAGACCATCGCCCACCGCACGTCGCTCGACAGCCTGATCTTCCCGATCGACACGCTGCTCGCGACGCTCTGCGAGTACGCCATCGTCAAGGAGCAGGACCAGAGCATCGGCGCGGACAACTCGTGGCCGGTGCTCCTGTTCCTCCAGCTCGGCGTCAGCCACGCCCTGATCGTCCGGGTCCTCGAGCGCATCCTCGACGCGCAGGAGGCGCCCTTCACGAGCCGCCGGCGCAAGGTCGTCGTCGAGTGGGTCGACACCGCCGTCGAGGCGTGGCTGCACGAGATTGAGCGCCGGGGCGGCCTGGGCGCCGCCTCTAAGGGAGAGGGCGCGCTGGGCGGGTGGGTCATCGACCTGCTGGAGCGGGCCGAGGCGACCATCGCCGAGGTCGCGCCCGGCGTGCGGAACGCGGCCGGCAGGTCGGAGCTGGAGGAGATACTGCGGAAGACGAGGGCGCTGCGCAACTCGGCGGGCAGCGCGGTGCGGCTCGTAGGCCAGGCGGGTGGAGGAAGCTTGAGGTTTAGGTGATTTCTGTTTGTTTTCTTTCTCGCTGACGACGAGCAAGTGAGCGGGTACGATAGCAGGAATGTTGGGAGGAGGGAGTTTTACACATGCATACTGGTGTTTGCATTTCTCGGGATTGAGTATTACTGCTGCCACTACTATTACTACTTTCTTTTCCATCTGCGATGGGTGGTGCAGGGCTGCTTCTACCGTGGCTTCGGTTCTATCTGAGAGCTGGGTAACCAGCACATTGAGTTGACTACTAGGAAGATTGTGCTGCACATCGGAAAGAGCGGAGAGGGCAGTGGGCAGGTGTTTGTATTTGTTGTATTAGGTACATAGATGAATGTCAAAACGGAAGACGAGGCAATTGTTGGGATAAGGAACGAAAGATGTCTCCTGACTTGAGCTCCAGGCTCCATCCAGTGTTGTTTCTCCCTGTGAAGGTTAAGGTTAACGGTCCCCAGTTCCAGGGCCTCTGCAGCTGCAAAACTTCGTAATCGAATGAATGCTTTCCTTCAAGGGGGTTTATGGTGGTGGTTTCGAGCCGGCTCTTCATCCCCAAGATGCTATGGTGGCACTCCGCAGTGTGCGCAAGGCTCAACTTTTGACGTTGGGAAGGTGGATTAACGTTAGTCCATTGATGCATGCACAAGTAGCCTATATCGCCAGTGTATTATGCATTGTGTTTCTTTTTTGGGATTCAGGGACGGAGGTTGAAGTGTGATGCTGGTGGTCAATTAATCTGCTGGATAAATTGCTGTTTAATATATGCCACTATGCGGTCCCGGGTTTCTTGGAGGAGCCATGGTCGGTGCTCACTCATCTCATGCTAACTGCATCACCGACAGCGATTGATGCCTCGTTGGGGGTTAATTGAGCTTGTTCATATCAGCCAGAGAAAGGTCCTCTCATGCCCCGAGACATTCTAGATCCCTCGCAACTCCACCCACTGCTTCAACTACACTTGCAACTCTCCAACTCAGGTTACATGTTATGGCCCGGGGTAGTGATCTATATATAATCGGCCGTCATATTAATTTGTCCAAGGTGCCATCGTTCGTTGATATGTCCAGCTTCCCTGTTCTGCAAATTACCTACCAGACAGCATCTAGGCCCATCTCGAGGCCTTCCCTCTGGCCTCATGGAACTTGCCAGATGAATTCAATCAGTCGAGTTACTCCCAGTGGCATCCTGATCCACCCGGTGCTTCCGACCTGAACCAAAGTCTTCCGGCCACCGTTCTGGCCCCTCAATCCGGATGCACGTGTCGGTGGCACCGTGCATTCTTCCAGGGCCCAAGCCCGGATATTCATCAGGCGGCTCAATGTAATGTCCATGTAAGTGTGGCTCGTCCCGGAGCTCGTCTGGACACGGGCTTTTCTTGGCAATCTCCGTAACACTGGGCAAGCACCAGAATATGAACTAGTCTAATGTCTATTTCTCCATGTTGGCCCCCAAACCTCTCTTCCGATAGACATCGCAAGCACCAGACCTCGTTCGCTCGTTCGCTCCGCCCCTGCATGTGTGCTTCTTGCATACCAAAAATCTGTCGGGCCTACCTCCCCCTTCCTTTCATCCCGGTTCTCGGCGTCGCTTGGCACTCGCCGGGACGAAGAGAAGTCGCAGCCGCACATTCGCTTCCCACCCCCCTTCTTCTGTCCTAAACTGTTTTGAGAGAAAGCGGACTTGTCATTTCTCGGACTGATACGTAAAGGGATAGAGTTCGAGCCCAGGCCAAGACGCCGGAATCCAAACATAGTCACCCTTTGCGAAAACCCGGTTCGAGAGGTGTCCTGGATTGGGATATAAGAACAGCAGGGACGAACGTGCCTTTGCCGAGTTGCAGCTCCGGTCTTATTTTTATCTCTTCCTTCATCAGCCTCTCGCTATCTCAGCCAGTCACCTTCGGTTCCAAACCCGCATCTAGCTGTGATCTTCACCAGCAACCTGCCAAGCTTCGGTGATCGACCAACAGCGGCACACTTCCACACGCTGTTAATCACTGCCTCACATAGTACCCCCAAGATGAAGGTATGTTCTCTTCGGTTGACGTCGATGACTCAGCCTCTTTCGGCCCTCACAAGGGACCAGTGATACCCTCACAAACTGTCACTCAATGACATCAGCTCACAAAGCTTCTCAAGTCCGCCGTAAAAGCATTCACGATTGCCTTGTGCCTCGTACTGGCCGACGTCGCCGCCGCAGCCCCCGTCGTCGCTGATCAAGCGGCCAGCATGCCCCCGGCACCCAACACAGCCATGGCCAACATCGAGTGCGACACGCTAGACATATACGAGATGTGCACGGCGAGCAACATGCAGGCCTCGTGCGACGCGGCGGGCAACTTCCACAACAAGAACATGCCCAGGTGCAGCAGCTGCCGGTGCATCGTGACGTGCCCGCGGTGCTGAGGGACTGCGGGCCACGGGGAGGCCATCTGATGGTTTGTTCGGTCCGCCGAGAGGAAAGCAGGAAGATAAATACCGAGGCCGAAGGTTAGAGTTGCATTTGGGTCTGGGAACTAGGCGATTATGGGTATGTGTATGATTGTTATTTGCGAAGATACATTGGGAGTAAGAGTCTTCCTTTCTCAACTATGAATATCTATGCAGCTCCTGCTGAGCGTTAGTTGAAGCTAGATGGTTCTTTTCCCATAAGGAATTCGATATGAAAGCACCTAACACACTGACATGAACACTCCCTACGGCTTTGTATTGTCCAGTGCGGATGGCGATGTTGCTTCCTTTACGAGACCTAGCGGCAATCATAGTGAGTATAATCCTCAACGGTATGAACGCAAAACCGCGCAATTGGCTGCTGCTCTCTACCTGCATGTTCTTGCCTGGTGTCCCAGCTCGATGCTAAGCGTGGGACTGACCGGCTGTCTGTGCACCAAACCTTGGATATTGAAGCGTTCATTCTAGCAGTGCATAATATCATGACTCATAAATATTTCCCTAAGAACCTTCACTGTCGGTAGCCAGGACATTTCACGCTGATAATTTCGCCTCGCTGCAAATTCGGGAGATCGTTCATAGCAACATGCTTCAAAGACTCCTTTCCTCAGTCCGCCCTGCTACCCGTGTCTTCTCCAGACACCTATGCTCCTCCAGGCACAAGGTCCGCATGCTCATTCTCTCCGACACCCACGCTGGCGATCTAAAAGATGTGCCCTTTCCCAAGGCGGATGTGGTCCTCCACTGCGGCGACCTAACGAATGACTCCCGTTCCGCAGAATTTGAGAAGTCACTAGCGGTGCTGCGTACCATCGATGCACCCCTGAAGTTAGTTATACCTGGCAATCATGACTACAGCCTCGAGCAAGGTTATTGGGAAGGAAAGTCCGCCAAGAGTCTCGCGGATTCACGGCAACAAGAGGGCAACAGCAGGGATCTCCACTCGCGGACAGCCAATGTCGAACCTCTGGAGAACAACGTAGAGAGTGACGAGGATACCAGGACCTCCTGGGACCTCATCCACCGCGCCGCTAGGGATGACAACATCTTCTTACTCCCACAAGGATTGCACGCCCTTGCGATACCAACCCGCTCCGGCCCTGCGCGCCTCCGGCTCTTTGCGAGTCCCATGACACGTCGGTGTGGTACCTGGGCCTTCCAGTACGACCGGTCCATCCCTTATAGATGGGGCATACCCCCAATGACGACCGACGGGGATCCGGTCGTAGACGTGGTGATGACGCATGGCCCGTCGCTGGGCATCCGTGACGGGACGGGCATGCGGCGGACAGGCGACAAGCGTCCGGGCGCCGGATGCGCCGCCCTGCTGTCAGCGGTGGAGCGCGCGCGACCGCGGCTGCACTGCTTTGGGCATATCCACGAGGCATGGGGCGCTGAAACGATCACCTGGCGGCGGGAAGTGTACGCGTCGGGCCAGGACTGGGGATCAGATGCTCCGACGTGTGGCAACCTCGTCGATGCACGGGAGTCCCGGGTACTGGCAAGTCTACTGCCGTTCAACGATAGCTGGACTACCGGTCAGGATACCCTGGAGTCTCCGCCGCCAGCACGGGATCAGGAACCACCTAGGATGGACGGAGGATGCTGTACCCTGGACATCTCGCTTGATGGAGAGCATGCAATCAAGCCTGGTGTGCAGACCCTCTGTGTGAATGCGGCTATTGGACTGCGGCCTGCACCGTGGCGCGGCATGCCGTGGCTAGTTGAGATGGACTTACCATCAGCAGGCGAGGAGGACGCTTCTGCAGCCACGGAGACCAAGTGTCGACAGCTATCATAACATGAAGTATGAGTCACGATTCAAGTGGTAATCTTGTCTAGTATGATTATTCTATCCGTCGCTCTGCTGTAGTTGAAATCAATGTCGCTCCCCGAACCAACCACGGCGCCTTCACGGGGCCGCTAGGAATGTCAAGTTGGTGTTCTTGAACGGTATCAGGGCCAAGATGACCGCCTGCACGTAGTACGCCGTCCGGTCGACGGCGTCGTCCGTCAGGAGGCCCACAGACCCGTTGCGCTGCTTCGAGTTCGTGCGGCCGAAGATGGCGTCGTCCGCGTGGCCTAGCTCCATGCCGCCACGGACAAGCCGCGCGGTCTCCTCGGCGAGGCCGTACGCCGCCGTGCGCGCCTCGCCCGTGCGGCCCTCCTTGTTCGCAACGACGACCCAGGCAAAAGACTGCAGCGCGCCCCCGCGCGCGTCGTCGACGCCGCCCTCGATGCCGACCCAGTAGTCGGCGTCCGGCGCGGCGGCCCGGGCGGCGTCCACGCGGTTCCGGGCCCCGCGCAGCGTCTCTGCGTCCGAGAACGGCTGGTCCGCCACGCCGGAGGGGACGCTGACGCCGCGGGCTGTGGGCGTCGCGCCGGGGAACATGCGCGAGAAGCCCTGCAGGCTGGCGGAGATCTTGACGGGGTTGTGTGACGCGACGACGACGGTCGTTTGTGAAGCAGCGGCGCCGCCCTGGCTGTTTGTCGTCTCGTGCTGCTCCATTTCTGTTGCGGCCGATCTCAAGCTGGGGAGAGTGTGCACCTGTCTGCTGTGGGCGGAATGACTTCTGTTGTTGAGCTATGGACGGGGAAGATGGTATGAGTCGGACGAGATTGGAAGAGCACGTGCGCGTGCGAGGACTTAGTCGACACAGGGCGCGTCACGCGAGCATAAGCTCCTCCACCAAGCTCTTAATTCTGACCGAAGCCTTGTACCATCAATTTACAGACTATTCGAAGCAATTATATCTCTTATCAGAGCAATGTCCTGCGACAGAACGTGTGGTAATGAGGTCATCTCAAGTCGAGACCTCTCTTCCCAGGAGTCGAGTCTCCTCAGATATGCATGCTGCAAGGGCACCGTACCTGACATCGCGTGCTTGTAGACTTCAGACATGATGCGGAATAGCTCAACTGAGTTTCGAGCCAAAGCTAGAGAAGGAGTAGCAATCGCCTCGTCTGGCAGACCCAATGGCTTGTTCCTGGCTACAGCACACTTGCGATCAAGGATGTATGCTGCCCAGAACAATCTGCGTTTCCGATCTGTGTCTACTGCCTTGTGCAGGCCCAAATCAACAGCAATTCGAATCCCAAGGCCGCTGAGAGCCCAAGGATCAGAAAACGTATCCCCCGCAAGGCTGCCGAAATGCCCCAGGAGCATTACAACTTCAAGGTCCAGTAGGATATCATCTAAGCACCCACTGCCCTCTTCCATAGCAGTCTCCAGGCACGATAGACCATAGAAATACAGCGAGGCGGCGTTCTGTATCGAGCCTGGTGATATGACGATGGCCGTGGTAGCGAGGATGGTGGCAGTCACAAAGCAGGAGTATGCACTGTTGGCTTTGTAGGCATTCTGACAGTGGTAGTGGACTTGCTCGGCCGTAAGGCTTGGAAACGCAGGTAGAATGTCGTCACAATACCGTGCACATACCCGCTCGGCGATCTGCTGTCTCGGTAATTCCAGGTAGGAGAGTTGGTTGATATGGCTATGGGCTGGTGGCAGCGAGGCGCTTAGGATGAGAGATCGCAGAACAGTGTCCTGCGTTCTGGCCACCATTCCGTGGGGTGTCATGGCTGCGAGGGAGACCTGGGCCAGCCCGTCCACTAGGGTCTTAACTTTGGAGCTCTGTGCACCTGTCGAAGTTGGTTGGGCAAATAGATCGTCGATGAGATGATCAGCCGACGACGCCCGGGCCAGTCGACCTTCGTTCCCTGTTACCGCTACGCCACGTCTGTTGTCCAAGTCGGTCACTGAGCTCATGCTATCAGTCTCTAACAACTGTTGCTCAAGTGCTGCAACCCTTGACTCGAGCTCTCGCACATATTTGACGTATGCAGTGGCTGGACTCCGGTCTGGGTAAATGCAGGAATGACCGAGTCTGGAGCATCGACTGCACACAGGCCGGAGCCGATCGCATTTCACGCGATGATTCCTGCACTTCATGCACGCCAGCGACTGGCCTCCTTCGTCATGCGACATTGGGACGAAATCCCAGAGATGGAGTTATTATCGAAAGGCACAAAACAGCAAAGATCCAAGGCGTGCACCGGGTAATGATTCCGTCGATCTAACTAGGTGGAAAGATAAGGTTCCATCATTGCATGTAGTGTCATTTCTCTTATCTCGCGGAACTTGACTAATTGAGAACTTGGGACACTAATTTGATTGACTAACCCTATTATCATAAGTTCCTTTGGTGAGAACTATCATGCCTCTCAATGTCATGTCCACAGCTCTGTTTCAAGCATCATCGCGATAACGCCGGCCATGCGTCCTCATATTGTACCAGTCTGCGATAGATGCCGCCGGAGGAAGCAGAAATGTGACACGGAATTGAAGCCATGCTCTGGCTGTATCAGCGCTGGTGTCGAATGTGTCATGACGGATCCTGAAACAGAAGAAGTCGTCCCACGAACATATGTCCTCCAGCTAGAAAGTCACGTCGCGACACTGGAGAAGCAACTTGCTGAGAAGCGCATTCATGTCCAGCATAGCCCATGTTTGCCAGTCCACAATCTCTCCGCAACGAATATCCCCGAGTCCGTCTCAGTCCTTCCAGGAAGCCGATACTTGGGTGCTTCCAGTGGGTTCGCCTTCGTGGAATCCGCTCTCCGGCTGGCATATAAGCGCGGCATACTCGAATCGATTCCAGGCGAGGAAGAGGGAGACGACGTCAGCACCAATATGTCCAAGCGGCATGGATTTGACGACCTCCTCCCCGTTTTACAAAGCCCTTCTATCCCGGAGCGGCCTCGGATGATAGAGCTGTTCGACCTCTATGACGAAGCTCAGTGGCAATATCTTATCCTGACAGAGAGCGAATTCGATGCCCATCTGGATGCTTTCTACAGGATGGACCCTATGGACTGCCCGATCTCAGCTGTAGTTGTCTATATGGTTTTCGCCATTGCTGTCCAACACGTTGAAAGGACAGACTGGAATGTTGCAGCTTCCAATGTCGCGAGCTCCTATCACCAACAGGCGCTTGGTATGGTCGGCTTGCTTTTGCGCCATCGCTCCATTGAGAGCCTCCAAGCGATCCTCCTTGTCTTGGTATTCTCGATCAACAACCCTCAGAAGCCAATCGTCTGGCATCTACTGGGCAGTGCCATGCGCTTAGCTTCGAACCTGAATCTTCATATTGAGCCTGAAGATGTGTCCACCCGAGACATATCACACCGCCTATTTTGGTCACTGTACAGCATGGATCGAGCCATTGGCAACACATTAGGGCGCCCCACGATTCTGGAAGATGGCTTTATCACATCTACATTGCCGATGAGGACTCCATTTGGGTTGGGGATAAGCCTCAAGGAGACACGGCAACGAGAAATTGCTGCGCACTGTTTCCGGATACGGCAGATTCAGAGCGAAGTTGCTGACACTCTGTACCAAAAGCTTCGTCAGCCGAGTGCTACGTTCTTTGCCGACATGCAGACCAGACTTCAAGAATGGCATGAAACTATCCCACCTCACGCAGCGAGCGCACCGCATATCCTCGACTGGTTCCATCACTCTTACTTCAATGTCACCATGTTCATCCACCGGCCCTCGCCAGTGAATCCCCAACCCTCAACGGAGCATCTGAACAAGTGCTTTGAAGCCGCTGGCGAGGTTCTCCAGTTCTACTCCAAGATCCACTCACGCGGCGGCTTCGACGCGACGTGGATGGCAGTGCACTGGCTCTTTCTTGCTGCTATTACGCATCTCTTTTGCTTGTGGACAGACGAAGACATACGACGAGCAGCCGACTGGGCGAAAGTCAATGATGCGATCCAATCTACTGGTATGGTCCTATCAGCTATGACCGAGAGGTGGAGTTCCGGCCGGAAGATGCCCGAAATTTACCGAAAACTGTCGTCAGGGACGTTGGCCAAGTACACCACGATCGGACGGCTCGAGGACAAGCCGACTACACCGTCTCAGAATCTTGTTTGGGAGGAGTTCCAGCAGCAGAATGCCCAACTCTTCAGCTTGGATGACATGGCGATGGATTTTGATATGCAATTCTGGATAGATATGCAGGGCTCGTCTACAGGAACTACCTTTTAGAAGATAGAGTACGCTACGCCTCCTGAGTTTCCACTTTGAGCGCCTTCTTTGCTCCAATACGGTGATCTGACCTCACTTTGTCACCTAGCTGATGTCTCCTGATAAGGAAACTGAGCAGCATGCCCACTCCCATGACGACAGTCACCTCGATGAACATGTCTTTCATTGCGTCTGTAAATCCGAGCACGGCTTGTTGCTTGGAAGACTCTGACATGGTGTGCAACGACTCAATAGCTCGAGTTAGGCTGATGTTGTCTTGTCCACCTATTCCGAGCCGTCGCAACTTCTCAAAACAGATCAACCCGCTGATGCTGATACCTAGGCTCGAGCCAATAGCCCTAATGAAGGCATAGGCGCCGGCTGATAGAGCTATGTCTGAGTTCTTTGAGGTACTGTCAAACGAGGCGTGGATAGGGATCAGGAGCGAGTTGAAGTTGGGGCCTATACCGATACCTGTGACTATGAGAATGACTGAAGTGACTGCGGTGCTTGTATTCTGTGCAACAGTTTAGTAACCCTCTGGGAGGTTGAACAAGTTTGTGTAGTTTGCAATCGTACCGCGTCTAACATAACCATAAGTCCACAGCCAATTGTTGCCACAATGAACCCGGCCCATATCAGTTCTTGGTATCTGTTGCCTGTATTAGCGACTGCCTTTCCGCGCATCAGGCATCGTGAACGAACCTTTTTGTGGCTGTTATGAAGTAGCCACTCCCGGTGCTCACTATTGCGAACGCCAGGACAAGAGGGAGCAGGCTTACGCCACTCTCCGAAGCAGACTGCATTCGAACGCCCTGAAAATAGAGCGGTGTGTAATAGTTGAGGCCGGAATAGGCCATTGCGTGCATAAATGTGCTGCCATACGACCCGATTCGCGTCGGATGTGTGAAGAAGCGAAGAGGGATCACTGGCTTCGTGGATTTGGTCTCCACAAATGAGAATACTCCCATTGCCACGATACCCAGAATCAGACACGTCAGAACTTGGGCAGATGACCAGGAGACTCCTTGGGACGCCCACTCAAAGGCGAGGAGGAAGAGCACGGTTGAGACGCCGATGCTCAGGATGCCAAAAATGTCGAGTTGCTTGGCCGCGGAACGCAGTGTTATGGAAGGCCGAGAGATCTGGAGGAAGATGATGATGACGGCCATGCACAAGGCGCAGATTGGGAGGTTAACAAAGAAACACTAGATAGAAGAGGTGAGCAATTTAGATTCTTATGGGGACTAGATTGTTTCTCACCCATCTCCAGTTTGCCTTCTCGGCGAAAGCACCCCCAAGGACTGGACCCAAGGCGGAGGCCACCGCCCAGGTAGCCCCTATGAACCCTTGATACTTGCCTCTTTTCCTGTGATTTCGATGCATTGTTAGCTCTTGCCATCTACCTAGCGAGTAGCAGACATGCTATTAACCTTGTTCCGACCAAGTCGCCGATCAGAATGAAAACCAAGCTTGTCACGCCTCCAGCACCCACTCCTTGTACCGTTCGCGAGGCAATGAGCATTGATACATTCTGTGAAGCGCCACAAAGCGCACTGCCTATCGTGAAGATCGCAATGGCCGTCAAGAACGTCCACTTGCGTCCGACAACCTCCGAGACCTGGCCAAACACCGGGAGCACAACGGCTTGCGCAAGAGCGTATGCCGAGCCGATCCAAGTGTAGCCCGCGTCAGAGTCATTGCCTCCAGCCGCCGAGAGGCTCGACAGTATCCGCGGGAGGGCAGTCGAGACGATTGTCTGGTCCAACGCGGGGAGAAAGAGAGTGAGGAACATGCTCGCTACGAGGATCATGTGTCGAGCTTTTGAAAGACCCTCCCTCGTGTCTGACGGAGTGGCTTCTGAATGCGGTGGTGCTGAAGCTTGCTCGGCGCTCTCGCAGGTCACATCGGTGGTGCTCATATCGGAGGAGGTGGTGGAGAAAATCGGCTCCTCCACCACTCCCTGTGCGGCGACTTGCTTTTCGCAAGGTGTGGCCATCGTATCATTGGGTTGTCAGGGTTCCAGCTTCGTGACAAGGAGAGAAGAATGAATATTCAACAATTAGAATCAAATAACAGAAGTCGCCCAGTTGCAAAATACTATTAAAAAAAAGATGACCTCGGAACGTTCCCTGGTCGGATGAAACTGTCGTGCATTTTCCGTGTTAGTCTGGTCCCCACGTTGGAACGGCGTCCGTGCGACTGCCAGGGAGTAAGATAAGAATCGGGGTTTCGCCGATGAAGCGGTTGGGGTTGGCAGTGCGGTGGCGCCAAGCCTGTTCTTGGCATGCTTGTCTTGCTTATCTGTGACATGGTGCTACTTCGCACCTTTGGAGGGCAAGTCTGCTTATCTGGCTGCTATGACCGTACTATGACCTTCGAGTACTCGAACCCAGATCGGGATGTGAAAAGTATGGGCACTAGTCGGCTTGCAAGGAGCTCCTAGCCTTGGTATGAGTTTGAAAGCCTCTCCCTGACAAGGTCACTGCGTAGATTTGGTGATAGTAATAAGTCAGCAGGACCTCGTGAGTTATGCATCAAGAGTTTGGTGCGAACGTGTTTCATTATTATCTCAGGAAGGACAGGACTCTCATGCTCTCCAATCGAATGCATCCTCCCATGCAGCTCCCACACGGTAAATCATTTCCTCTTGGAACAACTCACCCACAATTTGCATGCCTACGGGCAACAGGATGGTATCGTCGTCTTCGGCCGACAACATCCCGCATGGCAGACTCATAGCAGGATGACCGCTCGCGTTGAAGCATACTGTATTTACAGCAACGCCCTTACTCTTGTTCATCTGCTCCAAGGGGCCGGCATCGGGAGCAGCATGGCGGTTCGCCACATAAGGGGTGGTCGGGGTGATGAGCACATCAACTTCTCTGAGGACGGCATCGTACTCATCTCTTAGACGCCTGTACAGATTCATGGCCTTGCCGTACAGAGTAGGGTGGTTGCGCCACACATAGAGGCCGGACATCATGGAGAACTTGGACGTCGCAAACATCTTGTCGAACTTGGCCTGGTCAAGCGGAGTCATCTTCTCGGCCAGGTCGGTCATGTACAGCGCTCGTCTCCCACACGCTTTTCCGAGATACCCCTGCAGCGCCGCAGCTGGCCGCAGGGCGCAGTTGACAATGTGCCCTGCGTGCGTGTGTAGAGGCACGCTTACCTCAATCACCTCGGCACCGAGCTCGCGAAACCGCTCTGCAGCCTCCGTGACCTTGGCCTTGACACGCGGGTCAATGACACCAAACTGGAAAGCTTCTTTGAGTATGCCGATCTTCAGCCCCTTGACCCCCTTACCCAATGACGCGGAGTAGTCAGGAAGTTGTGACGGAAAAGGAGAGGCGTATTGCCTGTCGTCGATGTCGTCCCTACCAGCAATCGCCTGTAACACTTTGGCATTGAGCGCCACCGTCTGGGTCATGGGGCCGGCCGTGTCGTGCACAGGGTCGTGTGTCACTACGCCCGTCCACGGCACCAGCCCCCAGGTCGGCTTCATTCCCACAATACCGCAGTAGCTGGCTGGGAATCGTATGGAGCCGCCCTGGTCACCTCCAATGCCAGCGTCGACCTTCTTGGCGCCAACGAGATGCCCGCAGCCGCTCGAAGAACCGCCAGTAGTGTATCCTTCGGCATAGGGATTCTCGACAGGTCCAGTCGCCGCTGAGAATGACGATGCGCAGAGGGAGAGATTTTCGCAGACTGCTTTACCGAGAATTGTGCCTCCTGCCTCCAGGATTCGAGTTACTATGGCTAGAGAACCTGTCAGTGCCGTGATTTGCCAACTTTCTGGCCAGCAGAAACATACTTGCGTCCATTTCGGGAGTATAGTCAGTGAACATATCTGTTCCTAGCAGCATGGGAACATCCTTGACTGCAATGTTGTCCTTGAGACAGAAGGTAATCCCTGCCAGTGGCCCATCAGTCTGGCCCTCAATTCTGGCTTTCCACGCCCAGGCGTTTCCCTTGTTATCCTTATTCGCCGGCCGGTGGACATCTTTTCGTGGATACTTTTCCAAGTCCACCTTAGGATAGTAGTTGGGCAGACTTTCGACAAGGTCGATGGACTCCTGCACTGAAGCAATGATCTCGTGCCATTGCTGCATATGCTGTGGTGGAAGTGAGAGGCCGACGTCAGCAACACACTGGGCGACTTTCTCTGCAGTGACCTTGGCCTTGTTGGCCTCGGATGCTGCCGTCAAAGTGGCCATTTTGGTTGACTAAGGGCTGTGTTTAGGAACTCGAAATGGTGTGCCACCCTTGATAAGCCAGATCTCGACGATCGCATCAAGGAATTTTACGCCGTACGATTACGATTAGCCTTGGTTTTTATTGTCTCTGTCATCTTTTGGGATCCTTTCAACTTTAAGCACGGGATGGGTGCGGCGCGGTGTCGGAGACATTACGAGTTGCATCAAACCCGACGTGTGTTCCTGTCCTGCACTAATGGACTGGCGGCGATCGGGCGATGGGCGAAGCCTCAATCGCGCTTTCGCCGATGGAAGAGTTGACGGTCCCCACCAATCACACGATTCCATTGGCTTTAGTCGTCACATCTCATGGTTCTTATCTTTCGTCTTTGGCTTATCATCCCATCTAGAATGAGCAGGGCACAAGCCATTTTGATATCAAGATTCTTTCGAATATAGCTAGGGAAGCAAAGGCTCTACCAACTCTCAAGACTTGTCGAAGGATATAATGACCATGATCCGTCTTAACGGGCCGCAACGTGGATCAGAAGGAGCGTGGTCTTCATCTAGCTACAGTTCTGACCCCTTTGATTGACAGCACCAAAACGATGGCAAAGTCTTTTCGTTACTACCTCCAGAGACTAGAGGTCAATCAGACCAATGAAGAGGGCGAGAAGGGAGACATTTATCTGAGCAATCATGATCTTCTGCCTATTCCCAAGGAGAATCGAATCTGGGGTCTGTGGACCTATGGCCTGTTTTGGTTCGGCGAATGCGCCAGTGTCACCAGCTGGACTGTTGCCTCAACCGGAGTGAAAGCCGGGCTGGCATGGTGGGAATCATGGTAAGTATCGGGACTTGATACTCCCTCTTCTCACATAGGCTGGGCTAACATTCGTTCAGGATCTGCGTCATTGTTGGCCATCTTATAGTAGCAACCTTCATGACGGCCGTCGGCCGGGCCGGAGCGGTCTACCATCTCGGCTTCCCCACAATTGCTCGGTCCAGCTTTGGCATCTTCGGTAGTCTTTGGCCAATCTTCAATCGCGATGCCATGACAATCATCTGGACTGGCGTTCAAGGCGTCACTGCTGGCAATTCGGTTTACGTTATGCTCCACGCCATCTTCCCGACGATAGCCAAGGTGCCCAACCCGTTTCCGGCCGACGTGACTATGACAGGTGGCCGGATGATTGGCTTCGTCATTGCGTGGATCTTGACACTGTTCTGCGCAATGTTCAAAGTTCACAAGTTCCGCAAGTTGATCTTGGTCAAGTCTGTCATCATGATCAGCTGTCTCATCGCTTTCTTTATCTGGTAAGCTCACTTTCAGAGAGAACATCTACCTGCTCGTGCACTGACTCGCCTTAAAGGGCCATCGTCGAGGCTAAGGGTATTGGTCCTGTGGTCAAGCAGGGGGCTAAGATTCCCGCGGGGCAGTCTCATGCCTGGGTTTTCCTTACGCAACTATTTATACAAGCGGCCAACTTTGCCACTTTTGCGACTAATAACGCTGACATCACGCGTTATGCCCGACGGCCGAAAGACGCTCTATGGACGCAGATCATCGGGATGCCAGTGGCGTTTGGCGTGGTTGGGTTCTTTGGCATCTTTGTCACCTCGAGCAGCGGAGTCATTTTTGGCAATGTCCAATGGGATCCCAACGCTCTGCTGGACATGTTCCTGACCACAGACTACTCTCCTCGCCGTCGCGCTGCCGTTTTCTTCATCGCAGCCGGCTTCTCCTTTGCCCAAGTCACCACCCAGATTTTTGCCAACCTGATCGCCGCCGGCAACGACACTGCCGCCCTATTTCCTCGCTATGTCAACATCCGCCGCGGCGCCATAATCTGCCTTGTGCTCTCATTTGCAATTACCCCGTGGAATTTGCTCAAGACATCCTTCACGTTCACCAGCTACCTCGGCTCCTACCAGATCTTCCTCTCGAGCATCATTGGTGTTGTCATAGCAGACTACTTTTATGTACGCCGTGGCTATTTGGTCGTGCCTCACCTGTTTACCAGAGACCACGATGGTCTTTATTGGTACAAGGGAGGGGTCAACTGGAGAGCGTATGCAGCATACATTACCGGCATCATTCCTTGTCTGCCTGGTTTCTTGGCTCAGGTGGGCGTGAAGAGCATTCCCATCGGTGCTCAGAGGCTGTACATATTTGCGTTGCCTATCGGCATTATAGTTTCCGCTCTCGCTTATATCTGTTTCTGTCATCTGAGCCCGCCCGCTGGAGGTCTCAAGGATGGCTGGCAGGAACACGTGGACTCGGACGCCGTCCTGGAAGGCTCTGGATCCGACGCCAACAGCAGGGTGACGGATATGGAGACGGGAGAGAAGAATCTGAACAGCTATGCTGTCTCGCCTACATCAGCCTAGTTGCATCCTGGCATACATCCTATGGCTGACATGACCCGTTGTCTCATTCTCATCTAGAACTTTGCAGTGATAGACTTTCTACTATTCAAAGCAACCAATCGCATTTTCACATAAGCGAGGGCCAGGCCATTTGAGGGCCAGTCCCTGAGGTCCAGACCATCGTGACTCTATTGAACGATCCTGACACAGGTCTTGCACCCTGGGCATCTCTCCAAGACCTTTTGTCGCTCCACTGCCATTTGCCGCATGAACTGACACAGGTATGTGGACACTTGCTCTTTTCTTTTGAAGGATGGCAGTTAGTATGTCTTATCTAGCTGTAGAGGTAACTGTTAAGAAACAAGTGGCTTGAATGGCTTCACTATGGCGTGTCGAAGCCCCCCTCCCTGTGTTCACATGGAGCTGAACAGCCGCGCTGTGTACCATCTTAACATCCACGACATTCCCAACCCTGACCGTTAGAACTCCAACCAATAAGATTCTCAGGGTACCCTTACATATCATCTACGCAAACGGTCTGACACTAGGTGAACAGTCACATCTGATTGCAAGTGACTTTCCATTTTCGCTCCTCAGCCCCTAATGCAACTCGAAGCAATTTGCGGACCCAGAGTGGGTAACAGTCCTTTCAGCCCAGGCAGGCGACTTTGCCTTGCCACTAGCAGAGGCACTTGTGTAGGAATGTCCGGTAGAAAGGAGTTATGAAGGACAGAACCAAGAATATCGAAATCCCGCGGAGACAGGGAGAGAAAGGCATACATGAACCAGTATGCTGTCTCACCCTACACCATCGTACACTAATGCATGGCGCAGGTCCCACTCCTCAAGCCGTCAAGCCACAAAAGCAACGCCGGCCCATAACTTTTCTTGACATTCTTGGGCCATACTGTCGTATACTGGGTGCTACTGCCGTGGATGCCGAGGGAGGGCATCGTCGAAATGCCAGGCGTCGTTCGCGTATGAGTGGGTCAACGCGCGGGGGGGGAACACTGACACATCAGCCTACGTAGGCGCGGCGTGGCGCTCGCTTGGTCGGTGACCCACAGAGGTGATCGGCGACAATAATGGGTAAAATACCTGGGTGTTCAGGGTTCTCCCGACCCCAGCTAAGAAGCCCCGGCATGCCTTGGCCTTCGGAATCTAGCACTGTAGTGGGATGGCCCATTCTTTAGAACTATAGCCGGCAAGGCAATCAAGGCTCCAGTTGGCGGCGCTGGTTTTCATACGAGTCCATTCTTTGGCAGACTGGCCTTCAGCTCAGCTAGCAACATTGAATAGCTTGGTTAGTTCTTGTCTTTTTCCGGCTATTCTTTTAACCACTACTACTTGTAGACTGACAACCTTATTTCATGGCTGTGAGGGCGTGGTTATTTCTCTTCAACCCAGCTCAGTGATTATTAGATCTTACCGCCTCTGGTCATAATGACAGCTGTGGGAGCTAGTTCCGAACATTTTCGCCACCACGAAGCCATAGTCCAGCGATCTCAGCCTAGCCTACAGAACACACTCAAAGATGCAAACCGACTTGGGCGGCGTCCAACTTGTGCTGACCCGTGCTTCTCTTCATAGGATTGCTGAGATATTAAAACTGTCCCCAATATCAATATGTACATTGAATGATATGATCACAAGCCCACACACAATTCATCCTGATCCTTCCTCATGAGTCGCAATGACTTGTTTTGGCTAAGCCCCCAAGACCATCCAACAAGCTACCAGCGAGGCAGCACCGATATATTGAATAGCTGATACCTTGGTGGCCGAGTTGACGGTAACGAATGTGGCTGAAGTTTCGGGAGTGGAAGTGCTGCGAGTCGTGGATGCCGATGAAACAAGGGTGGTTGGTGTGTCAACACCAGAATGGCCAGGGGCATATCCTGGTGCCACTTTGCCTGTGCACTCAGGAGCGGTGCAGATCTTGGTACCGGTGTAGGTTCCCACAACAGGGGTCTCGACTGCCCCAATGTTTGTAGGGTTTGGCTCGCGGCGGGTCACTGTAATGGGAGGCATGACCAAGGTTGGCTCACATGACGTTGTGTCTGCGGCTGCCAGGACACTGGCCAGGGAGCTGACCAGGAAAAGAATCGCCTTCATAGTGTGGGGCGTAGTGAAAAAGAAAGGTGTGGTCAAATTTTCGGGCTGTGGAGGACTGGAGAAGCCAGAGACCTCTCTTCACGATACGGAGAACACCCCATGAGATGTTTATATACAAGCAAGTCCGAATGCAGATGATCTGGACGACCTCGTTATCCCAAAACAATCCAAGTTTCTCAGAGTTTCGTGATTTTGACTTTCTTCAGTGAGACACCAGAGGTCGTGCCACGAAATATCGACGTTGAAGGGATGAGCATTGCGTGCGTCCAATCGGATCTTAGCGCAGCCTGGAATGTGGCCAAGAGGCTCTGCTGAGTTGCGACAAGTTCAGCTCGAGCGGGAAGCAGCTAGTGATCTCGACGAATCACGTCTCTCTGCTCTTCCCTTCCCTACCCGCCGACCCGCCGCCCTGGAAAAGTGGCACTTCTCCGAGCTCGCCGAGTAAACGGGTGTGGAGACTAGTGGCATGAACATGTGTTCCCTGTGGAAGAGGAAGCTAATTATCCCAGTTCACGATATCACTGGTCGGTTGGGAGCGACACTGTGCAATGTGGACCTTGGATGTCTGGTGGTGTGTGCGTGCTGGAGCCTCCAGGAATCCAGCAACCATATGGCCGAACGCATGGAGGCAGGGCGTGGTTGCAAGTGTAGACAAGTATGGCAATGACGTAGGGCAGACAAGCCAAGATAAGACTGGACAACATGACCTCCACGGCTAGGCGTGACTGATGCAGCTGAATCCAGCCGCCCTGCCACCGAGACGTGGACGCAATGACCCCCAGCCGCGACCTGGGACCGACCGCTTCGAAGTGTCTCGCGACCACTATCGAGTGGCTTCATTCAAGCTTCAAATACAAACCGGCATACATACGTCCTGCCAAGGGCTTTCACTTCACCCTCATGTACCAGTATTATGCCTCTCTTACGAGAATGGTACCTGGCGGGGAGGTCGAGTTGCAGACTCGCAGCCTTTGTACATATGTAACTATGCAGCAAAGATCGTGAGACACGAAGACTGATCCGCGTACAAACCCTCAGGCTATGAACATTCCGGTTCGAAATTTGAGAGACAATGATCCATAAGGATGGTCTAGACAAGTTGAATGATTCAAGTTCATCCAAGTTGAAGCCGATTGGCGATGCTTGAGTCCTTGGGCTGATTGTGAAGACGATACAACGAAAGAAGATGTATATAAGGATACCAATTTGGGGTGAATATCGGCCACTGAAACTCATATCCTCAGTCACCCGTTACTGTATATGCTCAAACTCGTGCAACAAGACGTTATCTTGTCTAAAATGCATAACGCTCGTTTTCTTATTCCTGTTCTCGGCTCCGCCTTGGCTGTGTCTGCCCTGGAGCTGTGTCCAACCCCGGTGATCGTCCAGCCTGTCGTTGTGGTCGATCACTCTCCGGTTTGGGTCAACAGCTTCTTCCCACAAGACACTTCACTTCTTGTCAGTGGTGTTACTGTCGCCATTACCAATTGTCCTACCTCGATCTCGGGTGTCATCACCGGGACAAGCATCAACTCGGCCACTTTGACCAAGTGAGAAGTTTTGCTTTTTTTCTCTCTGTATCCTTTGCGGCCACCGATTTCTCTTTCACTTGTTCACTATTTCCTCTTTGATCATACATTCTATTTCTTTTCTTTTCTTTTTTTGTCGTCTCACTTATTTTCTTACCCCTTTTCTGGCCACTAGATCTCTAACAGTCGGCGCTAACCGTATTTCTTCCATTAGTGGCGGGCCACCGGCTGCAAGCTACATCACTCTTACTGGATACTGTACTGGCTCGCCCAGCGCTGGCTCTAATCCTCTCACGATCACATTCCCTCCCAGCCGACCAGGTGGCGTGGGCACTGTCATCATCGAATACCCTAAACCTGCCTTCACTGGTCCGTACACCACTTTGACTGGCGGGTACGATGGGACAAGAGCTCAGACTTTGACCCTCGCACCCGCTGGGACCGACACGGTTGGCACAATCATCGTCGAAACCCCCATCACTCGAAGCTCGGGCACCGATGGTCCCAGACCAGCCTTTACCGGACCGTATACCACGATAAGCGGAGGATACGGTGGAAAGAACCCTATCACCTTGACGCTTCCCCCATCGGGATCTGATACTATCGGCACGGTCATTGTGCAGACACCGGTCACTTCGCCTCCTCCTGCGTTCACAGGGCCCTATACCACGATCAGCGGTGGCTACAATGGACACACCCCTATCACTATAACGCTTCCTCCATCCGGGTCTGGTACTCTTGGGACCGTTGTCGTGCAGACACCGATCACTACACCTCCCACTTTCACGGGGCCCTATACTACGATCAGCGGTGGCTACAATGGACAAACTCCTATCACTTTGACGCTTCCCCCATCCGGGTCCGGTACGCTCGGGACGGTTGTCGTGCAGACACCGATCACCACGCCCCCTGCTTTCACAGGGCCTTATATCACGATCACGGGCGGTGGATACTCGGGCTCAGTACCAATCAGTCTGACTTTGCCTCCATCAGGCACTGGTACAGTCGGAACGGTGATCATCGAGACCCCTTTCACGACAGCTCCCTCATTCACCGGTCCGTACACCACGATCACTGGAGGATATAGCGGGTCGATCCCGATCACTATGACATTGCCCCCGTCGGGCAGCGGGTCGATTGGAACTGTCGTCGTTCAGACGCCAGTTACTACGCCCCCGTCATTTACGGGTCCGTACACGACGATCAGCGGGGGTTACAGCGGGTCGATTCCGATCACTCTGACGTTGCCCCCGTCAGGCAGCGGCTCAGTTGGAACTGTCGTCGTTCAAACCCCTTTTACGGCAGCTCCATCATTTACGGGCCCGTACACAACGATTAGTGGGGGGTACAGCGGGTCAACCGCAATTACTCTGACATTGCCCCCGTCGGGCACCGGCTCAGTTGGAACTGTCGTCGTTCAGACGCCCGCCACTTCGCCTCCATCGTTCACAGGGCCCTACACGACAATTAGCGGGGGGTACGGCGGGACTACGGCCATCACGCTCACTATTCCGCCGACTGGTACGGGTACGGTTGGTACCGTCGTCGTTCAGACCCCGACGTCGGCTGTGGGCACACAGAGTCCCAGCAATGGCGGCGTGTCATCCGCTGGCTCAACCACATCTCCCGCCTCTTCGGCACCCAGCACGGGCAGCTCTTCTTCAGACATCAACTCGAGCACAGCCCAGTCTACTACAGCTCCGTCGAGTGCAGGGAGTCAGACATCCACTGGCTCAACCATACCTTCGGCCTCTTCAGAACCCAGCACGGGCAGCTCTTCTTCAGACATTAACTCGAGCACAGCCCAGTCAACGACGGCTGCGTCAAGCTCCGGGAGTCAGACATCCGCTTCTCAGAGCACAGCCACAACAACGGGTGGTTCAATCAACACCGACACAACAACGGGTGGTTTGACCAACACCGCCGGCGCCCAGACCACAACAAGCGAATCTGTCTCGGGGACGACGACTTCCACTGCCACGGCCAGTGGCTCCAACACGGATACCACTCCTGCTACATCCCCTAGTGATTCTAATACCGGGTCTAATCCAGAAACTAGCACTGGCAATACTGAGTCAACGGCCCAAGCAACTACTACCGAGGCGACTAGCAGTCAGGCAACTGGGAGTGCGGGCAGTCAAACGGCTTCTAGTGTTTCCAACACTCAGGCAACTGCTACTACGAATGAATCTAGTCCCAGTGTCGGGCCCAGCAGTTCTTCGACTTCCAGCACAGGCAGCTCTTCTTCAGACATAAACTCGAACACGGCCCAGTCTACTACAGCTTCATCGAGTGAGGGGAGTCAGACATCCACTGGCTCAACCACACCTTCAGCCTCTTCAGCACTTAGCACGGGCGAAAATACGTCGGGAAGCACGACATCAGTCGCTCCCTCGCTTTCATCAACATCGGATACAAGTGTCGTCGGGTCTAGCAGTGCTTCGACTTCCAGCACGGGCAGCTCTTCTTCAGACATCAACTCGAACACAGTCCAGTCGCCGACGACTGCGTCGAGCTCGGGGAGCCAGACATCCGGTCAGCCCAATAGTCAGTCAACCGCTGCTCAGAGCACAGACACCACAAGCGAATCAGCCTCGGGGACGACGACTTCCACTGCCGAGCTCACGACCAGTAGCTCGGATACCGCTGCGAGTGCTACGAGTACCGGCTCTAATTCAGAAAGTAGCACCGGGTCCAATACTGCGACCGAGGGGTCGAGCAGCCAGACAAGTGCTGGGACCACTACCGCAGAGTCGAGCACTCAGGCTAGTACTGGGACGACTGCCACGGAGTCCAGCATTCAGACAAGTGCCGGAACCACTACCGCTGAGTCGAGCACTCAGGCAAGTACTGGGACCACTACCGAGGGGGGCAGCCAGACAAACACTGGTGCCAGCAGTTCCCCGGTTAGCACCACGGAGGATAATACAAACACGCAAAGTACTGCTAGCAACCCACCGGCCACAAGCAGCACAGAGAGTACCAACGAGTCTTCAACTCAGACACCCGGTGGATCCAACACTGCCACGGCTCCAACAACTGCGACCGAGGAGACTAGTAGTCAGACAACTCCGAGCAGCTCTGCAGCCAGTAGCACCGAGAGCACAACCAATGATAGTGTTTCCAACACTCAGGCAACGGCAACTACGAATGAATCTAATTCAAGTATTCAGACAACTTCGTCTGGATCCGATACCGTTTCAACCGCCCAAACAACATCTACGGAGAGCAGCCAGACTACTGCCACGAGTACCCCGGCTAGCACCGCGGAGAGTACTTCCGGCGAGTCTTCAACAACTCAGACAGATACCAACGAGTCTTCAACTCAGACAACTACCAGCAGTTCGTCGGCTGGCAACACCGATAGTGCCACCAGCGGTCCTATTACCAGCACGCAGGGTACTAGTGCTAGCCAAACATCTACGAGCGAATCCTCCACACCGACACAGACAACTCCCAGCCCACAGACTACGACAAGCACGGAGGGCCCGACGACCTGCTTCGTGACACAGGTGACAACCCCAACAGCACAAGCCTGTGCCGCCACCCTGCCCCAAGCCTGCTCGTCCCTCTCTTCCGCCTCGGGTTTCGCTCTAATTCCCCTCGTGCCACTGTGCACGGTCGCACTGGGCCCTTTCGCCATCGGCAACGTCGCCACCTGCCTGTCCGTGAGCAACATTGGTTTTACCACCGCCGGTACGACCATCGTGAACTGCCTCCGCAATGCGCTCCAGGCCACCTGCATCTCGTCGCTGCCTGAGGCCTGCTCGAACCTCCAGAATGAGAACGGCCTCGCCCTGATTGCTGACGTGCCCCAATGCGTGGTCGCGCTGGGCCCCTTTGCTGTCGGCAGCGCGCTCGTCTGTCTGTCCACGACGAGCATCGTCTCCAGCACGACCGGCCTCAGCATCGTCACCTGCCTGAACCAGGCGCTAGCACTGACCGGGACGCCGACCACTACCGTCATCCCGACAGCCTGCGCCCCGTCCCCTACAGCTTCTGCAGGCTGCACCGTGACCCTGCCGCCCAACTGCGCCAGCCTCGCGTCGATAAACGGCCTCGGCCTCCTCATCGACGCGCCGCTCTGCCTCGCGGCGCTCGGCGTCTACGGCGTCGGCAACGCGGCGACGTGCCTGGCGAGTAACCTCATCTCGTTTTCCACGACAGGCACGTCCATTGTCGACTGCCTCTTCACCGCGCTCGAGGCGTCGTGCCCGAAGGCCCTGCCCTCGGCGTGCGCGGCCATGCAGGACAGCAATGGCTCCGCGGCGCTGCTAATCCAGATTCCGCTCTGCGTCGTGGCGCTGGGCCCGTTCGCGGCCGGCAACGCGCTCACTTGCCTGGCGACGAACACGCTGACGCAGGATACTACTGGCTCCTCGATTGTGAACTGCCTTGAAAGCGCATTGGGAATTGTCGGGACAGTCCTCCCGGCCTAGTGTTAGCTGTGGACATCAGAAGGAGGATAGGATACTCTTGGCTCGGGGAGGAAGCTAGGTCCCTACATCCTCTTTAGTGGGAGTAGACGAGTGTCATTCGTGTTTCTTGGTTTCCCAGTTTGACCATGTTCTTTGGACCTGCTGTGAGGGGTTGCTCCCGTGCTTTCATTCAGCATAAACATGACAATCTCGGTCATCTGTGGTAATACCACTCTTTCAAAACCATGCTATACAGATGAGAAAGACCTGAAAATTGAAATACATCTACTGGTACCAAAACAACCAAAGGTGGTTTATCCATACAGGCAGTCCGAATTAATCGGATCTAAAACAATAGGCTCTGTGAGAACAAAATTGCGACAATCCTGATCCGCTGTCAATGCGTAGTCTTCTCGGGTTCGAGGATGTCCTCCAGTCTTTGAATTATATCCCCTACAAATAAGCGGAGATCAAGAATGAACTCCAAGGAGTGTTCAACCCGATGCATTGCGGTCCTTTTGTAGAATTGCTGCTCTATCTTCTGCCACTCTTCCTCCGCATTCAGTGCTCTGGCCCACATGTTGTCCAACAGGGCGCGATACCTTTCGCGGGACGCAATAGCCTCTATGAGAGGCTCGTAGAGTGGCTGGATATCTCTGATCTGCTCTTTCCCTTTTGGGGGCACGCGCCAATCTGTTTGGGCCTTTTCTGCGTATGTTTTGCCATTCCGTTCCATGAATGAGCCCATTTCATGAAATGGCATGTCCAAAAGCTCCGTTTTGTGGCCTCCCGGACGAGTTGAACTAGACAGCCTTGACAGGATCTCCTTCATTTGGTCAAAGAACTCGATGCAGTGATGATGTACAAGTCCGTAAGTCTCCCGATATCTGTCCGCTTCTTTGGTCGTGTTTGCTGTCAGAGCGAACTGGCGTTCTGCCACGACAAGGCTGTGCAGAAGGTTCGCAAAGAACTTTCGCGACTTTGAGTAGGAATTGAGCCTCTGCGAAGCGATCAAGTAGGCTCCGATGGGCTTCAGGCATGATTCTCTCGAACCAGGTGTAGCCCACCAGGAATTCAGTCGAGAAGCGAAGGTCAGAGAATTGAACTGCTGCCGCAAGAGCCTTCAGTCCCGGGACCCAGGAAGGTTCCGAGGGATTTGTTTTATTGCCTTCTATTGCCCCCTTCTGGACGTCTCTGAGGGCCTCGCTCAGGGCCACGGTGTCTGCATACTGGAAGACGTGAAGGTAGCCCACATCATGGCTTCCAGCCATAACGGTATGCCACGAGCAGCAAGGCGCGGAAATATTCAGCGGGTATTTGTCTTCCAAGACGCGATACCGCAGGTAATTCGAGCTCCAGAGGTCGCATCGTGCACCGTAGATGTAGGAAGTGATGGACCACGAACATGGCGACAGGCCCCAAAACATCAGTGCGGGCATTGCGACGAGGCACCATATCGCAGAGCTCAGAATGACTAACGCAACCTTCCTGGAAGGGAACTTCATTTTTGTTAGCCCAAGCACGTTCCTATCGCATGTGTAGACGGGTCTCCCTACTGGCCTCTGCGTTCCGAGTCTGCCGCCTGCCTCTCCGTGCGTATCGGACGAGACAAGAGTCGTTTCCGAATCCCAGGCAGAACCGCCAACCACTTCACAAAAGGGTTTCCGTCGTGTGGCCTGAAGTCGGCATGTTTCTGGAATAGGGGAGATGGCATCATCGGATAGTGGCGGGCACTCTGCTCCTCCCATTGCTTCCTGTGAGTGAAGTACAGGAGAAGGATGGTGTGTTTCTTTCGGGACGAATACGACGAGAGGCTGCCTTGCTCCTTTGGACTTGTCTGCGGGAGCGCGACTATGTAGAGTTTACGTGCGGCACTGATCGGATAGTCTCGACGAGTATCGGACAAACAATAAGTAAGTCACAAGGAAGTAAAACAGCGAGAATAGACGATCTACAAAGGAACATAAGGCGCAATGGAAGACTAGGCAAAAGTTTGCCTGGGCCAAAGTCACCACAGGCTGAGGTGGCCAACATCCCTGAATGCCTAACAGTGGTTCGGACTTGCTTAGTCCAGGCAAATAGACGGCCAACCCATGTCATCGTATCCCTATTCAAGCAGCCATCTCCTCTTTGAGATGCGCCTCTGCGCTTTCTTCCAACGACAAACCCCCCAACCCACCTCCCTTGTCCCACATTCTTTTTTTGCGTTTCCCAACTCAGCTCTGCTTGCACCTGGCCGCGCTCATCACTATTTCGTCACTCTACTCTCATGTTTGGGTCGCTCTGAGATTTAAACTCTTGTCACTCTAGACTCTCCTCTCGGCCATCAAGCTTCAGGCGACAACCTGAACTCATCTCCACTCCTCTTCGTTCCTTCCAAGACCCATCCTCGGTCACTAGGCTTCCAGCATGGCAGAGAGCAGCAAGGGCACATATTTGAAGGCCGGCCCTGCTTCCAAAAACCTTACACATTTACAGAGGGCGCCAACAAGAATTACCTCAAGACGGCTGGCGAAACTGACCCCTGGACCGCACTACAGAATGACTCAATACAGATCCTGCCTCGTCTGCCATGGCTCTAGCTGAACTTGGGCCCACTTCCCACAGAATTCAGGGAAAGAGCTGGTGAATGCTTCCTGTCAGCCTGAAACTGGATCGGTTGAAAGAAGGGGCGAAAATATGACCGAAGTCCTGAAGAAGTTCGCAGCGGGTTGTACATGGAAGGGAGAACCATCAAGGTCAAGGTTTCCGATTCCAAAGAGCGGGCTCTCTTGGAACCAGCCACCCGGGGCATTGGCAGGACTCGCCAACTTTGCTGGTCTTGGCGCTGTCGACAGCGCCAACTCGCCTCGTGGCATCAAAACCTAGGACGCCCTCAGCCCAGAGGTGAAGCAGTCTGCGAGTTCGCCGCGCAAGCCGTCCACGATTATCAAGGAGGCTACCGCCACCAAGAAGGCAACCACCTCGAAGCAATTTGATATCCCCGAAGACGCCGCCTCTCAGGAGGGAACGGGTATTAGCGGAAGCGGCAGTCACGATGATTACGAGGAGGACGAGAAGTACGAAGAGGAGCAGGGTGTTCGTGAGGGTCGAAAGCGACGCTTTGGAACACGCGGCTTCACTGGCATGAAACGCCGCAAGCACTAGGTCTACACTGGGCCGCAATTGGTCCCTGACAAGCGGTTCCGTTCCCGGCTATCCAGATCACAGGGCGCGCTTGCCTCGTTTGCCGAATAGAGCGGGTGCCTTGGGAAGTCCACATGCAGCTTTCCTTTAGGACATACCTTTCCGCATGATCACTGTGCCCCCCGAGGAACCTGTACGTTACGACACTAGTTGAGTCGATCTACAATTTCCGAAACGGTCTGCTGATGTTTCGAACAGCTCTTGTCAAGGACAACGTTTTACTTGATGACAGGATCGATTCTCCCGACATCCGTCTGCGTCGTCTGATGGCTGCTCACAGCCAACTTGGTCGCCACATTACTCCCCTTGTCTACCGGTCTTGGGACGAATGACTGACGGTATAGATTTTGACAGGGGATGGGCCCAGGCAAGCTGAGCAAGTTCGTACGAGAGAACTCCGGTCGAAGAAGACGAGGAAAGCTTGTTCGACACCTTTGACGTCGACGCCACGCATACCATGCGTTTCCGTTGCGACACCCGATCCAAAGACGAACTAGAGGCCCATTGCGGCAAGAAGGCACACGATGGCCTGCTAAACCGTTATCTCGGCTTCAGCAAGGAGGACTGGCAGCGCATTATCGAGTTGTTCACGTATCTACGCATCCACTGGAACAATCCGGGACATCATTATGGACAGAAGCGCAAGATGAGCTGCTCAAGCAGTATTGGGCCAGGCCCAAGACCGACGAGGTTCAAAGAAAGGTCGAAAATAATATCAGAGGAGAATTCCCTGAAGCAGGCAGACTTCATAACCTTCTTCCGTCAGATCCAGTCGCACGGTGGGGTCGCAGACGACATTGCCGACTCGCTGCTCGCTGTGCGAAACCTGGACTTCGACTCTTCGCATATCACCCAGCTGAGAGAAGCTATCAGGTCGCGGCTTGGAGTCTATAATGCCTATATGGATCGGGAAAATGAGGGTGATTCCAAAGAAACAGACCCCTGGAAACCCCCAGCAGCAGAGCGGGAAATGGCGACAGATGTGGGAGACGCAATGCATGAACCCTCGGGCTCGAATTCTTTGCGGCCGGAAAAGTTGGCGGGAATTCATCAGGAGATACCTGAAAGCAAGCAATGAATATCCTTCCCCTGAAACCCATAAGGGCTATCCCACTATCTAAAAACGAATCAAATCATGGCCCCATCTGGTATTGAGGGGGGGGTCATTGGTTTTGTCAGCAGCCCGTCCATTGATCTGGCCCTCACTTGGACGGTGAATCGCGGCTTTCTCTTCCACCGGATAGCAAGCTCCTCAACACTGCCTACAGGAATCGTCATCGTCACTGAATTGAGTCCATGGCTTCAAGCTTCCAGGTCATGATAAGAGGAATAGCTTCTCCTTCTCATGACTCCGCGCCGCCTCAGATGCCGCCCGAGACTCCCGGCTAAAATACGGTCTCGACATCCCACCAACGTGGACTTTCACCTTCGCATTGGACCTCCTCCCGGGGGTGATGACGACTCAGCCTATCTTACCCGACAGCGCCTAGCGGAGGTCAATGATTCTGAGGCTTCCAGGGCGGCCTAGGCTGGCCTTCCGGCAAGCCGCGATCCCGGGAATTCTTTCAAATTCATCAACCTCGAGGAAGGCATCATCTGCTTCGAGCTTACCAAGGATAGCGATAACTCTCAGATCGAATGAGGGGCCTACTTCAGGTCCAGACCGCCTCACCAGGTCGCCCGCACCAGAGCCGCACTGCGGCAGGAATATTGCGATTGGAATACACCATAGTGACTGTCTCGGTACTTTTGGTGGAGAGTACCCAGTCATGCCTTTTCAGTGTTATTGCGCGGCTGCGATACAATATTGAGTATGAGGTCTGCAAGAGATCAGTCGCCACCCTCCTGATGCTCTTCGACTATCGGAAACAATTCTGGCTGGTACACGATCCTCTGACACCCACATCGGGTACGAGATTGTGAGGAGACAAAATACATGTCTATTCACTAACTCCTAGATAATTAGCTGTGTACCAAGCTTGGGGTGCCAGACCTATCCTGCGAGTCAATTCTTCCCACTCCTAATACCGCTAGCTGAACCTCTACGCCCTATTTACTTACTACTTGTTCTTTGACAAAGTTCGTACAGAGCAGTGCAATGCCTGTTCGAGCAAGCTCAGCCGCGGTCTGGGAGTACTCTACATTATTGGCTAACGAGCTTATCCATACTGGTGTAAACCGCCAGGCATCGTCACAGAGGTCTCGGTGCTCGTTCTACACCGAGACATATCATTGCTCACTTTTAAGTTCGTTTGATTCGGATGAGGATCGCCTAAGCTTCTCGAGTATTGAGGAGCCGCCCTCCTGCCTTCTACAACGCTATTCAACTCGGATCAAGGATGTACTCCAGTTCCGCGACGAGGAAGATAAGGGAGGTTGTACCGATATGTACAGCTGTCTCCTGCACTATTCCTCGCGTTCAGAGTTGTTTACACTAGAACAAGACTGATGAGACGAGATCAATGCCCCGCACGCTTCAGCATCGTTCGATAGCTCTTGGGTATAATTGACTCTCAGAATGAGCAGTTCTGGTGATGAAGAAATTCGGTGTATGCATAAGTCAGGGTTCAAATGGCGATACTGATGATATCAATTACAGCATGCATAGCAAGGTTCTCATTAAGGTCATGGACTAGACAATGGGAAGACCAGGCCTAAGATTTATTGAAACCCAACCCTTGCAACTTTTCCTACATTAGGCGAGATAGATTAGATGTCAAAAGCCTTGTTCTTTCCCTTTTTCTTTTTATTCTTCTTTTCTATTTTTATAGTTTTATCTTAAAGTGTTCTCTATAAGAGGGTATCCCCTTAGTATCCAAGACAACCACTTGCATGTCACTCGATTTTTACCTGAGCTTGCCTCGTGGAGGACGAAGTATATTCCTATGGTATATACATGACATAACACATAGAGTTTACACCATTTGTTTTTCTGCACAATCAAGAATTTCCAGCAGAGCATCAGTAAAAGGGACACAACGTTCTCGTCCACCGTGTCAAGGAGGTCCAGCACGTCTTGACAGTCGACAAGGATGGTGATTCTTACTATTGAAGAACTTAGTCAAAGGGGCTCCAGTACGATGGATGAGCTTGAGGCCCAGCATCTCCAGTGCAGTGTGGTGTGCGGACATCACCACGATGCCCATCTTACAACACCTCTGTAGGTTCATTCCTGAGGTGTGACATGGCGTTGCGATAAACACGGCATGTTTGGTATAAACAACTTCCGCATCAGGTGAGAGTCTCTGATGGTCAATCAAGTTCTGCTGGATAATAAGATGATAGAATCCTCAAGATTTTCCATTGTTCGTTTTGTGAAGGAGAGACAACAAAGTAAGGCCATCTCTCCTGTACCAGTACTGTCCATCTCCGTTTGGGGTATCACGTGTAAGGTTTTTATTTGCTTGACATGATCCCGCCGTCAAGTTGTCTGTACATCATCCGCTCCGCAAGGCCAGCAAATCTCTTCCTGTGCTTTTCTCTCTTCTCTCTCCCGATGCATCTCTGGTGCTTAGCACTGTACGCAGCTGCAAATGCACTTCCAATCCGTGCCGCCGGCAATCATGCAGTTGGCATAACATATGTTGGGATCCTCGGTAGGAGCAGCCCGACGTTCGCGCGTCGCGTCTTCCGGCAAGTGGTTTTCGAGGACCTGGCTGAGAGACGGCGAGTCCGATGATTGCCTGATGTCGAGGTCCTGCGCATCCGACGACGTGGGAGCGGCCATGACGGAGCCCATGGTGAGCAGGAGGGTGACTAGTAGCATCTGCATGGCTGCCTTTGGGTGTTTGGAAAAGACGGGAGGGTGAGCCGAGGAAGAGAGTTTTGTATTTGCTGAGCCCCGAAAGACTGAAGGAAGAGCGGAGATGATTGGGAATGAAGAGGATCGCTGGTTGATGCGCGATGATCCACGGCGCAGATCATGAGAAAGAGGAGAATATGTCGCTCGAAGGGATAGAGCCGTCTTTATGTGGAAGATGCCCAGCACATGATGCCTCTGCCCCTGAAGGATGCGGCACGGGCTGGCCATCACAGCACGGGAGCAGCCAGACGTATCCACATTTCCAACGTCTCACGATGAAGTCCCATTGTCGACTCTGGCTAGTCTGGCCCCTCTGCGTGCGTGGCTGGTCGTACCTCCATCACCATACTTGGAACACGGGGGATCTTCGCAGGGGGTGGTTTGGTGTTTGAGGATCTTCGGCCGGCGATTTTATGGGGCAGTGCTCCGGGGGGCCTCGTTGCTAGCTTGAGGGACGATGTTTCAGCCCACGGTCACCCTCTCGCCAGGTGGGAGCTTTGTCACGGACTGTACGGAGCATGGTAGGATGTGCAAGTAGTTTGGGACGAAAATACCGCGACAGGACTCCAGTTTCTGTGGATCGGAGGGCCAAATCAGTGGCAGATGGTCTGATAGTCACCACTTTGCAAAGAGGAACTGGGTGTGGTGGTGCCATGTGGAATGTTGTGAAGGGCAAGCCCACATTGGTGTAGGCTCCATAACAAAAGAACCCACCAGCTCACTCAATCCGGTTTCGTGGTGTAGTTGGTTATCACATCAGTCTAACATGGGTACATCCCAGTGACCACTGAAGGTCTCCAGTTCGAGCCTGGACGAAATCATTTTTTGCTTTCACCTCAGTCATCGCCCGCCCAGTCTACAATGACCTGATGATTTGCCAGAATGATGCGCTCATTGCCTTTCTTTTTGTCCTTCTTTATTTTCCTTTCCACATCTGCTACTGCCATCGCTACTGTTACCCGACTAGGAGGAGCATGTTTCCAAGAGAAGCGAACGCGATAAGCCACGGCCGTCACAGGGGCTGTGCACTGCTTCGCATACATGCCTCGCATACAGGAGGCCTGCTCGACGACATGCAAGCCCGTCAAGTTGGTCAACAAAAATTACAACCGAACTTCAACTCGCACTGTTTCATCTCTGCCGGGGTAACTGCGGTCACCCCAATCTGGCAATGAGCTCTGGATGACTGTGAGCGGGCTCTTTCCTGTATTGGCCCTTGCCATTGCACCGGTAGCACCTTCTCACAACCATCATACAGCGGGGCCTCCTTCCAAGTTGAGGCTGACTTTTGATGTCGGGCCTGCCTAGGCAGCGACTGCCACTACTGCACCAGAATACCGCCACGCGACTAAAGCAATAACAACAAACACAACCGGAACAACGTGGGGGAACGCGGTTCTTCACTTGCTTATGAAGACATTGCTGCCCGTGGCCCGGCATTCCATATCTTTCCCATTGTCCGTGCCGCCGATCGCTGGAGAAGCTATGAGACCTCCAGGCTGACGGGCTTCGCATTCTTACCACAGGCAATCACGCCATAGTCTTCTGGACTGGATTGATACATTCTATCTCCACGATGGCAGGCCGAGCCGAAGACAGCGAGAAATCCCAGTCCGACCGCGATCCTGGCCGTGACCATGTCCGGCACTATCCGCTCGACTGCGGCCGTCTCGCTGTCCACGAGTACAGCCACCAGCGACTGACGGGCCGCGACGTGATCGCGAACCGCGTCATGCGAGACTTCATGGCCCCGAAACGCTGCCGCGCGAGCGTCTACACCCGGCCCGCTCGCTGCCCGGCCTGCTTCAACCCCGTCAAGACTGAGGACAAGGCCCTCGGCAACGACGTGGAGATCCTGCGCATGCTGCTCTACACCGCCCACCCTCTGGAGCCCATCCGAGAGGAGAACGTAAGCGCGCTCGACGCGGCCGGCCACCCATCGGTGGGCGACCTCGTGCTCGACCTCGTGCAGCGGCATTTCCTCGAGACGAGCGACCCGGCCTTCAAGCTCTGGATCGAGCAGACCCGCCCGCCGCCTCCGCGGCCCTGCGCCCACGATGCCCCACACCGTTCGAGGGAGCGCAACTACCGCCGCTGCCTCCAGCACCAGCTCGAGACTGAGAGGAAGGTCTTCCGCGCAGAGCACACGGCACACCTGCAGGCGGCGCAGGACCTCGCCGACGCCCGGAACCCGGGCCGCCTCTTCGACGGGGACGCCTTCCTGCCCATGCTCCGGCAGTCCTTTGACCGCCAGTGTAAACATCCGCAGGTCCGCGACCGCTACCTCGCCAACATGGGCGCGACAATGTCACCCTGCTCCAGTGAGCTGTACGACGTGGTCATGCCCTTTATGCTCGCGCCCGTCCACCGCACGGAGAGCACGAGGTCATTCTGGACCAGATCGCAAGAGTGGCTTACTCTACCCCTTGCCGAGCACCGGCGCGGACGGCCGCTCCACCGTCCAGAAGAGTGGGCGACCGACGAGGGTCGGCCCCGGCACCGGCACCGCCGAGCCAGCTGTCCGGATTTGAAGAGTTTCGGCGTCGCACACCTCCCGTGGCATCATGAGCGCAACGCGTCGGGGCGACCCCAGCTACAGATCATTTTCCGCCGCCTGCCGCTTTCCGAGCTCGACCGCCGCGCCGCCCGGCCCCGCAGCCTCAGCCGCCGGCGCATCGCCGACATGTTTGTCCAAACGGCGCCAGACTTTTGCGCCCTCGAGCCACGGGATGCAGCAGACTGTGCGGATACTGACTCTACATCAATTACCAACCCCACAGAGCACAGCAGCGCAACCAACAGACGATGGCGCCCGTTCCTGATGAGGCCCCGCCATCCGGACACTCGTGACTACCTCCACACTCCCGCATGGTGCACCCTCTGCGAAAATCATCACAGCGTGATCACAGACGAAATGCTCAAGGCCAAGTACGCCTTGAGGCAACGCTGGCGCGACTCCGCACCTCTAGACCGCCGCCCGCCGTGCGAAAACTGCGCCTCCCCCGACCGGCCGCACCCGACCGCCGCCTGCCTCCGCCGGTGCGGCTTTTGCGGCGCGCCCAACCCTGCCACGGCTGATACGCCCGAGCTCGGATGCGACCCGGAGGACTTGCACGGTTGGGGCAGGGCGCAGGCGCTCCACCCGCGCCCGCACACAGCCCCGGCGTGCCTCGTCGCCAAAGTCAACCGGTGCAAGTGCGCACCGTTCCCGACATACCACCGCGCCAAGGCGTGCCCGGTCCCGTGCGCGCGGTGTCCGCCCATCACCACGACGGCGGATGGCGACAAGAAAGGGAAGGGGAAGGATACAGGAGCGGGGGCGGGGGCGGCGGTCAGGGCCACGCGCCACAGGGCCATGACGTGCAAGGTGCGGTGCTGCATGTGCGGCATCCGCGGGCACAGCGGGCACGAGTGCCGGCAAATGCGGTGCCGGTGCGGCGGGGCGCACCTGGGCCAATACTGCGGGTGGCAGCCGGGGTGCCGGGTCGAGGGCTGCGACCGGTACCTCTGCGGAGTGCACTGTGACGAGTGCGAGGACCGCGGGAAGCCGTGTGGTGATGGGGGCGTGAAGTGTGCGAGGAAAGCCAATTCTAAGCGCCAACCGCGGAGGAAAGATGATCATGATCATGAGACCAAGGATGAAGAGGTCACGGCGGAGAATGATGGAGAACCCAAGTCGATTTTTTCCATGAATGATGGATGAATTTGTATTTCACAGCGCCACAGCGAACAGAGGCTAGATATTATGCCTAGAAGCGATCAAGCGTAGCTTTAATAAGAGGAAATTGGTATCATAAAAGAAGTACAAGAAAAGAAGGTACTGGTGGCATCACTCTCGACAAATACATCTTTGGATCCCATGCCCAGCGTCACCACCACACACAGGATAGGGATGTGAGTATCCACACATGGGACCGTAAATCAACAACGCGTACAACCTCATTTTTTTTTCCCCCTCTTCGATTCCATAATCCGTCAGTTGTCATCATCACTCATCATCCAACCAGCCTTCATCCCCGCCATCTTCGGCCGTCCCGTCGACCTCGACCGTCGTCCCCAGGGCCTCCTTGCCTTGCCTGATCATGTCCCGCAGTCGCGCGCTGAACGCGTCCATGCGGGCGTCCGTGTCTCTTTCCACGGCCCTCTTGCGCGCCGCCAGCCGTTGCGCCTCGGCGTCGAGCCGCGGGCTGTTGGAGACGGGGTCGGCGGCATCGGCCCTCCGCGCGCCCGCCGTCGACGCCGCCCGCCTGTGGCCGCCGCCGCCGCCAGGCGTCCCCGACGACCCGAAGGACGGAGAAGGCATGGAGCTCTGCCGGCTGCTGGGCCTCGGAGACGCCGAGCAGCCCCGCGGCGGCGCAAAGGGGTTGGCGCTGCTGTGCGACCCGGCGCCGCCGCGTCCCGAGGACATGGGTATCCTGCTGCTGCTGCTGGTGAGAGCGGCGGGGCTGAAGGTCCTGCGCGACGGCGACGGCGATGCCGCGACGGGCGACCTGGGCGGGGCGAAGCTGGCGGGCTCCCGTGCCGTCAGGCCCGGCGACCCGGCGTGCGATATCCGCGACGAGGGCATCCGCCAGCCGGACGGCGGCGCGTTGGGCGTGCCGCCGCCGCCGAGCCTCGACACGGGGATGCTGATCCTGCGCATCGGGCCGGCCGGTCTCGCCTGCTGTCGGCTCGAGGGACGGGGCTGCGGCGCCAGCGACGGCCGCTTCTTCTCCGCCCTGGAGGCCGCCACGGGCCGCAGGTGCTGCTGTTGCTGTTGTTGCGGCGGTGGCGGGTGGGCTTCGTCGTCGTTGTCGTCTTCCGACACCATGACCCAGTTCTTGCGGAGCTCGTCTCCGTTCTCGCTGATCTGCCGGCGCTTAGCGGCAGGCCGGGGCGTCGACGCCGGCGGGCTCGAGCAGTCGCGGTATTCCGGGGTCGGCGCGTAGTGAGCGCCCGGGAACGCGCCGGGCGTGTTGAGCCCGACGGGCAGATCGCTCGCGCTGCCCCAGGGGGGGTCGTGACTGTCCTCGCCGTCCGCCGCCGCGGCAGCAGCGTGCGGCGGGGTCGAGTCGCCGCCCTTCCACTCGTACCCTTTGCCTCCGCCGGCGTAGAACCCCCTAAACGCGCCGCCCTTGCAAAAGTCCCACACCTTGCCGACGACCGTGAAGGCGAAGCTGCCCCAGCCCTGCGACTGGGGGGTCTGCGGCGTCGCGCCGAGGTCGCGCCCTCCTCCTGCCGTTCCGTTCACTCCCGGCGTCTCGGGGTCCCGGGGGTGTGGTTTCTTCGACCCCAGGGCCCGGCGGTAGTCGACGTCCGAGTAGACGCTGTCGTCCATGTTTGCGTCCAGGGGGTTAAATGTCCGCGCGCCCGGCGTCTCGATCTGTCCCGCAAGCACGTACCGCGGTGGGCGGTCGCCGTTCCTCTCCAGGGGCGTCTCGGCGTCGTAGGCGGTGGCGCTGAGGTCCGCGGCGGTCCAGTCCGCGGCCAGGGGCGTCGACTCCCTGCGCGGGTCGTCCCTCGCGCGTTTCCTCTTGGCGTTGGCGTGGGCCGAGGGCGTGTTGTTGTTGTTGGCCATGGAGACGTCGGAGCAGAGGCTGCCGGTGGACTTGGCCAGGTTGAGGACGGAGCTCGAGGCGGAGGGGGACATGGGCGGGCGGAAGATGCCGGCGTTGAGGCCAGGGCCGCCCGAGGTGGAGGCAGGGTTGGCCTCGAAGTGGTAGGCTCCGGGCATGTGGAACTGCGACGAGTACGACATCGTGATGGCTATCGCGCGCGCGATGGGGGACGTGGTATCTCGCTATCGGGAAATTGTCCAGGTCTGGATCCGGATGGCGGCGGGAGAGGGCCGAGCCTAGCCTCGTGGCTTTTGGTTGATGGCTGCGTCACAGGTATGGTATGTTATGTCTGATAGCTCGGACCGGGGATATCGAATGCTACAAGCTTCGCGGCAATCGACGAGCAAACCTCAGCGCATGGCAGTGTGTGCTCGTGTCTGGCCGTCGTAAATCTAGGGGGGACGCAGGTCTGCGATGGGATGGGGTGTGCGTGCCGTATGCGCGACGGACGCGGGGACGAGGGGGTGGGCTCGTGATCGCACAAGCTCTCTCTCTCTCTCTCTCTCGGGGTTTCGAGCTACGGCTACTGCCGACCGTGCATAAGCCTCGATGTCAACCTGGTGTTGCCTGGAAGGAGCGCCCCCCACGAATCAGCCCTGCTCGGGTCGCAGGCTTTCGTTACAACGATCTGGTGGGTAAGTACTGGGCGCCGACGGATCTTTCAGTGTCGTGAAGAGAGTCAGAAACCTGGCACAGGCCCTGGGTTTCCCGAGGTTTGCGACAAGTCCTCTTTTGCCACGCGGTCTGGCGATCGGTAATCGAGCAAGATGCGCGCCCGGTGCGTGACGTAGTATTTTCATGCACGCGCGCGCAAGAACCTGGACAGCTTCTTCGTGATCGGGACGCAATCCAGAGAAGTCGGAGGCTCGATTGATTGCAAGAGGACAAAATATGTGCCCTTGAACAGACAGGCAGGGATGCAGGGTCTTGACGAAATCCTATGGCCCGACTTTTGATTTTATTTTGTTGGCAATGATTAGGTACCTAAGGTAGGTCTTGATTAGAAGGCCCGCGACAATCTTCAGCGCAGACGCGTTGCCGTGCCAGGCCCCCCGTCCTCACCAAATCGGGACTCTGTGGTAAATAAATCGCCCCGCCAAGTCGCCCAGGCTCACTCATTAATTTTGAGAGCGGCGCGGATCGGCAGATGCGGATGCGCAGTGGCTCAACTCGAATGTTCTCTTTTTTTTTCTAGCAAAACGTCAATTCGCATTACAAGCTTGCTATGGAGATCTCTCGAGGCCTTCATCGTGCATTTGTGCACGAGGTGAAAGCAGCTCAGGTCTGTCCATATAAGGTATCATACATACATACAACGCGTGTCTCGTTGTCCCAAGAAAGAATTCGCAATGCCAAAGTTCCTTTCCGTCAAACCAAGCCCAATAGAACACCTTCACCATCCGTCCGTCCGTCCGTCCGTCCGTCCTTCTTTGCAGTCAATCTCTAGGCGGCCCTGCGGATATGGATTCCTCCTCTAAAAGCATGTGCCTGTTTCGCAGTCTTTTCGTCTGGTTCTAAATCGCATTCATTTCCTTCCTCCCTCCGTGATGACTGATCCCCGCTCCTCCACGGACGGTGTGCCGCTCCCACTCGATAACCGTCCATTCTTGCCATGCTCTACTCCCGGTTGTAGTAGTCGTCCTGCATCCGGCTGTGCTCGGCCGACACGCCGCCCTGCGTGCCCGCGTCGCCGTGGACGTGGTCCTTGCCGGCCCAGAACTCCTCGCGCTCCCGCAGCACCTCGGCCGCCCACTCCTTGCACTCGGGCAGCGCCATCTTGGTCGCCACATAAGCGAACTCGCCGAGGTCGACCTGGCCCTTGCCGCGCTTCTCGTACTCGACCATCTGCAGCAGCAGCTCCATCTTGTCCACGTCGTGCACGAACAGGCTGTCGAGCGTCTTGGAGTCCTCGTACTCCTGCCACACGTCGCGGATGTCCTGGCCCACCCCGGTGGCCCCGCCGTACAGGTTGCCCAGCAGGTTCTGCGTGATGTAGTCCATGGTCGCCGCCTCGCGCCGGTTCTTCTCCGGCTTGGGCACGCCGTCGACGGGCGTGATGTCGCCGACCAGCGACTCGGCCATGTCGTGGATCAGGCACATCTTCATGCACTTGTGCAGGTCGAGCCGGGCGGCCAGCGCGGGCGGGGCCAGCATCGAGATGAGCGACATGCGGTACATGTGGTCGGCGATCGACTCGCCGCGCTCAATGTCGAAGCGCCGCCAGCCCTCGCGCTTGGTCGTCTTGAGGCGCTCCAGCAGGTGGAAGTAGGGCAGCGGCGAGGTCGAGCCCTCGGTCGGCTTGCCCGTCGGGATCGTCGCCGTGACCTTGTCTACCGTCCATTCGCCGGTGACCTTGGGGGTGAAGACTAGACCGGGGTCTGGGGAGTAGTAGAAGGAGAAGGGTCAGCCTCAGCCATCGTCCACATTTTCCATAGATGAGGGGCGCCAACGGGGCCGCGACATACCTGGTACCGAAGTCTTGGAAGGGCCAGAGCCGTTCGCGCTCTGATCGACAGCGCTAGGGGACATCGTGGCTGTCGTTTGGGGGTTATGTCGCCGGTTGAAGAGTGATATTGTGCTTCGGCGAGTGGTGAACAACTCTGACTCGGTGAGGTTCAGAGATGCACACTTGAAGATTGCGATGGAAGATGGCGGGGAGGGAAGGGGCTCGCAAGGTGCACTCTTATGAGGAAGGAAGTCTATGGCAAGGGCTGAGATGAGAAGATATCCAGGACCAAACTCCAGGAAGAGGAAGAACAAAGACAAAGGGCACAAGAGAAAAGCAAGGGATTCGAGAGTTTGTGATGCACAAAACAGAGAGTCAATCCGGCCTGGCCTATCTTTTTCCTTTCTTTCTTTGGTTCTTTAGCGCATCCGGCGAAATGGGGCTGCCATGTGCGCCGTTCGCTCCTGCCGCAGAAGCTGAAGCTAGGTACCTAGCAAGCTAGGCCGCGCCTGCCCGCCGGTGGCCGCGGGGAATGCGAATGACTCAACGCCAATTGGTCGTCACTCGTCACCTTCAACGCCCCCAAGCCGCAAAAACCCCTGCGGTACGGCACTGCGGCTCCTTGACCGCTCACGCAGACTGGAATGGAAGCCCTGCCTGATGTGGAATGAGGTCATCAAGCACTCGGGCCTGGTCAGCTGCCCTCTTTCTTTGCTTTTTTTGCTGTGTTGCATCCAGGCAGAACACGCAGGGGGTGAACAACAACACGCAGAAACAATCTGAGGGGTAAACAAGGGGGAGAGAGAGAGAGAAGACCGAGTCAGCGAGCACAATCCCCAAACTCCAAACCGATTCAACATGCTTGTTCCTGTAGAGTCATCCAACAACACAGTCAGCCTTGCAAGCGTCCTGAACACACTCACCGCTCTGTATTTGTCACACGGGCTGCACGATACAAGCTTTCCGGTATGAGAGACCAGCCGGAACGTTCTCTTTTGGGCGAAGAGCCGCGTTCCAATTTCGCCATTTGCCACTTCATCTCGAAGACGCATGACAAGCCGCGCGCATGCATCTTTGGAAGCGACTGGCAAACTAATGACCTTAGACCTCAAGTTGCGCCGGGGCAGATAGATGAGTGCTGGAGCTAGTCATCAATTCTATCAAGGACTCTTGCGTTGACCTGTCTACCTGAAACACTCTCGGCTCGCCTTGAACCGTGGTTTTCGTCACCCCAGCCATACAGCACATCCTAATATCGTGGCGATCGCATAAAGAACCCATCCCTTGTCTCTCCGCGTAGTGACCAGAATACAAAAGGGTTTCCGTACTTCAGCCCGTTCGGGCTATAGCATTGCGCTCTATGGCCATCGCGGCCCCATTGCCCAGGCTGGCAACCAGTTGGAGGCCTTCCTGCTTGTGGACGTATGGTCCACCTATCACGGACCATGCGGCGCGTGTGCTATACAGACCTCTCAAGTTGAGTGTGAATGTTGTCATGCAGATACTGGCGACACATGAATGTCGATACGACCAGACCAACTCTGTAGCCAAGATGCAGGGCGGAAGCGAGGGAAGAGTACAAGTATAAGAGGTCCAACTCCTAACGTCCGGCTATGTTGTCATTCCGCTCAGCAGGCCAGGCTCTCAACGATATACGCAGCATTCTTGACCATCTTGCCTGTCTCCTGATCTCCCCATCTGTCAGCCCCCCTAGTTGCCAACATGAAAGGACTAGCTATCGCCTCGGCCATCCTCGGCTCTGCCTCCATGGCCGCAGCCCACGCGACCTTCCAGCAGCTCTGGGTAGACGGTGTCGATCAGGACACAAAGTGTGCCCGTCTGCCCGTACGTGCCTCCCTTCAGAACGCCAATCTCTCCGTCCCTCGACCACCAACTGACTGACCACTTCCCAACGTCGCACAGCCCAGCAACTCCCCCGTGACAGACGTGACCTCGCCCAACATCCGCTGCAACGTCGGCGGCGCCAAGGGCGTCTCCGGCGTCTGCGAGGCCACGGCCGGCAAGACCATGGCCGTCGAGATGCACCAGCAGCCCGGCGACCGCAAGTGCTCCACCGAGGCCATCGGCGGCAACCACTTCGGCCCCGTCATGGTCTACATGTCGCGCGTCGACGACGCCGCCGCCGCCGACGGCTCCGGCTCCTGGTTCAAGGTCGACGAGTTCGGCTACGACGCCGACAACAAGACCTGGGGCACCGACGTGCTCAACGCCGGCTGCGGCAAGAGGACCTTCACCGTGCCCGCGCACCTCCCCGCGGGGGACTACCTCGTGCGCGCCGAGGCCATCGCCCTGCACACCGCGTCGCAGGTCGGCGGCGCGCAGTTTTACATGACGTGCTATGTTCGTTTGCATTCTTTTTTTTCCTATCTTGCTATTCTCGAATGGACTGAGGCTAATAGCCAAATTATAGCAAGTCAAGCTGAGCTCGAGCGGCAGCCAGCTTCCCGATGGCGTGAGCCTGCCGGGCGCCTACAAGGCTACGGATCCCGGCATCAAGGTCGATATCTGGGGCAACGGCTTCAAGAGCTACGAGGAGCCCGGCCCGGCCAAGATTGCCGACTCGTACTTTCGAAGGCGTTAAACGATGATCAAGGCATTGAATACGGATTCATGCCAGTCTATGCATGTTATTGCATAAACCTATGAATACAACAGGTGGTGTTTAATCGTTAAAGAAGATGCTTTGACTATTGTGTTGTTTCGGCTTGCACCTGACGACCTAAGCACCCCAGAATCCGCCCCTCGTAACAACTGCCCTCTGGTTTTTGGAGATGCTTTTTAATATTGTGATTATCTTCTAGGTACAAGACCGGACTATGCAATGCATCAAACTAGAAGCCCCGAAAAGCACACTTCTCCCTTCTGCTGAGCCTTAATTGCGGGCCTTGCAGACCTTGTTGCTCTTAAACACAACGTCCACGACAACAGGGCGGTGGTCAGAGATGTACAGCTTGTCGTCGAACCACGTAGGCAGGACGGCGAAGCTCTCCAGCTTGACCACCGAGGGGTCCTTGACGAAGATGTGGTCGATCTCGGTGAACTTGTCGGCCGGCAGGTTGAAGCCCGTGTAGGTCATCTTGTTGCCGTGGTGCAGCTCCTTGGGCACGATGTGCTTGACGTCAAACATGTTGCCCGGCGCGATGAGCTCCTTGTAGGCCTGGTTGTCGGGCGTGACGTTGAGGTCGCCGCCGAGGAAGACGGGCGTCTTGCGGCCGCCCTCGGTCGACTTCTCGGACCACTCGGCCGCGATCTTGGAGATGAGCCGGCCGGCCTCGACGCGCGCCTGCTCGCCCACGTGGTCGAAGTGGGTGCACATGTAGATGAAGGGCGCCGCCGTCTTCTTGTGGCGGAACTGGGCGACCGTCACGATGCGGGGCAGAGCGGCGTCCCCTATGTTGTTGACAAGGAATCAGTATGATTCTACTTTTCCGAGCGCGTCTATAATATTGCGATTCAACTTACATCCCTTGGAGGGAACATCAGGCGTCTCGCTGAGCCAGTACGTGCGGTTCTGCTCGAGGTCCCACGCGTCGGAGCGGTAGAAGATGGGCGAGAACTCGCCCTTGAAGCCGCCGTCGTCGCGGCCGACGCCGACGTGCTTGTAACCGAGCGGCGCGAGGTCCTCGGCGAGGTCGAGCCGCTGCGAGTTGAGGACCTCCTGGAAGCAGAGCAGCGCCTCCGGGCGCCCGGCGACCTCGTAGTTGAGCGCGGCGCGCATCCCGGGCCGGCGCTTGCTCCACAGCTCCTCGCCCGCGCCGGGGACGCCGACAGCCAGGCGGATGTTCCAGGTCATGAGGCGCGTGTAGACATCGACGGTCTTGACGTCGGAGGCGGCGGCGGCCACGAAAGCAGCGGCGCCGAGGACCGCGGACATGAGAGAGGCCTTCATCTTTGCTTTGTCTGGGCTGGGAGGAGAGCACACGAGCAGCTTTGTTCCGAGACTTGGACACGAGGTTGAGAAGTGAGGGGAAGGGTTACTTCCAATGGGCAAGGATCTTCATGACCTCGGCCAGCTATTTATCCTTTTCCCTGGGTGTCCTCGCCGCCATCTTGCATCCCGCACAGCGGGCTTTGCTCCGAGCCTGGTTCGGACCTGTGCCGCAGCAGCACCCGCCTAGCTGGTAACTCGATGGATTCTCGAAGCTCTCGTCCATATCGAGAACGTGCTCTGCTCGACATGAGATGCATGTAACGAATCTCACGTGGCGTTTGACATGTCTCTCATTTGCGGGAGGCGTTCTGGGCGACCCATGCAAATGGGGTAATACCAAGGCTTGGCCATCTTGGCAGCTCGCGGAATGCCAACGGCGCGGGGTCCGCCGGGGAGTTGAAGCAAATTACCTATCAAGATCTATCCAGCCCGGGGGTTCCGCCTGGGTGGAAAGGACATTGACCATGCTCATGTTGTTTAGGTTCCTGCCGATCTTGACAAGTTGGTGCCAAGTGTTGAGTCTATCATAAGTCTGTGGGACCTTTGGGCTGAGCAGCCCAATACAAAATCGAGCTCTGACCATGCATCAAGCAAAACTCATACACTAAATGGCTTGTTTCTTCAACTTGATAAAAAGCCTGGCTTGGCTGGCTGCAAATTTATGCGGTAACTGACTAGCTTGAGTGTGGTGAAGAGGATTGTCGGAGTATCAGCCGACTGTGTCTCACAATACAACACAACAAGGTCAACTACTAGACAACCCCACGTTCAATAAATCCTTCTCTCAAGACAGTGCTCGCTTCACAGCATCTTGTGCGTGGATCAGTGTCGTGTCAAAAAGCGGCACCGTGGCGTCGCTGCTATCAACCAGCAACGTGATCTCGGTACACCCTAGTATGATTGCATCGGCGCCCTCCTCCACCAATTTCGCCATGATCTCGCGGTACCGCGCTCGAGACTCCGGATCGATGACGCCCAGACACAGCTGGTGGTAGATGACCTCGTGCACAAGCGTCCTGTCGGCCTCGTCCGGCGTCACGACCGCTATCCCGTGCCGGCTCTCCAGCCGCCCGCGGTAAAAGTCCTGCTCCATGGTGAAGCGCGTCGCCAGCAGGCCCACCTTCCGCAGGCCGGCCTCCTTGATGCGCGCCGCCGTCGCGTCGGCGATGTGCAGCAGCGGGGTGCCCGGCACGGCGGCCGTCATCTGCGGCGCGACCTTGTGCATCGTGTTGGTGGCGAGCACGAGGAAGTCGGCGCCGGCGCGCTCGAGGGCCCGCGCCGCGTCGGCCAGCCGCCGGCCCGCCTCGTCCCACGCGCCCGAGGCCTGCAGCGCCTCGATCTCGTGGAAGTCGACGCTGTAGAGCACGATGCGCGCCGAGTGCAGGCCGCCCAGGCGCTGCCGGACCTGCTCGTTGAGGATGCGGTAGTAGAGCGCCGTCGACTCCCACGACATGCCGCCGATGAGGCCGATCAGCTTCATGGCTGGGGCATCTGCTTCTGGGCCCATTTTTCGGACTGTTTGCCGCTTCGGAAAGTGTGCCTCTACGGACGGGCAAACATGTTTCGTCTTGCTAGACGTCATCAAGCGGCTGACGAGAGGTAATTACGGTGAGACGAGCGAGTCACACTAAATCGGTCCGGGAATATTAGTTCCCGCGACATGCATCCCGCATACGACGGGCCCGACCCAGTAAGGTAGGCAACCGCGATATCCTTACGGAGTTGACTGTTGACTGAACTCGGAGGATTCACACAACGTCGTATTCCAGAGAGTCATTTTCTTAAGGTAAAGACTTTTGTGCATTGCTTGCGTGTTCCCCATTGTCGTATTGGGCGAGATGATGGGTGCCTGTCGAGAATGCTTGGCTGATCAAGGCGGCAGAATTAGGCTGTGACCAACATATTGATAAATGAGGATCCTGGCCGTCTCGGCCGACTGGAGTCAACTGTTAGAGAACATATCTGCTTCGAGAAGAACAGTCTAGCACACTTAGCACTTTCTCGTCTCGAGTTTCGCTTTGTTCAGTTCAAGCAAGGAAACATCCTTTCCTATATTCGCAATGCCAGTCACGATCAAAGTTGCGAATCATGAGGCGTCTCGCATCCGCACTGATGGCGAGACGTCTTCCGCAGAATCAATCCTTGATAGCCTGTCGAAGCCCGGAGATTCAACTCGCGGGACCCTGATCCAGTCCTCGTTCGACAAGGAGATCGAACCTGTGATGCAACCCTCCAGAAACGGCTTCCTCTTTTCGGTGACACACGCCTACAATAATCACCACCATCTCGTCATTCGCCCCGACGACGTCTGGCTGGCCATCACGACCCAGTTCAGCTCCTACGTCAACGCCCACGCCGAGGAGCTCAGGGGCTCCTTCGTGAATTTCGAGGGGCAGAAGACATTGGTGATAGAGTACGAGAATAGTACGAGGTTTACCGTCGACTATGCCGACTTTGCACACAGGATCAACGACCTCCTCGAGGCCAACATCGTCGACCCGGGGCTCCGGCAGTGGATCACGCCGAGCTTCACCACGACCACGCAGCTCGACAAGACAGTGGCCGCGATCGTCATGATGGGGACCCTGCAAAAGTACTTCAAGTACATTTCTATGTGCTCGTGCGGCATCCCCTCGGTGACGCTGCTCGGCGAGAGGGCCGACTATGAGCAGATCCTAGGACGCCTCGACAGACTGTGCCAGTACGGTGAGGAGCCCACCGAGTTCTGCCGGCTCCTCAAGCCCGTCCTGCAGAACTTCGTGCGCACGTTTGACGAGCCGGATCATGCCGAGGTTCTCTGCTTCTGGCAGCGCATCTGCGACTACACATCCGGCAGCGGCATATCCTACTACAGCGGCTGGATCACTGCCTTTTGCTTCTGGAGCAACGAGGGGCGTGCACAGCTGGCGAACCGCTGGACACAGGAAGTGGGCGGGCAGGAGTATGCGGTGGTCGATGCGCAAAACATACCCAGTGGTTTCACCAAAGTGCCGGTGCATATAAATGACAACGGCGAAGAGGTGGAGGCCGAGATGGTCGCGGGTTCCGTGGGCATTACATGCACGAGCAGCGGGAGGGAATTGGTGAGAAACCCTTACCTGGACCCCGAGGGGGTGACGATTGGGCTGGATACGATGCAACCACAGTCTGGCTGGTTCATATACGAGAAGGAATAAGGGCAGATAATCGAAGCATCTGAGTGGCTGCCAGCTCCGCCTTAAATATTAACGATCCTTCCCTAATCAAGCGTCCGTTTCCTCTTTGAGAATTCTCCTCCCAAGTCCACAATGGCTAGGTCGGCTCTCATCCAACGATCTGTTTCTGCCTTACAGCGTAATACCAGGATCCAATCTTGACCAGTTGCTCTTCGACAGAGATATTCTCCATCCGGCATCCGCTGTCCACCGAGAGGAGCTGTATTCCCGCCCGCCCTTTCTTAAGCTTGCTTGTCCCTCTCTTCTATCTTGGGTCGTAGTCTTGCCCCTCTCGTGCCTCTGTGCACGGCTGTACCCCTTCCCCCATCGGCAGTATCGCCACCTGCCTGATAATGAGCAACGTTGATTTTACTACTACTGTAACTGCACCTAGCAGTCGAAGCTCCTCGGAACCCCGACCTCAGAGAGTTGATGGTAATTACGTGAGGGATGATCACGCAAATGCCAGGCTCTGCCACGATATCAGACCTTCTTTAACGTCTCCTTTTCTTTCTCATTCTATTCTCTAACCACGCCTTCAAACTTGATCCATCTAGACTTGCACCTGGCCATCGGAGCTGCCCGGGATCCCGATCCCTACTTCGATTGTGATGGTCACCAAGTGATCCCGAAACGCCCTGCAAACATCTCCTATCTTATATATATATATATCAACTTTCCCTACTCTTAGTTTCTCACCTGTCCCTCTTAGCTATCTGTGAGAGCCCTGCACCGTGGCTGAGAGTAACAAAGGCACATCCTCGAAGGCTGGGTCTGCTTCCAAGACGGATAGAAAGAAGCAAAAAATCCAGGACGACCCATACCTGAGATCGTATGCGTCCCGAGGAAAGAAAGCCCCATTTAAAGCTCAGGTTCAAGCTCAAGCTCAAACTCATGGACATATACTGACAGCCCTAAGGTGTTGTCTTCACTTGTGTTTAGACGGACTACTAAAATGGCTGAGTCAGTAGACTCGGTCGGACTGGATTTATATGAGGATTCGGAGCCGAGTCCCGTGGGGGCCGTGCGAGCTAGGTCCAGCTTCCGGCCGTCCGGGCAACGCTATCCTGTTAAATCTGCGCAAGACCCGAGAGGATCTGGCAGTGAGTTCCGGTCGCCATCTTGTGCTTGGGCTGCAATAGTGATGCCATCTTGGACTTGGACTTGGGCTTGAGCGTGAGAAGGGACATCCTTCCCCTTTGTCATGATGAGAAGATGGGCTTGAGACGAGCGGGTTCCGGATCGGGGGACCAAAATCCGGTACAAGTACAGCTCCGCTCCACGCGTGGTGGGCCCGCGCAGTGTTCCAAGTAGAGACGTGGTTGCGCGTGGATGACGAAGCTGGTGAGGCCTCATTCACGCGAAATATCATTCATGTACAGCAGCTCTGCTGCCTGTCTGCCTCAGGCCGTTTCACGTGTGCTCAGGAGGCTTGCAGAGTAAGTACCTACCTAGGTATGTATGTAGGTAGGCAGGCCAAGTCATCTCAGCAAATACTTGAGTCCCGATTCCCTCCGATGAAGAGTCATCAAGTTCATCAACTTGATGCAGATTGCCCCTGGATCGAATCTTATCTTTGATAGATGGCGAGAAATGCCCGAGAATGCCCGGTGGACTTGTTGACACGCCGAAAGGCAAAGAAGGAAAAAAAAAAAAAACAGCCAACAGACTCATACGAGTAAGGGCCCAGAACTTGTGGTGTTAGAAAGCACCTGACTGTGGATTTGCCAGCACCCTCATCCCTGATAATCAGCGGGAAGACCCACTGTAATATTCTGGAAATAGTGGAAATAGTTGACCTGGAGAGACATTGTACGGCTTCTTCCAGGGCTGGACTCGCCGCAGATCCACCGTCGGTGCTGGCTCGGGGCTCCACTTTTGCGTTATCGCGCCTTATCATGCTTTATTTGACTTTGCAATCACTATCAGGATGGCGCCTTTCCGCATTGGTCGATTCCGTCATGATTTTGGCGAGCGAGCTTGCACATGTCACCGCCTCTTTGATGTCTTCTCCACTCTCGACACCAGACTCACCACCATGCGCCGCCATTCTTCGCTTTCGAGGCTTGCTTTGTTACAACTGGCATCCTCCTCGTATCATCCCGGTATCATCCTATCGCACGCGCGTCCCTTGTCTTCCCTGTCATATGCAAGAAAGACCAGGGAGAGGTGTTGACTGTCTTCGAGTACCATCGCTGATTCGAGCCTCGAGCCATGGCCGGTCGACTCGATTCGTCATAGGGCTTAGTTCAGCCAACGCTGGCAGCCCACCACATCTTCAAGCAAGTACCGGCTGATATCACCTACTTGCGAGCGAATGCCGGCGTGAAACACGCCCACGCGTGGTCTGGCTCGGATCCACTCCACGGCCTGACATCCTTGGCATTCCGGTATCTCGCAGTCACTCCCGGGATCCTCCCGCGCCATCACATCCTGGCCGTCGTCCTGTCTTTTTACCCATCCGGCATCCGCGAGGCCAAGCCTTGTCCATGACTGGCTAGCCCTTGCGGCCGGTGCCCCATCCTCCCGGAACTCTCTATCAAGCCAGCTGTGACTCGATTGCATGTGCTCGAGTCCGTCCTTTAAATAGCAAGCGGTGTTCCCAGGCACGCAAAGCTCTGAGACTTCTATCCCTCCAAAGCTTTTCTCGATACCGCGATTCTCGTGTGTATCTGTTTCTTTGCTTGGATAGATTTGTTGCAGTTCTTTGATAACCCATCCACCTTGCTCCCAGTGAACAAGATGGCCTCCGAACACCTCAACATCGACTCGTTACCCAACGAGGTTTGTTATTCATTCCCTTGCCAATCGTCGACACAAGAACTGCGCGCTAACCGATCGTCCCTGGACAGATCCTCATCTCCATTATCTCCCCCCTTCCGACCACCGAGCTCACCCGCCTTGCCCTCATCAACCGACGCTTTCACGCCATCGTCCTGCGCCTGCTGCACTACCGCCTTGCCACTGCCGCCGCTCTCCCCCAGCACCAGTTGATCCTCGAATGCTACCACCCGAGTGCCAAGCTCTCCACACCCTATCTAAACTGTGACTACATCGGCACAGACGGACTGGACTGGCCCTCAGCCGCTAGCGACGACGATCGCGGGCGCGTTGTCGGCTCAGAAGACCAGCTCAGCTTCCACGAGCTGAGGGCGATCTATTCGCGCTTCCGCCCTGTAGTCCAGGAAGAGAACCGGCGCGCGAGATCAAGGTACCCCCGGCAACAGGTCTTTGCGGCAGCGGTGGCACAAGAGGTCGGCAGCGCAGCAGATGCAGCGACAGAGGAAGCGGCTCCGGAGCCAGAACCAGCGTCCCACGACGTATACCTTGATGACGGCGAGCTGTTCACGCAGCTGTGCACTGTGACGAACCTGGTCAAGGTCGGCCCCAAGCGCGGTCTGTTCCTGAGCCATGTCAATGTCAGTGACGGCCTCGTCAGGGTGTGGCGCGACTGGCTCTCGGAGCGGACAGCGGCGGGTCCGGTGGAAGAAGGGGAGCGGGCAGTCCTCTGGGCAGATGCCGGCAAGAACGTCGGGTTGCGCTTCCGAGTCGTAGAGAAGGCGGATGCGCACCGGCCAGTATTGGTGGCAGCCGGTGAGGACGTGCCCGTGAGCTACACATTGGAGTACGAGGGTGAGTCATCTGCTTCCTTCATCACTTGGGCAAACGAGCTCGCCTAACAATCTTGAACAGAATTGCTAGTCAGGACCAACCAGCTATTGCTCATGGTAGAGAAGTCGGATGAAGAGGAAGTCTCAAGTACAGGTAAAGCCATCGTGATTGCCTCGATATGAACACACACGCACACGCACGACCCTTTCACTCTTATACTATCTCCCTCGTACGACTGGATGCTCTATGCATCTCCAGCACGAGAAACCCCGAGCATACGGGGCTACTGCCACGAACTCGAAGGAAGCGAGACTCTGTCACACAATCCAAGATGCGAGCGCACTGAGGAAGAAAGACAAAGAGCAGCACCGGAGTCGGCGCCGTAGGGCCTGTGCATTAAAAGCGACCCATGAACCCCTTGCGCTGAGCATGCGGGTCAAATTCTCGAGAGACATGATTACTCACATTTCTACCCACTATTCTAGGTCTGCACCTCGATCCCCGCGGCTGCGTCTCGCAGCCCGTCGAGGCCATGTTCTTCGCCCAGATCCAGGGACTGCAGAGCTACGAGCGGGCACCGTCCTGGATGACGCCGCACCGGGCAGCCGTGGTTGCTTAAGCTTGTCGCCTATGGTACGCTAACGGCGTGGGCATATGCCGCAAGAGAATGAAAATGATGATACCCTTGGCTCCATGAGGAGCTTCAATGTTTCACTTCTTGGGAACTATAGACTTTTGATGACACGCCGGGACCTTGGATACGGACAGGCGTTATTATGTTTTGTAATACAATCTTTGGAAACAGCTAGAACGACGTAGGCAAAGAAGAAATGGGTTAGCAATCGGCAGTTCGTCCGGCAACACCTGCAAACGAGATGCAAGAGGAGACCGTTGGTCACAGAGGCATATCCCCGCCTTAGATGCAGACGTTGACGATGCATAAGACTCGGAGAAGATCAAACAGAAGCTGGATCACACCACGAGACTGGCTCTCGGGGGAAACAATACTAATCTGGGGATGCTCCGGTCCCACATCCTTGCCCATAACGACCGACCGAATCGATAGAAACATTACTTGCAGGCGTTAAGATCGGGACGGCGCTGCTACTGACTGGTATGATGTGCACGCCGGCGCGACGTTTCGGCCCACTGACTGAACAAACAAGAACGGGGACTGAGCCACTCCCTCTTTGCGGATGGGCCAGCGCTGCACTGAGGACACGGGACGGATGGCGGCACGGATGTCCTGTCCGGAGTAAGGTCGTGCTGCTGTACAACCTTCAATTGTGCTATCTAAGTCGTTGATATAGTATTGTTCGACTGTAATGGTAGAAACATCGAGACCAAGCCCGGTTCCTCGTCTCGGAATTCATTCCGTTCCATGGTTTGTGTCGAAGTTGTCGTCGGCCCTGATGATTCGCATTCATGCTTAACGGGGTGAACTCAAAATCGTTAAGCATACTCTGTTTCTGGGTCTGAAGGTCGATCAAGGTGACAAATTCCGGGAGAGTGGACGGTCGGGACATCCACGGAGTACAGCAGCAACTGCCATGCCACTGGGCTCGAATGGCTCGAATCCATCCATATGCATTTTTCTCTTCTGTGCTCACCGATTATATTGCCTACATATAATAATACCCTGGTCGATCCGAGCTTCGACGTGGCAATGACGTGGTTAGTCGACTCTTGGAGAACGGTACCACGGCTATGCAGCAAATGGCCACGCTCTCCCGAAGTACCGCTGGACGAATGGATAGGCACAGGCACAAAGAAATGTGACCCAATTTTTGGTTGTTTTTTTCTTCTTCTTTGGTTCGCGGGCGCAATTCCGAAACGGCGAGTTTCAGCTCCGCCTGCAGGGCAACGTGCTTGGGCGGAATCTCTCTGGGCGTGGAAGCATGGCATGGCATGGGACGGAACTCGCTCGCTCGCACGGCACGGGTAACCACGGACGGTACGGGCTGAGCTGCAAGGCACCGCACGTTTTGACACATTCCAGCAGCAGACGAGGAGAGGTACTCCTCCGTCGGGAAAGGCTTGGTGGGACCGACCAGAGAGGCCGGAGTATTGGTGCACAGCATCCGTTTTATTGGACGGTCCGGTCGACTGCATGGCGGGACGGCAGAGAGGAGGGGCCAGGATGCATGCATGCTGCAGGAGAAAAGGTACGGGATTCCAACAGACATTCCAGTACCTGGTTGCTCCAGGTGGCTATTCTCGTCCTTTCTTCTCGGACTTGCTGCTGCTGCTGTCAGGTAACCGAGTCGAGCTGGGACCAACCTGGAGGCTGATTGACGTGGCTGGCGGTGCCAGGAGAAAGAATTAGCGACTGAAGCTATTGCAAGGCAAGGTAGGTAGCTATTGTAGTGGTCCACAGTGGGTTCAAAGGTTCAGATTTGTTGGGGAAGAAGAAAAGAGCTCTATACGAGCTCCATCTGGCGAGGGATACCCAGGCTTTCCGGACCTGAAAGGTTGGAGCAAGAGCACCAACCATGCTTGGCCAGCACTTGTCGGTTCTTCTCGCTCGATCCATGGACCAGACAAGAATAGGGGTGAATCATGGACAGAGGGAGGAAAGAAGAAGTGCATCTTCTGCTGACCGATATGTGTGCTGAGCAAGCTCTCAGAGCTGGGGCTGGTCTGGTCACCCCCACTCGGTCTGCCCTGTCCAGCCTCTCACACGGACAGGACCCTACTTTGCGCAGGCGAGTACCGGGTCCGGCCAGGGCCCTAGCAGAGTGATCCACAAGCCATCGAGACCTTCACAGGGCCGATCAGGGCACATCAAACCACCCTCAGCTCGGATTTCGTGCCGAGCAGGTGCAACAACGCCAGAGGAAGTACAAGTACGGTACTTGCAGTTGCAGAACGGACCAGACCAGACCAGACCAGACCAGACCAGCGCTGACAAGAGAAGCCTGCAGCTGGCGCCGCGGCAGACAGCCAAATATTGGGCATCGTCCGCTCGGGACGATGCGAAAAGGACCTTGCACTCGCGGGAGGAAGTCATGCAGAAGTGCGTGACGATTGTGCAAGAAAGCAATGCAAGTCTTGTCATGGTCATCGTCGTCGTCAGCAAGAGCAAGAGTCCACCCGTTGAGCTGCAAGCCGGACATCCCCCGGCGCAGCAGTGCCGTCGCGCAGAGCGAGAGGCTCACCGCCGGAACGCAGCTGGGTCTCTTTTTTCCTTTTCCCCGATGCTTTGCTTCGTGTCTCTGTCTGTCTCTGTCTCTGTCTCTGTCCCTTTCTCTTGCTGTCATGGCCCATGTTGTTACACGCACAAAAGTCATGATCAAGGAAATACAGAGAGTCCGGAATAGCCAATGCGATTCGTTGGCTACGCGAGGTAAAAGTAGGCTGAGGTAGGCTCGGTAGGGGTACCTAGGTAGGTAGGTTTTCCAGGTTGAGAGCAGGGAGCCAAGATCCATCGAGAGAGATCGCTAAACCTAAAGTGTGGACGACGGGTGGCAGAACCCACAGCCCTAAAACATCTCCACCCGAGACAAGTGCCCGCACCGGCCGCATCTCGCATCAGGGCTGTTTCAGCGCGGCCCCCTTGCACGCTTTGGGCGAGCTGGTGCGCTGCTTCGGTTGCCAAGAGCTGCCTCCAGATGCCTGGTTTGCGTGTCTTCGCCTCTCCTCTGGTCAGTGCGCTCAGCTTCAGAGCGACGGAGATCAGACGGCATGCGTGCTCTGCGACCGGTCTTTCTGCTTCTCGTTACCTCATCACTCGCACCGACTCTGCCAGTCGCAACCCGAGGACGTCGGGGGGAATGGCACCTCGATTGACCAATCGCGGAGCCCTGCCCGGCCTGTCGCCCTTGGATCGGCACTAGGAAGCGTAGGGCTTCGACGACAGCCGACACGACAGCCAGCCCTCCAGTCCTCAGATCCCTGGATCCCTGGGCTCCCTCGCCTCCCTCGCTCGCCCATGCCTGCAGCTCGCATGAAGCAAGGGCTTCGAGAGAGACGCTCGATCCTGTCATGTCTTCATGCCTTGGCCCCCTCAGCACCTGCGATGCCTCTTCGGCTCGTCCATCTGCCGCCTGGGCCCTGCTTGTTTCTCCTCCCAATCGCGGGTCTGTCAAGACGGTTCGTTTCCTCGAGATGCATCGATCGTCATCGTCACATCCCCCCCCGTGGCTGGCTTAGCTCTTCGCCATCTATTCCCTTTTCTTCCCTCCCTCCCCACCCGGCCTTTGCTTTTTCTCCTCCCCCGTTCGTACTTTCTTGCCATCCCCGTCCCCATGCATGGCCACCTGGCTCCGGCTCTTTTCTAGCTTCTGCCAGTTCTGCATGTCTCGTCCATCATGACAGGCTAGCGCGAGTCCCTCATCCTCTCACAAAGTACCCAGACTCGCTGTGCGATACTCTCGTTCTTCTGTGCTTTCTGCTTCTTGTCCAACCTATTTGAAAATCCCATTGCGCCCCTTGCTGGCAAGCGTGTGTGCCCTTTTCTTTCTCTTTACGTTAATCTATTCACGTTAATCCTTATTGTCTCCTTTCGCCTCCTCTTCGTCTTCTCTTCGTCTTTTATATACCGGTTTCCTCCTTCGACCTCTCCCGCTCCCCGGTCGGGAACAGACTTTTGAGATACCCTGTACGCAAGTACACCTGTTTTTTTCTGTTCGACAAAGGGGGAAGCAAGGGAGTCTACCATGGCGACAGACTTCCGCATGGCGTTCGAGAAGGAGATCAGCGCGGATGGGAACGTCGCAAGGCCAGAGGCGACTCACGAGAGCAAACCGAGGCGGGTGTCGATGAACGTGCCGCCCACGCCGCCGGCCAAGGAGTTGAAGACATTCCCACCACTACGGACAACCCCCCCGAGATTGGTCACCAGGGAACCGCCAAGGCCGATGACCAGCTCGTCCAAGAGGCTGTCGTTCTCGTCAATGTCGTCAAATCGGAGGCCAATCAAGTACGGCAAGGGGAAATATGCCCACGTGGAGCTTGTACCGCAGCCTAGTGACGAGGATGACGATCCACTGGTGAGCAGTGCAGTATTCTGTCTCCTGTAAGAGCTCACGCTGACTAGCATTTCCAGAACTGGCCCCTGTGGAAGAAGGAACTTAATTTCGGTGCGCTGCTGTTCATGGTGGCACTTGTCAGTGTCATGAAGACAGCCTTTATCACAGTCAACAGCCAGTTGGCCATGGGCTACATGGTCTCATACACCGCTGTCGCAGCCCTGACCGGCGTGCCTTTGATGGTGTCGGCCTTCACCGGCATGCTGAGCCTCATCACTTCCAGGATATGGGGCAAGAGGCCAGTGTACCTGGTCTCGGTCCTTTTCATCTTTGTCGGTGCCGTATGGTGCACCTTTACCGCACGGAGCTATGCGCAGTGCATGGCGGCGAGGGTATTTCAGGGCCTCGGATGGGGCGCCTTTGATACGCTCGTCCTCGGCTCAATTCATGACACTTACTTTGTGAGTCCCGCCACCAGATCAAAAGCCTCTTCACCACCCAGCCTGCTGACCAGCTTCCAGGAGCATGAACGTGGTCTCCGTGTGGCCATCTACAGCATCGTGTCAGTATCTACGACGTGGGGCGCTCCTCTGCTTGGCGGTGTCGCCTCGCGGACCCCAGCCGGTTTCACAGTGCAGTACCAGGTCATCAACAGCTTCCTCGCCGTGGCCGTGCCTCTTATGGCCCTCGGTGCGCCTGAGACCAACTACGACCGCATCTTCAGCATGATCCAGACCCCGGCGTCGGCATGGTCCCTCAAGCAGCTGCCCCCAAGGCCGCGGGGTTCCGTCAGCGTCGAGGCCGTCAAGGAGTATGTCAAGGGCATGAAGCCCTACTCGTACGAGGGCCCCTCTCTGGGCGTCAACATCCTGCTGCAAGCGCCCCGCGCGGCTGTTGCCCCGACCACGCTCATGCTCTTCCTCGTCTCCTTCCTCCCCCTCTCTGCCCTGTGGGGCCTCTCCTCCTCCCTGAGCCTCCTCTTCTCCCCCATGCCCTTCATGCTCTCCACCTCGTCTCTCGGCGCCCTCTCCACGGCACCGTGGCTCATGTCCACCGCGGCCGTCGCCGTCTTCGCCCTCCTGCCTGTCTGGCACACGCGCTTCGTCCCCAAATTCAACTTCGCCGCCCTCGCCGGCGGCGCCGCCCTGTCCTTCATGGGCATCCTCGTCTTCGGCCTCTACGTCGAGCGCCGCATGAGCGCGCCCTCGGGCGGTGTGTCGGCCTTTGCGCCGGACGGCGTGGGGCGGTCCGTGAGCTTCCCGGCCGTCAGCTTCGCGCTCGGCCTGCTGGCGGCGGGCGTCTACGTACTCGACGCGACGGCCCGGCCCATGGTGCGCCGCTCGACGCAGTTCACGTCGTCCAACGTCGCCGCCGCGCTCCGGCACACGGGCGACATGGAGGCCGGGCTCGCGGCGTGGCGCGCCCTGGCCGCGGGCGTCTTCGTCGTCGCGCTGCCCAACGCCGTGTGGGCCTGGGAGGGCCTCCGGGCGACGGCCATCGGCGTGGCGGCGGCCGAGGCGGGCGTCGCGCTCGCGGCGGCGGGCGTGTGGTGGTTCTACGACGAGAACGTGCGGCGGCTGGACGGGTGGGTCATGGGGTGCGTCGACCTGGATCTGCTCAAGAGGTCCGGGAGCTTCTTCGATATGGATTGAAGGAAAGGGACAGGGGAAGGGGTCTTATATACCATATCCTCTTTTTTTTTTTCTTTTGTTGATATGATGAAATAATGAATATGACTTCGAATGTCAAGCGATGATCTGCCATTTTTCACCTTGCCTGTCTTGCCTTTTCGATGGTGATATATTGTTAATGTTGTGCAAGAATCTCATGCATGCTGTGTCGGTGACTGTCTTTCTTTAAGGACTTGCGGGTGCTGTCAGGATAAATGCCTTGCTGCCATGCTGTGTATCCTGTCACAGAGTTGATGCTGAGCTGCTTGTCGAGGTGCCTGCGGGTAGCCATTGGGAATCGTGGCGTACTTGACTGCGACGAAAGAGGAACTAGGTAGGTAGGGTGCAATGCGAGGGCATCTGTCGTATCGAGAAGCAAAACATCAAAAGTGATGATTACTGTCAGGCACTTCTCGAGAACATGTGCCCAAGTGAGGGAAGTCGTGGGGATAGACCATTGCTTTTATGTCTTCTCTCCCCATCTGCCAATGTATGACGAGGCTTCTAAATGCGGATTTCTGCTACGTTCCACTGCTTCTGCATCCCTTCCGCAGCATGCAGGCCACGGAAATCCTGGGGTTCCTGTGTTCAGCCTGTGTGTGGTGTCGCAGAGCACCGGGCGGGTAAAGTGGGCATCGATCCGGCGCACAACACTCCCGCGAGATCGAACTTCTAGAAGACCTTATGTATGCAGAGACAGAGCGCTCATCTGGGGTGCATGAGTGCTTGGGGGTTGGGGGACTGGTACGGCTAAGAAGGGCTGTTCGTCTGATGGATGATGGATGTGGGATTGCAAGACTTTGATGGGACGAGAAGGGCATGAATGAGTGACACGGACGGGCGGTATCTGGAAGAGTAGACAGACCAAAGAGACGGCGCGGTTCGGGTCCGGTAAATGCACTCTGGTGAGATGGGATGAAGAGCGCTGGTACCCCGGTTTGATCGTCCGGTAAATACTAGGCGGGTGTAAAGTGCCGGGCGGTGATGCCGGGCCAGGCAAGGTCGGCACTCTTGGTCGGATGGGATGAACAGAGTCTGCCAAGCGATGTCGTAGTAAGCAGTATCGATTAGGCAAGTCAAGAATGAGGGAATTGTTGTGGTATTGCCAGACAAGGAGCGAAGCAGCACCACTGGTAAAGGCTAGCCGTCACTGTAAGCCGAGCATCGTTCGATGCATCGACAACATTGCTGTCAATGCCATCTTCAATGACAAACGACGGCTCCGCTGGCTGCCTCAATCCCAAGAGAATCGTCTCTTTTCAGCTCTGTGCCCAAGCGAGTGTGGGCTGCCTCCAAAGAACGGACTCGTGATGGTGTTGAGGGGATTGAGTACTGGTCACGCTCTCCTTCTCGCTTACCCCTGCAGCAAGGCCACAATGCCAAGCCTTCAGCTTGGTGTTGGCAGATGCAGGTGGACGCGCCAAGAAGGCAGAGCCGCGGTGCGCGGCCCCAGAGTGTCCAGCTTTGGCAATTGGAGTCGTCTCCCATTGGACCCAGGAGACAGCGAGTACGCGTCTCCTCGTGAACGAATGCCATTCTCACCCACCGAAGGTCCTTGTACAGTTGCGCGACGGGGAAGCTGTTGACTGTGCCTCGCCTCGCATCCATGATCACATCATGCACGCCCACGCATTCTCGCGACAACCTCATCTTTACCCTGGTGGGAAAAGGAAAGACACCGCCGCCAGAATCAAGGTTGGCGCCAAGCTTGTCGTGGGTGACTGGCGTGAGAGGACTGGACCAGCGGTTGCTCAGCTCTTGGGTTTGGTGGCTGGCCGCTAAGCTCGACCGGGACCAGCTCAGAGCTTCCAGGGGTTGACAGCTGGATGTGGTGTCTCTCATGCAAGAGAGGTGAAGGAAGGCCTCCCATGGACTGATCTGACCCTAGGTAGGTACCTTACGAAGCTTTCCGTCTGCAAAGTCTAGACCTGCAGCTCACAGTTGAACAGTTGTGACTCCGTCCGTTGGGAAACACAAATCGGCGGTTGCGGCAAATAGGTAGCGGAGTCCAGCATGCTTTGCTGTGTAACGTGTGAATTCCCCAAGGAGTTAAATTTCCCGGATCAAGCTTTTCCTATCCCTGTCGATATGACATTGTCTGTTCCTCTTGTGGGCATGATCTGCCTAAACAACTCCCTGCCTGTTCTCATTTGCCAGGGTGGCCTGCGAATAGGACAGCAGTATGATGAACAAGAAGAGACAGGCGAGATACCATTGGGGACCGTTTAATACTACAATAGTGGTACCGACTTGTAGACGAACGGGCAATGTCTGGGACGAGAAAAGGGGGTGCTCGCCAAGTTTGGATGGCGAGAGAGAGAGAGTTCAGCCCAACTAGTTCTGGCCTCCCCCTCTGTTTCGAAATGAACCTTTGGTGCTAACGGGCTGCTAATTCATGCCGTTTGACCCAGTGACAACAGGGCTGAGCTTTCTACCCAGCATTCTGTGTTGCTCCGTAGTGACAGCTGAGGGCCCTCACTCCTCCTGGACAAACCTTGACATCCTTGTCCAACGCCGTTTGCGAGCCGCGGGAGCCAATAAGGTCGCCTGGAATTCCACATTAGGGCGCCCCTGGCTGAAATTGGTGGTGGCGCTGGCATCGAGCTTGGTGCCAAATCCCACGAGCCGGTCTTCCTAGCCCCAGACCGGGCCCTTCGAGACTCGCGCATCGCGAGCAATGTGCCTGGCTGCCCTGGGTGATGATCTGCGCCCCGATGGGAGGTCCCAGTCTCGCCCGCCTAGGTAGACTCGAAATACCTACTCCGTAAGCTATCCATGATGATACCCAAAAGATAAATACCTTCCCCATCTCCTCTCCTCTTCGATCTCCCTTCCCACTCTTTCCTTCTCCACCTTCCCTTCTCGAAAGCTTCCCTCACTCTCTCTCACACTCTCTCACTACTATCAAACTTGTAATCTACCTACTACCGACCTACTCTCCTTTCACACACACACACACATACATCTGTCCAAGTCCCAAGATGCACTCCTCCGCCGTCCTCGCCATCCTGGCCTCGGCCGCCGCCGTCTCGGCCGACATGATCCACCCGGGCCACCTGGCCGTCAAGCGCGACGTCCTCGCCCGCCAGACCGACAACCCCTCCGCCTCCCAGGGCGCCGGCGGCCCGGACACGGCCTGCCTCACGGCCCTCGTCTCCGTCTACTCGAGCATCCCCACGCCCCCGCCGGAGCTGGCGTCCTACGAGGCCGCCCACCCGCCCACCGACCCCTGCTCCTACTCGGTCGACGACAGCATCAAGCCCGTCTTCTCCAGCTACGAGTCCCAGGTCATCTCGTGGGCCAAGCAGCACGAGGGCGAGCTCTCGTCCGCGCTGTCCAAGTGCCCCCAGTACGCCTCCCTCGCCACCGAGGCCAACATCTGCACCACCGCCATCGGCGGCGGCGCTGGCGGCTCCGGCGGCTCCGCCTCGGCCAAGACGACCGACTCCAGCAAGACCTCCAGCGCCGGTGCCGGCGGCTCTTCTTCCGCTGCTGGCGGCAAGTCTGGCTCCTCCTCTTCTTCTACTGGCGCCACCCCCACCGGCGCGGCGGGCTCCTCCAGCACCTCCAAGGCCGCTGCCGCTCAGGAGACCGGCTTCGTGGCTGCCGTCATTGCCGCTGTTGGCTTTGTCGGTGCCGTTGCTGCTCTGTAAGGAGAGACCGAGAATATAATGGGATGGTGGAGGGCGAGGGAAGAACGTACAAAGTCTAGAGTTGGAATGGCGCATGAGCCGAAATCCTATTTGGTTTGGGGTCTGGTTGGATTTCGTGTAATGGACAACATGAGTCGGCCAGGAGTTTAATTTGCTTCGGGGGTTAGCTTTCAAATCGGCATTTCCCCCGCACGTTTCGCGGGAATGGGGGCCATCAGTATCCTAGGTATTGTCTAGGGAACAATACCAATGTTGTAATTTTCCGCATTCCACTTCTGTTGGCCAAGTGCATGTGACAGCATTCCTTCGATCGGCCATAATGTCGCACCCTCGCAATTCGTACATCTTTGTTGAACGATTGCATCTTACGGGATACGCATCTATCAACCAGTGCGTTAGAGCAACAATGCGTACATTCTTTCAAACTTTCGATGCATGAATAATAGCGTTTGCATTTTGATATCTCAACAGCTTCACAAACGCAGATGCTCCTGGCCAATCTACAAGACCTTCCCTTCCACCCAGATCGCCCGCCCCAGATGTCGTCGATAATCTGATATTCCTTTTCTACCCGTATGATGTGAACACTTGAACCCGCCAGCCCTATCTAAAGGAAGGATCAAAACTCCGATAAAACTCCAAAAGAACATGCACATGCTTCCTCCCTTCCCGAGCTTCCATGCCTGCTTAACCAACCCACTTGCGCGCGTTGAGGAACAGCTTGAACCAAGGCCCGTACTGACCCCAGTCCGCCAGCCGCTCCTTGGGCGTCCAGCTGCCTACGTCCGCCATGATCGTCCTCTCCGGGTGGGGCATCATAGCCACGACCCTGCCGTCGCGGCTCTTGACGGCCGCGATGCCCTGCGGGCTGCCGTTGGGGTTGAACGGGTACTTCTCCGTGACGGAGCCGTAGTTGTCGACGTACCGGAACGGCACGAGGCCGGCCTGGTTGAGCGAGTGCAGCTCGCCCTCGGAATCGAACTGGGCGCGGCCCTCGCCGTGAGAGACGACGATGGGGAAGGACGAACCATTCATGCCGTCAAAGAAGACGGACGGCTGCTCCTCCTGGATCTTGACCATCGAGTACCGGCCCTCAAACTGCTGGCTCTCATTCTGCACAAATGTCGGCCAGTCCTCCGCTCCAGGGATCAGCTCCTTGAGCCTGGTCAGCATCTGGCAGCCGTTGCAGACGCCAAGGGCAAACGTGTCGGGTCGCTTGAAGAAGGCCTCGAAGGCCTTGCGCGAGCCCTCGTGCATGAGAATGGACTTGGCCCAGCCCTGGCCAGCACCGAGGACATCACCGTACGAGAAACCACCGCAGGCGGCCAGACCTCGGAAGCCATCGAGCGAGTAGCCGCTCAGGATATCCGACATGTGCACATCGACGGCGTCGAAGCCGGCAGCCCTGAAAGCAAAGGCCATCTCGGCATGTCCGTTGACACCCTGCTCTCTCAGAATGGCAACACGCGGGCGCGTGACCAGGCCCTTCAGCGCAGTAAACATGGGCAGGCCGACATCGGCGGGGTCGAACTTGAGCTTGTAGGAAAGACCGGGGTCCTTCGAGTCCGCCAGGGAGGCGAACTCGGACTCGGCGCAAGCCGGGTTGTCGCGGAGCTTCTGCATCTCGTAGGATGTACTTGACCACCACTTCTGCATGGTTACCCGGTCAAGATCGACGATAGGTTCACCCTTGAAGAGGATGGACAAGGACTGCTTCGAGGTAGGCCGCACGTAGCCGATGGTCTTAATCAGACCAGGAGGCGGGCCGCAAGTGGCAAAGCATTTCTTGAAGTTAGCCTCGTCCCGTTTCCTGACCTGGAAGACGGCACCCAACTCCTCATTGAACAAGGCGTCGAGGACCTCAGATTCCGCAGTGACAAATGTCTCGGCCGAAAGCTCCACACCAGCGCGGCCCGCAAACATCATCTCGGCGACGGTCGTCAGCAGACCACCATCTGATCTATCGTGGTAAGCTAACACGATGTCCTGCTGGTGTAGCTGCCAGAGGGCATCAAAGTAATCTCGAATGAGCTGGGTATCTCGGACATCGGGCGCCTCGTCGCCGAGCTGGCCAAGGCACTGCGCAAGAGCCGAACCACCCATGGCCTTCTTGCCCTGTGCAAGATCAACGTAGATCAAGACGGACTCGCCCACATCCTCAACGCGACGAAGCTGAGGGGTCCATGTGCTGCGAACATCCTCGACGACAGCGAAAGCAGAGATGACAACGGTCACAGGTGCTGTCACGCTCTTGGCTTGGTCGAGCTCCTTGTCTTTCCAAGACGCCTTCATGGACGTGGAGTCCTTGCCGACAGGGATGGCAACGCCCAGCTCAGGGCAAAGCTCCATTCCGATGGCCTCGACGGCATCGTACAGCTCGGCTCCCTCGCCAGGGTGGTTGACAGCAGCCATCCAGTTGGCAGAGAGCTTGACGCGCTTGAGCTCGCCTTGGCCCTTGATATCGGCAGCGCCGAGGTTCATCAGACTCTCGACCACAGCGATGCGAGCGGAAGCAGCAGGCGAGATAAGCGCCAGAGTAGGCTTCTCGCCCATGGCCATGGCCTCTCCGCCGCGAGTCTTCTCGTCCATGCTGAAAGAGGTAAGAGTCACGGCCACATCCGCGACAGGGGTCTGCCAGGGGCCGACCAGCTGGTCCTGGACGGTGAGACCACCGACGGTACGATCGCCAATGGTGATTAGGAACAGCTTTGATCCGACTGAGGGAAGCGAGAAGACGAGTTCGGTGGCCTTGGTGATTGAATCCTTCAGGCCAGAAACGCCATGAGTCTCCTTCAAGCTGGCTGTGGCGTCGAACGGCTGGAGGTTCTTCTTGACCCTGTCCACTGTTCGCTCCATTGTCCTTCCGGGAGGGAACAGGACATCCATAGGTAGGTCAATTGGTGGAATTGGCGGCTGCACCGTGGGTTCCGCGTCTGTCAACAGCAAGCGACCCTTGCCATTCTGGTCCATGGCGAGGACGGTGCCCACATCGGAGAAGTTGCACCTTTCTCGCCGGCAGATGTTGGTGAACCGGCTGAGGTTGTTCTGATTGACCAGAACAACATATCTCTCTTGGGCCTGAAAAGAATAGGCGGTTAGTAATTTGAATGAATGCTCGGTGTTGCTTGATATGTCAAAGGGTTTGCTCACCTCATTGCACCAGATCTGAAGAGGGCTCATGCTATTGTCAGCGCTCTCAACCTTCCTCAGCTCGAACTGGCCGCCGAACCCAGCATCCTTCACCAGCTCGGGGAGAGCATTAGAGAGACCGCCGGCGCCCACATCGTGGATGAAAGCCAGAGGGTTCTCGTCGCCGAGGGCAACACATGTGTTGATGACCATCTGTGCGCGTCGCTCCATCTCAGGATTACCACGCTGCACACTGTTGAAATCGAGCTCCACAGTAGCTTCGGAGCCGGCGGCCGATGAGGCAGCACCGCCACCAAGGCCAATAAGCATCGCCGGTCCACCCAGAACGATAATGTGAGCTCCGTCTGCAACATGATGAGAGTCCTTCAAGGCGTGCTGAGGCCTGACGAAGCCGATACCACCAGCAATCATGACAGGCTTATGGTAGCCTCTGTACTCGGATGCCTCATCTGAGGTTGACGTGGTGGACAGGAGGGTCCTGAAGCTTCCAGCAAGGGCTGCGCGGCCAAACTCGTTGTTGAAGCGCGCAGCACCGATGGGCGCCTCAAGCATGATGTCGAGACTGCTTGCATAATGCGCAGGCTTGCCAATGTCAGACTCCCACGGGTTCTTCTTGGAGGGAATCAGCAGGTCAGACACCCAGAAACCGCAGAGGGCCGCCTTGGGAGAGGAGCCCCTTCCTACAGCGCCCTCGTCTCTGATCTCGCCGCCGGAGCCGGTAGCGGCACCAGGGAAAGGAGAGATAGCAGTGGGGTGGTTGTGTGTCTCGGCCTTGATGAGCGGGTACAGAACCTCCTTGTTCAGCTTCCACGAACCGGTATTGTAGTCGGGGGCCCAGAAGTTGGTGAGGTCGCCCTCGAAGACGGCAGCATTGTCGCTGTAGGCAGAGATCGTGTGCTCCGGGGTCTTCTTGTGCGTGTTCTTGATCATCTCAAACAGGCTGTGGGGCATGCGTTTGCCGTCAATGGTCCAGGCGGCGTTGAAGACATGATGTCTACAGTGCTCCGAGTTCACCTGAGCCCACATGAACAGCTCAATGTCGTTGGGAGGGCGGCCCAGGTTCTTGTACTCGGCCACCAGGTATTCCATATTGGGCTGGTCGAGGCCGAGGCCCATCTGCTTGTTGTACTCCTGGAGGGCGACGAGGGGACCGCGGGGGTCGGAGTAGATGTCGACGATCTCGAGGGGCTTGCGGTCGCCGTCGACGAACATGGTCTCGAGAGCGGGGGTCTCGAGGGTGAAGTTCTCGGTCATTCGGTCGTAGATGACATCGCGGAAGGACAGATTGGGTTCGCCGGAAACATTGTCGACGAATACAATGTCAATGGATCGCCCTCGCTCGATGCGGTGGACGCGGTCGCCCAGGCCGCAGACGAGGGCAATGGCGGTGGCCTGAGAGCTCCATGGCGAGATGTTGCGCGGCGTGATGTAGATGGTCACGGTCTTGCCATCGTCGGCCTTGGGGGCCACCTTGGAGGCATCGGTGGCGTAGAGGAGCTGCTTCTTGACCTCGTCAGGCACGGGACCGCCGGTGGTGTGGACAAAGTAGCGCCAGTGGCCACTGATGCGGGCAACTTTGGCAGGGCTCTGCTCGTTGATGCGGGCCAGGAGCTTGTTCTCCTCCGCGACCGTGTAGCAGGAGCCACCGACAAGAGTTTCGTAGGGCATAGTGGGCGAGCGGCTTTTGCGAGCTGTGCTGCTCTGAAAAGGGCGTTGGTGGTGAGTCAAGACCCTTTCTGCGGTTTTGGCTGGCAAAACAGAGCAAGCGAGCAGAAGCAAAAAAAAGCCCAGGCTAGCGGGGCTGCTTTTTCATGTTCCGTACGCGGGGTCCAGTCTGGTCTGGTCCCTCAAGCCTGCTTATCTTATCTCTCTTGGTGGTGGGAAAAGCGGGGCCGGCTCCCGATACTGCCGCCGGCAAGCATCACCGTGTCCGTCCGGAGCCGTTTTCTCACGATTGCGACGAGGGTGGTTTGCCATTTGACCTCGGGGTTGGTGAACAGGGATGAACTGACTGTAGATTTTCCTTGGGTGTCTTGGTATGAAGAAAAGGGCGGCCATCACTGGAAGGAACAATATAGATAAGTTTAGTTTAATCTTAGCATTCAAATTCAAAAAGAACAAAATATCAAAAGTTGAGAACAGAAATCCAACTAGGATACATCACAACATTACGATAGCCATTGGGCAAGTAGCTTCAATTCATATCGGATACCAATCTGCCAAGATCTAGATACACAATACTCTTATACAATATGTAAAGTTCCATGCTACAAGACCATCCTCAGCAACTAGCCAGCGAAAACACATCCGTCAAGCCAAACCCACTCCACGCATGCTCACAGCTTGCTATCCTTCCAGCTCGGCTTCCTCCGCTCCACAAAGCTCAGCACACCCTCCTTCATGTTCTCCGCGCCGTTCATACGTCCGTACAGACCCGACTCGAGTATATCCGTGCCGACCTCCGGGTTGACCCCCTCCCAGCCGAGGCGCATGCCCTCGCGGCTCGTGATGATCGAGTCGGGCGAGTTGCCCGCCACCCGCTCCGCCATCTTGACCGCCGCGGCCACGACATCGCCGCCGCGGGGCACGACCTCGTTGACGAGGCCCCAGGACAGCATCTCGTCGGCCGAGAAGTGCTTGCCCAGCAGCACCATCTCGGACGCGCGCTGCTTGCCGACGCTGCGGATGATGCGCGGCAGGGCGCCGGCGAGCGCCACGACGCCGATGGTCACCTCGGGCAGGCCGAACTTGGCGTCGGCGCTGGCGACCACGAGGTCCGCGTTGATGGCGATCTCCATGCCGCCGCCGAGGCACAGGCCGTTGACCGCGCAGATAAAGGGCTTCTTGCCCGCGCGGTTCGACAGGCCGCCGAAGCCCGACGACATCCAGAGCTGGCTCTTGCGCTGGGCCGCCTTCTGCTGCTGGCTCTCGCCTCCCTGCGCGTTGTTGCGCTCGTTCCAGTCCTTGAGGTCGGCGCCTGCGCAAAAGGCGCGGCCCGCGCCGGTGAGGATGGCGCAGCGCAGCGATGGCTCCTCGTCGTACCAGCGGAAGAGTGCATCTAGGGCGATGTGGCCCGCCGGCGGGATAGAGTTGAGCTGCTTGGGGCGGTTGAGGGTGACGAGGAGGATGTGAGGCGACGGGAAGCTGATGATGGCATTGGGGACCTCGGGAGGAGGCAACTCCAGCGACTTGGGGAGTGGCGACATTTTGCAGACCTTGAAGCAAGACTTGGTGATTTGTGTGCTTGACTGGGCAATTGAAAAGGTAGGAGACCAGAAAAACGAGATGAAGTTGTCTGATTCTGGAGGCGTTCAGAAGAAGACTGTGCGTCTGAAGGTCAGGTTGCTCTCGATGATTTGTTGGAAGCCTTGATTGAATAAGCAAGCTGTCTGAACAGCCTGGGGACGTGCGGGCGACACAAGCTGCAGATGGAGACAAAGAGATTGGTCCAAGTAAAAGACCTCTCTTTAGAGTCAAGTGGCAATTGGATAACCCGAACCTCTCAAAAAGACCAGAGATTTGATGTCGTTGGTTGTTTTGTTTGAGGTCTGACAACCAGACGCAGCTTGAGCTTTCCCCAGATTTCAGGCGGGGACGGCAATCAACGTGCTGGTCGAGCTTCCTTCCCCGGATTAGTTTAGCCGAGGCACACTTTTGATTGATCTCCATCAAGTAAGTCCTCGGATATCTATCTCTTGGTGCTACCTACACCAAGACACAGAAAATACATCAATGATGTCCACTTTTGCTACTGGAGACTGAATTATTGTATCCTTTGTACACTGTAGCACAGCGTCATGCCTGACTGAGGTCAGCCAAACCAGTTTGACCGACCTTTCCAGGATGAGACTGTCGCTGTCGCCATCCCATCAGTGTAGTCTTCTTAGGTTTAAAGAGTTCAGTCACAAGGCTTCTATCGGTGATTACTTTTAACGACCTTCAGTGGCCAAGCATTCTGTCTCTGATAATACATATTAAAATTGTTATCAAGGTATCTCCTAATGCCACCATGCAATACCGCAAAAAGATGATGATGGAACCCCGTGAACTCCCAAACCCAAGAAACTCCAAAACAAGAGCCTCCGTTTTTGCCTCTTCATTTCTTCTCTCTCTCTCCTCAAAACGACTAGATTAGGCAGGCAAGCCACGCTGCTCGCACTCGGTAAAGAAGATAACCATGCGCCAAAGCTTCTTGACCAAGTCCTCTGCCGCCTCGTCCAGGGCCTCGCCCAGCTCCTCCACGAGGTCCTTCGGCTTGCCGTGTTTGCGCAGGTGCTCCTCGACCACATCCACGAGGAACTCTTCCTGCACACCGAGGTACTCCATGACCTTCTTCTCAACAAACGGCCGCAGCTTGTCGCCGATGATGGAGTCGTCCAGGTAGTCCCACTTGACATCCCACGCCCAAAGACCCTCCTGATTCGTCGGGATCTCCTGCGCGAGAGCCCGTACGGCCTTGGATACTTCCTCCTCCGACATGCCGCTGCTCGACGTCGGCTCGAACTTGATCGGGACGAGCTGCCGCTTGACCGTCGAGTCCTGTTCCTCGTCGTCCAGCAGGCCCTCCACTTCGGCAACTGTTCTCCTGTTCCCGGCTGTCCGGGCCTGTGCCTTCTGAGCGGCGGCACCAAATGAAATTGTAAATCGCTGGGGAGCTGCCTCCGCCGCTGCTTGTTGCTGCTCCATTTCTTTCGCCTGCTTCTCCAGGAACGAGTCGGCCATGCCTCTAGCCGCCTCCATCTCTGCCTCCTGCCTCCGCCGCTCGTCGGCCTCTGCACGGCGGTCGCCTTCGTCTCTTGCGGCTTCGGCATTTCTCTCTTGCACCCGTTTCCGGACCCAGCCTGCGTGATCGCGGTAGTAGGGATGTGACTTGCGACTGGCCTCGCGCTCGTCGTCCCAGTTCTTTTCGCGCTCCAGATGCTCCTCTCGTCTCCTCTCCGCATTATCCAGCTCTGCCTTGTCGCGATCCTGTTCGCGCTCCAGGGCAGCGGCCCGCTGGCGCTCCCGGTTAACCCATTTCCGCTCGGCCTCAAGGTACAACTTATCGTCCTCAGCCTTCTGACGAGCAAGTTCACGCCTGTTCAGCTCCTCGTCGCTGGTGTCCGTGTCCTCGTCATCTCGGTTCCAGTTGTCGCCGTTTGATATCCCCCCGTTGACAAAGTTCATGCCCCTGGGACCTGACGGCGCATTGGGAACACCGCGAGGGCCGAGCGGGATGTTATTGCTACCCGCAGGAGGTGAATCGAGACGTGAAGGTCGAGAGCTACTATTTCGTTGCCGCTCTCGCTCCTCCATCTCCTCCTCGCGTTTGAGACGCTCCATGTCCCGACGGTTGCTTCGCTCGCGGAAGGCTGCAATCTCTTGAGCGACGACCTCTCGCATCTCTGCCGGGATATCTGCCAGCTCGTCTTCCTGAGCGAGCGGGATGTTGATGACCTCGACATTCTCTCCGTTCTGCCCCGACTCGCCCATGGCCACGTCGCCATCGCCGTCCCGCGCCTTGTGCACCGGAGGATAGAACAAATCGCGGATGAACTGCCCCAGCGTCGACCTCGCCGATTCTACTCGCGCATTGAATTCGGATTCCGCCTCGTCGCCTCTGCCCTCCTTGTAAGCCTCGAGGAACTTCAGAGTGTTAGGGTCAACGGAGACCTGAAGCTGCACCTTGTCGATGCCCTCGAAGTCTTCGCTGCCGTTCTTCGACTCGTCCTCGCTGGGCTCCTGCTTCTTCAGAGGCACGCTGACATCCTTGAGCAGTTCAACAGCGACAGCCAGAGAGTCTGGGTCCTCAAATTGTGCGAAGCCAAAGAGCTCACCCTTGTGGTCTGAAAGTTGCGACTTGGACGACTCCCACCGTCGCACCTTGCCTACAGTCGCGAGCAGCTTCTCGACGCTGGCATCGCTGCTGATGCTCTCGGGGATCTTGTGAAGGAAGATGGTCCTGAGCTTCTCTTCGTTCGAAGGCGGCGCTGCCGATTGCATGCTCTCGCGGAGGTTCTGGCGAGCCTGCTCGATCCCGCCTCGTTCTGAGCCGAGGCCGGGGCGATGAGAACCACCCGACGGACCGTAGCCTGACTCCTTCTGGCCTGGGGCGGGAGAACCGCTAGGCTTTGCGGGAAGGGACGTCGCGCCGAGGCGGATCACGGGGGCGTTGAAGTTGATGTTGGGCAGGTTCGGAGGCGGTTGGAAGGAAGGTAGGCCGCTTGGTCGATTAGCTTGCGTCGCACTATTGGACTGCTGGACACCAGGAGGTGGTGCCATTCCCGGGGCGGAAGACATGCCTGGGGGCGGGCCTGTGGAAGAGGTTAGAAGCTTGCGCGATGCGTGTTATGGGAAGTGAGCAGGCTCCGTCCAAACGTACCTAAACCCGGGGGCGGTGCCATTCCCGGAGCTGCATTGGCGCCTGGAAAAGAGTTAAAAGCCGGAGGCGCTCCGTACGGCGGAGCTGCAGGGCGAGATGTCAGTGCAGCCTTGCGAGAGCAGAATGCGACGCGAACTTACCTCCGTAGGGATTGTAGGCCATCTTGAACCAATCTCGTGTTCCTCCTCCTCGTTTGCTGCAATCACTATTCCCGAATAAAGGTTCGCTGAAGATGCTGTAGAGTCACAGGGCAGCTGCTCGTCGATCGCTCCAGATAGTTGCTGAGGTGTGGTGATGGAGGGCGGATGCGACAGCTTTGTTATCGCTCCATGGGTCCAACTCATCAATGTCTGCAGCAAGGTGGACTTGGCAGGGAATTTTTGGCGTTGGTTGCAGCGGATCGGACTTTTACGCAACCGATGACCCACTTCTTCGTTGTTACTCCAGCCAGGTCCATGTACCTTTGTACGGTACTTACACCTACGAGTGACATGGCCAGAAAATAATATCGCCTGTCGGCTTGGGGGAAGCTCCAAAAGTCGTCTCCCATCAATCTTTCGCGTCACGACCAACAATTGAACGGCCTTCAAGTCGCAGAACTTCTTCGTAAGCGCCCCTCCAACTCGTCAATCCGCCTCAATCATTAACGTCCTTTCTCATATCCAGTAGAGATGGAGTTCCGGCAGGCGTTCCAGTGCCTGGGGCGCACCGCGGTAGCGAGGTGGCAGCCCCCAGCCAGAGCCATCACCCCATCACCAAGGCTCTTCTCAACATGCTCACATCTCCTCGCCCCTCCGCGTGCGTCCTCCCCGATATCCCGCTCCGCGCCCGCAGCCCGATCGGCAGGCGCCACGGCGCCCTCCTCCACCAAGGGGGAGCAAAAGCCCAACCTCTTCAGCGCCCCGGCTCCCTGGGACGTCCGCCCCGGCGGCAAGGACACAACCAATGCCGCCGGCACCCCCAAGCAGCGCACCGCGTCCCCTACCACTACGTCGCCGCTATCAGAGATGCTCTCGTCCGACGACCCCGCGAGCATCGCCACCTTCACGCAGTTCAAGATCGACGGCTTCTGGGAGAACTACGCCAAGAAGCGGGAGCTGCCGGCCCTACGCCTCAAGCCCTCCACCGGCCGCACGGTCTACGTCAGCGGGCACGTCGACGTCGCTCGCTCCTTCCAGCTGCTTACGACCCTGTGCCGGCGGAACAAGGTGTCGCTGGACCTGGCCAGGCAGCGCTTCCACGAGCGGCCCGGCCTGAAGAGGAAGAGACTCAGGAGTGAGCGGTGGCGGGGACGGTTCAAGGAAGGGTTCAAGGCGACATGTGCACGTGTCCAGGAGCTGAGGAAACAAGGATGGTAGAGAGGTTGGCAAGGCATATGGTGGACGGCCAGTGTATGACCATTGTCACGGTGAAGAACATGTACAATTAACAAGATCAAAAGTCTCATGTGTCAATAGAGAGAACATTTTACAAGCCTGAACGTGTTTGAAACGTGAGCATTATTCTGATACATAGTCACACCCGCTTGCTCTACTCATCGTTCCATGCGGCCCTGGCAGGACTCGGCGCAGGGCTGGTTTTGATCCTGGGCCGACTCTTGAAGATGGCTTCAGCATCTTCCTCGCCAGCCATGAGCAGCTCCTCTGTCAACATGGCACTTGTGTCCGCCTCCTCCACGACCGGATAGAAGCTGCTGCTCTCCTTGCGCGAATATGATGCAGACGGCATGTGCCGCGACCGGCGCTGCGACCGCCGCCGCTCCACCTGGGCCTTCTGCCGTGCCGCCTCGAATCCGACCATGCTCCTGCGCGTTCGGGCGATGAGGTCTTCGTACTCCTCGCCCTCTCCCTTCGAGTCTTCGCTCGCCTTGCTCTGGGCTTGCGCGTTGGTATTGCGCTTGATGGCCAGAGCCTCAAAGCCAGCCTCGTCATCCTCATCGATCGTAGTGGATCGAGAGCCCCGGGCCATCGACATTCGTGTTCTTTCTGCCAAAGAAAGCGTGTGACGGGGTTTCTTGCCTGGGGAAGGGGAGGTATTGTTCATCGAAGCGAGAATCTGATCAGCCATCTCTTGTGTAGGCGAGAGGACTTGCTTAGGAGACTGCACTGAAACTTGCGGAGTGATCTGCTTTCGCGGCGATCGCCTGGGCGACGGCGTGCGCACCGGTGATCGCACTGGAGAGATAGGAGGTGACTTGGACTGTGGACTCGGGGGCGGCGAGATCTTTTGCAAAGACAATGGCCGTCGTCTGTCTGGTGATCGCGGCACATCCTCAATCTCCTCATATTGTGTACGGTTGCGAGACATAGTCGTGCCAGCCGCCTTTCGTGGCGGGCCAGGTTGAGCAGCGGTTCGTCTTGTGATAGTCTCAACATCCTCTCTGACTGGAGGCGGTGGCTGAGGTTCCTCTTCGTCCAGCTCGCTCAGTTCAGAAATCGGCTCCTCGTCCGCGCCTGGGTCCACTGTCAAATGGTCGGTGGAGGGCACACGCTGCCGCCTGTTCGCGTGCCCGAATAGTGCCGATAGGGGGTTCGGAGGAACCCGATCAATCTCGGCCAGTTCATCTTGCAACTGTGTGACCATGCCGAGGTACTCGCCTCCGAGCGTCGCAGAGTTTCGGATTGTCAGTTTGCGCGGGCTAGATCTGCCGATATTGAGGCTTTCGTGCGCTTTGAACCCCAGGTCGATGCCCTTCTGATGCTTGTGGGAGTCGCTGCGCTTCTCCACCGCCTCTCCAGCGCCGCTCACCATCTTGGCATGATATTTCTGCCACTGCTCGAGCCTCGCTCTCTGCGTCTTGACCCTGCTTTCCAGCTGCTCTAACAGGCCTGCACTGCGGTCCTCGAGCTCTGAAAGCCGGTTGGCCTCCACTCTCCTCCAGACCCGATCGAACGGAGCAGTCAGAACACCGTCCCTTTGCAAGCTAGCGTCCCCATGCAAGAGAGCCTCCATCCACTGCTCGTTTCCAGTCCAGTTATGTCGCACGGTGCTCCATAACCGCCTCTTATCGTCCTCGGTCACTGGTTCGGTTCCTGACTTGCTCGATTCGCTGGCCGACTCCCTTGCCTGTTCCCTCCTACGAGCGATACTCCGTTCCTTCAGGTCGAGAAGCTCTGCAAAGTCCGTGTATCTAGTCCTTGCTGCGTGCTTGTCCTTCAAGATGCCCGCTAGAGAAACACGGTGCGCTAAGATCAGCGCGCGCAAGTCATTGCGCTCGCCCGTGTAGCCGCGGTTCTCGAGAGCCAGCGTTTGGGCTATTGCCGGATGCTCCCCACTGTTGAGCCGGTCCTCCGCAACGACTTTCTTGAGCACGGCCGACGAAAACACGGCGAGCACTTCCTCGAGACGTTCGCCCTTGCACTCGTCCAGCATGGTCTTGCGCACAACCGCATCACGACCGAGCACCCCATTCTTCTTGGCCTGCTCGAGGGCCCGGAGCAGGGCGGCGCGGAGGTTCAGCGACTGAACATGATCGAGTGGCGGAAAGAAGGGCTGCAGCTTCTGCAGACGCACTATGTCAGTACTGACCTTGGCAGAGTCGGATTGTTTGCTCGGATTGCAAGCTTACATTTCGTGCCTCTTCGCGATCCCATATTGCAAAGAGCTGAAACAATGCCCACTCGACGCATTGGATCCGCTTCTTCTGGCCCTGGCCGAGGTCGCGGGTCGAAAAGGTATGGGAGCTGATGTCTGGCCAGTCTGGAAGCAAGTCTAGGTCGAGGAGGCGCAGGTTTGTGAGGAACAGTGAGATGTTTGACGTGGTGCTCGTGTTTTGCGCGGTAGCGGCCGTTCCGACGCTGGCCGATGCCGTGGTCGACCCGCTGCTTATCGAGGCTGTTGATGCGAGCGGCTTGCTCGAGTTGGCTGGCACGCGGCTGGATCTAAGGCGGGAGACGGACTGGGTAGACTGGAATGTGGCCATGACGACATTGTATACAAGGGGCAAGACTTCGTCGAGAGGGAAAGGCAGGTGTCGTGGTTGTGCTGTGATGAGCAAGAAAAGTCCAGGGCCAGAGCTCGAGGCTAAAAAGTAAACAATCAATTCGGCCTGGAGACTCGTCCAACAATTGACGAGTTGCGGTCAGGGCAGATGCGGGGCTTGATTAGCGGTGAATTAGCACCCTTGCGCGGCATTGGGGGGACCCACAGGCGGGTAGGCTAGGCTAAGTTTAGTGCCCATGCCCCTGGAGAATCTCCAGGCTCGAAAGGTGCAGTGAGGTGATAGGTCGGAAATCACCATCAATGGGAGCGATTTGTGAATATCAGTCAAGTACCTAACGCTGTTGGATCTGATGCATGGATACTTGCCTTACCTCCTATGAATGCCCTTGGATTAGGTAGTCCCTACATCTAGCAGAGCAAGTGCTAAGGATCTAAACAGCAAACACCTGTCTTTTACCAGTCTGAGGAGTTCAGTCCAGGGGTGCGTAAGCCACAGCGCAAGCAGTCATCACGGAATACAATGGCAATTGAATCAACTCTGGATTCCCTTTTGGGCTTGATGACATATATCATGACGAATATTAAACACACCGCGAGAATCCATAGCCTTCAGACTGTTTCAACAGTACATGACCAGCGAAGAATGCACTTTTGAACAACTCGATCATCTCCCTCATGTTGAAAGTCACCAACCAGCCATCGCCGAGAAACCTAGCCTCCAAGTCAGATTGTCAAAACAACGCAAAAGACAGAAAAGCCCCCCAAGAAGAAGTATCCTATCCTTCCCAAAAGAAGCCTCCAAGGGAACCAAGACATCAATGCACAGCCCAGCCAGTCCGCGATTCAAAGAAACTGCCATGGAATAAAGAATGGCACATCCTTCGACGACGATGCTTCTGCAGGAGGTGCAGGAGGAGCTCTCGAGGGTTCTGGTACAGGGGTTGATACATCCATTGACGAGGATGCCTCTGCAGACCCCTCCGGTGCAGGTTCTGGCACCTTCTTCGACGATGATGCTTCCGCCGGAGGTGCAGGAGGAGGTCGTTCCGGTGCGTCAGGTGCCATCGAGCGTCCTGGGACAAGGCTTGGTACATGCAGTGACGAGGATGCTTCTGCAGGGGGTGGAGGAAGAGGTCTTTCTGGTGCTGGAGGCTCTTTTGACGGCCCTGCAATAGTAGGCAGTCTCGAAGGTCCTGCAATAGTCGACAGATCCAGTGATTGATCCAATGCTGGAGTGATGACAATTTCAGGCAGTTCCAGTGGAGGATCGATTGCTCCCCCCATCAGCGGTTCCGGACCAGGAGGATCATCAGCAAGTTGCTTGCCCTTGCCCTTTCCCTTATCATGCTCAGTGCCTGGTATCGGTTGCGGCTGATCCTGCTCTTGCTGCGGGTGCTTCTTCTTGTGGCGTTTCCTTATCCACATCAGCACCGCCAGGGCCACAGGCCACACAGGCAGAAACAGAATGGAGTAAATAACAGTGGCGGCCCATTGCATCTAGCCGCGGGCAGGATGCGTGCGTATAATGTGGACAAAGAGGATGCACCAGCCGATCAGGTAATGTAGAGCGGCGAAAATCATGAGAACAATAAAAAGCGGTGGTGAGATGTTTGCGGGGAAGAAACTCGTGCTGGAATCGGTCGATGTGGAATTGTCGGGGATGGCTGAAGCCATTTTGAAACCGCCGGATGCCTCTCGTAGGACTGGAAATCTTTTGCAAAAGACGATATGCTGGATATTGAAGCAGAGAAAAAAAGAACAAGCTGCACACCGGGATAATCAGACACAAGAACAACTATTGCGGAAATTACTGATGGAATCGAGTGACGCCGCGGCGATATCCGTCGTCCCAGTCGAGAATTCTGTTTCGAGGGCAGGGAGAGGGCGATTGACCATCGCAGGATGGGTTCTGATGTGCCGCTTCTGGGTACGCGAGCGTCTCTGCCGAATCAGAGTGTGCCTCTTGGTAAGGGCCAGCAAGCTGGTAAGGAGCAGCCGCCTCTGGAAACGGATTCTGGCTGTTGTTGAAGGGTGTCTGGAGCGCGGCTTCTGGATAAGCGATCGGCGCATGCATGGCCGGATACGGATGCGAGATCTGAACGGGAAGGACGTGAGGTGTTTGTGACGGGTTGCTCGCTGGGAAGTCAGCTTGGGGGTGGCCTTCTCCGTGGCTCTGTGGGAGAACATGGAAAGAGGGCTGGAGATCCTGGAACTCAATATCCTCCTGATTGAAGCCGGCGGCGAGTGAAGGATGCTGAAGCCGGGCAGGCGGCAGCCGTCGCATAATCGGCCACTGGCAAGTGTAGGTTGCGCGCTCCTCATCTTGACCGAAGCAACAGGGGAAACAGGCAGAGAAGCAGGGTGCGAGCCAGTAGAAGACCACACGCAGAGGGCGGCCAAGACAGATGCCCAGAGCAGTGAATGGCCAGAAGAGGCCGGCAAGAATGATCCAGGCCTTTTTAGCACCGCTCAGGCGGCTCGCTGGCCACGGTTGCTCGCCGTGAGCGTGGAAGAATGTGGTGATAAAGAATATCACCCCGATCGCGTACGCGCTCACGCCGAATGCCACCCCCTGGGCCATGGTAACAGCCATCAAGGCCAAGGAGAGATGGGTATGCAATATGAACTTGCGAAATGGAGCACTGGAATGAAGGAACAGTATATAGACTGGATGGCAAGCAGTGGAGAGACGAGATGGAGATAGACTGGATGGAAATGGAGATGGAGATGTTGATGTGGTTGTTGATGTGGTTGTTTCGCGCGACCGCCAGGAACCGCGTCGTTGCGAGATTCTAGATACTAGCTCCGTTCTGGGAGCTTTTGTCCCTCTGGCCTCAGGGGTCAACTCCAAGGTGAGAAGAAAGTGAGTTCTGTGATGTTTGGTGTTCAAGCACCAAGACTGCGAGCCTCTTTGCCATGCCTCCCCACAGCTAGCATTCAAGAACCCCCTTGTCAGCCATCTTAGTACCATGCAATTTGTTTCACAAGGGAAGGGAAGCTGTGTGTAGATGGAATAGAATGCTATACAATGTCCTGGAAATGCCATGTCTTATATCTGGACTGGGGAGATGCCACCAGAAGCAAAAAAGAAATAGGGGGGGAGAACAAGATCACGCCTGAATCAGCGTGAGGGCAGAGAGAGTGCCGCGTCTGCATGAAACAGACAATATTCTAGCTCTTCAACACCATTTGGGCTTCAGTGCTGTGGCCAAGGAGGCAGACGTACCATCCATGGGTTCTCCTCCTCTCTGTGAATGTCCAGCTTGCACCTCATCCCCAGTACCCATCCTCCCACAGCTCCTTGCGATAGCCCGCTGTCAATCGCTCATCTTGAGCAAACATCTCCTGCCAGCCCACAAACCCCCTGTCCAGAACATACACCTTTTGCTCTGTGCTCCTGCCTCCTTTGTCTTCGCCCTTCAGCTCTTCAGCCGCTGCGTCTCCAGATGCCTCCAGTTTAGACGACTTGCCCAAGATGCCATCTCTCTCGCGCATGTACCTCAGTGCCGCCCCTGGGCCCCTCTGTTGCGACAGTGCGCAGTGAAAGACGACCATGCTCTTGTCCTCGAGCTTGCGAACCAGTGTGGGGAGCATGGCGTCCAGACTGCGGGAGGGGAAATGCAGAGAGCCTTTGATGTGACCCCCAATGTGGTCTGTCTTCTTGTTAGTGGATTGTAGACAGACAAGAAAGTGCCGCGAAAAGAAAAGGGAGACTGCATACCATCATCACGGACATCCACGACAGCAACCTTTGGGTTTGCAGCGAGCTGCTCTGCTAGCAGGATGTCAGACAGGGCCGTGGCCGATATCCGCTGGAGATTGGCGATATTGGCCATTGTGAGGGTCGAGTAGTGGTGCCGAGGTCGTAGTAGCTTGGAAAGCATCCACAGTATAGTAAAAAGAGACGAATTCCAGGATACTCGAAGCTTGTGATCTATGAGAGTCTTCACCAAAAGTTGGAGTGTCGTCGCAAACCCGGAGCCGCTCTGCAGGGATTCTCTAGGGCGATCGGCATAGCAGCCCCACCGCCTCACCCTTGGTCTTGGTGGCATGTCATTCCATCACCAACCCTGCAAAGTCTCGGATATTGAGACATCCATTTATGTGTGCAATAGTGCCAAGAGACTGTACACTGCAATTCAATTCATAAGGGCAAAAATTGCTCTCTATGATTGTACCATGCTCCAAAAAACTGCCAAAACTACCTGTTTCATGTACCAGCCCTCTCCTAGACGCCATGCATCAAGTACCTAGGTAATTATCAAACATCAAACTCAAAGCGTTACTCTATGATGAACCCATTCTTCGCTGTCTTTGAGGCATCGCCGCCCTTGTCCTTCTCCTCCGCACCCTCGTCAACCTTCAGTACTCCGCCCTCCGGCCCGCTCGTTTTGACACCCTTGAGCGAATCCTCATCGCCCTCCTTGCCAGCCCCCCTACCGCTGTCGTCCTCCTCAGGCGGCCCAGTGATGCTGCTCGCAGCGCTCACGTCGGCGCTGTCGGGCGACGTGACCCTGAGGCCCAGCTTCTTCTGCCCCGTGTCTTCGCCCGTGTTGTCCTCGCGGTTCGCGCCCTTCCAGTCCGCCGCCTTCATCTGCGGCACCGGCTGCCCCTCCGCCGGCTCGTCTTCCACCCGTAGCTTAGGCAGGCCCTCGCGCTGCGCCTCCTCGGCGGACTCGCCCGTGCCGGCGACCCTCCAGACCACGGCGATCCGGTCCGCCGCCCTCGTGCCCCGCCTGCTGCTCCCCTTGATGCCGTCCATTTTGTCCCAGTCGATCTCAAACACCCCGCTCGTGTCTGGCTTGCCGTCCTGCTCGGGCCCGTTGCCCTCAAAGAAGGCGTTGAACCATACGTGAGCGACCGACGTGACCATCGTGAGACCCATGGCTGCGGGCGGCCTCGTCCGCCTCTCGAGGTCGATGTTGACATCGCCGTTGGGCACTCGCACGGGCGTGACGGCCTTGAAGATGACGGCCTGCCCGCCTGGCTCGTCAGACGCCGCGAACGTGTTGGTCCTGCCGGCGCTGGAAAGGTTTGTCTGCGACTGCCCCGGCCCTGAGCCCCCGGAAGCAGAGGCGCTGGCGCTCGAGTTGAGTGAGGCGGCCGATCCGGCTGGCAAATGCGACGTGTCGATGGTCTTGCCCCTCTTAGGCGGCAGGCTGTCGTCGCGCTTCTTAGATTTGGACAGCTTGCGCATGATTCCCGCCGCCTTGTCGAGCTTCTTCGATTTCGTCCGCGTCGGCAGGTCGCTTTTAGACTCCGTCTTGCTGCTGCTCTCGCTGTCCTTGTCTTTGGAATCGGTCTTGTTCTCCGCGATGGCATCGTAGTCGGCGTGCTCTGCAATCTCGGCGTCTCCCTCGAGAGGAGCCACATACCCAGCCATGTCCGTCACCATGTCGAGCACGCCTCCGCCCCCCGGCGCGTTGCCCTCGATGACGTAGCGCTCGTCCGACTTGAACGTGTGGAAATTGTGGATCTTCTTGCCCTCCTCAACGTAGCCCTGCACCGACACCTTGACGCCGTTCCTGAGCCCCCAGACGTGTATCTCGACGATCTCGACCTCCTGGTCCACGTACTTCTTGCCGTGCCGCGTCCACCTGTCCACATAGCTGATCGTGCGCAGCTGCGAGGGGATCGACACGCCCGAGCCGAAGCTGGGCCGCATCCTTCTCGACGTGAACCTCTCCAGGGCGTCCTGCGGCGTCCACCCGCGCTGCGAGATGAGGTAGTTGCAAGCCATGGTGCCGGAGCGGCCCTTGCCCGCCTTGCAGTGGACCACGATCACCCGTCCGCTGCCCTTGCCCTTGTTCCGCGCCGGCTCGTCGTCGACGTCTTCGACCATGGGCCCGTGCAGGTCCCCGCCGGCCATCCAGTTGCGCATGCTCGCCACGATCATGGGCACGAGCCGGAAGGGCGGCGGGTGGTGGTCGGGCCACGGGTAGTGCCGTATGCGCCCGTAGACGGCCTCGTCCGGGTAGCCCGTGCCCTCGGCGCGGAACTCCCATATCGCCCAGTTGTCGCCGTGCTTGGAGTCGAGGTACGCCACGAGGTGGTCGAGCGGGTTGCGGTAGGCGCGCTGCGGATACGTCTGCGAGGGACCTGAGCTGGTTTGGAGGTCATCCTATGTGTTAGCGTACGTGTGTTTTTAGATGCGACCAGGCTACTGTCGAAGAAGGGGCCAACCTACGTTGCGATGAGGTCCGAGGTGACATAGCAGAGATCAAGACCGGTCTCGGCATGCTTGGCACGCGGACCGGCCACGATCTGGCGCAGCAGCGATGTCATGAAGAAGAGGCAGCGGCCTCGTCCAGAGGGACCCTGAGGCACGTGGGATCGGAATTGTTGGACTGGCGACTGGCAGCAACAACAAGCAAGTGATCAAACATGCAAATGCGGTGTTGGTCGTGATGCTGGTATTCTCGGGTTTCGTGTCGTCAAGATGCACGCGAGCAAATGAAAAGACTAGGCCAGAGGCTGCCTCTTTGGCAAGGCGGGCTCAATCCATCCCATGGTTGCAGATGCGACGTCATCGAGCTCAGCTGAGGTGTGTGTGTGTGGTGTGGTGGCTCGCGCGTACCGTCATTAGTGGGACGCGGGAGGGCGGGTCTTGGCGTCAACAGGCATGCAAGTCCGGTCAAAGGTCAGACTCACATCACTGCTAATCCATCATGCACACAGGAGGATAGGCACCAAGCTGCGCTGCTTCAGGTGAACGAACCTTAGAAAACGAGTAAACAACAATGAACAAGAGGTGGTTGGAAAGAGCAGCATACAAAGAACAAACAAGTCTTGCCTCGTTCTGCTCCGACCAACTCCAGCGTCATGTAATAAACCTAGACCACACAGACTGATGATGATGACGACGACAACGACGATAATAACATGAGGATAAACTCCTCTGTTTTCCTCCTGACACCCTCCATTCTTGAGTATCTCCCTCAAAGCCCCGTCCCAAGTCCTGCAGCCGCATCGGCCGCCATACCATTCCTTTCCCCTGCCCTGCCCTGCTCCGGGTTTGTTCAGCAAGCCTATCGCATGTACCCCCAACCAGTACTTGGAGGTTGCGCTAGCATGAGTCTTGATGAACTTGTATAGGTCGAGTACAGCTGTCGCCACAGTGTGCACATCATACTGTTCGCAAAGAGTGCTTGTGGTTTTGAAGTGTCAAGAGGCCTGTGCCGTACTGATTGTCTGATGTGCAGGCCTTTGCGAAAGTACGCCACGTCTTTATGACGACTTTTTGGGGAGGGCAGAGCCGGCCTTGAAGCGGTTGAAGTCGGTGACAGAGTGGAACTGGCGCGCGCCGCCCTTGATGCTGTCCCAGACCTGGCGGGCAGCCGGAGGAGTGCCCTGAGCCCCCGTCAAGTTGTCGACACGGGCCTCAAGCTGCGCGAAAGAGTTCTGCACATGGACACTCTGAGAGAAGCGGGCTCGCAGGAAGGTGGTGTAGAGAGCAAGCAGGATCCACGACCGGCGCTGGAAGAAGATGGCGGCAAGCAGGAGGCGGATCCAGAGCAGAATCTCGAGGCCGGAGACAACAGACATGGAGGTGTCGTAGTACTCCTTGACAAAGCTGCCGATGGACTCGGCAGCTGGGTGAGGTGCATACTGGGGCTTAGCGCTGGGGGAGGCACCGGCCGCGGGGGCGATCTGCTGGGGCGGCGAGAGGGTGGGGATCAGGTTGGCGCGGGTGTAGGTCGCAACGTGGAAGACCGAGTAGATGCCGTAGGGAAGCATGGCGAGAGGATACTGGGGCGAGAAGAGCCAGACCAAGGCCATGACTGGGTAGGGAAGGACGTTAGCCAATGTGTGTCCACTTCTGGAGGGGGGCATTGAGGGTGCAACCTACGCAAGTACTGCACATTCTCATCGGTGAGCAGGCCGATAGGGCCGCCAAAGCCCTGCCTGGACTTGGTCCTGGCACGCAGAGTCTTGTAGACGACAATGCCGTATGTGGCGGCGGCAGCGATAAAGGCAACACGGTAGGACAGCTGGGCCATGCGGGTATAGTAGTGCATGCGGATCCACGAGAACGAGTAGCGCGTGATGCACAGGATGAGCGTCAAGTGTCTGTGTTCAAGAGAAAGTGAGCATTTGTCTTGCAAAGTCGTGCGAATCGGGAACATGGCCTCAAACGTCAAGGCGGACAACCTCGCGTGCTCGGCATGAGGACAGACAGCTCGGAGCTAGGCGGGACGGGGCACAGGCGAACAAGGGGAGCTCTATCGACATACCCGACGAACCAAGCGACTAAGTTTCCTGCATGTCAGCTCTGCATTGCAACGGAATGAGCTCGGTAGAGGGGGGAAGACATACACTGCAGGGTCTTGGCCAGAGTCAGCAGCCTCTCGGTCAGAGGCAGGTTGGCGGGCGGTGGAGGAGCCATTGTCGATCGCGATCAGAGGCCGACGAGAGAAACTACCTTGGAGATGTTGAAAAAGGCTGTATTTGATTCGAGATCCGCTTCGGAGCTGTTACGCAGCACGCAGGGAGGTCTGGGGTGGTATGAAGCGGTGGTGATCGTGATGTTGAAGTCGTTGGAGTGGGAAGGCGGAAGATTTGGAGGCGAGGTGAGCGAGGTGGGCAAAAAGGTGCACGGGTGGCTGGTGACGGAATGCAATCGAAATCGTCAAGTGTCCCCAAGAAAAAGAGCACCAGCAGCTTTGGCTCTGGAGCTGGAGCTGCTGTCAGGGCACTAGCACCACTATCAAGATTTAACTACGTTCGAGCCAGCTGGTCGGTGCGTCACCACCGCGCCAAGAAAACCGGGCGGGTTGCTTCTGTATGTAGAATCAGAGCCCTCCAGCCCACCAATGCTCTGCTAGCACGCCCCACGCTCTGACGACAGGCCCCATCCACAGCGAGCCAACCCAGCTGAGGCCGCTCCCTCCGGGCCATCTGGACCCTGGCTCCTGGATCACGTAATGAAAGCCCCGAAGCAGCAAGCTCTAGCCGCTGTAGGAGGAGGGTTTCCAGGGCCGTGGGAGGCGACGATCCTTCTGCTCCCACAAAAATGAAAATAGCGAAGGAGAGCACATTATTCGATAAATGCCGACAGACTTGGAATATCTTGCAATTGACGAGCAGCTGGCTGCAGTACATGGACTTGAGACTGGGGAACCATCGTTCAGGAGGTACTAACGCAGTCTACTTGCAAAGTACTCAGGCTACTTAGGTACTAGATAGGTCCCTTAGGTATCAATGATGCATTTCAAGATGGTGAGAGCCACTCTGGCTTCGGAGCTACTGGAAGAGCTAAGTATTTATTTGATTAATTGCCTTGATTTGACAGGCTGCAGAAGCTGCGGATTGGAACGCCACACTACGTTCGTCATCGTCATTTAGAGCGCGCCTGGGCAGCATGCATTTTGCCTGTCCCATTCTACCTCCTAATGCAGATCTACTTGTAGGTAGACACTTTCCAGTCAATCGAATCATCATGTGAAAGTGGCTGATAGCAACCGACCAGTCGTACAGGTTTGGCCGCATGTCATCGCACCACGACATTTGAGCAACAATCTCAGGCCTATGCCCTCATTATCGCTTTTGTTCCCGCCTTTCGATACCTTAAATGTACTCATAGATACCTTAGATGAAAGAACACGGACACGAGGCAGAGATGGATAGATAGTGACACTACAACTAATGGCGAGCAGCACTCATCCGTCCAAAGGCAAGCCTAATACGTCGGCTTCATTTACGGAGTATGCAGGATGCATCCACTGCCTCCCTACAATCTTGGCGGCCCAGGGGATGCCATCCCGCAAACCACAATTCGGTCGCCCGGCTCTTAAGCATAATTCTTCGTCCCCTGAAGACCCCGGTCAGTCCGTACGGTACAGCATGTCTGTACTTGGTCCAGATAGAGTCAATCTCCCTTCCTCTGTACTCCGTGAGCCCCTACTTGAGCTGGTGGTGTACAGGCCGACAACAAACTAATACGCGCCGCTTCCCGAGTTGCAATGAAAACGCGCGACGACGCCGACGACGCTGCTATTCGCATCGACTTGACTCCCGTCGACGGCGCGTCAAGCCGGCGCCCCGCTATCGCAAACCAATTTGGTGAGTGCTACCTCTTGGGGTGTCGCCACCATCAAGAGACCAACGACTTTTTTTTCCCCTCCCATCGTCGACTGCTTGCCCCTAAACGCCCTCGTTCACTCTCCTCGCGTGCGCCTGTCTCCCTCCGAGGCAATTGTGTTTTGCGCAATGCACAAGTCCATGCAGCAATCAATATAACTAACATCAAAGCGTGCTCGCCTCGCTCGCCAGCCCCTGCCGCCATGTTGCTGCGCATGCCACGGCGTGTGGCGCACATCGCCGCCGTCCTCTCCCTCACGACGATCGCCCTGTGGCTCGCCGTCACCTACAGGAATGCGCCATTCCTGCATCGGAGTCCTCTGCCCGCTCCTCCGCCGCCCCCTGAGCCGCCAAAGTTTGACCTCTTCGGCCTCAAGGACTTCGACGCCGAGGTCGAGATCTCGTATTTGAACCTACGGCCAAAGTTCATCGACGAGGAGCCGCCCCTCGCGCAGCAGCTCCAAGGAAGTCTGCCCGCCTTCTCGACTATCCGCTTGGACACCAACACCTCGATTGCCGACGAGTTTGCCCGCGCCAAGACGGAACATCCGCCGGCCACCTTGACAGTCGATGTCGCGCGCCAGGCTCCCACCCCCGACGCCTCGCGCCTCATCATCGGCGCCGCCACCACCCTCGGCCGCCTGCCCGATGCCCTCCGCGGTTTCAAGCACTGGGCGTCCAACACCGGCGTGCGCTTCGTCGTCAGCGTCGAGCCCTACAACGCCAACCACACCGACGAGCTTACCGTCGCCGAGGCCGTCGAGCTGTACAAGAAGCACAACATCTCCCTGACCCTCATCGAGTCTACCGACGAGTATCTCGACCGCTATGTCGAGCTCATTGGCATCCTCGGCGACCACCTCGAGCCCAAGACCGAGTGGGTCTCCATCATCGACGACGACACCTTCTTCTTCAGCATGAAGAGCCTGCTCGACATGCTCGGCAAGTACGACCCGAAGCGACCCTGGTACGTGGGCAACACCTCGGAGAACAAGTGGAACGTCGACGATGGAGGCATATTCGCTATCGGTGGTGCCGGCGTCTTCATGTCGAGAGCTCTGATACAGCAGCTGCACCCTCATGCCGATGAGTGTGTCCGTCTGCCCAACATCTTTGGCGACTCGCGCGTCGCCGATTGCGTCTTCAAGTTCACCACCACCAAGCTGTCCATGGAGCACGACTTGTACCAGCTCGACCTGCACCACGACGTCACCGGCTTCTACGAGGCCATCCGGCCCCAGCCCGTCAGCGTCCATCACTGGAAGACGTGGCACCACCACGACATGCCCACCGTCGCCTCTGTCAGCGAAGTCTGCGGCCAGCCCTGTGTTCTCCAGAACTTCAAGTTCAAAGACGGCTGGCAGATGGCCAACGGCTTCTCCATCATCAAATACAGCTACAACGAGACGGAGCTCGCCACCCAGGTCGAGGGCGCCATGGAACACACCTGGAAGCTCACCATCTGGGACATCCCGACCAGCTGGAAGTACTCGCTCGAGCCGCTCAAGCCCAAAGACGAGGGCAAGATCCAATTCCTCATCGAGAAGTCCGAAGTCGATAAGACCACAGGCGATGTGACACTGTATCTCGTGAGGAGGAAGGACGGGCGTGCTGACGGCATCATGCTCGTGACGTGGGTACAAGCTAAAGGGAGCAAATGAAACTTTTGATGGCAGCATTTCCAGGCGTCTTTTGGGCATTTAATATTGGTCAAGGTTCGCGTTAGACTGCAGAAACCTGGCTTATGTTTTCTTATTTCAGCACTCTATCTTTCTTTCCGTGTGGCTGACACGCTGGCGGCCACCCACGATCGAATCAGCAGACTCGCTTTTTGAAGCGGTCAGCACCGACCGTACGACCAGGAGGGCATACCTTGTCTAATCCAGTTGTAAAGTGGCAGCCAACTACATGCTATTTACGATAGAAGCTCACCCTGGTAGCACTCACCCATGCTTTCAGCACGGAGATAAAGGGAGCCAATTCGGGTGAGGTAAAGGCAGTCGGGTGCCTGAGGGCGCCTGAGGGTAATCTAGATAACAGAGCACCAGAAAAGTGGATAGACTTATCTAGGTAATTCTATAGGATATTACTTCTATCCTTGACCTCCACTGGCGGTGATTGGCACCCGCAAGGCTGTACAATCAAGCATGTGTAAGCTGCACTTTGGCAGGCTCCTCCGACCTGAGTCCCTTCATTCTCGGTGCGACCAGTCAAGATGGCCCCTAGTTGTCTGACAGGTAAGCACATTAACTACTTGTCACAACTTGAATCATTCCGTGTCCCCAAAGTGGCCGCTGCCCAACTTAGGCCAATCCATCTGGCCTCCAAACGCAAAGAAGTGCTGAGTGGGATGACGAATCATTACGGTCTGCGTCTGACCCCAGCGCTCAGATCATTGTCTTCCCGGAGACAGGACTCATCACATTCTCTTGCTACCCCTTCTCAGTCTCTCCTCGTGCTAACACAAGTAATTTATTTCGACGACCTGGATGCATTACTTATATCACCAAGGGCATGGCCTACTGTTGACGAGACAAGGATGTTCAAGCTCGATATCTAAGACCTCAGAGGGGTGTAACTACAGCACCAGCGTAGACTATTGTGCTGTACGGGACGAGAGCAGTTGCCCAGTATCAAAATGTCCTCCTCCCTGGTACTTTACAGACCCAGACGCGATCACTCAGCTTGAGAAGCTTTAGTTCTCACCGGGCGACCTCAGATTCAAGGCATTCCCAGCGCCGCGGCTTGTGAACGATGCGGTCAAGAAGACTGCAAAAGCAAATAACAATACTGTAGCCAATGAATGGTATTTACAAGGCCAACAGCATCAACAGTGAAAAGGCAACCGGCTTTGGGGCGGCACATGGCGCTGCTATGGCCTGTAGGACATTGACGTCATGTTGTTTGGGCACAACAACACAGTGGGGGTGCCAGACCAGTGTGACACCCGCAAGCCGCAGACCACGGAGGAGCCAGAGATGGAGTCGCTCCTCCAACACAAGCTTGCCATAACGTGCAACTTGTACATGAACAGCTGCTTGCTGCTTCTCAGTGTGGCCAAAGCTGGAGTGGAAGACGGTCGGTTCAAGCTCCAGTCATCAACAGCAGCACGATTGTGTCGCCAGATGGTTACATGCTGGCCGAGGCGGAGACCAAAGGAGACGAGCTTGTCGTCGCTGAGATTGATCTTGATGATCACAAGGCGGGCAAAGAAATGGAAAGTAAAACACATCGAAATCCATAGATTGCTAACCGGGTTTCTACTTACCTACAGAACTTCATTCGGTCGGCGACCAGTCTACGCATGTGACGAAACAGAAAGGTGTCGTAGAGCCCGGCCTGCTGAATATTGCTTTTGAATTCTTCGGAATGCTGTGGTGCCCCAAACCCTCCAGGACGTCCCAGGCAGAAATTTGGGCATTCGCCTCGCTAAGGGCGTCTGCATGTGACTCATAATTAAGTATCCCTAATCAAAGGGTCATCGTGGTGATCACTGGTCTTTAAAAAGGGGTTGGCCTGTTTGGTCACTCCTTGAGACTCTTTGCATTGCTTAGTACGAAAGGCTTCCGGAATAATTCATAAGTTGAGACTTTGGATTCCATTCACCGTGCCAAGGAAGCCATACGAGAAAACGCGCCACATGTCTGCAAATAGCATCAATAAATTTCGGGGTCGCCGTCGATGTAGAATGAAAGTTAGACGAGCTGACTCATGAATTGGGTAGCCAGTGCAGAGGGGGCTTGTTTCAGTCCGGGGTGACGAATGCCAGATGGTGTCCTAGTCTGGGGTGATGCTACAAGAGGAGGAAGCTGTTGGTCAGTTTTGGTGAAACATCACTTACAGTCTCCAGAGTTACAAAGGTTTGGATCACAACCCAAGTCCCCTGGTTCTGCGAGTAACGAATCCAGAATCTGGGATGCGGTAGCTATAAACTTTTTGTATTCAATTCAGGTCTGGTCCACTGCTGGTGCTAAAGACGTACATATCTACTTGTACTTAGCGCAGTAGGACACCAGGGGTACCATATGCCTGGGTTTTGTTCAAACGTACCTCTCTAAGCGATGACATCACTGCACTCTTCGCAGTATCGCAGTGAGCACCAATGGAATCTAAGTTGATGATAATAGATATTAGCAAAGTGGTTTTTCTTTTTTCAAAACAAGCAAGGCAGAGCCAGGGAGAACAGTGCATGTAGTAGGCCTAGCTTAGCCTACCATACTAACTTCATTATGCTTCAATTGTGAATTGTGAAGTGTGAATTGTGAATTGTGAACTATGCACTTGATTGAAGGCGATATCATCGAAATGAAACCTGCGACGTGGCTTACAGGGGTTGTCCACTAGCCGACAACAAAAGAACATATCGTGGACAGTCGATCATCTATCTAGGCTGGCGATTCCCTCCTCCCCATCTGAAGTTGCGACCAGCTCTTCTCATTTCTTTCTCCTCGTTATGCCACAAGCCGTTCTCACTCTGGTTATCACTGTCATACAAAGCACGCTCCATTTTCATTGAGCCCTGTTTTCTTTCCGGGTCGTGGCCCCCCGCCGTCATGGCTGCACCACCGTCCAGGCAAACGGCTGCCGCCAGAAGCCTCCACGGCGCCGAGCAGGTCGATGGAAGCGCCGATGCTCCAGCCACAAGGGAGCAGAGCTCTAGTAGCGAGGCTACGGAGAATGCCCTCTGGGATGAGGCATATGACAGAATGAAATCGACAAACTTGGTCCTGGTCGAGAAGTTCGAAAAGAAAGCTATGGAGGCGTACCACAAACTGAGAGAGGGCCAGGTTTCGCCTCAAGGTGCGTGCATGCATCGTCTTCAATGCGTGGCTGGCTTGTGGATGTGACTAACGAGCGAATTACAAGATGCGTCGCTTCATGGACTGGCGGCGTTCCCTCAGGATGCTGAGAAGAGACGCCGACTGATGCAGGACATGGCACAACTGCAGTTGCAACGCACTCATGATGATCGGGCCCAGAAAGTGCGCAACGTTGTCAAAACTGCCGTCCAGCTTTTTGAAGTGCTGGAAAAACAGTTATCGCCGTTATTTGAGGCGACCCCACTAGCTGGGCTGGCCTTTGGTGGGTTGTGTCTGGTGCTCAGAGTAAGTGTTTTCTTATCTCCAATCTCCATATTATAGAGAGGACGCTGCTTGCAGACTCCCGCTAACAACTACGGTATTCAGTTCGCCGCGTCCGGCATTACTGTACACGAGAAGATGATGCAAGGCCTGAAGCATATCGCTGAAAACTCCCGATGGTATCTCGAAAAGAGCAAATCCTCCGTGTTTCAAAGCAAAAGTGACTCGGCGAAAGTCACAATGTCCCCCCTCCGCGAGATACTTCTCAATATCTTCTCAACGATGTTGGAATATCAAGTCACATCGGTCAATTGGAGTGGCCGTTCATTCTTCAATTATTTCCGCACGAATCCGTTCCCAGATCTCTTGTCGAAGCTGAAGGAAGCAGAGAATGATTTCTATCGGAAAGCGACCTTCGATCAACATGAGGTGGCACAGAAGATGAAGGAGACGAGGCGCGTGAGGTCTTTCCTCAAAGCTCTCGGCGGCGATACGCTCAAGATGTTGCATACCGAAGATGAACATGCCAGCGCAAGGACCATTGCTGAGTGGCTTGTCAATGAGCCGAGCTTTAAGAGCTGGGAAGAGAGCTGCACGGGCATTCTATCCGTCACCACTACCCATCAGTGCAACCCTGCCCTAGCCAAGACCCTCGCCTCAACTTTGAAGCAACGCGAAGGAGATATTCTGGCTTATTTCACAGTCACGCCCCGCGCGGGACAATTCTCAAAGTTGTTGAAGAGCCTTATCACTCAAATAGTCGACCAAAAGACTCCCGAGGGTGATGATCTGGCCTCTATTCTGCGCTACAAAGACTCCGGCCACGACGAAAACCTTCTCCTCGAATGTTTCGAGCGTGCTCTGGCAACTCTGGGATGCACTGTCCGTGTCGTCTTTTTCCTGGATATCTCGTGCACCGCATCTTCTGAACTCCAAGAAGGCCTTAGGCAGTTGGTCGGCAAGATGTTTCCGGTGGATACAAACACTTCACATCTGATCCAGGTGCTCATCACTTCCCACGCCGATGTTGGCCTTAACCAGGTTCTGTCACCAAAACATGGTGGCAAGACAACTTACCTCCTTGCTCCTCCACTTCTCCCCATCTCACAGGCGCCATTGTCGATCGACACGACTTCTTCCACGGACGCAGCTGGACCTACAGACATAGATATTGCATGAAGAAGAGCAGCGTGCAGGTAGTTGACTTCAGAGGTTGGTTGATTAGAGGTCTAAGTATGTGGCTAAGCTATGAGTATGGAGGAAGTCTTAGATAGGTGACCGGAGTGGATAAACGATGTTCAACAATAGATACATGTACGACTGGCGCACCGCCACAAGACTTTGCAAGACTCAGTGTTCAAGATGGACATATTGTGGTCACAGACTTCCAAAACGACATGGAGTTGGTCCGGTACGCTCTGCTCATGGTATTGGGCGCCCGTCGGCCATTGACCCTGGTCGAGCTCGCATCGAGCGTAGCTGCCTATCGCGCTCTCTCTGCAGGCTCGAATGTCATGGAAACCATAGGCGGCAAAGAACTCTTGGAGCGACTGTACAAGGCGGGCTGCTTGAAGTACATTGCGGCCTCATATCGGCGGGTCACTTTCTTGAGTTGCGATGATGTACGGGAGGCCGCCCATGAGTATGGATTAGGAAAAGACATGCTCAAACGCCGTGGCAAGCTGGCTGTAGCCGAGGCATCAACCTTTTACATCTCGCAGCAGGTCAAGGGCATGGAGTGGGAAGAGATCAACCATGTTGCTATGAGTGTGGCAAGCGATGTCGTGAAGCTCAGGAAGACAAATGGGTCTCGACAACACCTTTGCTCCTCTGTGAGAAATTTTGCTATCCACGCCTCATTCCTATGCTACGCTGCAGAACACTCCGCGTCACAGCTTTCCGAGTTCCCCATACATGGTGCCCAGAATGGCTCCCTGAAATTGCGGCCGTCACTTCAAGAGTCTCAACAGCAATTGTGGGAACCAGGCAACTTTTGCTTGCGGTACTGGTATCACCGGCTCAACATGGCCCCTCCCTCCGTCCGAGGGTCTTATGTGCCCTATCAAGCTTACTCTCGAGCTAATGGCCCAATCTCGGATGATTTTGGCACAAAGTTCTTCATTGCCGCTGCGGAGCTGGGGTACCAGGCTTTCATCACTACAGGCTTGGAACATCCCGAGAACCGCAATGAGACCAATCAGTATGGGCATAATGCCTTACATATTGCCTGTATCCACAGGGATATTGCCATGGTAAAGATTCTTCTGGTTGTCGTTGACGTGGATATGTTTGCCAGAGATAATCTTGGCTTCACCCCGTTCCACCTCGCGGCACACCTTGCAGAGCCGGAACTTCTCCAGGTACTCTTCGATTCGGCCCGGGCTCGGTTCGGTCCGGTGGAACTGCAAAGGTTTCGTGCCATGTTCCAGGAATCGAGACCGGGATGCAGACCATCATTCACCAGTGGACATACGCAATTGCTGCGACGCTTTCTGTCGTCAAGAAACGACACAGCCGCCCTGAGCCATTGGGAAGCATGGACCTTGTGTACCTGTAGCCATCGGTATCTCTTCTCGGCCACTCGGATGGGAAGCGCCATGATCTACCTTGCCTGTCGAAGGCATCCAGAGCTGATGCAGGCCTTGCACGGGCTTGGCATCGATGAAAGACAGCTGCAGCAGCGGTGAGTTGTTCTTACTCTTCTTGATAAAGATTTCTTTTGGCATGCATCGCGAGATCTTTGGATCACTCTATGATCCAAAGGCGTCGGGTTTTCCTTCAGAATGCCAGCCCATCTCCTGCTATCAAATACATTCTAATACCATGGGTCACAGATTCCCCGAGGAAATTCCTTAGTCGTATTCTGTATAGGTCCTCGAACCCAATGAGAAGCTAGATGGAAAGGAGGGCTAGTTGGCATCACTAACCAGCGGCATTCTTCCTCAAGTATATTGAGATTCACGGAAGGCTTTGGGTGCATATGACTCACTTGTCTTGCATTGAAGAGGTTGTGATTCGGTGTTGGTGGAACTTTTGGGGAGGGAGGTAAATAGAACGAAGCAATAGATCCGAGAGTAGCTAGGGACTATGTACTCCTTATGCCAAATGTCTACATTACTACTATGGAGGTCATACTTAAAGAGGCTCTAGCAGTTGACATTTATAAAGTACACCTCATAGATATTGATATATTGTGCTGAATGAGAAGAACTGTCAACTAGTTAAACAAGAAGGATGAGAAAGGAAAGAAAGGAAAGGAGAGAGAAGAAAAGAACAAGAAGAGAAGATTGTGCTGGAAGAATATAAAAAAACCTTCAACGTCTTTCTATCATCTGTAAATTCAGTGCCCCCGTTGTGATTCAATCTCTGACTCACTGCAGATCATCCATTCAGTGTAGTCCATCACAGTCCTCTGAGGGTATGTGATCCTCCACGCGGTTTCTTCCTCTGGGCCATGTGGGATAACTGAGTCCCCACGAGCACGATCCTGCTGCGGTTCCAGCGTTTCAGGGCAGCTACAAAATTGAGCGAGAACGGTGATGGGGTGGGTGAAGTCAGTCAGCGGCCCAAGCACCCTCTTCAGCATCAGTGAAGCCATTGTTGACACTGGCCCAAGACGGGAGCCGATTATGAATTGGTTGATCATGGTGCGGTCACCTGCTGAGAACTGAGACTCTTTCAGCGAGGTGTGGGGATGGTGAAGCCTGTCAACATACTCGAGCATGGCGTTGAAGCAGTATTGTATGCAAGTCATCTGCATGCAATGGCCTGGGCAACACCAGTTCTCGGTATCTTTTATCGTTTGGGTCTGGTTGATGCGAAGCCAGGGTGGCTGTAGCATGAAAGGTACAACTAATGTATCTTCAGGGTGGAGGGATGAGCCGGGGATGAGTTCGTTGGCCGGCAATTGCTCCGACATCAGGTCCACGGCGATTTCCGTCAGGCCCGTGGTAAACACGGTCCTTCTGGCGTAGTACTGGCAATCGGAGACGAGGAATTCCAAGAACATGAGCTTTAGCATCAGCCGGTCATAATGCTGTAGCAAAGAGTCGGGCCATGGTCCGTCATATCGGTAACGTGTCCAGCCATCTCGTAGGGACTTCGGATACTGCTTATTTTGCCACCCTTCTGCGAATTCACCAGCCGCTACTGCTCGCGCGGCCCTGATAGTGTGGATCATAGCGGATACGAGTTCCTGTTCCAAGCTCTCCAGTCGCTCCTTTTTATCCGGATGGATCCACGCGTGCACGTGGCAAGATTGAGTATATGGAAGAAGATGCTCTATCGACGATGGTTAGCTATTGCTTAACAGAGCATGGTGGTCATCACTTACTTTCTGGGTCTTTCTCAAGCCTGTAATCAACCATTTCCTTAGTGTTGCTTCGCAGGTCAGACCCACTAACGTCGGGGAGTTTGTAGTCTGGGACTTGTCCCCAGTGGTTCGCCATGTCTGGATAATGGTGAGGTAGTAGATTCAGGATCAACAGGTCTTGGCGTATCTGTGTGTTGTTGTTACAATGCACCAAGAAGAAGCAGTACAGGAGGAGTTGAGATGTTTATATAGAGTTTGTACCTGTAGGTTGTGCCTCTACTGCCAACAAAGGACATGAAGCGGCTTTCCGCAAACAGCAACCCCGGTTGAGACGAACATGTAGCATTTCAGACAAAGCAACTCTCACTTTTCTATCTTCTCCAAAAGACAGTGGTGCGGAACAAACACATAATTACGCCCCAGGAGAAGTGTTGCATACCAAATCCTTTGAATGACTTTTGAAATAGTGTGAAGTCCGAGGCCCCGGATGAGGACGCATGTGTGAAAATATAGCTTTAGATGCAACGCTAGTCACGCCCAAAGTCGGCATATCTGCATCTCAATGCTTTGGAAACAAAGGCATAGACTGCGTTCAGAGGCTGGGTGGTCTTAACGCTGTAGCGTTGAACGCCTGCCAAGAGTAAGACCTTCCCTCCTTTAACAAAGGACTCGGGCCGAAACAGGCCCGCAAGGGGTCTGCAGCTCACAATTACTGGATGCCAGGGACAAGGCGTTGCACTTAAGGAGGGTTTGCTTTCATTGCTTTGCCTAATACTTCCAGGTTACTCTGGAGACACGTTTACCCTTTCCGTGTGGTGAGTCCCTTGCACTTCGCATCACCTGACTCATCCTAGTGGATAGAGCTGGGTGATTCGAGGAAGCTCTGACTGCGGAGTGGGATTTGCGGAGAGGCGGCGGGCATGCATGTCTCTGGGATTGGAAGGACAATCACCGCGAGAGATCATGTTTCATACAACGGCATACAGATCATTAGGTCAGCAGTGTACACTGATCAGCTCATCACTACAATGACACCAATTCACAACCAAATATATTCTTCTCTGGATACCTCGATATCGGGCAGATGATCAGCAACATCTACAACACGGCCATTTTGCGCATTTCACCAACACCACGCCGGTCATCCAAGTCTTTACCAAGGGCTACAGTCCATTAGGAGACTAGGCGGCTTTTCAAGGCAGTAATTCATTCAAGTGTGCATCTGATCAACTCGTACACCCGGCGCGACCGAAGCATGCCTTTACCTCCCAGGATGATGGCGTCGCCGAACTGCGAAATGGTAGACGTTTCATGCTGAAAGGCCAGAAGAAGAACATGGAATGGTTTGCGCAGAGCGTCGTAGCACCGCTACTCAACTGAAGTTGAAAAGAGGCTTTTTGATCTCTATTATGGACGCTCATACTGTGGAGGGACGAGGGAGTGTCAGAGGTGGGGCCAACGGCGGTCATGACTTCACCGCCGGACCATGCGGACTTCCCCACATCTCTCTCTCTGGCTGGCGGAATCAACTCCAAACCACTCGACTCTCAGACCAAGCAGATGCTTGGCATTGCCATTTACAAAGAACCCGTCGAGAGAACACGCACTGGAAGCTCAGTCTGCAGGAGAAACCCAACATGGTCACCATCTTCCTCGCCTACACCGCGCCAGTCAACCCGGCGGGCACCACCCAGGTCCTCACCCACGCGCAGGTCTGGGCGGGCTTCCAGCGCAAGATCCGCCGCCCGTACGAATTCGTCCCCGCAATCGAGTCCGCCGAGGTCATCTCGGAGAAAGAAAACTCCCTCAAACGTGAGGTCGTCTTCAAGGCCGGCGCCGGGCCGGCCGGTAAGGTCAAGGAGGTCTGCATCAGCCACGCTCCCTGCCGCGTCGACTACCTCCTCGACAACGGCAGCAAGGTCATGAACATCATCGGTGCCGGGCCCAGCGGGGACCCTTCTGATCTCTTTGTCACCTATGCCTTTGAGTGGAAGCACGACGACATTGCCGAAGGGAGCGCCGAGGCGAAGGAGAAGGAGGCCATGCATCAGAAGGTGAGATCTGGTCACACCCGACTTCTACGAAAATGGATATCTGACAATTCACAGACCGCAAAGTTAGCTGTCGACACGAGCATTGCCACCACGCGCAAGCTCGTCAGCGCTGGCGAGATTCAGTGATGCAGCAGCCACCCATCTCCTCCCGATATTGCTACATTCAGGGGCCGGGGATGTATGATTGGCCTGTTATGACTTCCCGAAAGCTGCTATTAATAGAAAATGCATGGCTACTCAAGTCTAGGACGCTAAAGAAAGACAGTAATAGAGCAGAGTGTTGGCGTGAATTCTCTGAAATGCAATGGCCAATTCGACAGAGAGGTGGGAGAAAGGTACCGGTAGGGGCTGGTGAAACTCGAGAGATAGTATTTCTATCTAAGCCATACCTGTTTCTGATAAATTGTGCGGCCACTTCTGGTGTCCTAAAATGTGACCTTGAAGATCTTGCTCTCCCGTATTCTCTCACCGTATCTGTATAATAAGAAAGGGACCGGAATGAAAACAACTGAGATGAAGCCCAGAACTGATGTACCCCAGCCTACTCCGAGCTCATCGTACATATCATTACCTGCTAGGGGTAGCAGTGCCCCGAGTAGCGAACGGCACACGGTGGCTGCCGCCATAGCCGATGCGGCGTACACGGTAAATGTGTCGACAAGATATGTGCTGGTAGCCATCTAGTTTTACACGTAAGCATTATACATGCCAGAGCATATGGATTGTTTCACTCACAAATGCAATAACCATGCCACCGCCCAAGAAGCCAGTGCCAATGATAGGCAAGATCCAGTGTGCTTTGTGTTCCGCCGTCCACCCGTACCAGAACAGTCCGGCGGGCACGAACAGTGCGCCAATTATGGTTCCAGGCAGGCGGTACTCGGGCTTGGGATCGCCGCCATACCTCGCCGTCAAGGCCTTGACCTGCCGGTCCGATACCGCGCCAAGCATAAAGAGGCCCAGGAGGGAGCCAATGCCAATACCAAGGTTGGCGAGGCCGCCGCCACCACGCGTAAACCCGTACTTCTGCTCAAACACACGAGGGAACGTGGTGATACACAGGTAGATGTAGCCGTACAGGATGGCCAGGTAGAGCGAGAGGACAAGAACGATGGGGGAGAGAAGGAGCATCTTGACAGGCCGGAGGAGGGAGAATCGGAAGGCCTCTCCGGGAGTCTTGCCCGAGTGCAGGGCTGATGTGAGAGATGCGTTGCCGGTATTCTTTTGTAGCGTTCTGGTCTTGCTCTCTAGAATCGTGGGAGCATGTGACTCGCGCAATCCAATGAGGATCAGTAACCCGGAGGCTCCAGCCTGGATATCAGGCGGTGTCAGAAATGATTATTATATGAAAGCCGAGAGACAGACTCTGCCTCAATTACCTACCGCGATAGAGACAACCCAGAAGCTCCATCTCCAGCCTATGCTCCCGGAAACATATGCGCCCACTCCAGCTGTTGTTAGCTCAAGGTTATTGACAATACGACTGACCGGGTCACATACCAATTGGTCCAATGGCAGGACCGAGAAGGGGACCAATAACCCATGCCGCCATCGCCGCCCCGCGCTTCTCATGCGGTATCATGTCTGCGATAGAACCAGCTCCTATAGTTACTGGGCAGGCTGCTGCTATTCCGGTGAAGAAACGCATGGCAATCAGCGCTTCAAGGCTGTTCGCCTTGGCACAACCAATGTTGAAGACAAGGAACACGAGATTGCACACATTATAGAGGATGGTGCGGCCGTAAAGCTCCGACAGAGGCGCGATCGCGAGCGGGCCAAAGGCGTAACCCAATATGTAGACGGAGGTAATCATGGCCGAGACGACGCTGCTTGCTGCACTGAACTCCTTCATCACTAGATCCGTGCCGGGGGCGATGATGGTGGAGGCCAGTGGACTAACCATCGTTGTTAGTTTCGTACTACGAAAGACAAGGCCAAGGGGTGGACGGACCTGAGGAAGGTGATCAATGACACAATGGCGATGGCTATCCCTTTTTCGAGCTGGACCAGTTGAGCGGGTTCATAGGGTCGTTTGGACCATCCCAGTCCACGATGTTTGGGTCTCTCGGGAGCTCCGCCGACGTGACTTTCCCAAGTTCGCCATTGGTACCCCGCTCCGGGTCCTCGTTGACTTTCTCGTGTGAAGGTGAAGTGGACATCGTACTCGGTTTTGAACTCTTAACCTCTTTCGCCCTCGCATATGCTTCATCGATAGCCATGGAACTCGATAATAATACCTGCGAACTTTCGACTCTGAGAGGTAAAGTAGGGAAAATGAAATCATTTTAAAGAATTATAAGAAGATTTCTCCTGGTCCACGCTCACGCTGAACCGACACATCCGGCTCGGACGATATTGTACTTGCGCCGGTAGGGATCAAGATCTTTAGTGACAATGCTGGAAGGGCCTTAATTTCGCGTAAAATTGAAACACCGGCTTCTTATCGATTCATGGTCGTGCTCCGAGTGCAGATGTCGGTAGTGCTCTCCGTGCGGGCTGGCCCGCGGTGTTGACGGGGCCCCGGCTCCCGGCTGGGTGCTTATCCCCGCGGCCGTAAGCGCCCGGCTTGCCGGCCGGAATTAACAGTAACATAACCGTACCTCAAATATTCTGACTCGCACGAGATTCACTGCTTTACGATACATTGCATTGCGTTGGCTGCTATCAAGTAAGGCCTGAATATTGATACGCCGGCATTCTGTCTTGGCTGAATGAGCCCAATGAGATACACTCTTAACCTTCCAAACAGCCTTGAAGATCAATCTTTGGGGTCAGACACTCCTTACGCCGACCTACTCGGCCACAATGACAGATGAGAGCTTCTGGCGAGCAGTGGGAGCAAGCGTTGCCACCGTAACATGCGGCCAGTTAAGACCATTGAAATCCAGAATAACAAGCTGAGAGTACTGAATTTGGTTGTACTCTATGGCGACTTTCTTTGGAGATGGTACGTCAAAGTCAACCAAGAATCGAGGAACCACATCCCTTGCGCCAAGAGATGGGGGTGACACCATCTTCTTGGGCTCATCTTTTGTATTGGAAGGCTCAAGCTGGATCTCTGAGCGCACCTTTGACACCCAGTATTGAGCTGAGACTCTGGCTGCATTGGCGTTACCACTCCTATTGCCGGGAGACGCAGTTTTAATCCCGGCATCGGCTCCAATCAGGAAGCCGATGTTGCTCGTGCCTCCGCCGAGATCGGGTTGAGTAGCCGCTGTCATGACTGTGAATGTGGTGTTCTCCGTGATAGTCTTGCCTTGATTGGCGTTTCTCAGCACAGTGTTCGGGTCGTCGAGAATGGTTTGTGTGATCGTTCCCTCTTGTGCAAAGGGCGAGAGATCTTGTGGCAGGCGATGAGTATCACCCTTGACAAGGACTTGGCTCCTGAACGGTATTGGGGTCCCCTTCTGCACACTGGTAGGTGTGATGGACACAGGAGGGATAGCTGGCGCCCCTTGGAACGTGGTAGGCTGCTCAAAACACTGAGCATTGATGGCTGTTCCATGGGGAATGGAGGCCATGCGCGAAAAGGATGCTGGAAGATCAGGCATCTCGATGCTCGCAGGCACACGCATCCAGAGCCCGGGTTCAAAATGAATCACCGGCTGTTTCTCGGAAGGTACCACAACCTCGGTGATGTCCGTTATGGTTTGCGTGTACGGCCGACCGTTGAGCATGATATCGGCCTGCGCATCCAACCCACGATTGGGCACATTGCCAAGGGGTTTGCTGAAGGCCATGGTCTCACTCGTCAGGTTGAGTTCTAGAATGTTGTCCGATGGGTCACTAGGTGGTGGCGTTACAGGCAGTGGTGTAGGTGTCTTCTGGCTGTTAGGCCTGAAGATTGTGTTGAAGCCAAAGCCACTGAATGTTCCCTCGAACTTCGATAGGATATCAAGGGAAGTCACGTCAACACCATTGTTGGTGCCATGAACACGATTGGCTCCTCCCAGTCCGTTGGTTTCTTTGTCGCCATTCTTGACTGGCAATGTACTCGGTTCAAGAACGGTAGGACCGAATTGGAAATCATCTCCTAGGTCAATGGCAACAGTGGGTGCGGTGGGTGCTCTCATGATGGAAGGCATATCTTAGTGGGCTCAACCTAGGACTTGAGTTTGAAATATTTGCAAATCGCAGGATTGGGAAGGACGTGGAAGATGAGTCCATGATCGATCACTTAAGTATTCTCCCCGTAGATTTACCGCTGCGCGCGAAGGTTGAATGAGGGTTGTAACTGAATTGGTGGCTTGTTCTCAGCGGCAAACTAGTCAGACTGAGCGCATATCTCCAGCCGCGATAACTCTGACTAATTTGACCGATATGTTTCGTTTGCTCAAATGCATCGATACTTCCTGGGTCACTAGAGTGTACTGTCCAGCCTGAGCTCAGTGACCAAGACGATGCTGTGCGTTCTCCGGTTACCAATGAAGTACATTGTAAAATAGCCGGAGATGGAATGTTAGTTCAGCCCTGAGTTCAAGACAAACGCCACAGCGTGCTTGACCACGGCTTGTGAGGTTGAACGTAACTTGGCCAATTAACATGTGTTGGTTGGTCATCATACTCCTTGCAAGGAGGCCTGTCAAGTGGCTGCAAGAATAGTTGACGGATTGGAACCTACCTGCCTAACAGAAGAAGTAGGGACCTAAGTGGCTTAAAGAATAGTTGACAGACTTCTAAACAAGGGTACTGAATACCTAACATCATCATCATCAGTGGCAATATGACCCTTACTTTTTTTAGAGCTAAATGATGTCTATCAATCCCCTGTAGGGAAATTTAGAGGATTAATTACGTTAAATGATTGTATGGTCCCTGACTGCTGTGATGGGATTTATGTACCTCTGTTAGCAAGCTGTTAATTATTCTTACAGCTACTTGGATCCCTACCTATTCTGTTAGGCATGTGGGTTCCAATCCGTCAACTTTTCTTGCAGCCACTTGCCTGTGTCTGTACGCATTCATGATTGAGTCGTGGCACTCGCCAGGGCTGCCTTGGAAGGTTTGAGAACATACCTGCGAGAATCTACCGAAGCATGCCAATGTCTATGCCAGTACGAAGGATACAAGGTTTTCATTTATACGTGAGACCTGTTTCAGGAGTTATGCCGGACGGCACGTGATGAATTTGGTTAAGCTTTGGGAAATGTCGCCAAACGCGCACCCCCTCCTTCGTAAAATATTTGTATTCCTTTGGAGGAGGCTTGTCTCACTTGCATACAATAGGCTACTTGATGCGGAAGATAGCCTGAATGCGCGCGTTCCGCAGTGCATATCGAATCATTCGCGTTGCTGCAGATTGCTGATATTTCGCATTCCACTGAAAGCTAGAGTTTCTGTTCGTAAAGTGTCGAATTGGCTCCTCGCTTGATGCTACACCAAAGATCAGCTGCAATCCTGGCTTGAGGCTGAGACATTATTGACTCATTGCCTGCTGAACTACAGTCAGCTTTCAGACTAGTATTCTGTTGGCTGGCGGTGATACGCAGGCTAAGTCTCGGGACTGTTGAACTTCTGGAGACTGTTGAGTGAAAAACACACACTGCCAGCATATAAGTGGCGCTGCTCTTTCATCATCCAAATAGCAAATGTCAACTTTGATCATAGATGCATCCTCTTCATTACAATGACCATGTTTAAGATCAAAGACTTTCAAGGGATGCAATACCCCCGCAATGGCAGCTCCCAGGACTACTCGTACTTCAATGAGCAATACGCTACCTCAACCTATCAGAAGGACCATGATATGAACCCGGCCCTTATTGTCCAGCCGAAAGAGGATGAGGATGTCATCAGGGCTGTCAATTGGGCTAGGGACAACAAAGTCGCCATTGCCATCAAGAGCGGCGGACATCAGTACAGTGGTGCTTCTTCAACTGGCGGTAACAACATCCAAGTCGACCTCACCAACACATATAAGGATATGATGATCTTGGAGGCCGATGGGGTCCCTGAGGACCGAGCTTTGGTCTATGCTGGTGTCAGTAACCAACTTCAAGATTTCCTTGCATATCTTCGACATAACGGCCTTTTTGTCCCCACTGGACAATGCGCCTATGTGTGCGTGGGTGGCCATGGCCAAACTGGTGGCTATGGCCAGCTCGGACGCAGTTTCGGCCTTTTCGGCGATCATATCAGAGCAATCCGCATGGTAGATCACGGCGGGGTTATCCAAACCATCACCAAGGAGAGCAATCCGGAGTTATTCTACTCTATCCTCGGCGGCAGTCCGGGAAACTTCGGCATCATCACACACTACACTGTCGAAGTGTACCAAGGCAAGAGCTTCGTAGGAAGCATTGCAGGTCCAAATGGGTTCAAGGGTCCCCATGGCATGAAAGGCCTTTGGATATACAAACGAGATGTCCTCACGAATCTCCTCAGCATCCTGGCAAAGATGTCTGATGACGGCAATGCGCCAAGGGGATTCGACCTGTGTGTCAGCGTCCTGAGCATGGACTTTCCCGTCACGATGTTGTTCCCTTCTTTGAAGAATGACACACTGTGGCAGAAAATTCAGAACAAGATCAAGTCAGCTCTTGCTGATGACGTCCTCGATCTGCTTAACGGAAAATTCCCCGCAGCCATCGTTCTCTATGCACAATGGTGCCCAACAAGCACGAGTGACAAGTACGACACCAGTGTCGACAATTGGTTTCAGCAATTCCGCAATCTCGACAGCCTCTGGAAGGATCACACTCTATTGCTCAATGAGTTCGATCAAGACATGTCCCAGATGACCGCGAACTGGGTCTTTCCTAAGAAGCGGGAGTTTGATCTTCCATATGTCAAGCGTACATATGCTACTCAATCGACAACACTCGACAAGGACGGGTGGGCAAAGGCGGTAGTTGATCGCCTTGATCTAGTCTACAACCCTCGCCAAAAGTTGGACAATAGTCAAGGGGATGCGGAATATGAGGTCTATGACCATTGCAAGTTGTCTGTCCAGATCCAGTACTTCGGGGGTGTCAATTCCCGTTTCTATCAGAATAGAAACAACGGAACTTCTTACAGCTGGCGAGACTCGACAGTTGTGCAGACATTGGATTGCTTCCACGACCCCGGATCCAAGTACGAATACTATGCAAACGGCTGGCAGCATGCAAATGACGCCTTGATGATTGGCCCCTCGAGTCCTTTCAGCAAGCAAGATAGGCGTCTGCTCTGGGGATCATGGGGTAATTGGGACTTGGGAGATCCCAATATCTGGAGGGCGTATTATGAGGATGCGAGCAAGTACCAGAGGCTCGGTCGAGCAAGAGCCAAGGCTGATCCAAACGGTACCTTCACCCCCAACGTGTTCTCTGTCACTCCAGCCCTGGACAACTGAATTACATTTTGTGTTTCATTCAATAGCTCGTGAAATTGAACCAAGCATATGCTTCAGCTCCTTGTGCACCTGCATATTTACCCGGAATGGCATTTGAGCGTTCAATTGTGCAATGGGATACAAAGGCAAATAGCGAAGCTTGAAGTCTTCGAGCTGATAAGGTCAAATCCCCTCCTCCTGCTCGATTGCTTCCCTGCTTGGAGACCATTTCTCTTGGAGTGATTGATTGCAGCTTCTGCCAATTATGTCCTTGCCCCACCACTCGCCCCAGCTTGTGAGAAATATCAAGTCCTTGTCTTCGGGGAAGTCACTCTTGGTGAAAGCACGGAGAATGTTTTCGCCGCCTGTTAGACATTAGTTTCGTATCGAAACCGGTAGCAGAACGCAAAGCTTGCCTTTTGGGACGGAGATTGCATCGGGAACTTTGCTAAAATCGGGCAGCTGGTGTTTATGTTTTGCCATGAGACCTGTGTCGGGGACCAGGCCTGGAGAGACCGCGACGACCTCGCAAGAACCTGAGAGTTGACGACGCCACCAGTGAGCGCTGAGAAGTTGAATAAACTTGGTGGTGCAGTATATCTGCTGCATATTGGTGTCTGCGCCAGCTTTGAGGGTTGTTGAAAGAGTGGCTAGTAGTCGTGGTCATGATGAGCTTTGCCAGTTGAGAGCATATGAGAGACGCAAACTTACTCAAGTCGTCAGGCACAAGGTGAATGGCGCCAGATGACACTACGACGATACGAGATTGAGATTTGACCAAGTGGTCCTGGAGGAGATGAAGAAGATAATGCTGGGCTGCAAAAATGTTAACTGTGATTGACGGACTCGGATAGCGACGCAACATACACAAATGATTGACGATATACGGCTCGCACCACTGAGAGCCATGTGATCCCGGGCCATCGGCCGTACCGTGTATAGCCGCGTTGAGCAGGAGGTAGTCAACCTTGCCCTGATCGAGTACTTCAACAGCTCGATGGGCAAATATCTGAACTTGTTTGAGGTCAGACAGTTCCAGCGGTAAGATTACCACTGAACTATTTTGATGATTGTATGCAATGGTGTTGTACGCCGATTCCGTTCGCTCCGTATTTCTCGCTCCAATAATGATTCTGTATGACTGCGGCGTCTGCAGAAGCTGCTTCATGGCCTCGAAGCCCTAGGCAGGGAATATGAGGACCACTGCTCGCGAAGGAGATTTGTCCAGGGGACTTACCAATCCCGAAGACGCCCCCGTGGCGATAATGGTCTTGGCAACGGTTGCCATATTCGTGAGAATGTCAAGAGAATGCTTTTGGTTTTGCAATAGTATGAAATCCAAATCAAGGATCCTGAGCCTGTACTCGCGATGGTTTTTGGTTGAAAGGTTAGTGAAATATTGGAGAAAGTATGACGCAGAAGAGTAGATGCTCCGCTTATGGCGAGCGAGCGGTAGGTTTCGGACAACGCGGAGGTCCATGCATGTATGGTAAGCTAATGCCTTTTTGCAATAAGTGCTTACCCACTCTGCAATATGAATCTAGCTGGAGACTTATGTCATCAAGTAAGACTTACGAAGAGTGCAGTCTGGTGTTGTTTTGTGGCCTTGCAAGTAATATTGGTGTGCTATCCGCCTACCAGTTCGATGTCGACACCAGCGTCCGCAATCTCTATAGGCAGATAGCTCTACATTACGCTGCTCTCAGATTAGTATAGCAAGATGCAGATAAATTAGCAGACTACCCCTGCCCATAATTGTGTGACAGCAAGAGCAGGATCACATATATAAGAAGCTACTGATTATAGCTGGTGTGCCCATAGCCAGGATGGTGCCTAGAATGTAGTGGGCGATATAGAAGCAGTACAGGCGGAATCTATCTGCCGCAAGGGGGAGAATCGTCAGGTATGACTCGAGCAGAACTTTCTGAAGTATATCAGAATGGGGAGGGGAGTCCTCGTCTGGTATGCTATTGAACACCACTCTTATTGTAACAGGCCAGGGCCTGACATGGGCTTAGGACGCCTTCGGGAAGGCGTCGATCATCTCTGAAGGGCGCGGGCCAAGATGGTCCAAGCTCCACACATTGGCTTACTCCAGGCCATTCGCCTTCCAGCACTTTCTACGGGTGGCAGCGTTTCGCAAATTCTTCGCAAACACGTCGCCTGAAACCGGCACCACCACGCAACGTCGACGAAGCGCTATTGTGTGGTGTAGTTTTCAAGTTCAACTGTTCCGAACATAAAGTAACCCACGCCGATAAGAGGACAAGCTGCAATGACCCGTACGCGCCTTCTCTTCCATCATGACGCCAAGCTCTACCGCACGTTGACCAAAGTGGTCGCTGTCTGCCCCTTTACAGAGCTTGAGGAAAGCAACCGGACCCTCTTCAAGCAGGGGACAGAGCAGAACTATGTCATTATCACCGAAGAAACCATATTTCACCCGCAGGGAGGCGGCCAGCCTTCGGATACCGGACGCATGACTGGATCCGCCGGTGCTAAGTTCAACGTGGTCTCTGCGAAAATGGACACCGTGAATGACGGGCAGGTCCTGCATTTCGGGCAATTCGACGGAGAGAGCAGATTTCTGAAAGGTGACAGCGTTGAGGCGGACATTGATGTCGAAAAGCGCCTTCTCTACTCACGACTACACACTGCCGGCCACGTCCTTGGCGCGGCCGTGAGACACCTGCTGGAGAAGGAGATCGAGGGCTTTGACGAGCTCAAAGCCTCGCATTTCCCGGACTCGGCGGCGTGCGAGTTCAAGGGCCTCATAGAAGGAAAATGGAAAGAGCCCATTCAGGAGAGGCTGGACCGGTACATCGCGGCTAAGATGCCCGTGGAGATCGACTGGTGGGATGTCGACGACTTTAAGGCACACGACCTGGAGCGTTTGATACCAGATCAGAGCATCGTGGCTCCTGGGGAGAAGTTCCGTGTGGTGAATATCGTCGGAGCAGAGGTGTATCCCTGTGGAGGCACGCATGTTGATACAACTGATCTTTGTGGCACCGTGACGGCGAAAAAGATCAGCAGAAGCAAAGGAGTGTCAAGAGTGAGCTATAATGTGTCTTAAGAAGGTAGTATTGAAGAACCTTTCCATTACACGGCATTTGAGAGGTTAGAGCATGGCCAGACAAAGTGTTAGACTATACATATATGTACAGCTTGTTGGGTGCGTTGGTGAATGAATGGGTGAACGTGAACAAGGCCGGCCAGAAGCAAGATCCGGAAACAGAAGTGTCGAGGTGCGATAGGTGATGGAGAGTAGAAAATCCTTCCGGTAATCGTTATGAGGAGGAACGGTGCTCTAGGGCAGCTCCAAGTGTATTTGCAGAATATGAATAAGGCTCAAGTGGTTGAGCTATAACTTAACAATGCAGGATGACTTCTAAACGCCAAACATAGCTGGATTTAGGGATTACGCTTTAAGCGTATGGCACTAGAGGAGCTCCCAGGAGTATTTACCCGAGCTCGTGGCAGTTAGGCGTCATCGCGAAGAGTGACTTCGAGTTTGCCTCCCACGGGGAAGAACAAGAATTGCAGTTGCATCTCCATCATCTCCTCGGTCATTTCTTTTCCAAGTCGAGCCCCTCTGCATTCCCTAAAGAATTTGGCAATTGCTAAGCGCAACTCCATCTTGGCTAGATGTACCCCTATGCAGCTTCTGGACCCCAGCATGAACGGGTTATATGCCGCCTTCATATCAGCGGTGGGGTTTTCAAAACGTGTCTCATCAAATCTACGGACAGGTTAGTTGAGGATTAGGGATGCTGTAACGTAGTGGCAAAGGGTACTTACTTCTCAGGATTGGGAAAGACCACAGGATTACGGTGGATGTTCCAGTTGAGGGTGCTGATCACAGTGCCTTCCGGAATGTAATGGCCGAGAAACGTCACACCACCTGGTGGCACTACGCGCTGCAGCGGCCCGCCCCCGGGGTTGTAAAGCCGTAGGCTCTCATCGATCACATTGTTGAGGAGCGGGAGCTTCTCCAGGGTCTCGTCTGTGAAGTCTTGGTCCTGCAATGCAACTTCCTCCTCTAATCTTCGCTGTAGTTCCGGTCGTCTTAGCACAGCCCAAACCACGTAAGTCAGGGCCACTGCCGTGGTGTCGCTACCAGCCACCATGAACAATGCAACGTCTGAGCGAATCACATCGTCGGTTAGGCCCGGCTTCTCGCCGCTCTCGCTGGCATCGAGCATGTCAGAAAAGAGATTGCGGTTCTTGTCACCGGAATTGCGAAGATTGTCCACTGCCGTGGTACCTTGGTCGTGAATGATCTGGCCGGCCGCGACCATCTTCTTGAAGATGTTGACAGGGAGAAAGCTCAAGAGCGAGAAGAAGGGGAGAATATGCTTCAAGATGAGATATGTGCCAGCATACTGCAACGCCTCGAAGTAATTGGTCTTGGCACCAGACTCGAGCATGTGGAAAGACTCGCCGAAGGAGAGCTGCGAGATCACGTCGCCAGTGAGCAGGCGCCATATCTTATAGACATCTGCTGTGCCCTGTGTGGCGTCTTGCTTAATCAGTTCGATGGCAAGGTCGACCCGTTCGCGGACCTGGGTTTCCCAGTTCTTTCGCAACGAACCAACCGTAAAGGCGCGCGAGAAAAGCCGGCGTCGCTCCGCGTGCTTTTTGGGATCCTTGAGGCTGAAAAGCGAGTGCTCCTCACCGAGCTTCGAGGTTTCGTACAGAGGGCCCTTGAGGAACTTGGTGCCCATGGCGTGGATCTTTTGATGCACCACAGGGTCACTAACGACGATCTCATTGGGCGCCATGAGTACAATGGGCCCATACTGAGCGTGCAAGTCTTGCGTCCATCGGTGTTTTGAAGCTTTTATGCGTGTGTAGTTGTGCGGTAGATTCGTGAAGCGGGCATACCATGGTCCCGGAATATGTGCACGAGGGTTACGCAAGCCGATGACCAACGTCTGTATTTTCAATGTGAGCAGACCGCACGAGTGTCGTCACCATGTTCAAGAAGCTTCGATACCTGCCTGGACTGAAGGCTTCCTGGGCTTGTACACTAACCTTGAGTAGGTACAAGGCAACAACAGCTGCTGTAATGGCACATAGATTATGCAGCTCAAGGACAGACATGCCGTACTTGTGTGGGGGTCACGCGCGCTGATGCTTGGTCAGTAGTAAAAAGAGTATCAAGGAGGATATCATCCGGGTCCTTGAGGTTCGCGTCAGATCATGAAAGGTATGCGAGAGAGTGAGAAAATCGGGGTGGGGATCTGGTGCGGACATGCTGACATGCTGACGTGAACAAGGAGATTGTCTCCGAATCACGATACCTCGCTCTCCCCTGTCTGTCTAAACCCGCCAAGACTATAGCCCGCCAATCAGGCGAATTCCGTTTCAGAGATGTGGGCACCGTTCCAAAAGGAAAGATCAGTGTTCGATCTTACGCTGCGAGATGCTCAGCATGGCCAGGCCTTTATCAATATGAACATCAGAATCCTTTGTTTGAAGAGGGCTTAATTTATCGAAATTACTACAGCCGCGCGCGACAGTAAACTGCCAACGGGGGCAACAGTTTATGTTAGCTACGAGGAATAAAGTTATATAGACTAGCTCTGTCTAAGAGACCGAGTTATGAATTGAAGAAAGGGGTTATTAAGAGTCATTGTCTTTCCAGTTGTGCTTGGGCTATATTACCTGTAAGTGTTTCTCGCATCCTTATGTCGAGAATTTTGGCATCGTAAAGCCATCACTTGCATAATTACATCCACCAGCAAGGGCCAGATTGGGCTGCTCTTGTGGCTTTTCCTCAAATCTTGGCGAGTCCGAGCTTGCCTGGAGGTCTCGTGCTGATTCTGCTGTTTTTTCAAGGGTGTAGCATTTCTTTACGATGCTTGGGCACAGACAGGTTGTTAGGTGGATATTGACGGACGGTTCTTGAGACTGACAAATCTCCCACATCGCGTGCACTTCGCTAGGGATCGCGCGGTCAGTATCATGGAAATCAAGGTAGGTCGGGGTTTTGTTTGCTTGATACGAGTTGCAGAAATGGCTTTGGAGATGTCTCTGTGTATAAGGCGCGCAGGAGGTCTTATCACCAGCAGACAAGCTCCCAGTACAGAGTGGGAGGGGTCACAAAAGGTGTCCAGGGAGGCTCATCTGGTTGACTACCTAATGAGGTAAAAGGGTGTTGGAGAGAAAAGAACTGGAGAATGGAATCTCGTCGAATCGGGCTCATCGGCTGCGTCAAGTGGAGTCGAGCCACTGAAGTACTGCAGTGAGTGTTCTGTAGTCGGCCACTAAAGGCATGGGCTTTGGTGACTTGGTCAGCGAGTTTAGATCAACTTTGGACATAGCGCCGGTTCGACATCCTCAAATCTTTCCGCCCTTGGATTCCTCATCGCCTTCTGAGACCTGGGTACGGCGGAAATGTCAATAAGCACTATTCAATCTCAGGTCTCCAGTTGATATTCTACCTATGACAATCGTGCGCGGCTTGGCCAGCAGAAGATGCGCGCGACCTTACGCAGGTCCTGTGACGCGTGTGCCAGAGCAAAGCACAGCTGCGACTTGCGGACACCCCGGTGCTCTCGCTGCCTCAAGAGGAACTGCCCCTGTATATATGCGAATGAGCCCCTGACGTCCTCGTCCATCACAGGCAGCCTTAGCTCGACTCGTGCAGACGCCGCATCTCATCAACATGCCGTGGAAGAGCCTCCTGTCCACGTGGCAGCCGACATTCGGACTCCAACCTCCTTGAGTGGACCAATAGTTCTTGCGCGCGGAAACATCGATCCATTCGACTCATATCCGCAGACAAGACTCCCGCGAGCCCGCGTTCAACGTCTTATTCATCACTGTATGCCCCGCCCCATGTGTCCTCCTTCCCTGTGCTCATTGCCTTCCAGTCCTTTCCGAAATCGCCTTCCAGTGGTATCCCTTGGACCTCAACCCGGGATCGAATCCTTTTCTGGTCTCTTGGTGGCCAAAGGCGCTGGCGGAGCCAGCCTTGTTCCATGTGTCGTTGCAGACTGCATGTCTAGACGAAGAATTGCGGGCTCAACGAGGATTCCCCATGTCGGAGATGCTCATGACGGACTCCGTGTCCCTTGTCCGACGAAGGATTGAACACTCATCTCTGGCCTTCCAGGACGAGACTTTGAATTCTGTGGTGACACTCGCCGCCATAGAGGTGCGTCTCTCTTCCGCCATGGCGAGTGTGATGCATACTAATGAACAGAGATAGCATGGTAAGGGGAATGTTGACGTGAGTCGTATGCACATCGAGGGCATCAAACGCATTGTTGATGTCCGCGGTGGAATCGGCGCTGTGAAACGCACAAGCCCTCTCACTGCTGGCATGGTATCTTGGTAAGTTTGAAATTTCAAGTTCAAACGACTACAGCCACTTACTTTTTGCGCAAGGGTGTCTCTACTTGTTATGGGAGCCCCTCAGTTCGATGTTCAAGAGGGATCTGAGAGAGCAGATGGGATCGAAGCAACCCCGCAGTGGGAGGCCGCTGCTCCCAGTGAGGCGACTCTGGGAGATTTCAGTGAGCAGCTCAATCTGGATCAGGCCATTGCGGATGTTCTCGCCCGTCTTCGGACTATATACCACCAACCGGCGATCTCTAAATTGACGACGAACGAAATGCATGATCTCACGGGCTTTGTCATGCACAAGTTGCTGCTCCTGCCTCCTTTCGTATCTCTGGATGAGGCGCGAGCAGCCAGTTCAGAATGTCTTCGCTACAGCCTGGCGCTCTACATACTGGTCATACGTGGTACCACGTACTACTCGCATTACGACTTGGCAAACATCATTCTCCTCCAGCTCCGGATGCACCTCGAGGCATTGAGCCAGACCTGCCACCGGTTTGGCTCACTTTGGCTTTGGACAATTACCATGGCCTTGGCTGCGCCAGTTGGTCTGACTAATCTGCAATGGGCTCGCGAGGAAGCTTGCACTGCTGCCCGAGCGAGGGGCCTCCGTGCATGGAGGCATGTGGTTGTCCATCTCGAGAGCATCATGTGGATCAAGACGGCCCAGGAAAGCATGTTCCAGCAGAAGTGGGAGGTGGTGTTGAGCCAAACATGGCAGGGAACAGGGCTATCCATGCCTGCGTCCTGTCTATCAGGCCATGGTGCAAGGTAAACCACAAAAGTGCCACTTCGCACATGAGTGTTGGTGTTGCCCCATCTCTCAGAGACGATCTGATATCGGAGTCTAAGCCTAGGTAGGACTAGACTCCGAATGCTTCGTTCTCGACGAATTAGGCATAGCCTATTGTTACTTCTCGCGATCGGAGTCTAGTCCTGATTTGGCAACAACATTATCACAGAAGTGCTGATAGAGATGCGGGATCGAATCGCAAAAGTTCAAAAGTTGATCACATGAAGAAGCTGTTTTGCTGGTCGACCAGTCAATTGGACATGCACGGTGCCACTTTTCAGGATATCCGGCCTACGGATGCGCCTCCTCCCTGCAGCCCGTGGGCCCCATGTTGCTAGGCTTAATCTCCGCTGAACATCCAGGAGAGTCATCGTTCCTGTTACTGGGGCAAGGAATCTGCGTCTCAGCGTCCGGCTCATATAAGGAGGACCCTTACGCACTTGTGGCCGCAAAGATTATGTGTTTCATTACTGCGAAAGGACGAAGAATTTACTGCCATCCCACGACATGGCTACGATCCTCGCAGAAAGCATGAAGTCGGTGGCGGCCAATGGCACACAGGCCACAGAACTCGGCATCGCGAACCGAGCAGCTGGGCTTGTTACAAGATGTTTCTTGGTGTCAACCCCGTGGCAAATATTGACGACTCTTCTGCTTGCGGCGGTTGTATATGACCAATGTAGGCCGAATGACCAGTCTGTCTCCAGCTCGGGAGGCTCTACTAACATTGTCACCAGTCATGTACCAATGGAGAAAAGGCCCGATCGCTGGGCCTGCTTTCAAGATTCCCTTCATGGGCACGTTCATCGACGCTATCCTCCCCAGATTCGACAGGTATCTAGCTCAATGGGCGAGCGGGCCTCTGAGCTGCGTTTCGGTCTTCCATCAGTACGGATCCCTTGTGTCGACGTTGGCTAAATCTTGAATCCTAATCCATATATCTCTTAGATTTGTCGTACTCGCCTCAGATCGAGACCTTGCCCACAAGGTCTTCAAGTCCCCTACATATACCAAGCCTTTTATTGTCCCAATGGCGAACAGGGTCCTGACCCCGAATGCGTTGGTCTTCCTCATGGGCAAGGCTCACACAGAGTTCCGCAAAGGACTCACCGGTCTCTTCACCAACAAAGCACTTAGCACATACCTTCCGGTTCAAGAAAAGGTGTATTCCGACTTCTTCGACAAGTTTGTTGCCACCAGCGAAGCCCACGGAGGGAAGCCAACTGCCTTCATGGCCTTGTTCCGCGAAATCAACTGCGCCCTCTCTCTACGGACTTTTTTCGGCGATTACATTTCTCACGAGGAGGTAGAGCGTGTAACCAATGACTTTTATGTAGCCACCGAAGCTATGCAAGATCTTGTCAATATCCCTTTCGCCGAGTACATCCCTTATACAAAGGTGTGGCTTGGTAAGCGCGTGGCGGACAGGGTACGAGCAGAATTCTGCAATTATGCTGCGGCGAGCAGAGCAAACATGGCAACGGGCGCCCAGCCGAACTGTATCGTGGATCAATGGGTCCAGCACATGCTCGAGTCGAAGCGATATCAAGAGAGAGTTGCCGCAGGTGAAGAAGGCTTGCAGAAGCCGACCAACCTGATCCGAGAATTTTCCGACTACGAGATAGCCCAGACCTTGTTTACGTTTCTCTTCGCCTCGCAAGACGCCTCTAGCAGCTCGACTACCTATCTCTTCCAGGTTCTTGCACAGCGACCGGATGTTCTCGACCGACTGCGTGCCGAAAACCTCGCTGCCAGGGGCGGTGATACTCACAAGCCTGTCGACCTTGCAATGCTCGAGTCTCTTACATACACAAACGCCGTCGTCAAAGAACTCCTGCGTTATCGTCCGCCCGTTATTTTTGTTCCGTATCTCGCACACAAAGCCTTTCCCGTCACGCCCGACTACACCGTCCCAAAAGGTTCTATGATTATCCCCTCTTGCTACCCTGCGTTGCACGACCCGGAAGCATATCCAAACCCCGAAGTGTTCGATCCGGATAGATGGATCACTGGAGATGCCGAGTCCAAAACAAAGAACTGGCTTGTTTTTGGGACCGGAGCACATGATTGCTTGGCAAGAAGATATGTACCGCTCACAATGACGGCAATGATTGGAAAGGCGTCCCTTGAGCTGGACTGGGTCCATCACCCTACACCCCGATCCGAAGAAATTAAAGTGTTTGCAACTCTATTCCCTATGGTATGTCTTTCAGTACGTCTTTAATCTACTATTCTTCTCCTAACTAACAGCTATTAGGATGGTTGCCCTCTGGTATTCACGAAGAGGGTTGAATAGACAGCCCCATCAGTTGTCCAGCAAACCTACTGTACAATATCAAAAGACTGCTACTCTATTGAGAACCTTTATCGGAACTTTGAGCGCTTTTAGTGTCTAAGGTCGCATATCAAGGCCAGTAGATTAGGTCGTGCTGCGTTGACACACATGGCAATGCAGTCCCATGTTGGCTCGCCTACACTGCTCTGGTCGACGGACTTGCTACCACTATCGTCAGGTCTAAGCAACTATTGCTTTCATTAACTCCAATGCAAACTCCTAGTTGAACTGCTTGTCGTAGTTGGTAAGAGTGAAGCGGTATTTGACATCATTGTTGTGCAATCGTTCCACTAGCCCATGTCAGTTTAGAGGTGCTTTATCATCCATAAGGTTTGATCAAAACTTACAAGCTTCACCAACGCCCTTTTCGCCAATGGGAATAGTCTCAATCCAACTCTTGATGCCCTTGTCGGCCGCGAGCTGCAGCATATCCAACGTCTCGCGTCTGCTGCCGAGATGCGCGCTACCGATGAGGCATCCGTTCGATAGAAGTGACTGCGGACGGACCCTCCATCCCTCGCCTTCAGGCAGGCCAACACTGATGAATCTACCGTGGACCTTGAGTAATGACAGGTAGCCGCTGAGGTCGAAACCATCGTCTGCACTCGCGGTGCAGACGAGCAGGTCAAAGGTCATCTCGTGTGCGACGTTCCAGTCCTTTTCCTGAGTTGCAAGGAACCCATCCGCTCCCATGGCCAGCGCATCAGCCTCCTTCTTTCTGCTGCGGGAGATCGCCCAAGTCTCGGCACCCAAGGCCTTGGAGAACATCACACCGTAGTGGCCGATGCCGCCACTGCATACAACAAGTCAGCATGGTTTTATATATGGTGCTGGTCAAGACGTTGCTCACAGTCCAACGATGCCGACCTTCTTGCCCGGGCCAGTTCCGTTTCGGACGAGCGGCGAGTAAGCTGTGAGGCCAGCGCACAGCATTGGGGCCGCCAGCTCGGACTCCAGAGCATCGGGGATAGGGAAAGTAAAGTGCTCATGTGCACGGATGTGCGAGGAATATCCACCGTGAGCAAATGTACCATCGGGGTAAAACGAGTTGTACGTGTCTGGAACGAGTATTAGAGGCTGCATTGCAAAGAGCTGCTGGAGTTATTCAAGTGCACCTTGCTGTTTCTTGCAATAGGTCTCGTTGTTCTCTTTGCATTGAGTACAGTCGAAGCAGGCGTTGATTTGCGCACCTACGCCGACTCGGTCACCGACTTTGATCGAGGTCACCTTGGGTCCAACCTTGACGGCGGTGCCGATGATTTCTAGTACTGCGTGTCAGTCATCAGAGTACGTGTAGTTTGTATGATGCTCGTACCATGACCAGGAATAACGGGCCAGTTCTTATTTCCCCAACCGCCAGTGGCAGTGTGCAAGTCAGATCCGCAAACGCCACAGCAGGTGATCTTCACATCAACATCATAGTCACCAAAGGGTTTGGGCTTGAACTGCAGCGAGAACCTTGTTAGTATAGCCTAGAGGATCGCCCAGAGAGGTTCTCGTGACGATATGTGACGAACCTCGAGTCGTTCCGGGTGATTCCACCTGTCCGCCGCCGGGATAGCAAAGCCCTGAAAGGTTTCGGGATACATTATGCCGTGGTGTTATGAGATTTCAGCTGGGCTAATTGACACACGCTCGTGATGCCTTGAGATTTAAGAGTACGAGCAATCTTCAGCGTCTCGCTTTTATAAGGCACAAACCATTTTTTTGCTAGAAATGACTATAGTTCTGGCCGACATTTGCTGGGCAAAAGAATCCCTGACGGCGGAGACCCAAAGTCGACCAGGGGCAGGCGTGCCGCCCATCCCCGCCGGACATTCTTCGCTCAAGATCGTCACTTTCTAAGCCGCGTCAAAATAGACTCATCCCCACAGAAATGCCATATGACCATGCGGAGACACTCGTGATTACCTCGCCCACATGAGTAACAAACATGCTAATGACACGCTGACGGAAGACGTGAACATGTAAACATTTAGTGCAGAATTTCCTGGTTGGGTCAGCTTGAGAGCATCAGGCAATGATCGGTTTCTAGGACGAGTCGAGATCAACAACGACAAGAAGCTGAGACTCTTCAGGACGGTCCAATATATAGTAAGTCATGATGCCTGATGGAATACTATGGTATCTCGTGAAACAATCTCCAGCAATCCCCGACTCTTGTTGTTACATGTGTATTTCTTATCTATGATGAGCCTTCCATCTTATAAATCTGTGTAACGAGGTCTTGTACGGTTTGTTTGAACGTCTTGTAGTTGAGACCAAGTTCTTTTGCCGCTGTCGCGCCGTCGATGCCGTGCGACTCGTCGATCACTTGTTCCTCCCGAGCAACCTTGCCTTTGGCCCAACTGAAATTATCTTCGACGATCTTGGCAGCCAGGCTATATGAGAACCGCTCCGGCGCACCAGGTAGAAATCTCTTCCCCCCTGCCTCTGATCTCAAAAGGGCCTCGACATGGGCCTGAGCAAGATCGCGGACATCGATCCAGAATGGCACGCGCGCAACCGGTAGCGGTGACTCGCCTTGAGCCACGTTCCAAAGCATGGCGTTGGATACGTTCAACTGCTCTACACTTGTGATCGGGTGTGCAATCGGACCGAAAGTCATGGGAGGACACAGTGTAACGATATCAAAGGTTGGCTTTAAGTCACGGACAAAGTCCCAGGCCGCAAGTTCGGCAAATTTCTTCGATCCTCGGTAAGCGATAACAGCACTTGTCGCTTTGTCGATCGACTCTTCGTAAGTCAGAGGGTTCCAGTCTTGGCCTGAGTAAGTAAAATACGGCGGCGCCTTGCGGTCGACATCCATCACGGCCGCGAATGAAGACGTGATCACCACCCTGCGAACAGAACGGCTTTTTGCTGCAGCATCGAGAATCGATCGCACGCCATTGATAGCTGGAATGATGAGTTCTTTCTCGTTGTCTTTCGTGTCATACGTAAAAGGCTAGATGGGTGTCAATGATATCAGCAGTGTCAGAACTTCGTCAAATTGCAACATTACTGACACTGGCGACATGAATGACCGCATCAATTCCCTTGACGGCATCTTCGAAGACACCAAGCTCCTCAAAGTCTTTGATCTCAACAAAATCCAGCTGAGAGGCGTATTTAGGGCGGGCAGCTACCATAGCCTGACCTTTGGCGAGTGACCGGGTTGCACCTCGGACTTTGAGCCCCCGACTCAGTAACTGGTCGACAACATGTGCACCAATGAAGCCAGTAGCACCCGTGACGAGAACATGTTTCCTACAATCATCTGCTGGTTAACCGGGATAGTCTTGTCGACGGGTTGATAGCAACTCACGGTAAGGAAGACATGAATGCCGATGTTGGTGGACTTCTTTTGCAATTTTTCCGTGCTCGAGCGTCAGAGTCTGGTCTCTTGAATGGATACAGCGATGCTCTTTTCAGTTATGTCCTCTCCGTCATCAACACGTCTCTACGCGTTTGCATAGATGTCAGGAGTCAGACCGAAACCGGTAGAGTCGCTCTCGAGATACAGCATACATAACAAGGCGATCTGCCTTCTTGAGGTGCCAACGACTAACGTCACTAGTTTGCAATCCTTATTAACACCGCCGATGAGCGAAAAAGGCATGCCGCCTCCCCCCGTCGAACTATGAATCTCGGCTGCGGTTCCGACTTGCCGCTCATACCCGCCCTAGCTTCACCAAATGTACCAAAATTCGCCAGCCAGACCCGCACAAATCCTCGCATGACCCCATGGGGAGCACGCTAGTCAAACTCGCAAGATGCTCATGAAAATCTATCCACCAGGATGCAAGGACGACGCTAATTCCCCGGGATAAACGTGTACAGAATGCTACGGGGTCAGGGGTACGGGGGAATGTTTCGTCTGCCCGGGACTTGCAAATCGCGTGCATCCTCTCTGATGGGACGAACTCGGGATTCTGGCCCCTGCAAATATCTATATCAACACCATCACGCCTCTTGATCGACATTTTCCTACACTGTTTTCCAACCCAGCACCATCTTCTCTACTCTTCCTGGGCAGTGACCAGATCTTGCAGAGCACGAGCCCCTTCGTCAGCCATTGTTGTCTCTGACCGGTTGTATCACTCAACACTCGCCATGGCTGTCTTCAACAACCTGAGCGGGAATTGGCTCATTGCCACCATCACTGTGGTCAATGCAGGTAAGGGAGCCTCTTCATTCCCTCACATCCGCCTTCGCAGGTCTGCTAACGCTACAATTCAGCATCCATGTCATGGTTCGGCTACGATCAAGGAGTCTTCTCCGGTGTTTTGATATCTTCCGACTTCAAATACTGGTTCCCCGAAACGAACAAGGCCAACATCTCCGGCATCACGTCGAGTTGCTTCTCTCTGGGAGCCTTCTGCGGGGCGATCTTCGCTTTCACCCTCGGTGACAAACTCGGCCGCAAGAAGACTATTTCCCTCGGACTGATCTGCAATGCTGTTGGAGCCATCCTCCAGATCGTGTCATGGCATTTGCCACAGATGATCATTGGCCGCATCATCAATGGCTTCGGCATGGGTCTCACGTCCTCGACTTGTCCTGTCTTCCAGGCCGAATGTTCGCGTCCAAATGTCCGCGGCAAGCTCGTTGTTGTTCAGTCTCTTTGTAACACAGCCGCTTTCTGTCTCGCCAACTGGATGAACTACGGCCTCTACTTTACTGGTGGTGCGCTTCAGTGGCGTTTCCCGCTGGGCTTCCAGCTCATCTTCCCCGTCATCGTCTCTATTGCTCTTCTCTTCGTGCCTGAGTCTCCACGCTGGCTACTACTCCAAGATCGTCATGAAGAGGCGCTAGAGGTCATTGCCCGTCTCGAGGGCAAGGGTGTCAGCATTCACGACGAGCGTGTCACAGCCGAGTTTCTCTCCATCCGCACTGCCATCCACCAGGAGCGCAAAGAGCGAGTGCCGACAAAGGACGTTCTTCTCTTTCGCGACAAGACTCAGAACTTCCGCCGGCTTCTCTTGTCGGCTGGAACTCAATTCATGCAGCAATTCAGCGGAGTCAACGCCTTGGGCTATTACCTCCCCACTCTTTTGCAGCAGAGTGTCGGCTTCGACCAACAGATGGCGCGCTTGATGACGGGAGTCAACGGCACTATTTATCTATTTGCCGCGTTCTGCTGCTTGTTCATCATTGACCGGTTTGGCCGTCGCAAGATGATGCTGTATGGATCCAGTACTATGGGCTCATGTTATCTCATTGCCTCCATGTGTCTTCGCGCTGGCCAGACTGGCCAGGCTGACAAGAAGCAAATGGGAAACGTCACTACCGCCATGTTCTTCATGTACTACTTCTTCTACGGCACCAGCTTTGCCAAGGTACCATGGGTGTACAATTCCGAAATCAACTCGCTTGGCTGGCGCACTCGCGGCGCCGCCGCCGCTACGGTGAGGAATATTCTTCCACTCTAAACTGTTCTGTTTACACTACTAACGAGAATAGGCGACAAATTGGCTTGGAGGCTTCATAGTGACTCAATTTACCAAGGTTGGAGTCGATAACCTCATGTGGCGTTTCTATCTGAGTATGTTTCTGTCACCGTTGCGTCGAAGCAAAGTTAACTTATTCGTTTTGAAAACAGTGTTTGCAATCATCTGCTGGGCGTACCTCCCTGTTGTTTGGGCACTATATCCCGAAACCTCCCGTCGAACCCTCGAAGACATGGACGAAATCTTCATGTCGAACCCGAGCCCCTTCGTTTTCAACAACCGGGACCTGACTCAGCGCAGGCGTCCTCAGGCTTTTATCGACGCTGAAGCCCGCCGTATTGACGAGGGCGCTACGTCGGAGGTTGGACAAGGGGTTCTTGAGCATAAGGACTTGGAGAACGTCAAGGCTGCGCACGTTGAGGCATCACAGCGCGTCTAAGGCAAAATTGTCACCTCTATAAACTTACGTATGTGACGAGCTAGGAACTGTATAGTTTTTCAGTTGTAGGTTCGCTTCTCCAGATTAACTTTCAGTGCTGTTAGAGACAGAGTCCAAGCTATCGACTATCATGCTCTGCACAGCAGGCATCCGCTGTCAGCCACTCGTGGACAATCACAAGAAAAGTTCGAAACTAGCAATAGAAAATTTAACCCCTGCTTCAAATCAATTCCGTGCAATAAAATGCAGCAGCTGCCTTTGAAGTCCGAGAGTCACTGGTATCAACGCGGACCCCTCGAAACACGACATATGCTATTACCGTCGGACTCCAGTCAGTCAGCTTGACGGGTGAGATTAGCCGTGAAGCTTTGAGTCCTCAGTTGTGTAAGTTAACTTTCAGATAGCGCATGAGGATTGCAAATGTGTATCAGCCATTTAATTGCTGGTGGGATTAGTTGACGGACTGTAAACGTAGAGACGTGACTGTTGTTCTAACCCATCGGGCTAAGGCAGCGGGATAGCCCTTACGAGTTCCATGGGAAGAATTTGTATTACTGGAATTGAGGGAGTTATCTTTCATGCACGTCGGCTAACTATTCTGATACCAGCTTGCCGGGGTATGGGCCAGGATTGGGTATGACACGGAAAGAGTCAAACATAAATACAGGAACTTTGAATCCTTGTCCTGGAACATCTTCTTGCGCGTGTACTCCTTGTCAGATGGACCAATGATCATCCTTGCGATACAAGCTTGGAGGACGCACTCGACGAAGATGCCCATTGGCTGGTCTACAGTCAGGCATTTTCTGTCGCTATGGCCCCTCGTGCGGTTGAGTCGGTTGGCGATGAGGGTTGCGCAGAGTCTCTGGTTCCAGCTATGTCGAGATGTGCGAAAGATGGACATCCTCTTCGTCTTGGCAGCTCGACGTCAGTCCAGATCTCAATTTCGCAAGTGATATGCTGGGTCCGGCAGCGTTCTTCTGATGTCCACTCACGGCGCGAACGAGAGTAGTAACCGTGTCGGATAATGGCTTTGCTCCCGCGCCGGAATTTGCCAGAAATCCACTCCTCACGGTGGTAGGCGAATGCCTCCAGCATGGTGCCCACTCAGATTTGCTGTTGCACCCCGAGTTCACGGGCAGCAGATGCGCACGGGATGGCCACTATTTCCGAGGACCGACCCTGTCGAACCGTATCGATGAGCAAAACCACATCTTCATCGAGACCATGACAAGCAACTAGTCTGACCATTTATTTGGCTGAGTCTCCCATGGGTGTCTGTCTAGACGATGTGTGGAGGGCTAAGCTGGCTAGCCCAGGGTTACCGGTTACCTTAGTTAGTGGAACTCCGCGTTAGGCACCTTAGTACCTACCTAGGTAGCTATCAGACTCGCTGGGGAGATGCGGCAGAATTGAGTCATGGTCCGGGGCGGTAGGAGGGCAGCCCTAGCGGCTAGAGTAATCCCACTTTTTATCTCCCTGGCTTCCCCAGGGCCCCTTCTTTCTCATGCCTCAGACATCCATCCTGATCTCAAGTCCAGGCTGCATTACCGCCAGCCTGCGGGGATGAGGGGAACTGGACCGCTGCTGCCCCTTCTCACTCCGCCGCCTGAGCCGCCTGTAGCTGGCCTCGCGCCCCAATCGTAACATGAGTTTCTCTCGCCGGAGAGTCGCGCTCGCGTGCACATTTTGTCGCCATCGGTAGGTGGTCTTGGTCACTCCGTGTCACGTGTGTGGTGTATCATGCTGACTCTTGACCAGGAAGCGTCGTTGCGACGCTGGACGGCCCGCGTGCCGGAATTGTATCGAAGCTGGCGTGGACTGTCAATATGATGATACGCCCTCTCAGCGGTAAGCAAGCCCCAAGGCCCGGCTTCCCAAGTGAGATGTGAGCCTCCCTCGGCTAACGCAGTCCTTGAAACAGCATCGACTCCTCTGGTGGTAGCCGGGAGATCATTAACCGACTTTTGGATATCGAGGACTTTCTGCGAACCCACCTCCCGAACATTGCAGCTGTCACGTCAGACATTCATGCCTCGGTGGCTCGAGTAGCTGCTAGCAATGGCGGTGCGGTCGACACGACCTCCCCGTTGAGCCACAACTCTCTCCCTGCATCATCGCTCCAGGCATCTCGTATTCTTGCCGGCGACATCAGCACAGCCCTGGGGATCCCGTCCTGGGGACCTGAAGCAAGCTTATATGCCCAGCTTGGCGGCCTTGATGGCGGCGCACCGGTTGAGAACTTACCACCGCTGACTATACCCGTCGGCCATAAGACATCGTCCAATTATCTCCTCTGCCTGCCAGCCATGAAGCAGCTCATCGGAGAGTACCCGAGTGATTTGTTTTTCATCCTTGAATCTCGCAACCCTCTGCCTGCTGAGCTCGCTTCACAGTCAACTCCCGTGCCCCTGTCTCGTGAACAGCTCGATAAGGACTTGCTGGATTATCTTGTTGCCGCTTTCTTTGCAGACGCATACCGCTGCCACCCAATCCTCGATGCAGAAGAATTTAGGGCCATATACATGCGGTTTCTCGAGGATCACAGACGGAGCGTCGTTGGCATTGAGGCTGCTCTTTGCTATGTCATATTCGCTCTCGGCGCGGCCGGCGTAGCTCCTCCTGGCTCACAGGACTTTCATATCAGCCCGCCTGGTATGGAGTACATGCAGCAAGCATTGCCCACACTCATATCCATGTCATCATGGTCATTCTCGTATAGCAACCTGCTCCCGCAAGCTTTGGTACTCGCTAGTGTCTACTTCGCATACATCACGCGGCCGTTACAGAGCTGGCGGCTCATCTACTCTGCGTCGACCCTCCTGCAGTTCAAACTATCCCGCTTATCTACCCACGATAGCGAGCCGTCATCGAGAGAAAGTATCCTTCGTATTTTCTGGTCGTGCTTCATCGTAGAGTGCGACCGCCTTGCCGAATTGGAACTGCCTCAAAGCGGCCTGCAACAGCTGATAGATCAGACCAGTCTACCCAGTTTCGCAGATATTGATGCGATGCAATCTACTAGCTACCTCGCCGAGATGTCGATCCGGAGACTGTTGAACCGAGTCCACAACTCGCTCTACCCACGGCAGCAGAGTGTCCTTGCTCTTTCTTCTACCACCCTAACCGCGGTTGACGAGTTCTCGGCCAAGGAGATTGCCTCTGTAACTACCATTTGCGACGAGCTTCATCGGCAGCTTGATTCGTGGTACGAGTCTATTCCAGAGCCACACCGACCGTCCCTTGGTACCGAGCCAACGGGAAACGACCGCCTGACCGTTTTACGCATTCGCTACTTCGCAGCAAGACATATCATATTTCGCCCATTCGTACTCTACGTGACGATGCACAACCTACAACAAGTGTCCGACGATATTTTGGAGAAGGCGAGGCTATGTCTTGACAGCTGCAGGGCTTACCTTCAAAATACCAGTGAGATCCTACGAAAGCAGAGCCAGTACACCTGGACATTTTCCCTATCGCAAGTCACCCATGTCGCCACTATGCTGACCTACGTACCGCTGACATTCTCGATTTACAGGTCCTTGGGTGCTCTTGTAGTCCTTACACTGGCGTCACGTAATCTCGCACTGACGCGTCTTGTTAGTGACATTGACGAGCTGCAGTCGCTGGCCATTAACAACGTTACGCCTTGGGCTTACCCGGGCTCAAGTCTCGACACGGTTCTCTCCATAATGCAAGAAATGCAAAGGAAACAGAGGATACTGGGGTGCTTATGACTCAAGTCTGCTAGTCTCGTGCGACCGCTTACACTAGCAATTCTATTCCTACTCAATGAACAAGTACATCATGCGACGAAAATCAGACCCTCGACGGATCCCCTACTCCTCATCTAATAGACCCTCACCACCGGTCGGCGATGCAATGATCTTAAGACCGATATCGCTACTCCAAAAGCTACCATTAGGATACGTGTACTTCTCGAGGGCCTCCTCGGTATATCCCGTCGAGTATCCCGGGTCGAGAGGTGTTACATAGTGTGCATTCTCGATGCGTGAAGGATGGCGCAAGTTTTCGCGGTGGCTATCGGCATTCTCAAGCATGGAGCGTCGACCGCTAATGGCGACGTAGTCGATGGTGCTTAGGTGCGACGTCAACTCGGTCAGACCCATGGCTCCGTTGTGCGGCACGCAGGGAACATTGAACTTCAGGGCCATCAACATGACCGACAGACATTCATTTACGCTGCCGAGCCGAACGGCATCGATCTGCGCAACATCAGTTGCCTCAGCCTGGAGCAGTTGCTTGAAGGTCACCCGATTCTGGGCCGCCTCGCCAGTGGCAACGCCGACGCCGTAGGGTGCCAAGGCCTTCCGGATTGTGGCGTGGCCGAGGACGTCATCAGGGTTGGTCGGCTCTGTCGAGTCATCAACCATCAGCGCTGCTCGAGTAACTCGGGACTTGACAGGGGTGGTCACATACCTTCGATAAAAACCGGTTTGAATTCAACAAGCTGTTTCATGTATTCGATTGCCTCAGGCACACTCCAGACCTGGTTGGCATCAATCATGATCTGGAAGTCATTATCATAGCCCAGCACCTCACGCACTGCTGAGAGGCGGGCCCGATCAGCTTCGACGCTCGTGCCGACCTTGAACTTGAAAACTTTGAAACCTTGGGCGATGGTCTCGTGGAGCACTTCCTTCATGCGGTCTCCGCTGAAGGCGAGCCATCCAGGGCTCGTCGTGTATGCAGGGACAGCCCGGTTCTCGAGGGCCTCGCGCATGCGGCCCTGCTTCCCCTTCTGCGTGGACTTTAGCAGATTAACGGCCTCTTCTGGTGTGATGACATCCGTGATGTACCGAAAGTCCACGCAGCGCACAATCTCCTCTGGAGTCATGTCGCAGACAATCTGCCAGACTGGCTTCTGCACAATCTTGCCCCAGAGATCCCATACCGCATTGAGCACACCCGCAACAGCTAGATGCGTCACGGACTTCTCTGGCCCGACCCAACGGTATTGCGAATCCGAGACCATGTAGCGGAAGGTCTTGCCCATGTTGTTTGTGAGCTGCTTCATGGTCTTCCCGACTACCCGCTGCGCAAAGATCTCTAGCGCCATGCATACCAACTCGCTACCACGTCCGTTGCTGAAGGCCTTGTAGATTCCTCCCGGTTAGCTCGGTGAGCAGACAAGTGAGCAGACAAGTAGAACGATCCAAACTTACAATACCCTCACCAACAAGGCCAGGCGTGTTGGTGAGCAGCCGAACATAAGGGTGTGAACCGTTGGTACCGACATGCATAGCATCTGAACCGACGCCGTCTAGCGAAGTCGGGAAGCGCAAGTCCGTGACAGTAAAGCCAACGATCTTGACGTCTTCAACGGCGAACGTGGAGATAGAACCCATCTTGGAGTCTGAACGGAGTCGCTCAAAGTATACAGATGCTCAATCAATACCAGACGAGGCCAATTGCGAGAATTCGGCAAGACAAGAGATATTGAGGGAGAAAAGCAGTCTGAGTATTCATAAGAGATTCCGTGTGACCCTGTTGGTTCGGATGCGACAGTGGGCTCGTAATATGGGGTTATTAGTGTCGTCCTTGAGGCCTTGGGGTTTTGCTACCCGCCCATCCGCAAGCCCCATTCACCAACTTGTAGATGCAAGGCAAATAATAAGTAGCATTGGGTCTCATCAGTGGCGATGAAACATTGTCTGTTCTCTGACCCCGAGCACCTCCACTTACCCCGTAGCTCCCTCGTTAGCGTCGAATGTGATCAAATCAAGTTTTGCTTGCTGCTATTGAGAATAACATGACAGATTTTACGCCCCTGTCCGGAGATGCCGCTTCCCCCCGTGCCGCCTCCCCCCGCCTACTAGACTGGTTAGGCCCCCACCAGCAGTCGCGGGGGCCGGGGTAGGGCACATGCAGTCGGCGCAGTCTCAGGCCACGGCGGAGTGGTGATGATCATTCGAGTTTGGCTGAGCTTGAGCAGGGGCCGTCCGCCAACGCGAGGCTTAAGTTGGTCTTCATCGGAGGAGCGTCTTGGACGCGCCGTTGGTCCTCCTTTCCCCATCACACGGGTCGCCTCCCTCCTTACGACCTCCCTCAGTCTCCAGTCTTTGCCAGGCATATTCAACCTTCTACTAATATCCCAAGACATATTTTCAATACCCCTCCGCCTCAGAGATATCTACTGTTCTCATCGACCACATAATCCGGCCGAGAAAACAACCAATGGCACCGACCCTTCCAGGCGGCATTTGGGCTCCAACCCAAGCATTCTTTGACGAGAAAACCGAGAATTTGGACCTGAATACAATCGCACAACATGCTGTACGCCTAGCACGTGCTGGCTGTGCAGGTATTGTCACAAACGGATCCAATGGCGAATCGGTCTACCTCTCTCCGACCGAGCGGGCCCTCGTTACACGCACAACTCGCGATGCACTCGACACCGCCGGCTTCCAGAATGTACCCGTCATGACCGGTGCTTCAGATCAGTCTGTCCGCGGCACTCTCAGCCTCATTGCAGAGGCACGCGATAGCGGCGCGAGTGCAGTGCTTCTCCTGACTCCAAGCTTTTTTAAGTGGGCGATGGATAGAGCCGCCATTGAGGACTACTTCCTTCAGGTTGCGGACAAAAGCGTTCTTCCCATCTTCATTTACAACTATCCAGCCGCTGTTGCCGGCATTGATCTTGATTCGGAGCTGCTCACGCGGCTGGCACAACACGCAAACATAGTTGGGACCAAGTTCACATGTGGTAATATCGGGAAGCTGGCCCGCGTTGCGTCCTCAACCGATAGCATGGGCTATCATTGCTTTTCGGGTGTGGCTGATGCTATCACGCCTGCACTGATAGTTGGAGGATCTGGTGCCATCGTTGGTGCCGCCAACGTCTTTCCCAGGATGTGTGTCAACGTCTACCGTCTATACAAGGAGGGCAGGTTGGAAGAAGCGAGGGTTGCACAGCAGCAGCTGGCACTCGCCGACTGGGCACTGACAAAGCGTGCCATCCCCGGCTTCAAATCCATATTGCGCCACTATTACATCTATGGTGGCCAGCCGAGGTCCCCGATGCGAGCACTGTCACCAGAGGGAGAGAAAGAGCTATTTCACGAGATTGAGGGGTTCATGCACACCGAGCAAGCACTTTCAGATGCTACCCAACCGCCGAATGCTTCTTGAAGGCCGGAGAGTGGACAAGGAACCGGGAAAGCAACAGCAATCTCGCAGTATAGATGTATCAGTAATAATAAGCAAGAAATACTTTTGAAACAAACTAGTCTGTGCTTTCTTCCTCTATAAGATTCTACTGCACTTGTTGGCAACGATGGCACCCCGACATGAACATTTCCGCCCAATGCAATATATCTTCCATCCTTCAATCTCTCGCGATCGTCGGGCCCCGGATTCAGGGGTATCCGGGCTTGAATCGAGCCGATGGAGATACTCGAATACATTGGGTAGTGATAGGGGGACTTCAGTCCTCACGGCGTTCACGCGCTGGAGAGCTGGGCTTCCACGATCCCACACGAACTTGTCCATCTTCTTCAGCGCCAAGTGCCAAAGACTGTGAATATACTCGAGTCCTGCGGAATCCTCATTCGTCGGCATCGCGACTGGTAGATTCTTAAGGATGCTAGGAGGCATTTGATCGCAGTATCTTGAACGGCTTCAGGAGATCAAATGGCTTACACAGCCTTTCCATGTCAATCTAAGGATAGGACAATATTTACCCTTCAGTGGGCCGAAGAGAAGAGTGTACACAGTTGATGTGTCACCCGAGCTTTCCAAGATGTTGATCGTGTGGCAAAGGGCTTTCCACGCGGTATTCATCTATAATTGATGGTACCTGTTAAGAGGCTTCTACGTGCTCCATCTCATGGTTGACCGCGAGTAGCTCCATGTATTAATCCTCACTGCTATCACCACTCGACCTCTTTAGCATAAGAATTACACAGATCCTTACAAAATTCAATCTCTTCCTGGATTCCAGTCTGGGCCGCCATCCGCCTGGAGGGCCATATCTCATCACCAGGCTTTTTCTCCTCCTCACGGTGTGCGACAACCGCGTCTTTGAGGAGCTTTTGAAAGTAGAGCACTCCCTTCTCATTGAACGAGTTCAAATCACCTGTGACGTAGACTCCCGCATTGAGATTCCTTTGTGCAACATTGCATAGACCTTTGTCTTCAGATTCGACTTGTTTGAAGAACGCATCCACCTCGTTAAACTCCTCATCCGTCGCGTCTTTATGCCTATAGACTTCATACTGCATCGAGGTTTTCGTTGCTGAAACCGGCACTACCCGCATCAAGTAGAAGTATTTTGTACTATCGACAGGATTAAGCGGCGCTTTAAAATACAGGTAGCTTTCTTTGAACAGGTACTTACGTCATTGTGACCGAGGCATTAGGGAAGAAAAAGTTTGGCGCGGGTTCGAGGCCTGATTCTTTTCCTGGCTTGTCCTCGACAAAGTGTTAAATCTGGCCACCTGTGACTTCGACTTTGTACGTCGTAAGGTTGGACGTTGCGGCAATTCCGGGGTGGGGAGTAAGGCAATGGTAGCACTAAATCGAAAATAATTAGGAGCTGCGACACAAACGCCTGGAAGAAAATGCTATACCTCATTATAGTTATCCACCAGTGTCTTCCAGTTGTAGTCTCCATCCATGTCCCATGTATGATCGAAAGTGTACTCGTCCATATTGAAGATACCGCGTCGTGGCTGTGTGTCGGCACCGTGGAAGTCACTCTGCCATGATACAGGGCTTATCTTCACCATCAAGATTAACCCAAACGAAGCCTCTCGTGTCTACATAGACGTGAAGCTTGAACAGTCCATTCCCCTCATGGTCGAAGTTCTGCATCTTGTCAAACCGAGGGGCCTTGGCCAATTCTCCATTGAAGCCGTATGACCATCCTAGGCAAGAGTTAGTTTCCTGAGGGCGGTGAGGAGAAAAAAGGTCTTGTACCGTGGTACTTGCAAGCTAGGATGCTAGTGTTGCCTTCATCTTTTGTCACCACAGGGTACGCCCGATGACGGCAAATGTTGTGAAAGCCGTTTAAATTTCCCTGTCGGTCGAGGCAGAGGAAGAAAGAGAAGCCCGCTTCATTGAACTTGACAGAATCACCCGCTCTCACAAAGCGACTGCGGTGGGTGATTAGGACCCATTGTTTGCAGAAGATTGCCCGTCTCTCTAGCTCGTACATGGCAGGCTCTCGATACCACGATGCCGGCAGCGCACGAGGTACATTAGCGGTCGTTGGGCCGGCCCTGGATGGTAGAAATCCGAACATTGTGATATCCTTTTGCTGGTGTAGGTCACTTGGTGGCTTATAGTTGAGAGTCTTGGTTCTCGACGCACCGACCCTGAGGCCTGAGGCTTTAAGTACCGGTGGAATGAATGCCTTGCTTGTTGTCTGACTCGGAAGACCCCTCAATGCGTGGCACGATATGTCGACCCTATCTTCTCATGCGCCATCAACTTAGTAACGTGGTCGCGAGCAGGGCAGTTGGGCAATTGCTTCAACAACAACAGACGAGCTCCAGGATGTGAAAATGGCCTGGATCTCCTTGATATCTGCGATGCATATCACAGCATATGTTCATTTTTTTCAATTAATACAACAGTTGGCCAGTTGCTATAGACTCCTAGTGCTCTTCTCATTTAATGTTTTTGTTTCGCATTCATAAGTCAGGTCATTGTTTAAGAAATGCTCTAATGTAGGCTGCATTAGTTGAAGCCTCAGAGAAAGGATCAACAGTATACAGAGTTTCAGTCGTGGAACTCATGGCGTTCCCATGTGCAGCTTGTGCCTCCCTGGTCTCCGAAAAACCACTTGATCGAGTAATCATATGATTTGGGAGAGCCATGTCCCAAATCACTAAGAATACATGTAAACTATCAGGGCGCTAGCACTCACTACCTTCAACGTAACTGACTTGCCGTCAATGCAACTACGTACCCAAGTCTGGCACCATATCCTCAGCCCCCGCTCACTCGTACCGTTCGCTGGATATCGGTAACCAATGTGACTATCGCTATGGATAAGTCCACATACTGGATGAGCAATGACCGGGGATGCATAGCGTGATGCACTTCAAAAAAGCACCGCAATGGAGCACAGGTTTGCTACAGTCAGAAGTGCCATTGAAAGGACATCAAGGTGCAATATCAAAATGCAGAGAGTAACCATCTCAGAACCTTCTGTACAGAATTGTTTCGAGTCGGTCGACTAGTGGCCGAGTTCAAAGGACGGTCATGCTGGTTCCTATTTTAATGATGACTGTCACGCAACGCATCGACCGAACTGGACAACCTGGTCACAATGCCCGATGCTACGACTGAGACCATGAGGTTTGATTCTCGGTGAGTTATTACATGTTCCCTTCCAAATTGCCCCCTTCATGTGACTGACGGAAGACATGACCACCTCACACCAAGCTTCCGCCGAATCCAGTCATGTAGTCAGTTACTCGTGGACACCTATTTCTCCTGCTGTCGAACCAACCATATTTATACTTCCATGTGAAGTATTTCCGTCTGAAGCTTTCGTAAGGACTACACCCAAGTCCGTTCTTTTCGCGGTGCTACCCTCCACCCTGACGTTTGCTAGCCACTGCAACAGAGTTATTGCGGCTTGTGATGATAGTGCGGCGTACGCAAGAGAGGGTTGGGTTTCTGGTATGAGATTACATGACAGCTGAAAAGATTTAACCTGCTAACATTATTGTCATTATTGACTTCACAGGTATGATATTTGCCACCAGAAAAAAAGAAAAAAGACCAATCGCCCTACAAGCCTAGCAGGTTGACACGGGGCATGCCAGGAGGCGAGATTCGATCGTGACGAATATCGAACTGATTGATGGAAGCTCTCATCACGGGTCCCATGGAGGAGACATGTCTGTCTCATGATCATGGATCATGTAACTAGGCGCAGTGATGAAGGGTCGATTCTGCATGAAGGACCAGAATAAGGTACCTCTGAAGCCGTGAAACATCTGAACTCCAATACAGAAATTGACGTCGAGTCAGATTTCTGCATCGAGAACCCCCGGTCTGAAGGTGCGGCTCGCTAGACCGCAGCTGCACATTGTAGCCCTCGTCTAGGACGGGAAGTTGGCAGTCTCCATACTAGTTTGTTAAGCAGATAGATGGACCAGAAACACCTTCGCTCTGCATGATATACTGCCAGTAGCAACGCCAAAGACTCGTCCATGGACCCCAAAATCTTGCTATGTTCTCAGTCATTCTCAGTCATTAGAGAAATACCCCGCTATCCTAGGATGGGCTGTACACATCTCCAGTGCGTTTGACCTCGAAGTCAACGTCTTTTCCGCGACCTTCCCTCTCCAGTTGTCGGACCAAGGGGACAACCTCACGACCAAATTGATCAATCTCATCCTCATAGTGAAGGAATGCGGTCAGAACGAGGTCAATCCCAAGACTCTTTAACAAAAGAAGCCTGTCGGCCACTTGTTCTTTTGTCCCAATAAGTTTTGTCTTGAATCCATCATTGTACTGAACCAGATCCTTCAGCTTACTATTGGCCCACATACCGGTCTTGTTGGATGTGCTTGCACCCGCTTGTTTCACGGCGTCACCAAACGCCTGAACTGCTTCTCGATCGGCTTTGCCTTGGATCTCCTCTAGTACGCGAATTGCCTCCTCTTCGGTTTCTCGCACGATCACAAATCCATTAACCGCGAACTTGACTTCGTGGTTGTTCTTCTTAGCTCTGGACTTGACATCCTCGATTTGAGTTCGGAACCCAGCGATATCATTGCCGTTCATAAAGTACCACCCACTAACCTCTGCAGCGTTGACTCTAGCGTCGTCACTGTTTCCACCCTGGAAGATTTCGGGATGCGGTCTTTGCACTGGCTTCGGGCTTAAATTGTAATTAGTGTACCGGTAGAAGTCGCCAGAGAAGCTGAAACCAGTCTCATCCGGTGAAGTCCAGATACCCTTGAGCACACGAATGAACTCGTTGCTTCGGCGATACCGCTCAGCGTGTTCCAACCACCACTCCCCCACCGAATGAAACTCGCCTTTGAACCAGCCACTGACGATGTTAACGGCGATTCGACCGTTGCTGTAATTGTCGATACTAGCAATCTGTTTCGCCGCAACTGTTGGGTTCCAGATGCCTGGTAGGATTGCAGCAATAATTTTGATTGATTTGGTTGCTCCTAAGATGGCCTGAGAGAATGAGACCGATTCGTGCTGTTTCGCCGCCCCATACGAGGCCAGAAACCGAATCTGGGTCAGGCCGTATTCGAATCCCGCTGCTTCCGCCGCCTTTGCGTAGCGTACATTGCTTTCAAGGTCCCAGTTAGTCCTTTGTGGGATCTTGCTGATTACAAGACCACCTGAAACATTAGGAACCCAGTATCTTGACAAATGAATTAGCACTGAGAGTTTGTCTTTAGAAATATTCAGCCTTACGCAAACCGAAGACGATCCGGGGCCATATTCAAATGGTGGGATGCAGCGGCCATCTTCCTGAGATGTAAAGAGCTAGACACGTTTCATATAGTGTCGGAATACTGATACAAAGTTTTGAATGAACTTGTGTTCAGGAATGTGCGCTCCATTTTGGCGACCGGGCGGCCTTTGAGGAAGTGCTCTTATTGTGTGATTGATGGGAATGTCGTGAAAAGGATTAATCAGCGGCAATGATGCAATCCGCACTAGTTTCAGGTACAAAATCTCCCTGCATATGGTACAATTGTCAAGCGTTAGATGATGTGATAGAGCGTATTAATGACATCTTTTAGCCAAGGTATACTCCTCATTAAGCAATCTTCAAGCATGCTATTAGTTTCTTGAGTGCCTTGCAATATATCAACCTCGAGGAGTCGAATAATTCACTGTCCCCAACATTCATAATCTATCAAACATCACTAGCATTTATTCTACATCATTATGTCAGCTCAAAAGAAGAATATTGAAACTCTTGAGGGAGTTAGGGAACCTCCGGCCGTTCGTGGAATTGACTCCGTAGTCTCTCACACCAGGCCGCTACCTGCCTCTGCGGTAAGCAATGAAAACTTAAGTCAACTCGAGCCTTGAATTGACGAGCTTCCAGACGGCACTAGCGATCGGAGCCTTTGCAACGACCTTGACAACTTTGTCATTGAGTCTTATGGAGTGGAGAGGGGTCACCATTACCAATGTTTATGTCGCAAACTTTTTCTTCATCGCTGTCTTTGGGCTGCTGATTACTGCGCAGTGGGAGCTCGCCGCTGGAAACGGCTTCTCTTACACTGTGTTCAGTGCTTTCGGTATTTAATCACAACTACACCGACAAGGACATGCTGATGATAATTTATAGGCTTATTCTATGCTGGGTATGCGGCAATTCTCACGCCAGCGTTTGGAATCGCAGCGGCGTACGGCGACGACGTTGCGCAGTTCAACAATGCTCTTGGATTCTTCATGACTCGTAGGTTGCATGCAGGATATGCAGAGGGCAGATTGCTGATAAGTCTGTCACAGTATGGACGATCTTCGTTCTGATTTTCTTCATTGCCTCGTTGCCCACAAACCTTGTCAACATCCTCATATTTGCTTTTGTGGATATCGCATTTCTCCTCGTAGCTGCAAGTTATTTCGCGGCTGCAGACGGCCACCAGAATGCTTATACCGGGATGAAGAAAGCAGGAGGCGTTTTTTGCTTCTTAGCAGGACTCGTAGGATGGTGCGCTTACCATCAATTCAATCATTTTCCCTCAGTTACGGTTAAGGCTGATACTAGAGTAGGTATCTAACCCTTCACCTGTTGATCAAAGACAGCATCGCGGTCCTCCCTCTTGGAGACGTTTCACAGTATTTCCCAAAGGCCAGGAAGTCGTCACTATAGAGAGATCAAACGCGTTCTAGCAGGGGCTTGTCGAACGTATCGAAAGATTTCACTTTGAATTCTGGCGTTGCGTTAGATTATGCTACAGCGCAGAGGGCGCTGGAATTCAGACATCTGAATCCCCAGCCCACAGTGGAAGGCATGTGCCGGGTACATTCAACGAATTTTGGGGTTGCAAGGATGTGTTGTACATAATTCTTCTATTGGGATTCAATAGCGTGTCGTGTCCACACTAGCCTCGACGCGAGTTCTTGCAGAATGAACAATCTCAGAATTGGCGGATCTGATGACATCGTCACCCAATCAGCTGCTTGTCCGGGACAACACGTCAGACGCCCCTGGCTTGGGAGAGATGACCTCATAGTAACAAGCAGTATCTCCTGGGCTCGTAGGGACTTATGCAGAGAAAGATGGATAGAGGAATATTCATCATTGATCCCATCATCGCGACTATTGGCATAATTAATCCCTGTGTCCGTTTGACCTGCATATCTAGACAATGGCAACAGGGATGGGGAAAACGATATACGATCTAAAGTCACGTCATTGGGCGTCTCGAGGCCCTCAATCGTGGAACAATTCTGATTGCTTGCTTGGGTATGTTTAGCGCGGAATGTCGCTGCTAACAAGGTAGGTAGTTCACGTTTTCGCTCAGGGTCATTCAGTGTCCGAAGATCCCTGTCGGGGCCTAGCTCCCGGGGCTTGGAACCTATCGAACCCCATCCTGAGCGCCACTGTTGGCTATCGTGATCGGTGTCGCAATAGGCGTAAGAAAATTCGAAGAGCAAGCCGGAAGCACGCGTGGGAATGTAACATGCAAATGCCAGCATCATTTAAGTAGGAATTCAGCTTCCAACTAGGATTTCCAAGACAAACTCAGCAACACAATCTCGTCACTACACTCCTAACGATACAAACATCGAAAACGAATTTCGTATCAAAAGATGGCATCAAATGCAAGGAGTGTCCCGCAGACTGATCCTAAAGTCTACGACACGTATGCGAGTCAATGGGCTGAGCTGCCTGCTGATGAAGCAGCCTGGCTTCAGCGAGCCCAGGAGGTCTCAAACGTTCTTGCAGAGGACGCAGGTCTGCGTGAACGCGAGAACAAATCTCCTCGCGCTGAGGTCGCTCTTTTGAAACACTCTGGGCTTCTCAAAGTCTTGGGGCTGAAGAAATATGGCGGAGGCGAACAGCCATGGAGTGTCGGATATAAAGTGATCCGCAAAGTGGCTGAAGGAGATGGGTAAGCTACGAGACTCCCAGCTCTTACCGATATGCAGACTAACAATGACTGTAGCTCTCTGGGGATGCTCCTTGGATATCACCTTCTTTGGTCAACTACTGCCAATGTTGTTGGAACTGCTGAGCAAGCGGATCGCATCCAGAAGCTCATAATCTCGAACAACTACTTCGTTGGCGGTGCAGTGAACCCACGGGACCAGGATCTACGCATTACATCTGATGGAGATGACATTGTGTTTAACGGATTCAAGTTCTTCAACACAGGAGGTGTCGTTTCTGATTTGACTGTGCTTGAAGGATCATATGAAGATACGAATGACCATATTTTCGCTTTCGTCAAGACGGAGCAGCCAGGCATTCAGTTTTCACATGATTGGAATAATGTCGGACTCCGTCTTACAGAGTCGGGAAGCGTCAAGATTGATAAGGTAAAGGCACCTTGGGCAGATGCACTTGGATGGGATGCGGCCAAGAAAAAGCCAGATCCTTCAATCTTAGGCATCCCCTTCGCTACTCTCTTACTTCCAACGTAAGTAGATGGCTGTGTAAGAGTGGATATGAGTTTGTGAAGTCTAATTTCATTCTCGCAGGATTCAACTTGTCTTCAGCAACTTTTACATAGGTATCGCCTGGGGAGCCCTGAGTGAAGCGTCGGCGTACACGAATAAATCTACTAGAGCCTGGCCATATGGAGGAGATGTAAGTTGAAAATGCCAGGATGTTCTTGTCAATGATCTGACAGATCTTCCAGAACAAGGAGAGGCCCCAAGATGAATTCTATATTTTGTCAACTTATGGCAACTTCCTTGCGCATCTGCGGGCTGTCACGGCCCTAGCTGACAAGGCTGGCGAGGAGGTTACTTCCTTGTACAATAATTCAGGAAGCGCAGAGGATCGATCGAAGGTAACAGCCGAGGCCAGAGGCGAGGCAGCGGTGTGGGTGGCCAGTGTCAAAGTTGTGGCGACGGATACAGGGCTGCGGGTCACTTCAGGCTTGTTCGAAGTGACAGGAGCTAAAGCGACGGCGACAAAGGTGGGCCTGGATCGATTCTGGAGAGATGTTAGAACCCACACGCTCCATGATCCCGTATCCTACAAGAACAGGGAACTTGGTCGGTATCAGCTGCTAAGGGAGCTGCCCGAGCCTACCTGGTATACCTGAGCTGAGGTCGCTAGTTGTGGGTCCACAACTACCGAGACGCGCGACCATATGCAGAGCGCGATTTATTCTCCAGTTCAGCCCCAGTCAACAAGATAGCTGCCTAGTTTAGTTGTTCAACCCCTTTAGCATTGTTGGTCTCTGTGGTTCGGTGTAAAATTGCGAGTGAAAAATACGAGTTCGTAAGGCACCGAGATCCTTTGGTGAATAAAGGCCCAAGGGTGCCTGCCGACTCAATCCAATACAAATAGAAAGATATGGCATGGAATAATATTCAATCGAACACCAGCCTTCAACACTTGTTACAGCAGTCCCGCCTGCACGGCATTTGCCACGGACAAGATGCCATTCATAATCAGCCCCGAGCCGGTGATCCCTCCCATATTTACTGCAGCCTTGCACGGCGACTACGACGGAGTCAAGCGCCTCATCCGCGAAGGGGCCGATGTCAATGCTATCAATCCCAACACGAATCTCACGGCCCTACACGTAGCCAGTTCGAGAGAGGACTACCGGATTGTCAGGGTCCTCCTCGAGGCCGATGCCGACCCCTCTGCTACTGACGAGTTGGGCCATACACCACTGTTTGAAGCCGTCAGTAATGGGAAGATCTTATCGGCGAGACTGTTGATTGCTGCAGGCGCTTCCATAAATGTCAAGGGATACGAGGAGAACACTTTGCTGCACGCGGCGGCTGGTGGTGGCTATAAGAACATCACGAGGTTATTAGTGAAGGAGGGCGCGGAGGTAGACGCTGTCAATGCGGACGGGGAGACACCTCTCCATTCAGCGGCAAGACGTGGAGCAGGTCCTGAGATTGTAAAATTCCTCCTTGATGCTGGGGCAAATTTAGAGGCAAGGACGAAGACCGGCAGCACTCCTCTCCTCTCAGCCGAGGGTTATGACGACGAAGTCGAACTACTACTGCGAAAAGGAGCCGACGTCACTGCCGTCTCTGATGACGGCATGACGGCTTTGCACATGGCGGCAAAGCACAGTGTATGCGAACAATTGAAGCTCATACTGGATACCAAAGCCATCGACGTCAACGCAAAGACAGCTGACGGGTACACCCCGCTACACTTTACTGCGCAGACCCCGGTCAATGAAGACATGAACCTGCAACTCCTCGACGCCGGGGCTGATATCGACGCCACGAACAAAGATGGCGACACGGCGCTACACATAGCAGCCAAGCAGTATCCCAACACGAGTCTCAAGATACTGCTTGCTCGGGGTGCCGACATAGAAAAGGCAAACAATATCGGGGCAACGGCCCTGCACGTTGCTGCCTGTACCGGATCCGTGGCTCCGCTTGATGCGTTGCTTGAGGCTGGGGCGAACCCTGGCGCTCTTGACATGCGCGGGTTGACACCACGACATCACGCAATCTGGGCAAAGGAGGACTACTATCGAACGCAGAGAAAGGATTGGGAGGAGACGGGGTTCCAGAGTGAGAACTTTAGTGATCAGGAATGGGGTCAGGTCCACGAGTATGCGTCAGTCTGGGATGACATAGCAGCAAAACTATTGGCGGCAGAAGACCAGTAACGTAGTTTCCATCCCAAGCTAGTTGTTATTTATGGAAGAATGTACTCTTTCGTTGAACAAGGCCGGTTGCCCTCTTCTACAAAAACAGAAGTTGTACTGTATATAGAAGTCAGAGCTCAGACTGCAGGGGAATATGAAGCGGTTAAATTCCTGTCCTGATGAACATAACTGCTTCCTACCCGATCTCCAAACTCTGCTCCCCAATCCAATATGCTTTGGAGTCTACTTATCAAGGCGCAGCTGTACGCTCGAACTGTACTGCTTTAACATCATCGTAACGGATGAGCAGCGTCGTAACGGATAAATACTGGAACGCTGACTGTGACCAGCAGGCTTATTTTGCCCAAACATTCCAAGCCTGAGTTGCTGAAAATGGAGCATCCCGGGGATTTAACTTGACTTGCGAGAGCCTGCCTAGAGTGTCTTGGGCTGGAGTCTCGTTGCCACGTTTGCGCTTGAGGAGATACACTCGGTGGCACAGATGTCATGGGGATCAGATCACGTAGCTTGACTCCTGCTCAGTCTGATACCAAGCTGCATGTGCCACTTCTCTAGATTACTTGTAGAGGTAGGAATCCTTCCAACTATGCAGTTTCCTCTTATACATCTATGACGCTGGATTTACACGAGCCTAGCCTTGTCTCAAATACCTACAATATGTGAAAAATGAGAAATTGAGCGCAGGTTAGGAAATACACATTAAGTCAATTCCCACTTGAGACATCTCGACTGTTTTCGATGCCAACTCACTTCTATCCGAAATACCGCACTGTCTCCCTTTCACAATATGCAAGAAATCTATCCTTCATACCGTTCCCGCCCTCGGACTGCTTTTTGATGCCTTGCGCGACGTTCTCTGGCAGCTTTCCAAAACGCCCCCACGGCAGGATATACGCACCGTTCCTCTCCCGTGTGATATCCTGAGAGAATCCCGCGAAAATCTCGGTATACGCACCATACTTTGCCGGCTTGAACATGATTCCCTACTAAATCGTTAGACATAGCATTCTTGTCATTCAGTCTGGGAAGTCTAGCAAACTTACCATCATGCTTTGGGTCATGCGCTGAGTCCTCTGCAGCTCCGTTTTCATGAGGCCAGGGTGCACACTGACAGCAATTACTCCTTTGCTTCCCAGTCTTTGCGCAATGTCCGCGGACATATATGTCAGACCGACCTTCGACATCATGTAGTTGTCCATAGACTTGGTGAGCACTTTGGGCCGTGTGCTGGTGTCATCCCACTCGATGACGCCTTTAGGCACCCCCACGTCCATCCACGACACGACGTTGACAATGCGGACACCACCGTCCCATTTCCTGCCAATACCGGCTGCTTGATTCGCTTCCGCGGTTCGCACTAGGATTGGCTCCAGGCACTTAGTCAACAGGTAGTGCCCGAGAGCGTTCGTACCCATCTGAGATTCGTGGCCCTGGGCGGTTCTGGCCTCCGGCGGGGCGAACATGATGCCCGCGTTATTGAAAAGGACATCTAACCGAGATTCTTGGGACAGGAAGGACATCGCGGCCGGCCGGACTGTCGCGAGATCGGACAGGTCCAGAACAAGAGGCTCAAGCCGCCCTTCGCTTGTGGGATAAGTTGATCTTGCCACGTCGATAGCACTCTGGATCTTGGCCAGAGATCGAGTGGCGATGAAGACCGTTCCATTCTTGGAATACAAGAGCTTTGTGAGCTCTAGGCCAACTCCGGAAGAGCCACCGGTTACGATGAAGACCTATATAGCGTTAGGCACACTGGGAAAATTTTCAAATACTAGGCTTCTCACCTTCCCGCTGAGATTTGGGAGATGCTCTTCCGTGAAGTTTGGTGACGGTGGGAAAACATCGCAAAGGGACATTTTGTTCGGGTTTCCTTCGGACTTGTGCTCGCTGAAGGCTACGCTTGCTTTTCTGTGCTACTTGCAATGCTTAAGCAATAAACTGGACAAACGAAGCTGCTGCGTCTTAAATAGTCTGCATTTAGATACTTCGCTCCCTCGCTAAAGTATCTACGGTCAGGCCGCGGACCCCGTCGCGCATCGTCAGCACAAACTCTCAGGCTCTCGCCCCGTTGTGATATAATTCAACCCTGTTCCTTTAGCGTCAAATCGTCTCATAGCCAGTGCCAATTGCCAGATAAATCCGGGCATGCAGCAAAGCCGGTCTTAGCGCCGGGTTTAGGGCGGAGCCCACCAGTACCAAGTCCTTCATGAAGCCTGTAGTGTCGCCTTTCCATTGGACAATCAGCCGTTACGTCAGCCCGGCTTTATGGATGACTTCTCAATCACCGACTGAAGTCCGGCAATTGCGGTCTCCAAGTGCCACCCGCGATTGCGCTTGACGACATCCCAGCCTCTCATAGTAGTTCAGGATGGTGTTTCATTACTGTTGGTAGAAATTTAGCCAGCTTTCAGGCCAGAGTATCCCTCTCAAAGAGAGAAAGGCCAAGGATATGGACATGTGCTCAACCCGTGTTAGCCAAAGGACTGGACACAACAGCAATGTTCGACACAAGGATTAACAGAGTATATGAGTCGACAATGTGGCCTGTACCCAGTGTAAATCTCTTCATTTAGCATCCATAATACTCTTAGCTGCAGCTTCACCCGCCATGATAGCGCCTTCCATAAACCCCGCCCAGTATGGTGATGCCTCAGTACCCGCAAAGTAGATCCCGTCAATAGGCTGTGTCAGAGCAGGGCCAAACTGAGTCCATACATTTGGTGGGAAGAGGCCAGTGTGACCCCCCCTTGAATATTCTTCGTTATCCCATCGCTGAAGCATCCACGACTGGACGTTTGCTGCCTTGGGTCCAAAGTATCTGATAAAGTCCTTCTTGACGGCGTCAAATATCTCCTGCTCCGGAGCTCCATCGAGTCTGCGCATCTCATTGGCTTCCAAGAATCCCATCAGGGCTCCGAAGCTTGAATCGGGAGGTGAACTATCAAATGTTGACTGTGTAACTCCTTCAACACTGGCTACCTCACCACTGAGGCCATCGTGACGCCAGAATGGGGTGTCGTAAATGGCGAATACCTTGCCCAAAGAGCCCATGGGAACTCGTTGGCAAAGCTGGTCGCGGATTGCTGGAAGAGGAGGACTATACACCAAGCGGCCCGCTAGGGCTGGAGCTATGGCAATGACGACCTTCTTTGCTTGCACCTTGAAAGTATCGCCCACTACCGAGTACCCCAGCTCGTTGCGTAAAACCTGTCGAACAGGAGACCGCAGTCGGACCTTTTCGCTGCCGAGCCGCTCTGATAGCTTGATCGCAATACTTTGTGGTCCCCCCTCGATCCGATCCTCTAGCGATCCATCCTTCACATTGGTCAACATCTCGATACGGCCTGGAACTCCCTCGCTGCCAGTACGAGCAATGTAGACCAGGACACTCAAGAAGGAGATGTCTTCTGGCTCGGCGGATAAAACTGCCCGCAGTGTCAAGTCAAGGACCTCCCGTGCAATTCCATTCTTGGTGAAACCATCCAGCCACGTGGACATGGTCAGGCTATCCCATGCCTTTGCGTTGCAGTGCGCCCATGGCTTCCATACATCGAGCTCAGCAGCGAACTCGTTGAGCTGAGCAGACACCGTTCCAAGCGTGATGAGATCTTCTTCCGGAAGTGGAGGTAGTCCCTGTGATTCAATCGGATCATAGAGGAGACGGTCTTCTTTTGTGCAGAGAACCATCTTCCCGTCGGCATATGTGCGGAAGGTCTTCACGCCCAGCTCCTTTGCCAAGGCAAGGAGTCGGGTATGATTGTTGCAGACAAACTCAGCCCCAAGCTCGACTTTGCCGCCATCCTTGTTCTTCACCTCCTTGTCATAAACCTTTCCACCAACCCTATCGCGTGCTTCGAGAACAATGACGGATTTTCCCGCAGCCACAAGGTCCTTGGCGGCGGCGAGGCCACTGAAGCCGCCCCCAATGATGGCCACATCAACAGGTCCAAGCTCGGTACCAGCGAATGGAACGGAGACCATGTTTGTTATGTTAAAGAGAGGAGATAATATCCAAATGTGGTTGTGGATGGAAGATGTATTTCGGCAATATCTTCTGACTCCAGTGAGGTATGGAACATCACTTCTAATACCATGTTTAAAAGCAGAATATGCCTGAGGCTCAGTGACCCAGCCGGCAGTCCGCGGGCCCCGACGTGCTGGGGCCCGACATGCTGTGGTTCCATTGCATTGCCACCGTTTCATATTTAACAACCTTCCTCCAGAAAGGGAAGTTCACACCGATCCCACTGTTTATCTCCCTAACGCTCCTCCACCGGGGGGCCCACGCTAATCGCCCCCACATGACACTTTAGCAGCTGCGCCTGGCCTGTCCCGCCCAAGTAGCATATATTACTGCTACCTCGAATCTGGCTGATGATCTCGTCTTGGTTGACATGCATGATAAATTCTCCTTGTATTTCGCTCCACCAGATATTGTATCCTCGAGAAACCTTTCCCCGACACGCATCACTCACCAGATTGCAAACTCTCTTGGTTCGAACAGTACAAGCGTGCCAACATCTTCCATTGCAACTGGATCAATCCAATGGCCCGCTACTTTCAAACCCCAAACTTCCTCGGCGTTGCTTACCAAGCCCATGGTTATAGTCATGCCGTTGTCTTGCCACCAGGAGCTCAGCTTGTCATAGCTTCCGGTCAACCTGCGGTCAACGCCAACCGCAAACTACCAACATCGGCCCGAGAACAGATTGAAGCATGCCTTGACAATTGTGAAGAAGCACTCAAGGCTGCTGGGGTCAAAGATGGGCTGGGTGCGGCACACAAAGTACACTGTTTCTTCACCGATACGAAAGACGAACCTACCGCTATGGCAGTTTGGAAAGAGAGGTACCCTGAGCATAGACCTACCTGGATGAGTCTGGGTGTCAAGGAAATGTGCCTACCAGGGATGATTGTGGAGATTCAGGTCGAGGCACACCTCCTTCCTTAACATTCAACACATGAATGTAGACCACTTGACATTATGTGTGGGCCAAGATGCTGAGAAACGAAGAAGAATGGTCCAATTTTCCAATTTCCATAAAAATGGTTCCAGTTCAGGTCGCAATGCACGTTAGTCATGTTTCATTGTGAAGAGCGATATGATATGTTCTTTTGTCGCCTTGTTGGGTCTCACTCATTTAGGGAAATTTATACCGAAGCAAGGAGGATCGCCCCCGCCTTCCCCAATTTCAGCGCTAGCTCCAATACCCCCGGAGTCGAGCCCTGATATGAACCGTTCGTTCTGATCCAACGCCATGATTGAATATCTGGCTCATCCGCCTTTGAGTGTTGAACATGCCGTTCTATTCTTCTTGCCACTTTCATTGTCCACGTTTTCAAATGATTTTCTTGGACTCGTAAACTATGGCTCAATCAACGAACCAGAACCTTCTACAGGAGATAGACGGAAGAAGTAGGCCTCACTCCACAGATATGCAGACCACAAGTTTGGCTCACTATTTCATAGTTAACATCGATATCGACTCATTAGACAATGGATTCCTAAGGTCTCTGTCCATCACTCCAAATGATCAGACGTGCAATCCAAGATGGTTGTCAGTACAGGTGGAGGATCCGTCAAGTTCCGATCTTCTCAAGACCACGGCACTTGAACTGCAGGGAGATGGCTTTCTTGCTGTGGGCACTCGATTGGTGAGACTTCTGAAATCATATGAAGAACTCAGATTCATGATGTTAACTAGAAATAGGCCGTCCGCTTTTGCCGTCAAAATATCCCGTTCATCAAGGGCCGGGTCTTGGTTCAAACGAGCCCCTCGGCAGCATACGACTGTCAAAAGACTCTGGACCATGCGCGTCTGTTTGCCTCCGAGTTTGAACGGGCTGAGATCCCAAAGGATCGCTATTGCATAAAAATCATGGCTACCGGTCCAGGACTGAGCGCGGCGAAGATCCTGAATGGCGAAGGCATCTCGACGCTAGGAACAGGTGTTTTCAGCGTTGCTCAGGCAATTGCGTGCAGTCAGGCTGGGTGTTTGTTTATCAGCCCTTACTATAATGGTAAGCTTGTTTGTATCGAAATTTATATTTGTTCCAAAGTCTGATGACATGCTTATTTTACGCCAGAGATACGAACATACCTTAACCCGTCATTGTGGCCTGATGTTGCTGATCCAGCACTGGAGCATCCCTTTTCTCACCGCATTGCTCAGATGGTCCAAGCATATAAGGATTTGTTCAAGCAAACGGGAAATCAGCAACCATTGATAAAGAATGCTGGGTAAGTGATACAACAAACAAGAGGTTACCATAAGTTTAAGCTGACAACGACCAGGTTTTTCTCATACCGGGAAGTCATCGCCACAGCTGAGCTAGGCTGCCATTCTGCCACATTATCCAAGGACAATCTTGAGGAATTACAAGACATGGAATCTACAAAAGTGGCTTTGCCGGTTGGCGTGAAAATTGCTAGCCTGAGAAGCCCTTACTCTGATGATGCCGAGATTCTCTCGCCAAGGTTGAAGCAACTCATGACTAGTGATCCGCTTGCAACTCTTCGCCCTGGGGAAACATGGTCACCAACCGATATAAACCTCGACTACTTGGCAAACGGGGGGCAGATCCTGGAAGAAGTATTGGCAAAGGACGAGGCAGCTACACGAATGGTTCGCGATGCTCTTGAGTTGTTTATGTACTCTGAAGCAGAAATGCAGAAAGTCATTGAGGCAGTGTGGTCAAGGGCAAGTTTGTAAGGATGTTGCCTTGATAGTGGCGAGTATCATTGGTTGGACATACTGGAAAACAATTCATGCACAGATAAGCGGTTTCCCAAGCACGGGTATCATTTTGCTGAGCACTTGACTCCTTGGCATCTGAATAAGCGCCAAGGAGGATAGAAACATTAAGTTACTTGGAGAAGAACTTGGAGTTTTCACTAATATTCAAACTCAACTATTCGTTATCCGTCTTGAGGCAGGAGAAATACCACCACAGTGTAATGCAAGGCCTGTGCTAGAAAAGCCAACCCACCATCTGTTCCCCCGAGATCAGAAGTACGCGCTAAGTATCAAGATGTTATGACAGCCGACGAGATGTCTGACCCTTAGGGATAGCTACGGAATGAATTGGTGACAAAGCCTTGGCAATCACCAAATTCAGGAGCAGGGAGGTATGGTCCACTCTAGTTTGGAAGTGGGCCACTCTAGTTGGGACGTGGTCAATGCTACCGCTCGAAAGGGGAAAAACACACCGAGCAGTCTAAGGTGCAGATATGCTAGCTTTCATCTAGAGATAGTATAACAGGAGTCTAAATCCAGACTAATCCATGACAGATTGATTACCTGGCACTGTCAAGTTTTGAATTTTGGTATCGAACTGTCAACATGCCTCCACAAGTAAGTCGACTACTAGCGACCTAACCATACATCACTACTTACCCTTCCAATACAGAAATCATCCAATCTCGCAATCAACCATATTGCGATCTCATGCGTCGACCTCCCTGCACTTGTCGAATGGTATACAGATGTTCTGGGTTTTGAGCTAGTGGGTGAAGTTCAGCACCACAAACGATCAGAAGACCCCACACCTTTCGACACGATTTTTGTTTCGTACCCGCCGTCACTTGAGGAGCTGAAATTTGCTATATTGACCTCTGGAAATGGGGTCGGCATAGAGTGCTTCCAGTTCATTGACCCACCCTGCAAGCCCCGCGACGAGGAATTCGAATTTGCTAGAGCTGGAGTCTTCCACATCTGTGTCACGGACAGTAATCCGGAAGTGCTGATGGAAAAGGTGGTAAATAGAGGGGGGAAAGTTAGAGGGCAATGGATGGACTACTCCAGGTACGGGCTGGAAGGACACAAAGGAATATACACTCAGGATCCCTGGGGCAATGTGGTGGAAATAATGAGTTTGAGCCTCGACAGGGTCGCATCGACCGGGGCTGCTCTCTCAAAAGCAGCTGAAACTCTTCAGGGACTGATGCGTGAGCAACAAGAGTCATCACGGCTTTGAATAGACTACTTCATTTCCAGAACAAGACTAGGCCCGCAATATCTCTCGTTCTCTTATATCGCGAACGAATATCAAGTCAACTCTTGCGTTTGATCTATTTCACCTGGCCGTCGCCTGTCCGTACAATACTAATGAGCTGGCTAATGATAAATTTCTCGGTGGATATTTATTTGTAACCAGACAATACTGAACATGCAGCAACTCCATTACATGTAGCATGAACAGGAAGAAGCACCACCACAAGCCGTCTCATGATTTGCTCGCCACTCAACTCTAGAGAAGTTGCTAGAACCGAAGTATGGAGCCATATCGAACGATTAAGATACACAATAGCTCGGGCTGCCCCGAGTCTTCAGTAGTTGATGGGACTCCAGAGTGGATATATCAAGAGCGGTCTGAGAAGCGCAAAAAGAGGCATGGCCGGGAGCCTACAAGTAGAGCATCCAAGCCTGCGCTCCTAATACAGACTATCGAAGCCTTGGCGGCGCCTACCTCCAGGGCAACGAGTTTGGGTAGTCAGACTCAGTCTATGAAGATCAATACGCTATCGAACGTTGTTTCATTCAACTTCAGAGCTATTCAATTGCAAATCTTAAGGGCAGATAAATTAACCTAATCATTAATGGTGACTTCTCTGCTATTCCTCAGCACCTAGCTTGCACTGCTGACAATGCTCCCTATAGCAGATAGGAACTAGTGCCTCTAGTGAGAGGGTTCCTCGCGTTCTCTTTCAGCTGCGTTGTGAAATCTAGAAGACATTCCTAGAAAATCTGGACACGATGGCCTTGATTCTCGATACCTACTACGGGCTTCGGCAGCAAGTCAAGGTGAGCAACGAATCTCTTTTCACGAGGGCCTCTCGTGGGATCTGGTGCTTTGGTATTGAGGGCCCTAGTGCGTAGTCTAGTTGAAATAGGGGATATGAGCTCGGTGTGTTTTGCCTAATCGGGCCCGAGTCCTCATGCCCAGAAATCCCCGCCCCCCTCACTTTACCTGACCCGGCTAGCCCGACTCAAACCCCCGATCTCCGCATTCCTCTAGTAGGTATCATGCATCCAAGTGCCAACTCTGCAACTTGCAAGCCCCGCAAGGCCTCAAGCTGGTCTCTGGATTGCTTATCCATAGATAACCGTTTGTACTTAAAGAGACGGCTGGGTTGTGCCTTCCAGCATATGTTGGAATAGATTAAGTAATTTGGAGAGCGCTTGTCAGTGCCCTTCCGTCACGCTTTTGGCCAACTTAATAAAGCCTTGTTGAAATGCCGGACAGGAACTCTTTCGAAGAACAATATGCCTCCGGCAATGTTGCCAAACTGGAGACATCGCATGGAGCAGGAGAATCCTCGCCCAATTATGAAATTGCCGAATTGAAACCACGCTTCTCCGTTCTCGCGGCCATTGGTATTCAATTCAGCATCAGTGCAACACCACTTGCTATAGGTGGCTATCTGACTTTTATTCTCGGAGTGGGAGGAAGTCCCTTCTTCTTCTATGGCTTCATCGTTGCTTCTATTGGACAAATCTTTCTCTGCGCGAGCTTAGCCGAGATAGCGGCAGTGCACCCTCACGCATCTGGTACAGACCCCATACTGTGAGAACATGTAGCTTAATATTCGAGCTTCGCTGACACTTACACCTCAGGCCAAGTATTTTGGACAGCTGCCCTAGCGCCCCCAGAATGGTCGAGAGTTTTGAGTTACTGGAATGGTGCATGCACTACACTCGGATGGGTTTTCGCGAATGCCGGTACATACGTTTTCGCTGCGCAAATATGGCTTGCAACCATGGAAATTCGCTTTCCTGGTTACCAGAAAGAACCCTACCAGGTGTTCCTGATGTGCCTTGCGCTAGCTGGAGTCGGTCTCATTCTCAACATCTGGTTGTTTCGATGGTATCCCCATGTAACAACATTTATGGTCTGGTTCATCAACGCTGGCACCATCTACGTCTTGGTGACTCTGCTCGTCCGTGCGGTTCCCAAAAACTCCGCTCATGATGTCTTTGTCAAGGTCATCAACGCAACGGGTTGGGAATCCGACGGCCTCGTGTTCTTCCTAAACTTCCTCCCCGGATGTGTCGCCCTCGCTTGTTTCGATACAGCTGCTCATATGGCCGAAGAGATGGAGCATCCCCACAAGCAGATACCGCAGGTTATGGTTGGTGCCACAGCTCTCTGTGCTATGACAGCCATACCCATGATCCTTGTCTTTCTCTTTTGCACTGTCAACCCCATGGCTCTCCTCCAGCCACTCGCCGGACAGCCGGTTTTCCAAGTTTTCATTGACGGGTTTCGGTCAGACGCATTGCTGGTAGTGGCTCTGATTATTTACTGTGTCACCTATCTGTCGTCGTGCCCGGCCACAATCGCCACAGGCAGCCGCTTGGTCTGGTCCTTTGCCAAACATGGGGGGCTCCCATTCCAAAACTGGATCGGCCACGTCGATCCCGCCCTACAGGTCCCGGTCAACGCTGTGTATTTAACGGCAATCATCTCGTCCCTGATTACACTCCTCGTTTTCGGACCCACCACAGTGCTCAACGGCGTCTTTGGGGCGAGTGCCGTATGCTTCTTTTTCTCATACGGGCTTCCAATCTGGTTGCTCATGTGGCGAGGCCGAAAATCACTACCCGAGAGAAGATACTTCAACCTAGGTCGACTCGGATTCCCGCTAAACTTCCTCACTCTCTGCTGGCAACTCCTTTCCGTTGTATTCCTATGTTTCCCGCTCTATCAGCCAGTGACAGCGTCCAACATGAACTGGGCTTCGGCTGCTGCCATTGTTGGTTTCGTAGTTTTCGGGTTTAATTGGTTTCTCTATGCTAAGAAGCATTACCGAACTCCGACAAGACTGGTGGTGCCTGCTGATGGCGATGTTGAAGAGACAGTGGCTTAACAGCCATCGAGAGAAGTCCAAACGCATACGCAGCAGTCGTTCTTCTGCAGAGAAGGTTCGCCAGGCCGTCATGTTGGATCTTCTCTATGTTGCGAGTTGACACTATGAGTGAGTTATCTTATCTGCAATACAGCTGTAGGAAATAGTTCATTATGTACTTCAACTTGCGCACTAGTCAATGTCCTAGGGGCTTCCGCGGAACCCGAGTGTTATTAGTGTTTTACGACCGATCACCCGCGTGGCGAGGCCACTGCGCCTGTGGAGGCGCAGGGGAAGTGGGGCGCGGGGTGCCCCGGAACCTCGGTCTTCATCTCCACCTCCTTCCTGACCATCCCCAAATTCATGTTACCTTTCGATCTTTTGAATGCTCAGTAGTCGATTGTCGGCGAGGAAACTTCCGTTGCAGGCGCGTCTTCGAGTATTGAAAAGATGGTGCGTTCTTCCCCGGCTCATGTCGAGCGTCCCAGCGAGCTTCCACCGCGTCGCATGTCCAAGGCCCCAACTGCATTGCGGAGGAAGACTAAAACTTTCACGGGATGCTGGACCTGCCGCGCTCGAAGGGTCAAATGCGATGAAGCACATCCCTTTTGCAACAGATGCACCCATTCACGGCTCGCCTGTGAAGGTTACGGGGTCCGCCTAGCCTGGAAGGAGGGTCATGGCAAGGGCTCTGGTTCCACCGGTCCCTTTAGGAAATTGATTGAGCTGGAGTCGAACGTTGGCCAAATCTCACTCGACCACATGAACAACATGCTTCGACATTGCAGCACCGCAACAGCCAGCCAGGATACTAAATCATTCGGACCATTCTCAGTGTTTAGTATATTGTCGAGGCCTCCTGAGCAGACCGTCTCGCTGGACCTGCTTGACCCTCAGCGTTGCCCAGGAGGTCCAGAGCTGGAATCGCAGACCGATTTCGGAGACGTTTTTTCGCCGGCGTTCATTGCGACATCTTCGAGTATGGAACAATCAGACGGCCAAGGGACGCCTGGGCCATCATCATACACCTCTCTATCGGACTATCTTGAACAGCCAAACCTTGATTTCAATACCAGTACCGATATACCGGCGAATGAGCTTCCAATGCTCGATTTGCTTCCGATGACCGTCTCCACTGTCGACGACCAAGATTCGATTCAAATCCTGCCGCAGCTTCCAGACTCACGAAATATCATATGGGATGACCCGTTGCAAGAGGGTGAGCTTATTATTGGTTTAGATTCTCCCGGACACACCAGCGAGTCGACGCGTTTCTCATCCTTTGGAGACCCAGTTCTTCCCTGCCGTTATCTCAACACACTCTCTGATCTGTCCCACACTGAGCATGGACTCATCCATCATTGGCTGGTCTTCATGTGCAAGAACATGGTACCAGTTAATACGATAGACAACCCTTACCGGGTTCTCTACCTTCGGCTGGCCTCTGAAGCTCTCACATCTTTCTCGAGTAGCAAGCTGGCAGTCTTTCACGGCCTGTGTGCGGCAGCTGCTGAAAGTCTCAATACCCTCCGTGATCACAAGAATGACGATTCAAACCTATCGCTGACAAAGCACGCAAACGCGGCCTTGAAAAGCTTACAAGAATTAATAGCCAGCCCTACGCCAAAGGATTATACATCTATCCTAGCTGCCATCATTATGTGTATCCTGAGGGACTCCGTGATGGGTCAACCCGGCAACTGGCGACTTCACACACAAGCAGCCTTGAAGATAGTAAATGAGGCCTTGGCGTCAGGAGTGGAAGCTGCCTCGAGCTTGCACATCCTGGCCGAGCAATGCGTCTGTATTGCCGCGTTTGGCAATCTCGAAAGCGAGTACGATCTAGGCGTTTTGGTCGCCCAACTGCCAGATACCGAGCACTACCTATACAACCAACACAGTGTTACCAAATCTCTGCTTGGCTTTGTTACTTTGATCAACGCAATATCGAAAACCGGCCTAGAAGCAAATCCTGTCACTTTGGATGGCCTGGAGCTTCGCATTTATCTCCAGGCTGCTCCAATTGTTCATCTCGACAAGTCAGGCCAGAAGGGCGATGCCATCATTATCCAACACTATCACCACGTATACTATTACGCTCTTCTCATTTTCTTTCAGCGTCTGGGACGTCACAGGCCTCCAAGCCAGTTCCAAGACCTCGTGCACGAGGGCTTGGTGCACTTGGAAGCGGCAGAAGATATTGCCATGGAATCTAATGGATGCATATTGCTTTGGCCATGCATGACGATCGCTAGCGAGTGTGTTAAGGAGGATTTAAAGACACGAGCTTTGAAATGGTTCGAGCGGAAAAAGCGGCATGGGTTTAACAATGTGAACACAGCTACCAAGATCTGTCGTGGGTATTGGCGTTGGCGGGATGAGAATGCTGTTGCCTGTCTGAGTAAGTCATGGCAGGACTTCGTTGTTGGCACAGAATATGATGTTGTTCCTGTCTAGGGTGTAGATACAATTCCATCATATATGTTGAAACTGGCTGGTACAACTAGGTGTACGAAGAGTAAGTAGACACTACAGACATGGGGGTTATATAAGCAGTAGTTGGGGGTTTGTCCAGGCACTTTGTGGGAAAAAGTAGCTTTAATAGGTTTACTTAAAGGGTAGGTATTGTTTTGAGTCACGTTGAATAGCAGGGAGCTATCTGCAGTTAGTATGTTGTGCCAAGATAAAAAGTTTCATAGTTCTTCAACACCTCCCTTTGATCAACCCTGTTTTCCTGGCTGGCAAATGAATCTTTCAGGAACTCATGAGCGAGGCTCAGATGATGGCCAGACAAGGTCACCTTCTCAAACCTCTGAAGAATCCATGCCCTGTGCAGGACACCTTCCGTCGAGAGCCGCGACAAACAGTGCCCAAGCAATCCTGGTGAGCCCTTCCTATCATGCTAAAACTTTTGAAACCCCAACCTCACAATCTCTTTCAATTAACTAGCATGCATTTTCCCGTGCTTCCTCTGTGATTTACCAGAAGTCCATGAAGGTGTTAAGCTCTGATCACGTGCTAGGTCTTGTGAATTTGTCAGACTAAAAAGTACCGGATACCTTTTATGTCCAGCCTCTGACAGAATTGATAGCAGGTAGGTACATGGCCCCAAAGCTTTACCAGGTGTTGACAGCTGCAAGCAAGGCGATGAAGCCCAATCTGCCTGGCCCTTTAATGTTTCGCCCGGCCACTGCGGCCAGTGCGCAACACCACATTGAAGCGCGCCAGTGTGCCGGCCAATGGATATTCCTCCTTTTCTCAATCTTCTTTGTCAAAATACCAACTGTAGTTACTGCAGGATGCAGCTCTTTAATTATTGCATTAAGCCACCTCCTTAGTCTGCTCAATATCAGCCCTCACTGGCCGGCTCTTGACACCCTGTAGCTTCCTCGCCACATCATCTGTGAGGTGCCTGTCCAAGTTGCGGATGAAAAACGACGAGGCCGCGCTGGTGACACCAAAAGCGATGCTGACGAGGAACATGGTCCGGAAGCTCATCGCGTTCGCCACCCTTGTCGCCATCTGGATCGCATCCCTGATCGCCGGTGTCATGCCGGGGACCTTGGCTAGCGCCGCTGGAGTGCCCGCCTCAGCCGCCTTGACCGCCATGGCCACGGACCCAGCCGGCAGGCCCGCCCTCAGCGCCGCGGGGCCGACCTGCCCAGGGATGTTGACCAGGTTCCGGTTCTCCAGCACCGTGGCGTAGATGGCCGTCGCGATGGTGCCCATGGTGCCGCGGCAGCAGGACTGGAAGCCCGAGGCAAGACCAATGTCGCCCGGCGGGCAGGTGAAGGGCACAAGCACAAGGGCGAGCAGCTCGACATAGCCGACCGAGAAGCCCGAGAGCGCCATGAGTGCGATGGCGAGGCTGCCCTTGTCGACAGTGATGGCGGCCATGCTGGCGACGAAGGCGGCCATAGCGACTGCCGAGGCGCGCATCTGCCAGTGCGCCTTCATGGCCCTGCCAAAGGGGCGGACGGTGAAGCCGGCGCAGATCTGACCAAAGGCCACGGAGCCGCCGAGGGCGCACTGTCCGTTGCACAGAATCAGTCAACTGTGGAGGATCTACTTTCCTTTTTTTGTGAATGGGGCGCTTTCTTATAATAACCAGAAAACGACTTTAAATTGCGACACTTTTTGGCGGTTACTATGTTAGCCCGCTCCACATAGATTTTGCTGTGATCCTGTAATTTCGCTAACAGCCTGTTAAGAATCCTCTTGCTAAGCACTAAAAAACCTCTACGCTCTACTAATAATAGGATATATTATTATTAGGATATATCTAGCTCTTTTTATATAGCTATTCTATATAAATTATAGTTTATTATATCTTCTTCTATATAATGTTTTTCCTATATATAGAAAAATACCTTCTTATTAACCTATTTCTTCTCCCTTTATTCTCTATACTAGATATAGATATATTCTTTCTTCCTCTTACTTTTATATCTACTATAATAGTAGCTACTATTAAACCTATACTAACTATATAAGAAATAGTAATATATATACCTATAATCTATTATAAGAGATTAATAGTAATACTTATATTATATATTAGATATAATAGATATAGATACCTAACCATACTCAGTCATCTATCTCTACTAAGAGAGGAATTAAAACTCTATACAAGAAAACTAGCGCTATTGATTACAGGGTTAAGTAAGGAATTGAAATTCAGTTTAAGTAATGAATTGCTCTAATACCAGTAAAACAGACAAAAATAGTATGTAAAGAAAGGTAATAATCATAATAATATATATATAAAATATACAGCCTATAGATATAGAAATATAGTATTATGATTAGATTAAAGTTTTTATTATAGTCTATAGCATAATTAGAATGTAAAGATTAATCCTTATATAAATTTATTAGTTATTAATAGAAGATGTCTATATATCTATATATAGGCTATTACCAATCTATAGTTCTATAAGCTAGAGGTTAAATTACTATTTCTATTAATATTAAAAAGAATAGGAGGTAGTTTATTATAAATATTATATATAATCAAGTCATATTATAGAGCTATTTATCTATTTATCTGAGTACCTATTTATTATTTACCAACAGTATAAATATAGAATGATTGCTAATAAGACTAAGATATATTTAAGATGATAATATAACAATATCAGCTAATAGCAAGCTAATAATATTAACTAGATGGTACAGGCTATTCCTAATATAATCAAGACCTAGGTTGAATTATAGTAATAGATATTTCTATAGCCTAGTATTAGACTAATCCTATATATTAACCTATCCTAGTAGGATAGATTAGGTTGTTATATATACCTATATATTATATAAGATATATTCTAGATATAAGTATATTATTAGGCTAAATATAATTAGATAAATAACTACTAATAGGGCTGATATATAGAGTAGATAGAGAGAGGTTTAACACTAATGCTATAGAGAATAGGTATATAGTGCTAATAGATGTTTCTAAGCCATACCACTAGTAGTTGGTTTAAGGTTGGATGTAGTGAAGAGGTTGATAAGTAGGCAGTAGAAGACATACTACAGTAAGAGTTGGCTATATTCATTATCTATATCTATAAAGAGGAAGAGCAGGTATTTACAGCTAAGGCCAAGGCCTAGATATATAAGACAGACGATAAGTAGGAGGCAGACTGGTGGTTATAGTGATATGATTAGTTATAGTATTTAGCTAACACTAACTAGAAGTAGTTACAAGGCATATTATAGCCTATTAATGACACTAAGATAGTATTATAGTAGATATAGTAGAGTTTAGACTATATGTTAGATAATATGTATATAATAGTGATATAGTACTACTAGAGTAGTACTAAGTTATTTAAGATCAAGTATAAGGAGATAATAATTATGCCTAGTAAGCCGTTCTAGCTATTAATAGAGCTAGATTTATAGGGCTGGTATAAGAAGGTGTAGAAGAAGTTGTTGGCTATTTAGTAGTGTATAGAGTTGTAGGATGAAGAAGGTAGGGTGGTAGAGAGTAATACTGATATATATGGCAGTAATAGAGATAATAGTGATAAAGATAATAGTAAAAGCAGTATAGCTAATAGTAATAATAGAGAAGAAGGTAATAGTATAGATATAACTAGCAGTCTTACTACTGTATAGATAGGGTGGATTGGTAGAAGTAGATATTTAATAGGGTTTTGTGGCCTGTGTGCTAGCGCCTCGCTTAATTTATTAAGTGGGGCCTGCATATAAATCTATATATAACCTCATTTCTATAGACTTAGTCGCACCCTTACATATGACTTCCCTTCTTAATCTATATCTTCGCTTTTTATCACTTTTCAGTACAGTTATTTGTGACCCCTACTGCTTTTCAGTAATTAGTAGCAAGAAGCTTTTTCTCTATGCTATAAGGAAGCTATTAATAGCTTCTCTTTTCAATCATCTTATAATTAAGAGCTTTCTAGGACGATTTAAGGACCGTCTGCCTGTTAGAATCGCTCTTTTCAAGTTGATTTTAGCAGAGATGTATGGTTGATTTTCAATTATTACGCACTATCACTACCTTAACCCTTCCATCTTCTCAGCCCTTATCTCTGGCTTCTTTTAGATCCAGACTGTTGGTTGCAGCTGCCTAGTCCCTGCTTGAGCTTCTTTCAGATCTCAGGCATCGCCTAGCTCCAATCCGTCATTAAGGCGCTGGAAGAGTTTCCTATAAGTCTTGTCTGCTTTTAGCTGTAAAGACTCCTAATCTGATCTATGATTTTCAATCTAGAGAAGATTCCCTTCATTTCTATATCCTCTTTATCATATTGTCATCTTGAGAGCTAACCATAATGGTGAGAGAGTTGAATCTGCCTGCTGGTGGTGCGGGCAACTAACAGCCTCCTAGAGGCTTTCCTGGCGTAACTGCAGGAACCCAGCCTCAACCTGGTTCGTCTACTACTGCTGGTGGTCAGGCTAACCAGCAATAGCAGATAGCGAGCCAGCTATCTAGCGACCAAGCCCAGCCGACAACAACTGATAACCAAGCCTAGCCGATGGCTAGTAACTAAGTCTAGCTGATAACCGGCAACCAAGCCTAGCTGTTAATAACTGGCCAGCCTACTGCTTCTGGCAGACCTAACTAAGACACTTAATTAGCGACCGCTCAAGCCAATCAACCTGTCACCGCTCTGCCTGCAAACTTTGGCAACAATCTAGCTTTGATGAACTGGATGAACGTAAGGTTGAAGGAGTTGGAGGATAATACATCTGCTTTATATGAGTCCTTGGTTAATTTAACCACTAATGTAAATAGCCTCACAACAAACTGTAATTCGGTTCTTCTCACAACAAACTGTAATTCGGTTCTTCTCACAACAAACTGTAATTCGGTTCTTCTTAGACCCGAATTGAAACCCCATACAAAATAAAACGGCGCTCACAACAAACTGTAATTCGGTTCTTCTTAGACCCGAATTGAAACCCCATACAAAATAAAACGGCGCTATGATTACAGGGGGTAGAACCGAATTGACAAGCAGGGGGTAGAACCGAATTGGTTTCC